AACTGACATAGAGTTGAACCTGTTCGCGCATAGCTTTGCTGCGGGACACATTGTCGATCCAGAGAGAATTAAGGATGATGTTGGGAACTTGAGTTCGCTTGTGATCTTTGACCCGCCGGAACACAGTATAAAGAAGAGACATGCGTTCCACCACGTATTGGGTGTCGGTAACGTCGACTCTATCACCTACGTCGAACGGATGCTTGACAAATAAGAAGATACAAGACCCGAGGACCTCTTGGGCAGTGGTTGCGAAGACAAAGGACATTGAGAGGAGAGCAGTGCCTGCTGTGGCAAGTGTGGTGGTGAAATTCCGATTGAGCCAGGCGACGAAGATGAATATGACACCGATAAAGACGACTGTGCACAGTAGATTGTCGAGGACATTGATGGCTTGGTCGACATCATGCATGCTGCTCGCGATAGATTGACGCTCTCGTCCGAATTCGGTGATTCGAAGTATCATCTCCTCGAGCGAGATGTCTCCGTTGCAATCCACGTCCAAGATTTCAAAGGCTTCGTGAGCTTCTTGCTCTCGATCATGGCCAAGAACGTCGATGATGTCGTCGATGCTGAGGGCATCCTTCCCTTCGAGGACAAAAGACATCCACAGGCGCCGAGCAAGGGCTTCTGCAGAGTGTTTCTTCTCTAGAGCGTGCACCACGATGGAGTGAGATGCAGTGGGGTTGAAAACCTTTTTGCCGGTGATTTCCTGGGCGACATTTCCAAACGCTGCTGTGACCTTGTCCCCCACCCGTGCGACATTGTGAATCAATTTCATAGGAGTTGCCGAGCCAGATCGTTTGTGCGCAGGTAACAGGCTGTTGCGATTGCTGCGCTCCCCCAAGTCCAGCACATCGTTGATGAGGTAATCTTCTTCGGCAAATTCCCGACAGTATTCCGGGAAGAGCTTGCGAGAAGCCTCGTAAAGCAAGCCAACCAGATGAATGTTCCGCTTCGAGTCTTTGATCTTTTCATCGAACTGCTTGCGGTGGTAGCTGATAGAGAGGAGCTGAATGAGCACCTTTTCCCCGAGCAAGAGCAACGTGGAGAAGACGCAGGCGAAGAGAATGTTCTTGACGACAGATTCCCAGGATTTGAGGCCGGTCTCTCCACGTGACCTCTGATCGGGATTTAGTGTCATGATAGGAACGAACGTCGCCAAAGATGTAACAGCCCAGCCAACCAGGGAGAGGGGGATCTCGAGTGAACTGAGAACCAGAGCGTATTTTCTTGTGCCTGGGCTGGCCACTCCGCAAATGAACTGAAAGAGAAATGGTAAGAAATGAGAGACCAGTTTCGAGGCCCAGAGCGATACCCAGACCACCTCGACCCAGGTAAAGAACCATAAGATCTTGACGCCGCCGATGCGTGCCCGAGGCGCGACTGTGGCTCCGACAATGATGGGAACCGCAATTGCCAAAGCAAGGGGAGCAACATAGATGAAATAGCGGGTCAGCACAGAGAAATTGTACACTTTCTTATAGAATCTGCCCACTGCGTTCAACGTGCCGTCTTCCTTGTCCTGGTTCTGCTGTCCTCGATCTTGCAACCTTCTTCTCCTGCCTGCTGGGCCTCTGTGAAAGTGGTGACCTTGGTTCTCATCCATTTTTTCCGAGAATTCTGCATTGTACTGGGAACGCGAGGGAGAGAGTGCATCGGCCTTGCGGGCACCAGTGGCGCTGCCAGAGGTGCTGACCTTGGTCAATGGGATATCAATCGTAACGTCGTGAGGGTTCGCCATGTCCCCAGATGGCTGATGGGTAAGAGGTTGAAATCCCTCCTTCGAAAACCTCTTGTAGTGACCTTTTTGTGACATGCCGCCAAGCTATGCCACTCGAAGAGTCGAGGTGGAAGTGAAAGAATGTGGGCAATATCGGCAGTATTTGGGTCGGATATTTGTGACGCGATAAAGTGAATGAAGATCTGAAGCAGACTGTACGCGTACTCTACCTGAGAGGAACGGACGACGTGTGCTAGAGATTGAGCCGGTTTCAAGACAAAGGGGAACCGGGGTACAAGTGAGGGCGATCTGAGAAAGGAGGAATAAGAAATGTTTGTGTTTGTACAAGATCAACAAGGGTGGTTACAGGGACAGCGACCACCCTCAAATACCAAGAAACAGGAAGATGGTAGTCTAGAAAAGTCAAGCGAGTGCAAATGAAAAGGGATTGAAGCATGGAAAGATACCCAGTAGAAAGTGAGGGAACCATGAATCGAGACGCGATGAGAGCTGCTATGTACTCGATCGGTGCTATGTACTGGGTACCCAGTACCTGCGCCTTTCCTATCACCAAGAAAGTAGGTATTCGATCGCGCGCCCCAGAAGCCACTCACTGCCACCAATGCGTGCAGGAGGACCATATTTTTTTTTTCTCTCTCCTCTCCATTTGTGCTCCCTTTTGGATTGCATGACGAAAGCTCTTGTTTCGTAAACACGGGTCCCCTGGTCGAGAATTGAGGGGAAATGGGCGAAAAAAGGTGAGATTCCGAGATTCCTGTGGCCCTCATTTGCCGGGATTGGAGAAGTTTTTTTTTTTTTTCGCCAGGAACATGGTCCCTCTAAGCAGCCACTTCGGCGAGACCTGCAAGTCCCCTCGTCAATGACCCATCCAGGGCCCTTCCATGGCCCAAGGCCCCATCAATATCCCATCAATGGCCCGCTTGCAAACGAACGCGGGCCCCAGAAAGAGGAAAGACTGCGGTTGTGGCTTGCGCCATGGCTGATTTGGCTTGAGTCTGATACAAGTTATGAAACAGCTCCGGCTCCATGCAGTCGTTACCCACTGTGGTGGCCCAACAAATCCAGGTACCTCGTACAACTGAGAAGTACAGAAATACATGGAATTTTCCAGCTGGCTCAGTGCAATGGGGCTGTGTCCAACAGACCATCGACTCGAGATGTGGGGTATACGCTTCTAGAGGTCTCACAAAGCCACCAGGCCGTGCAAGAAGTGATTAAGAAAAGGTCCGAGCTCCCCAGCATGTGATTGACGATACTGGTAAGCGAGGTGAGAGGCTCATTGCCGTGTCATTGGCTCTTCCGAGATTACATTTGCGATGGCCATGTTGAGCACCTGGCAATTCCTTTCCCCTGCACAGTGCACGAGAAATGTATCATCAGAGGATTCTCTCAAGTCACATTTCACTTTGTTTGACTGTTCAACAAGACCTAGGCTCGCGGAGGCTCTAGGTTATGAGCGTGCACAATGGAGCTTGGACGGTCTTTCAGGATCGCGTCACAGACAGCAGTTGTTGCCTCATCAATCAATCGTTCTTTATGCCACAAAGACCTGCTTTGTGGTAACAATTTGGTTTTGTTCTGCCGCTTGTCTGCTGCTCTTTGACCTTGGTTGTTGAAGGAACCCAAGACTATAAATGGCCGGGTCCATGGCTAATAGATCACCAAAGCAAGCTGCCAACTTCAGGCAAACCAAGGTAAGTACACGTCAACTCACAACACTGCAAATAGCCACTTTTCTCCAGAACTTCTCGGTGGTGTATGCAAAATGCCTTTCCAAGCAGCGAAGCCCACGGTTCGAAAGTTCACCGATGCCAATGGAAGAAAATGGTTGGTCAGGGAAAAGACCCCAGGCCGTTCGCAACAGCCATCTGCTGCTTCTCGACAAGAGCGAGCGCCGCCTCGATATGAGGAACGCGACCCTCGACGGGAAGTGCATGGCCGTCAACGTGGGGGATCTCGTTCAGGGTACGAAGAACGTCCTTCACGACGAGGATCACAGGCACCACCTCAGCAAGAACTGGGCCAGGTGTCGTACCCACAGCGTCGACCACACCATCAAGAGGGCTCTCGGGCTTCAGGCTCTGCGGGTGCTCGTCGATATTCTGAGGGAGGACACAGGGAGTCTGGATCCAATGGATACCAGCCTCCAAGACGATATTCTGACCACCAGGAAGATGCGGCCCGTGCAGCCGAGCGAGCCAAACGACAAGCTAAGAAGGAGAAGTATATCCAGTGGCTGATGTTCTTCATCTCGTGATCTCGAGGAGGGGGGTTGTGTGCAACAACCGAAAAAGGTAAGTCTCTCTCCGGCGGCTGGCAAGGGACGTATTTTCAAGGTGGCAAAATAATTGCTGGTCAATGAATTGAATAGTTAAGTGCATATATGCACTCGGGTGTTTTCGCACATATTATCGAAAACAGCAGCTTGCTTTTGGTCCATTGTATACTTCTCCGTATGACATAGGCAAACTCACCCTCCTGGGAGTAAAACACCCCCTCCCTTCTTGTTACCTACTTTTGTAGGGAAGTACATTCCTTTGTTGAACAGTAAATGAGTCCTCGTGACACGCCCTTCGGACCAATACTCTCTTCTCTGTTCCTTGGTAGTCATCCAACATGTTCCTGTCTAGAAAAAAGCCCGCGGCCTCACGCGGACCGGGCGAGAGCATGAACGAATGCTTTGATTTCTCTTACCCCATCCTATGTCACCCATTGGGTCCCAAACGTAGCATTGAACGGCATCAATTCGTCACAGGGCGGAAACACGCAAAAAATGACCTGGTGCCACTGCATAGAAGAATGTTGAGGGAGGAAGGAGTCCGCCCTCGCTCGCTTACCACCGGGAGGCATCAGGAAGCATTTTCCTTTTTTTCTTGTTTCCACGCAGCCAATGCATTCCGCTTCTTACACAACTTGATGTTATCACTAGCCTCGTGATCCTTTGTTGCTACACACGCTCACCGCAACAATTCCTCCCTCTTCCGGTCCTTTTACCCTTACATTCATTCTTTGTTTTCTTCTGTTGTGTCTTTTCCTTACTTGCGTTCTTAGGTGGCATTGGTCCAACTCATTCACCTCCTCAGGACCTCTCAGGGCTTCAGTAAGGGATTGATTTTCGGAATCCGGTCCGAAACAATACCAACCACCACAAACCAAATAGTGTCACGGCGACAAATCACAGCGACCAAGAAACTCGAAAACCCACTACAGACATCCGTTGCAATATCAGGCAGACAGTTGAATCTGGAAATCAGACATGTCTACTTCAACGTCGCCTCAAGCCTGCGTCCCCGTCGCCACGGACTCCCAAACCGACATCGCCACCTTCATCTCCATCATCACGGCGGCCTTTTCCAGCACAGCCCTCACAACGGCATTCATAGTGGATATCGACAAGACGCCGCCGCCCTATCCATCGCCGCTGGTTGACGCTGCTCGGCGAGAACGACATTTCTCCCGCGGGATACTCGAGAGCGCGGCCTCGGGCGCTGAACTGGTGCACGCGGGCGATTGGTCTGCCATAGCGTTGTGGGAGACTCCCACGTACCAGGGCAAGCCGTTCATTGACTCAAAAGCTCAGCCCGGTCCGCTCCTGAGCGAATGGCGAGACAGAGTCAAGGCCGCCAAGGCAAAGTATCTCGCTGTGCCGGCCGTCTCAAACGCTACATCTGCCAATGCCAATGCGGAGGAATCAAACTCCAATTCACCAGCAGCTTCAGTATCTGAATCCAGCTCCGACCACCACAGCCAGGACAACACCCAAGAACGCCAACTGCGACCGTTCTACCACCTCTCGTTCCTGGCCCGCAACCCCGCAAAACAACGCGTCCAAGGGAGCATCAAGGCGGTGATGACACCCTTTCTCGAGCGCGCCAAGGCAGAAGGGGTGCCCGCGTGGCTAGAAGCCACCACCCCGCAAGCAGTGCGGCTGTATATACATTTCGGATTCCGGGTCGTCGAGGAGATTGTAGTGGGGAAGGGCTCGGTCGATGCCCTGGGGTGGCCCGCCGCAGGAGACAGCGCCGAGGGTGTCAAGGCATGGGCAATGATATTCGATGCGCATTTGAGCGATTGAAGAGACCGCGTTCTGGCAAACCAGAACAACAGGTCACATTCTTTTCTTTCTTTCCATCACCCTCCCCCTTATATAGAGGTCCTTTCAACAGAGAGGAGCACAGATCGGCCTGGACCAAACAAACAAACAAAAAGGCAGTCCAGGAGCTGTGCAACGACACATAGGGACGGAAGAGCCCCACCCAGAGGGAAGGCCCCATAAGCCCCCTTGTAGCCCCCTACCTCTTCGGACAGTACAAGGAGAACCAGGGGAGTATGGGTACAAAAAAGCGGCCCAGTCGTATCCCTATCGAACCTCCCTGTGTACTCACTATGTACCTAATTGATCAGGCCAGGGTAGGGCAGAGTGCACAGGCTGTTGGGAATGCGATGGGATGGGATGGGATGAAATGGAATGAAATGCAATTTGTTTTTCAGCATACACGTACAAGCATGCAGTCCGATAGGTATGGAAAGTGACAAGGGGAGAAAAACGAAAACGGCACAAAAGGGGAGGAAAATGGAATCGAGACTGCAGCTTCCCCTTCCCTTCTTCTCTTCTTCTGCAGCTTCTTTCTTTTTTTACACAATCCATTCACCTCTTTTTGTGGGGTGGAATTTCGGCATTGAGGACTTCTTTCATTCTTTTCGCTCGATCGGTTGATGTTGATGTTGCGTTCATTTGTTTACAAATTGGCAGAGAGGGGGGGGGGGGAGAGAGAAAATTAAAAACAAAGGGTAGTTGGAGATCCGCGATAGATACCTTGTAACTTTTCCTTGCCCTTTTTGGTTGGCCCTTTTCTCCACGCATGCAATGCATGTCCAGCTCTTGTATGTGCCTTTCGGGGGAAAGGGAAAATATCGAGAAAACATCATCCCATCGCAACCGTCCTGGACGTCTTCAACGCCTTGGTGCAAGATCAAGCTCAGCTGTGGCTGCTCCTCCGCCTCCTCCTGCTCTGCTCCGGAGCCATCTCATATTACCTGACCCATGAACATCATCATCATCATCCTTCTTTTTTGGGGGGAATTCCTTCCCTTCCCTTGCCGTTCGATGATGACTTTCATTGCACGTGCCTCACTACATCATCTAGAGCCTGTGCAAAGTAGTGTACGTTGCCCGTGTTCAACCCAGCCATACTGATCCGGCCATTCTTGGTCATGTATACATGCCACTTCTCCCTGATGGCCAACACCTGCTTCTCGGTGATGCCTGTGAAACTGAACATGCCGATTTGACTCGTAATGTGATCCCAGTTGCCAGGAGTGCCCAACCGGTCGAGCTCGGCTTTGAGAGATTTCCGCATCTCAATGATGCGCCCGGACATGGTGCGCAGATCGTGTTCCCATTCTTTGAAGAGTTGCGGGTCGTTCAGGACGAGGGAGGCGATACGTGCGCCGTATGCGGGCGGATTGGAGATCTCGGAGCGCTGCAGTATGGCAAGTTGGGAGGAGACACGCTTGGCCACGTCCTGTGCGTTGGCCCCAGGAGCTGCCACGAAATGGAATGCGCCCGCTCTTTCACCATACAGACCAAAATTCTTCGCGAAGGATTGAGCAATGATCAACTCGAAGCCCTGCTCCACGAAATAGCGGATCGAAAAGTTATCCTGTGCCAGGTCCCCCGAGGCGAAGCCCTGATACGCGCAGTCGAAGAAAGGAAATAGTTTGCGCTCGCGCATGACTTGGGCAATCTGCTTCCATTGGTCCGGCGTTGGGTCGACACCAGTGGGGTTGTGTGCGCAAGCGTGCAGTAGAATGATGCTTCCTTCAGGCGTAGATTTCAAGGCAGAAAGCAGACCTTCGCAGTCGAGCATTTTTGTTTTGGAGGAGAAGTAGGGGTAGGACTTGATCGGGAGGTGGACATTGGTGAAGATTTGGTTGTGGTTGGCCCATGTCGGGTTGGATAGGTAGATGGCGGGTGTGGGTTTGGGGAGGAATTTGGCGAGGAAGAGGCCGCCCAGATGGACGGCGCCCGTTCCTGAGATAGTCTGGAGACTGCAGGCCTGCAAGAAATAGATTGTATGTCAGTCAAAAGTCCCAAAGGTGAGAAAGAAGTGGAATTGGTTGAAAGTGCATACCCGTCCTTCTCGGATCGCGGGGCTGTCTCCACCAAGGATGAGTTTCTGCGCCGCTGAAGTGAACTCTGGGAGACCAGCGATGGGGAGGTACTCGTGGTTGAGGTTAGGATCGTTCCGGAGGATCTCATCGGCCTGGCTGAGGGTTAGTCGAGCTCCGCGCATGTCCTCGACGTGGCCGAGCATCATGGATAGCGCACCTTCTTGACGACAGGCAACACCCAGGGTTTCGCATTGTTGTCCCTGTATGCGCCAATGCCCAGATCAACCTTCTTGTCAAAAGGATCTCTTCGGTAAGCCGCCATCAACCCAAACAGAGGGTCCTCAGGAGCCTGGGGGACGACATTGGCGTCGAACAGAGTCGGGGCCGTATCGGTTGACACGGAACCCATTGTGTGATTCTTGATCTGAGTTAGTCGGGCGGAAGCGTTGGTTTGCGAAGAGGAATAGGAAGAGGAAGACGAGGTTGAGGGGAAAGAAGAGTCAGAAGATTTGGGTTTTGGCGGTGAGGGTGAGGGCATGTCTAGGGATTTATTCAAGCGTGGAGTGACGGAGAGGGAACGTCTTGGGGAAAGGGCACGAAGGGCACGAAAGGGCGTTGCGGAACTTCATCCTTTAGGACGGGCGGATGCACGATATACCACTACCAAATACCCTGCCACGCACGAGACTAGTGCGATGATGTCGGTTCCAGGGACCAGAGACTACCCAGTAAGTACCTCGTAGACCCCTCTACCGGAACAAGGGACCAAAGGCATGGTCATTCAGTGATCAATCAGAAAAAAAAAATAAAAATCGGCTTCAGGTCAGATGGACATGCTACATCTCCAACACCGAAGCTCGACTCCAATTACTTGCTAGTTCATCCCCAGCTCGCCCAGGGATGCACTCAAGAGTCCAATCGGCAGGTCTCGATTTCCCCCCTGTTCACCATGCCATGACTTGCTTTCCTGATCCTCACATGCTGGACAAGTGTTGCTTTTCCCTGCCAAAAGAGCATCTGATGTCACGTATGAGTGGTGTCTCTCGCCGCCGACCTAGATGAAGCTGGGGAGGTCTACTTTTGTTGCTGGTCGACGGCGATGGGATTCGTAGCGGCGCAAAATAGGACCGAGTACAACAAGAACACATTCAGTCAACAGGTGGTACTGGAGGCAGTCAATGTCCATGTCGTATCTGCTCACGCAGCTCCTTTTCTTCCTGGCGCCAGCCTTGTCCTTTTTTCCCAAGTACTGTAGAATCAGAATATCAAGTCCCACACCACCAGAAACGAACAGAAGCCCACTGTCGCGTAGAACACCAACCTCGCCGTACCCCCCCTCTCGCTGGCCCTCTTCAACTCTCGATTTCCCTTGCGCACATTCTCATCCGTATTGGACGCATCCTGAACCAATGTATCGATCATCTCGCCCTGGACACTCAAATGTCCCACCAGCGTCTGCTGCAGACTGCCGATTTCCATCAGCGACTTCTCCACCTGCGTCACTTTGGCGAGTTGGTCGTTGAAATGCTCGAATATCCCTCGGTTTTCCTCCTCGAACAGTTGGAGTTGTTCGGGTGAGAGTTCTTCTTCCACTCCGCCCTGCGAAGAGTCAATCCAGGGCTTATACTCGTCGTGACCGCGTAGATCTTGAGCCGGGGGAATCGTCTCCAGACTGCCGTTTGCTGCGACCGTCTCTGCATCGCGACTGGCCCGTACGCCCTTATTTCGTGGGTTGTAGAGTATACTCATTTGCTTTTGCTGTTCCCGCTCCAGTCGTTTCTCAACCATCTCCTGCTGGGCCGTTATAACGTCCTTGAGGAATCTGTTCAGATACCACAATACGCCATCCCTAAACATCTTAGTCGTTCTCAGTCGCCCTTCTTCGTCTATTTGTTCTTGTGATTTGCCTGCGTCGGGCGTGTTACCGTCGCCCGCCGCCCATCGCCAGAGGAATCCGTTGGCTCTCCCATATTTTCTTTCGAGGACTTTGCTCGCAGTCTCCTGTTGTAGGTTAACCGCCGACGTGAGATTCGTTATCTTGTTGTTGATGTCGCGAAGGACCGAGGACGTCTCGGTATCGATGGCTTCTCGCTGCGCATCGGTGAGATGTTCTGGTACATCTCGATCCGGTATGTGGGAAAAGGTAGAACGCTGCTCAGCTCCTGAATGTTTTCGATGGCGAGGAGGCGGAGCAGTCGAGAGATACGGGGTGCGGATGGCGCGCAAATAACCCAAGAGGGACGAGATGGATCTGTTAATTTGGTATGCTTCTCGCAGAAACGAATCTAGCTTGCCCACAAGCTCTCCGTTCTGGCCCAGTGTCTTGGAGGAGTGTTTCTGAACCAGGATGTCAGACAAAGTTACTGTGAGATCAGTCATTGCAGCTGTTTAGTTGACGTCGACACAGTGTCCGGGGGAAAAAGTGGCCAGAGAACTATTTGCTACCGAACACCTCACGACTCCGCAAAGCCTACCTCGTAGTAGCCCCAGCTTCTCCAACAGAACAAGGCTGGGCGAGGAACTAACGAGGCTGAGCCGGTTCGACCGCATGAATGAAATCCCCAGAGTGCTAAGTAGTCTTATTAACACACCGTCGACATCTGGAACGGAAAGAGTGAGGCTTATTCCTCATGTAACGGCCTGCATGGCCTAGATTCAATCGGTGTAATTGAAATTATTGCTGAATGCAACCGTTCCTGTCTCAATTCAAGGCCATATAGTACAAAATCTAAACCCGTCACTGATTCATGCACAACGGCTAAGAAACCTATGGATTCAGGATTCTTTGCCCAGTTCCATCGCTAGATCCCAGCCAGTATCGTCTTCCCAGGTCGCCGTGCCAGATATTTGCCTACCCAAGAAGATTCCAACGCCTGTCGCAACCACAGCCAGCATGAAAAACCCATCGAACCATCGCTGGACCCAGGCGGGCTCCAGCAGCCCCGCCCCCAGTGCGCTGTTGATGACGCCACCGACTTCTTTCGGCATCATGCCCCGAAGCATCAATGCAGAGCTGATGACGTACATTCCGCTGATTTGGCTGATCAGGAGGGCGAAATTGGTTTTGGTTGCATGTAAGACCGTGGGCATGAATCGAGCGAAAAGATGAAAAGTCTGTGTGACTGCTGAGAATGAAGCTAGTAGCATCGCCCCTGAGAGCAAGAATGAGATCTGCTGTGCCCACGACGCCTGATCCAGGGAGGGATAGACGTGGCGGGCAAAGAGAGCAATCGTATAGGTGACGGGGTCAGTATCGGAAGAAGTGGCAGGTCCAGATGAGAGGATACGGCGGCCAATATTAATCGTGGTAGTGCATATCCGGTACACACAATAACAGGCGAATATGTGGGAAAATGCCAGAGATAGTCGCCCCACGGCTGTCGTTGCCCGGAGTTGATTTGCCCGTCGTGCCCGAAGAATCGAGAGCGAAGTTTCCAACGAAGAGGCCATGGTCTCGAGCCCCGAGGCCTCCATCTCGAGCAGATCCTTTTGTTGATCGAACGTGTTCTTGCGCACGACGCCCACTGTCCGGCTCCAAAAGCTCTGAATGGGACTTTCAGGGGCCATCCCCTCCATCAATCTCAGCCTCTCTTTCTTCTCGGCAATCATATCCATGGTCGCGTCTAGTCCGGCCTGTTTCCGGGTAATGTCCGTGTCGGCGACGACTTTGACCTTAGGCCCAAAGCTCTGCCAAATGGCACTCACCGAGGCGAACCCCGACAGAAGAGCCATCAAGGAGACGCCAGTAATACCCAATCTGTCCAAGCACGCCTGAAAGAGACCGTCCGGCCGGGTCATGCTGTCGGTAAAACTAGGTGCTTCTGGCAGGAGCGCCCCAATCGCCCAGAATCCGAACAGAAAAGCGCTATACCCAGCAAACTCCAGCACCCACGCGAGATGAGCCCGACTCTTTTTCTCGCCGCGAAACTTGTACCCGGACTTTGACACCACAGAAGATATTCCCAGTAGCGGAATGGCGACTACCAGAAGGCCCAGTAAACTCACGACGGTTATCTGTAGGGAGACGCTCCTCGCGGTAGGGTTGAATGAATTGGATATTTCACACAAAAGTAACTCGGTCAAGACTGCAGACAGAGCTATTGTGGAGGCAAACGTGATTGCTGCGACGCGGCGGGCGAGTTGCTGAGCGGCAGACTCGGGCGCGGCCGCCGTGACGGGTCGAGGAAGGCTTTTCACACTGCCATCTGATGTTTTGGAGGAGGATTGTGACAGGAGAGGGTAGACCTTGCGGTAGGCGACGAAGGTTAGGACTGCGAACGTGGCGAGGAAGGGAATTGTCGAGAATGCCGCCTTGGTCGTGAAACGAGGGGAGTGCAGATAGTCCGGAGTGCACTCATCACAGTCGTCGTCAGCGCTGACGGGCAGCATTTTGGCCAGTCCGATCTTGAGAGACGACAGACCGGTGTGCTGAATACATGGTCTCACTCGGACAACCCTCAAAGGATGGTAGAACTGTGGCAGTCGAAGTCGGACATGGCAACGGCGGACGTGCAAGACCTGTACAGGGTACGCAAGGGATCCAGCCGGGGCAGGTTATTATAATTTTGTTATCGATTGGCCTTAAGGAAGAGCCCCGCCATCATGGACCATGGTTGGTTCCTTCCCGCTCAAGAATGTGTCGAGTCACGCCGCGAGGCGGTTTAGGCTCACTAGGCGTCAATAATGGCCGCCAAGGGGCCCGCCGCAACGCGCCGCGTCACCAGTCTAAGTACCGTAGACCAAGGAGGACCGAAGTGTCCTGACTACTCGGAGCCAAGTACCGAGTACAGGGTCACCTGGGAAAGCTACGAGGTACCTCGTACAGGGTACTAATCACAATAGTACTTGTATTTGGTACATGCATCCGTATAATGCTGCTGCCTCACAAATGCATCTAGACAATACACATTTCTATCCAGTCCAACTTCTATCGTTGCAGCCGAGTCAATACGTCAGAAGGCCTCTCCGTACAGTCTCTCAGTGTAGTTCCCTGCCAAAAGCCTTCGTCAGACTTCTCAGACACATTCAGGGGCTCCAGTCAATGGTTCCCGGACGCCGCAAAAACGTCACCTCTTCCCAGAAAGGTGTGCTTGATGGGATCCCCTCTCGTTCGACTCCGACCGACATCCGACCTTCGCCAGCATGAGGGCCGTCAAGTCAACTACCGGGCCCGCACCACACAATATCATCGTACTTGTTGCGGGCAGGTACACTCCGTGTGTCGATCACGGGTTGATTCCATCTATCAGCCTCGCCGTCTCCCTCACAATAGAGGGTGAGGAAGCCGCTTTTGCAGCACCGCTGGTGCACGATCCTAGGAAGCCGTGGCTCTGGGTTTGTCCCCGTCCGTCGTTTGAAACGCCCTGCCGGGATGTTGCTGGATAAAACAAGGCGAGGATATATTTCTCAAAGATCGCGAAAGATGGTCGACTCCCGATTGCCAGGCTCCTCCGATGTCAAAATGACCAATTATTATCGGGAAGGTGATCGACCGTGGCTGTATGACCGCCTTTGTGGTTTGTCGCGGAGGATGTCTGCCAACCAAGGCGTCGTCTCCCTGACAGACGGGCGACGCTCTTCGACAATCCTGGGCACTAGTAGGCGTATGTCTTCTGTATCAGAAATTGCCGCGTCACTCTCGCGGTGCTCGGACCGCTTTGGAGGGGGATTGGGTGATCTTGCACGTTCGGTCGGCGTAGTCTCATTGTCATCCCAGTCCTCCACCAAGGCGGCAATGCTTGGACTGTTCATGGCGATATCGGCTCTTGGGGCACTTTCAGTGCTCAAATATCCTATGGGCAGGGCGAAGCTCCGTTCCGGTGAATCATCATCAGACGTCACATCACTTCTGACCGATGTGACTCGGGCAAGCGGTCCGCCGTACGTGCCTTTCAATATGCCCCGCCGTGGAGGGCCAATAGCCTTTGCAACAGCATCAGCCTCTTTCTGTGTAGCTTCCATAGATATTGAACTATGGCTGGCGCTTTCAAACACGTGGCTACCTCCAGCGTGTTGGGCCCGCTCGAGCATGCTGCTGTAGAGACTGCGGCCACTCTCCATTTGCCGTTTCTTCTTCTTTTTCAGTCGTTTGGAGCTCGGCCGCACGACAATGACCGGAACAGGTGATTGCTGCAGGCAATACTTAGAGACCGACCCCGGCAGTAGGCCTTGCATACCGCCCAAGTTTCGTCCTCTCGTTCCCACAACTAGCGCCGCAGGTTCGTACAGTTGAATCTAATTCAAGTCAGCATGCCGACATATGAAGATGTAAATGCTGAGTTGCCTACCATGCGCTGGAAGATTTCCTGCACTTTACCCACAGCCAATTCCATAATGATGCTAATTGCCTTCTCCTCTGAGCTGTTTTTCAGCATGACACTGTCCAACAACCGTTTTGCCTCTGTGCGATATTTATCTCGGTCATACGGGGTGTCATGGACAGTCTTGGAGTCTTTCTCGATGACTCGAAGACAGACAATCTCATCGCCGTCGTCGACCAATTCGTCCATCATCCACTCCAAGGCATATTCAGAGTAGTCTTTCGCATCAGTCCCACACAGAAAAGTGCGAGTCCGTGAAGTGGCAGCGAAATCGCAATGCTTGTATTGCAACGTGAAAGCTTCAGTAGACGCATCTCGGTTGTCGATGGTGTCAAAGGAGACGCCGCGTTGGTAGTGAGTGGGAGGGGGGGGGGACGACATTTTTCTTTGAGGCAAGGAGATTCGTGAGCCTTGAACGACGCTTTCTCTTCTTATGGTATCTTCTGCATCTGCTGTGTGGAACTGGACTGACGACTTGCGTCTTCCACCATTAGTCTGGTCAACGAGTCTCGGCCTCTGAGGGGCTTTGGCCGCGCCTTTCCACGCCTCGCCGAATTTAAGCTCCTTCTCTTCTTCTGGTGGGTTTGGCGAAGAGGTGGGTTCGTGCGCTGTGGCGGTGGCCATATTTAAGGCGCGAGGGTGACGCGGGGTAAAGCCTGAGGTGTGCTCGGGACAGCAAAAAATATGATAGCAAATGAGGAACACGCGGGCCGACGGTAAGATGGAATCAGCTGGATGTCAAAGAACAAGCAGTCACTCTGTGGATGGATCGTGGAAGCAGTGCCACTTTCCTCATCTAGGGGGAGTCTAGACCTTCGGTCACCCTTATGGGTCTGTCGCGTGTTCTTTTCTGCCTGGATTTTCACGGTCTCTGAGCGCTGAGGGAGGGTTTCGAGCGGTTAGGTACCAGGGAGTTTGAGGGGTCGTCGCCGATCAGCCAGCATGCAGCTGCATCAGGTCAGAAGTCAAAGGGGAGCAGGAGGACTTCATGGCTGGTGTTGAAGTATCTTCAGGGAGCGGGCTGTGAACATTCTTGGTATCTTGGCCTTGTCTAGAGAACTGAATACTGCTAAGCTGAAATGTTCAAATTGAGGCGAGGGCAAGCGGGGCAGAAGGATGAAGACGGCGAGCCAGGAGCTGGAAGGGCCAGAAGGGTGGAGCAACCTCGAAACTGAGAGGCTGGGCCACTTGCTGAGGAGGAAGCCGTCACCAATCACTACCGACGACTGGTAATCAGATGAGAAGGTGCCCGGTGGAGAGCGGCTGTTGCTGATGGACCATCATGATCCATCTCTCGTAGTAACTTTCGGGAGACGAGGGGATGTTCCCGCCGCCTACCCAGTACTCGGTCCTGTGCCTAGGTAGGCACTGACTTGGCTGTTTCGCGGGGAGTTCAGAAGGCGTCACTGATGACAAGGGGGCACCTTTGCCCGATCAGAAAGGACGATACAGGCTAAGTACAGCGACCGGCAGGAGACACCACCAGATGCCTCGTGCAACGGATGACTGAGACTCTGCCGTTCCGTCTTGCCGATGTTGGCTGCTTACAACTACTCCGTGAATTTCTACTTGTAGAAGCAGTCTTCGGCAGACTCGAGGCACCAACTTGTGCTAATGCGCGTGATGAAGGATCGCTGGCAGAAAGCGAGACCAAGACTAGTCTAGTCAGTCCCGGGCTGGTTCACAACCTCACACAGTTGCTTCTGAGGAACCAGGTCAAACTGCTACCGGGCAATCCTATCATCGAGCAGTCTTCTGCAAGCCATACGACGTACATGTGGATTCCTTGGTTTTCATAGACTCCAGAACGGCAAGCTACATGACCCGGGGGGGCAATGGAAACTCGCGGCAGGGTTGAGATGGATGAGGTCAATGGCCATTCGATTTTATTCAACATTTGTCGATCATTGCGACCTTCGCCTTCCTTTTCCTTCGCACTCACCAACCGCCGCCTGCCGGGCCAGGAGCGCAAATGATGAAGGCGACCTCCTTTTCCAGAGGGCTTCTCGTCAATCTGCTGTACAGAGCCACTCCAACTGACCTGGGCCAGAGGCTCGCTCGCCCAACGAGCCCATGGTCAGTCGGTTGTGCAGTAGTGTCTGCTTGTTCCTTCCTCATCAGCTAGTCCTCTCCTTCTTGTACCCTGGAATTTGCGGCCCTGTATTTCGATCGCCCTGATTTCCGCCGTCAAGATTGTCATGCTGTCGAGTGGTTTGCTTGATGCCCTGGTCCGAATATTGTCGAAGCGACAACTGTTGGCCCACGGAGGTCAGCTGGTCAAGACGTTGAGCTTGAGCACCCAAGATGTGGAACTGTCGAAGGGTCCTCTCCGAGATCATTTGACCTCGAAGGATACGGCCAGGTTTCCACTGGATAGTTTAGGACACGGTTTGGGACATCGCAATGGAACCTTATTAATGCAACCTCATTTCTTCAGTTCGGCGTAAGGGTAGGGAACAGGATCGCCCTAGGAAGGACAAATGTCAGCAGAGAAGCCAGGTATCTGAGCAAGGTCAACCCCCACCTTTCGCAAGTGAATCTTGGTCTTCCTCCTTGTGCCTTGGTGCTCGACGAAGACTTCCCGCGTATGCTCTGCCTTGAACTTGCGCACAAAGCGTGGGTCCCAGAGCTCACTAGCTACGCCGAGATCTTTGCAACACCGCATCATTGCGTTGGATTTACAGCCTTCGACAGCGGTTGGTATACCCTCTTTCGAGAAGTAATCTTGCTCCCCGCGCGCAATCGAAACCAGTCTGCCTGCGAGTTAGCCTGTATGGAATGCTGGTTCAAGTCCGCTCACCTTCCGTGCGCCAGCAATGCATATTCTCGCGTCACAGACTTCTCCGTGACAATCGTCTCGCCTCTTGGAGCCAATCCCCAGCCGCCAGGGCCAAAGGCCTTGTTCAGAATCCGTCTATATTTGATCTCGGGGAGATAAATGATGCCATCCGGCTTGATCTCGATGTCCTCAGGAGCTATAGGCGCCTGCAGTGTGTCCGCAGCCTCTTTGGAAAATGGTTCCACGGAGAGCCCGTGAAAAGACCTTGTCCAATCCACCCGTGAGGGGTCATCTTCTTGTAAAGTCAACGGCTGGTCTTCAAGGTTGTCGAAAGAATGGCGTTTAGGGTCCGCCGGCGTCGCTTGAGGAGGTGATGTTGTCTTTGGTTGTTGATCTGTGGCTGCTACGGCCCCAGTCAGTCGAGCTGAAGATTGTGTGAAGATAGAACGCGGCAGGGCGGTACGCAGCGACCGAGAAGTCGATAGCGCAGTCTCTGGAAACGAGCGGTAGAGGGCGATCCAGGAGTTCGAGAGCCGGGTAGACGCAGATGCACTCAAAGCTTTGAGAGGCAATCCAGTAACTGGCGACATTTCCTGGAGCTGCGGCGGCAGAGGGGGAGTAAATTTAGCAGAGTTCTCAAACGAATAAGATCTACAGCAACAACTGCTGATGACCTGGCGCAGGCAAAAGGCGACAAACTTATATTACAGAGGACAAAGAAAGAGAATGTGGATGGAATACTCGGTACTTATTGCGAAGATGAGATATGAAGGATGAGAGAGCAGAAGCCAGTTACTGGGTACGAGGTACTGGGGACTGAGTAGGGAGTGGGTGAAGCTCCAATGCCTCCTGTATTTTTTTGGGGGAGGCGCGTTTTCGAACATGAACGCCGAACCTCGTGACTCTGGTCACCATCGGCCATCACCACATGGGATGCAGTATCTTTCCCAGCGGTATCCTCAAAGCTCCTTTTCGTTCGCGGATACGTCCTTGCTTCGAGTCCGCTCCTCGTTTCCTTTACGCTTCCAACACTGCCTGAAAGCCTCCATCTAATATATATATATATATACTGTCAGCTTGGTGACCTTGGGACAAGTGCTCTCCGTCTGGACGCCGGGGACTTGCGAAGACCAACAGACCCAGAGCGGAAAAGTCTTTCACGAGGTCATCGAGGTTGGGGTTCAACACATACTTCGGCCTTGCAAGCTCTCCAGTCTTTCTTCTCAAAGTAGCAATCGTTCATGCGCAGTTGCTCCTCTGTCTCTTCCTCAGATCTGCCTGTCCCGCAGAGGACCTTAAACTTACCAGAACAGCCTGTGCTGAAAATTCGTTGATCCCTGTCAATCAAAACGACGCATCAGCCTGGAGCAAGATCATAATTTGACTCCCAAGGAGACTTACCATTCGTCAAGTTCATCTTCAGCGGCCTCAGGCTGAACTAAGCTGTCCTGTTTCGACATTCTGCTATTTCAGGAGTCGTTCTCAGGCGGAATAAGAGAAAAATTCCACGTCTCAAATACACTTCAGTAGCCAGAAGACTCGTCTGACAGTTCTTGCCGTACTGCGCCACTTACCACCACTCCACAAGAATTCGTCCCCCAAGGACCAACCATGTCCAAACGCATGAACATCCTCGTTTACTCTGGTGCGCTCACTCAAGATGCGTGGAGGAGTAATAAGAATCTAATGCTATCTTCAGGAAATGGCAGCACCGTCGAATCAGTCCGGCATTGTCTCTACACTCTTCGGAGGCTCCTGGCTCCTCATTATGCTGTCATCCCGGTTACAGGCGACATGCTCATCAAAGAGCCTTGGACAGCAAGCTGTGCTGCTATAGTCTTTCCGGGCGGTGCTGATCAGGGCTACTGCAAGACTCTCAATGGTGAGGGCAACAGGCGCATTCGACAATTTGTCGAGCGCGGCGGACTTTATATTGGATTCTGCGCCGGTGGCTACTATGGCAGTAAAAGATGCGAATTCGAGGTAGGAAACAAGCTCTTGGAAGTGGTTGGGGACAGGGAGCTTGCTTTCTACCCCGGCACAGCTCGAGGGTGTGCTTTCCCAGGCTTTGTTTACCATAGTGAAAAGGGGGCTCGGGCGGCCGAGTTGAAAGTGGACAAGACTACCCTGCCTGCAGGGGCCGCCCCGGGCGTTTTCAAGTCCTATTACAACGGCGGCGGCGTCTTCGTCGACGCACCCAAGTATAAAGAGCAGGGCGTCGAAATCCTTGCAAGCTATGCCGATCCTCTGGTGGTCGATGCTGGTGAAGGCGCAGCTGCCATTGTCTATTGCAAAGTTGGCCAAGGCGCAGCATTACTGACTGGTCCACACCCAGAGTTTGTCTTCCTGGGAAAGCCAGCGGACGACTGGTCACTGACGAAGCCTAGGTTTGCTCCAGCCAACCTCGAGTCAAAACCAGATGTTCCTGGATTCGCGGATGTCATCAAAGCTCTGGCCGAAGACGAGAAGCATAGGATGGATTTCATCAAAGCGTGTCTGACGAAACTTGGTCTTACTGTGAGCGGGGAGCAAAATGTACCCTCCCTCTCCTATATGCACCTGTCCTCATCCGACCCCGCAGACACCGCTGGTGTCATTTCGTCCTTGAGCCATCTCATCGAGAAGGATGAACATGGAGATGAGTTTCTCAAGGATGAAAATGATACCTTCCAAATTCTGAAACCATCCGTCTGGAAAATGGTTGACTTGACCAAAGCATTATCCGCGGAGCCAGAATCAAAGGAAAATGCTGACCAAAAGGATGGCAGCTCCGACCGGATAGTCGACTATAACACGGTGACCAAGAAGATCATTGTGCATGATGATGATCATCCTCAACCAAGGTCAACTCCGTATTTCAATCACTCGGCTTTCTATTCGAACCTTCACAATTATCAGTCTCAAACACCTGGCGCCGTGAATTTTGGTGCCCACCTGCTGTACGGTGAAGTCGTCACCTCGACCAATACATTGCTCGAGAAAAACACGAGGCTACTTCGAGTCCTTCCCCAAGGGTTCACCGCAACAGCGACAGTTCAAGTTGCAGGTCGGGGCAGAGGATCCAACGTCTGGGTATCACCGGCAGGAAGCTTAATGTTTAGTACCGTGCTTCGACATCCGATGGCGCAGATGCAGTCTGCTCCGGTCGTCTTCGTCCAGTACCTAGCGGCAATGGCAATTGTCAATGGTATTAAAACCTATGACGGTGCTCTCTACAAGGACATGCCAGTCAAGCTCAAGTGGCCCAATGATATTTTTGCTCTCGATCCAGCAAAGGCAAAAGAGCATGGTGGTGATAGGAACGAAAATTATACTAAAATTGGAGGCATCCTGGTCAACAGCCACTACAACAGCAAGGAGTACATCGCCGTTTGTGGGATTGGATTGAACACTGCAAACGTTGCGCCAACAACGTCGTTAAATCAACTCATTCAATTCCTTCCGCACAAGGTAACCCCATTCACGCTAGAAAAGCTGCTGGCTAGAATATTGACCGTGTTTGATGACCTGTATGCTCGATTCTTAGTCACGGGCTTCGACGAGGTCATGGAGCAAATGTACTACCGACATTGGCTTCACATGGATCAGATCGTTACACTTGAAGCTGAAGGCGGCCAACGTGCAAGAATAAAGGGTATCACCAGGAATTATGGGCTGTTGATCGCAGAAGAACTTGGATGGGAAGACCGTGAGACGGGTAGGAGATGGACGTTGCAGAGCGACGCCAATAGTTTCGACTTTTTCAAGGGTCTTGTTAAGGTAAGTGTTCTGGTGTGTCCAAGACCACCGAAGATGTCCTCCGCATGTAGGCTCATTTCTTGTTGTCAACATCCCCCTGGAGGATATCTAAAGGCTAATGATTATGCCTCTTCAGAGAAAGATGTGATGCATTCTTGAGGGGAACAAGCATGGTCGGAGCTCCTACATTCGCGAGTCGACCATATCCGACGGGCCATGATCCAATAACGCGAGTGTGATGCAAATCGAACCGGTTATGCGAGAAATAGATTTGTGTCTGCGGTCCGCGAAAGAGAGGAGGCACTACCGCTTCATCATTCATGTCACTGCATACTTACAACCCAGAAATATGACCGGCCAGTGGGCAGTCTGAGATGGCAGCAGACAAAATTGCTGAAGCGTACTACCGCAGAGGAAGTCGGGAGGCAGACATTGGAAACCTCGCTAGGAGGCACATAACAGTGCGACCTATCGTTTCTTCTTAGGATTCTAAATCAGACACGGCTTTGCATGAGCGAGGCGAGGAAATTGCAATCTATTGACACAATGGTCTGTGGATTCTATGTCCATGTGTCTCTCGCTCGCTTTCTCACATGTGAACTCGATGGTGTGTGGTCTGTAGCCTGGTATTTGTGGTTGGGGTCAAAGGGCTCGCTACCCAAGAAGAAACCCTTGCTCAATCATTCCCACACTAGACAACGGCAACACCGCCAGTTCCACGGACAAGGAAAAACGTTCTCAGCCATCTTTGCGGCAGAGGTCCCATTCTTCCCTCGAGCTTACAGACTTCGGGAACCGTGGACCTTGGGGCAACACCCAACCCCCGACCCCATGCTACGCCCATCACGCGTTGATTCAATATTTGACGTCCTGGCCAGCCCAGACCGAGCCGGCATTGCTGGCCTTGATCCTCAGCCGGCGCACGCGCTTGATGTCCTCTTCGTTGTCGTGCGTGAGATACCAGGTCCAGACATTGGCGATCCAGCTTGCGCCGATCGCGCCGGCACAGACGCCGAAGGATGTCTTGTATCCGTTGTGCGCGAAGCGCGATTGGAACAGCTGCGGCCCCACGACGCCGCCGACCTGGCCGATGCAGGATTGAAATGCCAGCGTGAATGCCGTGCCTGTCGTGCCTACGAGGCTCGCGGATCGCCCTGGTTGGTCACCAGGTGGTCAGCGAGCGACTTTTTTTCGGATTGAGAGGGAGGAGAGAGAAGAGGGGGAAAAAAGGGGGGGGAGGGGCGGAAGAGCTTGATGTTGTGACAGACAGTGTTTTGGGTAAAAACTTACATGCCCAGAATGGAATGAAATAGACCGAATAGAACGTGGTCCCGAATATGCAAGCGATATACGTGGCATATCGGTTCACATCGAAGCACAGGACGAGGAAAAAAGCCAGAGCAGCAGCACAGATGATCATGATGAATTGTGGCCGTGTCACATATGCTTTGCTCAGGAACCATCCGGCGAATATGATCGACAATACCGTTGCGGCGGCTGGGGGAATGTTGAGCAGTTGGTTCCTAGGCAGGCCGGCAAAACCAAGACTCGTCGTAACGGTGGGCAGCTGCCATTGCAGACCGTATCCGCCGAGATTCATCAGAATCTGAGACAGGCAGAAAGAATACGTGCGGGGATCTCTCAGGGACGCCCACACTTCTTTCTTGCTGAATGCCGCGTCATGAGTGCGAGGAGCGTTGTCCGTGAGTCGGAGCTCGAGGTATTCTTGCTCTCGCGGCGTGAGCCACTTCGACGATCGCTTAGATTTGGGATAGTCCGGAAGAACAAGGAACACAACGCCGGCAAAAAGAACAGTGAACAAGCCTTCCAAAAGGTAGACCCTAAGATTTTCACACTAGTCAGCTCTCATGGTGATGTCAAGGGCAAAAAGATAGGTCTGGGACATGGCTTACCATCTCCACGCACTCAACCCGCTTAGGCCGTTCATATAAGAAATGCCGTACGCGACCAGCGAGCCGACAATGCCCGCGCAGTTCTGGAACCCAAACATCCACATGATTGGTTTTCCCATTTCATCGCTGCGGTACCAACTGCAGAGTTGAGCCGCGAGACCAGGGAAGAGGCCTGCCTCCATCATTCCCAGGCAAAAGCGTGCGGCGTAGAGGCCTTGTTTGTTTCGTACTGCGGCGTGACAGGCCAGAACCTACGTAGCAAACCTGTCTGTTAGTAAAATTGTGGTGGACTCGGTGACATACCAGGCAGCGGCATGACCTACCAAACCCCAGCTAGCAATGATTCGAGACTGCCACTTTCGAGGCGTCATTTTCTTCAGCAGCAGATTGCTGGGGACTTCGAAGACGATGTAGCTGATCTGGCAACTGTCAGTCAGCGATATCACCTGCAAAGTTCGTATGGATCCTCAGAATCCCTCGACTTACAAAATAAATGGACTGGACCCAGTTATATTCATCCGCTGTCATATTCAATTCCTTTAGGACGTTGCGTGGTTCCCCAACTTGGAGGACTTTGACGGTCGCGGCGTTGGTGTAATCGACATTCTTGAGCATGTACATGAGTCCGATGAGGAGGAGGAATCGTCTGTCTACTTTACGCATGACCTTGCGGTCCTCCTCGGCCGTGAATGAGGAGAGAAAAGCCTCCCTGTCACTCTCTGGTGCTGGTCCAGCCGGAAACTCCACGATAGTTTGCTGAGGCCCAAGGCTGACGTCTCCTTCTTTTGAGTCTTTTGACTGCAAGTACAAGCTTGAGACAGCCATAGTTTGCAATAGATATGGCGACACGCCACACTATTCCAGTGTCCGGTGGTTTGAGCTCGAGGGATTTCTCTTGAAGAAACGGCCTAGAAGCGTCTGTGGAGAGTGAAGGTCGGCCGTTAATGGTGGCTCAAAGGAAAGTGTATAGGGCAGGGTGAATGATAAGTTCAGAAGATTGCTCTGCCAGGAGGCTCCTTGCAAGGACTTGGTGGCGTAGCGTGATAATTCCAAAGCTCGGAAGGGTTGAAGTTCTCGCAGGGTCGTGATTGAACAAGGGAACCGGGAAAGAAGAGAAGTCTTCTCACATCTTTTTGCCCCTGTCCTGGCCATCCGCACACGCGATGGCAGTTTTCCCTGCATTCTCGTCTAGGCTGTTCCGGAACCGTGGATCGACGAGAATGGAGAAGGCCGCCTCCAAACTACCAAGTTCCTTGTCGCAATCCGAAAATTTTTGTGCTTGATAGAATCGCTAGCGTTGGAAGCAATATGGATGGTGGTAAGAAGCCCCAAGTGAAATGACAAAACGGTCTGTAATGATATTGGTACCTGACCTGTATGCGTGTATTGCAAAGACGTACTTCGTAAACACCGGGACCAACGTTCGCATATGCAACGGGCTCCTTCGCTCCACTAATTGCTGGAGTAGTGAACATGTGAAGAAAGTGCTGAGGCATGCAGCGGAGGGCTGGGCAAACGCGGAAAAGGAACAGCTAAAGCTTCTCAGTCACATACCTGTCGTCAGCTTCCTGTCCCTGCAGCAAGTGTCGCAGACGGCCATCTGTCCTTTCGCACTTTTGACGGAGGACATGCCGAGGCCATTGACGGTTTGTGTGCGAAGACTTTGAGCACACCGTCAGGGGGAAGTATATTGTTTCCAATCTGGGGCTGATTCGCCCCATCATCACGGTCGAAGATTCCGCACTACCGCTCCCAGGGTTTGTGAATCGATGGGATGTGCATGGTGTCCTCCCTAACGAGGGCCACGCCAGGGCCGCTATCGGAGACAAAAGCTAGATCGCATAATATGGCAAGCGTGCTCTTCAATTTCAGTCTCACCAATGGACTTGACCAGGCTCAAACCAGGAGCGCGTTCGTGTTGCTATGTCGCCGCGATTCAACAGTTGGATGTGAGGGCGCTTGTTTCACTGCTATCGAACAGAACAAGCACGGAGCTCTTGTGTATATTATGGATGGAAAGCTCAAGAATGAGATATGCTCGGGTCGGGATGATTGAGACTGTCAATGGCAGGCTGTTGAGATAGGAAAGGAGAAGGAGATACCTACATAGCATGTACCTCATACCAAGCTCATACATCGTTGAATCTAATATTGGGCGAGTGCCAAGCCCGACAACGCGGGAAACCTCAACTACTTTTTTTCTGGCATTCGAGACGCGCCCTCACCGTCAACAAGGACTTGTCACCTGAAATTGCTCATCTGTCGATGCATCTGGCCATCTGTGTTGAAAATCATGGCCAGACACCAAATATCCGCCCTCTCCAGATGGCGAAGCAGAATATCTCAGGCTTTGACGGCATCCACAGTTCCGCACTCCAACCTCAGCGGTAACGTTGAAGTGCCATTCTCTTCTTCTTTCCTCTCCTCTTCAGCAGGCAATGTTTCCTCCTTGTACACGTCGTACTGATATTTGGCTCCTTCGTGATCGTGTCTGAGCCCCTTTTGACCCTCTCCGTATACTTTCTCGCGAGCTGTCAAGGGTTCGGCTTCAGCTGTCCTGGCTTCTGGATACAGGCCACGGTGTCTCAGCTCGGGAATCAACAGGTCAACTACGTCCTCAAATGTCCCCGGCGTGGTCACATAAGCGAGGTTGAATCCGTCAAGGTCTGCTTCTTTGATCCATCTTTCCATCTCATCCGCAACCTTCCGTGGAGTACCAACACCAACGGGCCCAAGGCCACCAATTGCAGCTTTTTCGGCTACGACCCTCGGTGTCCATCTCGGCACGTCAGGGCTTGTTGTTGTGAAAGCGTCCAGCATGCTTCTTACTTTATGAGCCTCTGTGGAATCTGCAGCAGTGATGTCCTGATCCAGCGGGATCTTGGAAATATCGATCCCAGTCCAACCAGAGAACAGCACGAGCCCCCCGATCGTGGAGGCATATTTCTTCGCCTCGGCGAACTTCTCTTGGGCCTCTTCTTCGGTTCGTCCGATGATTGGAGTGAATGTGCCAAAGAACTTGATCGATTGTGGGTCGCGCCCTTTCTCTGTGGCAAGTTGCCGAATCTTGTCGATCTTGGGCCTGAGCACTAGCGGACTATGTGAAGAGACAAAGATTGCTTCCGCGTGTGTGGCGGCAAAAGCAGATCCTGCGGGTGAAGTGCCAGCCTGGAAGAGAAAGGGTGTTCGCTGAGGTGAAGGATCCACAATATGTCGAGAGTCGAGGTTGAAATATTTGCCATGGTGATGGATCGTTCGCACTTTACTTGGGTCGATATACGTGTCCGTTTCGGGATCGGGGGCGAGCGCGTCATTCGCCCACGAACCCTCCCAAAGCCTTGGAAACGGAATGTTAGCAGCCATGCCAGTCAGCCAGCGTGATCTGAAGCTATGACTTACTTGTACAGGACTCTCAGATACTCATCAGCTTGCAGGTACCGCTCGTCATGGTCAATGGGGTTGTCAAGGCCGATGGCCTTGAATGCTGCCTTTTTCCATGATGTCACAATGTTCCAGCCAATGCGTCCATTGGTGAGATGGTCGAGAGTCGAGAAGCGCTTCGCCAGCAGGAATGGAGGCTCAAAAGACGTCGAGGCAGTGATGCCAAACGCAAGATTTTTTGTCACTGCCGCCATCGCAGAGATCGGCTGCGGGTTTCGCGGTCAGTTGTATATGATAACATCCACCGGATGGATTGGCCGACGCGAAACAACTTACAATTGTCGGATCCGTCATGGGCCATTGCGCAGCACGTCGGATGCAATTGTCGAGGCTGTCCTCGTACGTATCATATCCGCCATACGTGTCGGCGAGAAACAGTGCGTTGATATCCCCACGTTCAAGAATCTTCGCAAGTTCAATCCAGTAATCGAGTTTCCTCTTTGTTGCAGACTTGTCCTTTGGATTCTGTACATGATTTCAGCCCCATTGACCTCTCCGGGGCAGATCTCATGTCCTTGACTGTCGAGATGCTTGTCGCGAACCTACTTACCTTCCATTGACCAGGCGAAAGATGACCCACGGTCGACATATCGAACGCGTTGAGCAGGATTTGCTTCTTCACTGGCTGGTGAGAGCCATTGATCCCTTGGACGGAACCCATGTTGATGCCAGCTCAAACAACAACGTCAAGCAAATCGGAGAGAGATTTGGACTACCAAAAATTCACGCGTCGTCAAGAAAATACTATCTCCAAGTCTTCAGACCGCGTCCGGTCTCGCACTTGCTGCAAGAGGAAACATTGTACCCCCAAGCTGGGGTGCACATCATCATCAACCTCCTCCTCTCTTCCTCCCCACAACAGAATCGTCGGTTCCGAATCGCGACATAACTTGCAAAGAACACCAGCACAGCTGATATCAGTTATTGGTACGTGTCTTTCTCCGCCCTGAAAACAACATTTTGAGCGGGTGCTATGGCGTGATTTTAGGTCCGATGCCATGATACCGCGTGGACACTGTTTAGTTGTTCGCTTGGAGCCCACACATCATGGCAACTATGCGATAAGGAAAATACTGGAACAGCTAACTACCTAGGTACAGTACCTAACGAGCCAGTCTCGTGCAAATAGATAACATGATTACCTCGTTTTTAGAGCAACGCACGCAAGGTTCGCGGTTTCAAATGGCACGCCGTCTTGTTTCGTCATTTGTATGTTACGGGTTGGTCAGATCTGTGGGGCGAATACAAAACATACCAGCATACATACATGCCTACCTAGTCGCCAGAAGGGCGCGTACCAATACCACATACCCACGACCATCGAAGCCACCTCCACTGCAAACTTTCCCTCTTTGACGGTACGTGGACAGGACACGGATGGACCATGATCTCCGTGGCTGTCATTATGTTAATACATCGGTCTTGGACACTGGGATTTCGTTCGATTCGAGCTGTCTACTCCATCGGACTGCACGATAGCCGAGTCTAATATCCATGTACGTCCCGAGATCCTAGAAACCACAAAAGGGATCCAAACACGCTACATATCTGCTCAAGCTCCCATCACCTTCTCAGAGGGCAGCTGCTGGATTAGGTGAGGAGCGTCGTCGGCCGGCGACTCCAGAGGCTCTGTGGACAGATTGCTGCGGAAATAGTTTTCCTCGATGTCCTCGGCAGGAATTCTGGTAAAGAATAATACCTTGGGCGTCAGCGTACGTTATTGGAAATCGTCAAACTCAAATCCAGGAGGGAGAGGAGGAGAGGAGAAAACAATGGCCATGTTGCCGTACCTTCGCCTCTTGATGTACCACGAGATCCAGTGTGCGAACAAGATCAAGCAGAGGGCGTTGCCGAGCACGAAGGGATAGCCCTTGACGAACCTGGGCGCTTCGATCGTCTTGAAAACCAACAACGGCGTCCAGGCGGTCGTGGATTGCGCCACCGTGTTGATCAGCACCAGCGTGAACGATCGCTCGGCGGGAGAATATCGGAGCTGCGTGTTGACCCATCCGTAGAGTACGCTAGACATGGCGACGGCCGAGTAGGTGGTCATGAAGGCGAACCACAGCGCCGACTCGGGTACATCCCATATTACGAGGATGATCAATCCAATGCAGTTCCAGATGTGGGCGACCGTGATCGCCCACGCGGGACCCCAGAGGAGGTCCGAGGAGAAACAGACGAAGAGGACATAAAAGATGCCCAAGGCCGGGGAAATGGCCCCGAGCTGGTTCAGACGCCCTGCCGGGTACCGCTTCAGACTCTTGAGCCACAGCAGATATCCGCCCGTCGACGTGTTGATGCTTCCGTTCCAGAAGAAGACGTCGAGCAGCAGAAATGCCCACACTTGCCAGGAACCGGCCACTTTTCTCAGAGTGCCAAACGTAAACCGGCCAGATGTTGCGTGCCTGGTACGTTGAAGGCGCTTCTTCGCAAGAACGAGATCATGTTCCTTGAGGAACAGTCGGTTCGGAATATCTGGAGTCCCAGGAAGAAGGAAGTAGCCTAGGAAGCCGACGGGAATGGTTATCAGAGCACAGATGATGTACCTGTCAAGCTGGGTTTAGAACTTCCTCCAAGCCGCCGCAGACGAGTGCTAACTTACATCCATCGCCAGCCTGCCAGACCGGCGACTCCTTCCAACTGCTCTGAAGCCGCGGACTGCAGGAGCGCCGCAGTAAGCGTCCCCAGCGTCAGGCCAACATAGAAGAAACCCCCGCGGCGAGCGATTTCATTTCCACGATACCACGAGCCAAAGATGAAATGGACCGCAGGGAAATACGCAGCCTGTCACGGCTCCTTAGTAAAGGACTTGACAATAGTGTGAGGATGGGCCTTCCCCTTACCTCGAACCAGCCCACCAAAAAAGCGGTATGCCATCAGTTCAGCATAGCCATTCACCCGATATTGCAGCAACGTGAAGATTCCCCAGCAGATGTCGAGCAAGGGGACTAGCCAGCGCATTGGTATGCGAGTGAAGAGGAACAGGAACGGAACCTGACCCAGAACGGCGCCCACAACGTAGATGGTCTGGACATGTACTAGTTGGTTCCCGTTGAAGCCCTGCAGAGAAGTTAGAGGTTTGGAGTGACAAGATTGAAGAAACATATCAAAACCCACTCACCAGATCTTCCTTGAGACCCCCAACATATGCATTGTCTAACCCTCCGTTAGCACACCATAGCCAGGCCTTTGGATGTGTATCTCACTAATGTTTGCCTGATCGATGTACTTGACCCAGTATGCAAGAAACACATACGGCACAATCAGCAGATCGAGTTTGGTGATGAGCTTGCGTTCCTCTTGGGTGTCGTCTGGGGAGAACCAGTGGATTTGGTACCACTTTCGAGATGCTGCCGTCTTCTCCATATCAGATCAGGGCTTTTTCAGATCATGCAACGCCTACACATGTGATTTACCTACCCTTGCTAAACATCTCTAGGGGGAATTTCCTTCATATAGAAGAGGACGATCGTGACCACTCAGGAATGATCCGACAGCTCAGCATCATGTCCGCTTTTGACGACATGTCCCAGTGGAATGGCGAATCCAGTACCTACGAGGGCTAACGCGACCGAAGAAATTCCCTGTTTGTTAGTCGCATTGCCATAGGATAGGGTTCTAGACTTTTGACCGTCGGCGTGTGTTCGTGGAAACATGGATCTGGCAGCAATGGATTACGCTCTCCATCTCGTAACGTCGTGTAAAAATGCCAGGTAACGAGTGCGGGCCACGTTGGAAATGAAAAACAGAAAAACAACCAGAAAACATCAAATGTTATCATGTCGTCAAACTCCGATTGTTTGCGCTTACACGATGGTGTCAATTAGTGGGTCGTGTTCGTGATGGTTCCTCTCTCTGCCTTGCTCAACCTCATCACAATGTAGAACGCGAAGCGTTGCACAGGTGAGGGTCCGGGACAGCGCCCACGAACAAAACTCGTAAATGCAACAGCAGCAGCCGCCGCCGCCGCCGCAGATAAACGTGTACGTTAACCAAGTCTCATTTCGTTCCGGTGCTGGGCAAAGGGATCGAAGAGGCGCGAACAGGAGCGCCCTTTTTGAGAATGGCCAAAGTCGACGTTATAGATCCGTTCCATGTCAACGCGGTCAACAAAGGGGAACTCAACAGCCCCCGGTATCTTGAACAGACGCAGTCAACGCCGAGGCTGAAAGAGGCTGTGGTAGTCGTACAAGAGAGCAATCATGCTCCAGCCTGGGATGATGTTGCAGCAACCGTTGAGGAGCCAGCAAAGAGCGAGACACATCCTGGGGACCGCCCTGCCAACATCCTCCATGAAGCATATCCCAAATCAAATCTGCAACTTCCTGATCATCACATCGACGATGCCAGAAGTCTGAAAGTCGTCATCATCGGCGCCGGGCTCTCTGGGATTCTTGCGGGGATCCTGCTGCCGGTTAAAGTGCCCAAGCTTGAACTTACAATCCTCGACAAGAACGACGATGTGGTACGTTTTGTTGCAAAAGTTGGCTTCTCTCCTCTGAGTTTACTAACCCACCGGTGCGGTAGGGAGGCACATGGCTGGAGAATATATATCCGGGTGTCAGATGTGATATACCCGCACACGTCTATCAGTCGACTTTTACTCCATATACTCAGTGGTCGCAACAGTTTGCTGAAGGCCATGAAATTCTGGGGTACTGGCAAACTCAGGCGCGAAAGTACGACGTATACAAGTACGTGAAGTTTGCCCGTCGTGTTCAGGATGTTAGCTGGAGTGACGAAGAGGCGCAATGGACCGTTGCCGGAGTGAATCCCAAGACGGGGAAGGCGTTTGAAGAAAAGGCAGACTTTGTCTTGCCGGCGATAGGTCGCTTCAACGACTGGAGGCTCCCCGCTTATCCAGGAGTGTCAGACTATGCAGGACATCTTCGACATACTTCCAATTGGGATCCGTCGTTTGACCCTACGGGGAAGAAGATTGCCATTATCGGCAATGGAGCCAGCGGCATTCAGGTGCTCCCAAATCTGCAGCCGATCGCGAAACACATTGACCACTACGCCCGGAGTAAGACCTGGATCGCGGGTTCCTGGGCAGGCGACGAGCGCACCTTCGAGCCCCAGTGGTATTCGCAAGAGCAGAAGAAGGAATTCCTCGACCCCGAGAAATATTTGAAGTTCCGGAAGGAATTGGAAGACAAGTACTGGCGACGGTTCGCGTCGACCTTTCGCGGCTCCGAAGAGAACCTCAAGATGCGAGAGCGATTCATCGAGATCATGGCGCAGAGGCTGGTGAAGAAGCCGGAGCTGCTCGACCTCCTCGTCCCAGACTTCAACCCAAACTGTCGTCGCCTCACGCCGGGACCGGGATACCTCGAAGCCTTGACCGCCGACAACGTCACGTTGATCCAAGATCCCATCAAGCGCTTTACCACCACTGGGATCGAGACCGCGGATGGCCAACATCGTGAGGTAGATGCTATACTCTGCGCCACGGGTGCCGCCGTTGACTTTATCCCGCCCTTCAACGTGCGTGCTCGAGGAGTGAATCTTCGAGAAGCCTGGAAGCCGCTCCCTCCGGGAGAAAAGGTCGACGACGCGAGACATTTCGGCTGGCCGTACACGTACCTGGGCCTCGCCGTCCCGAACATGCCCAACCTCCTGTTCATCCACGGTCCTCACGGCGCCGGCCCGTCAGGGACCGTGCCGCACAGCGTCGAGGTCCAAGTGACGTATTACGCCAAACTGCTCCGAAAGGTCTCGACGCAGGGTATCAAGGCCATGTGGCCATCGAAACGAGCGGCGGACGACTTCGTCGCCTACGCGGACGCCTTCTTCCCCACCACGGTGCTGACAGACAACTGCAGCTCGTGGGCCAACGGCGGCAGGCCCGGCGGGCGCGTTCACGGCATTTGGCCCGGGAGCGCAGGACATGTCACCTTGGTGCGAAAGGAGCCGAGGTGGGAGGATTGGGAGTATGAATACTTGCACCAGAGCGGCAACCGCCTCATAGGCTGGCTTGGGAATGGTTGGACTAAAAAGGAAAAGGACGGCAACGAGGACATGACGGCCTACCTGGAGCTCGAGGGCACGGTGGATCTAAGACTGCTGCATGAGAAATGGTGGGAGTAAATGTAGTTTGCCGCGATAGAGAGGTTGGAATATAGAGGCCGAGGCCGAGAACTCACAAATGAGACCCGATCAGTGATTCATTCTAGCTCTATGTATGTTTTTGGGAAACGCTATGCGACAACTGTTCGGGGCCAGCAGCCCCGGTCTCTCTGGGTCCATTTTTTCACTTGACCCTGACCACCAGCCTACCGCCACTGACTTCACCCCGCCGCATCGAGTCCAAAGCGTCATTGATGGCTCCGAATCCCTCCCTCACTCCCAAGATGGTAGGAGGCACCAAAAGACCTTGTGATAAGAGTCGCTCGAGCCAGAGCATCAATATTTCCCCTAGTTCCGGGATCTCGTGGAATATCTTAATGGGCACGCTGTGGAAGACAACATTGGGTGGCGGCGATGCTTTTGGCAACCCGGTAAGACCTACCAGATGTGCTGACGGAAGAGCAGCATCTGTTCCCAGTGTCGGTGAGGTCTCCGGGTCGTTGGTTGATGCGGAAGACCGTTGCAAGCATCGCATCAAGTGCTTTGCTGTGTCTCGGCCGACCGTGTCCACGGCAAATCGGAGACTGTTCTTTGTCACGGACCTTGCGATCTCGATGGCTCTCTCAGGGTCGTGGTTGTCAACCACGATATCCGGTTTGGTTCTCGAATCGGAGGACACACTCAGGGCATGTTTGCGGCAGTCCATGATGCTGATTGTCCGTAGTCCCATAAGCCTCGCAATCTGGTTCAACATGAAAGCACTGGTGGAAGAACCTCCCCAGATTGTGAGCCAGTCTCCCGGTTTAGCCTTCTCAGCCTCGTTGATCCCATTCAAGCATTCTGGCCTGATGTCCTCCGGAAGCCGCTGGGGGTCCAGTCCTCTCACTATGGAAGGAAGGTCCGGTCCGTTTGTCACTTTGGAGAAGTCGAGTCCAGTACAAATACCGAGACAAAGAGCTGCAGCGACGAAGGCCACGCCGAGCGCAGCTCCTGACTCGGGGGCAATATTTGGTGGTAGGCGGCAAGTGTTGAAATCGGTGGCTACAACGCATTGCTGGTAAGCAGCTTTGCGGAGGTCCCGGTAGTCCGTGGAGATGACAATGACCAAGTCACCAGGTCTGAACCGCGACTCCCGTCTCGGACTTATGGCGACCTCTCCAACAAGTTCGCGCCCTGATATGTAAGGGAGTTGTGGAATACCGAAATTGAAGTCCCTGGTGTATGTCAGTAGACCAGACTCTCTGAATACGCTCGAAGAGGCGAGGGGTTTCTTTACGGTGCCTTCCAATCGATCGGGTTGAGACCAATCACCCTATTCCAGACCAGAAGTTCTCGGTTATCCAAAAGTGACGGGATCGGATGGTCTAGCACTTCTGCGTAAGGCTGCTTGGGACCATGGAGCAAAAGGGCACGCTGCTGCGTGGAAATGCTGGGTAACGACGTAGATGACGATTTTGACGATGGGTTCTCAATCTTTTGGACGGAGAATTCAACAGCGATGTCTTTGGTTGTGCTTGTTGTTCTCAGGGACCGGAAGAATCGAACGAACCCCATGACTGATGTAGGGCGAAACGATTGTGCTGTTCGAGCCCAAATGCAAGATATGTGGTCTGCCGGATCTTGAAGTCACTCCAAGGCTTGAGACAACTAAACTGAAAAGCAAAGTCGGATAAGAGCCACCCTAGGCATATCATGGTAAGCAATATCGGTACGAGTCTTGTAAAGACTCTGACACCAGATTTTCAACCCTCGGTGTTTTGCGGATGCAGGTATCGTGTACCGCCTGGTAAGTAAGGAAGGGGGTTATCCGCTTACCTGTACCATAATACTTTGCACATGGTCCTTCACGCTGGGATTGACCAAGAGTATGTCGTGCTCAGACATCATGGTCGCAACATAATCAATTCCTCATGGATTCTTGGTTGCGGTTCCACACGAACATGTCCGCTTGAAATCCACCAGAGGATCTTTTCCGCTCGAGTGGGCAAGCTTTTTTCTTCTTCTGTCTACTTAGGTCTTCCTTGAGCAGGCTGGCCAAGCAACAAGGTCGATAACGAGAGGACGCAGTTTCTCCACTTGGATCCCTTCCAGAAGCATTTCGAGAGGCTGAATTGGGAAAAGTGCGGAAATGGTTCTCGTATTGCGTGCTACCGAACACAATGACGCGATCGAGTTTCTCTGTGCAACAGTCAGCATCGCACAAATGACCGGAAGCGTGCGTCAAGGATATGATCTGGCCGAGAAGAGGCTTTTATGTTGACCTCCATCACCCTTGGAAAGTCTGCCAAATGTCAAAGCATTGAGGTGAGAGAACGGTATCATCGAGATGTCAACAATTAAGGCTGGGAATGCGCAGGTGAATGGCAAGGCGCCCAAGAAGAACCTCATTCTCAATGCCTTCGCCATGAACACGCCCGGCCATCTTTCTCCTGGCCTTTGGCGACACCCACGAAACAAGACATATAACTATAAGAAATTGGATTTTTGGACTGATCTTGCACGGCTCCTCGACGAGGCTGGCTTCCATGCTCTGTTTCTCGCCGATGTCCTCGGGGCTTATGATGGTAGGTCTTGGAGATGACCGTCTTCGGCTGAATCACAAAATGAACGTATGAACACAAGCTGAAGGAAAATTAGTTTATAAAGGTCCAGCCAACGCGGGTCCCGCGCTGGAATCTGGAGCCCAGTTTCCCGTCAACGACCCGCTGTATTTGGTGCCCGCCCTGGCCGCTGTGACGAAAAACCTTGCCTTTGGAATCACTGCTAGTACGACTTATGAGCAACCATATTCTCTAGCGAGACGATTTTCGACGGTGGATCATCTAAGCAACGGGCGTGTGGCTTGGAATATCGTGACGTCCTATCTTGATAGCGCGGCTCGTAATTTTGGCCTCTCCCAGCAGGTTGAACACGATACGCGGTACGAAATCGCGGACGAGTACATGGAAGTCTTGTACAAGCTGTGGGAGGGAAGCTGGCGTGAGGATGCCGTTGTGGCGGATATAGAGAGCGGTGTCTATGCATTGGGTGAACGGGTTCGACAGATCAACCACCAGGGCAAGCATTTCAACGTCCCAGGTCCTCACATTTGCGAACCTTCTCCGCAACGTACGCCCTTCCTCTTCCAAGCAGGGACTTCCAAAAGTGGACGAGCATTTGGTGCCAAACATGCAGAAGTGATTTTTGCCGGAGCGCAATTGCCTGAAAAACTGAAAATTTCGGTTGCAGCCATTCGTCAACTGGCGCGGGAGGCTGGTCGAGATCCATACCATGTCAAAGTTATTGCGAGCATGTGCGTCATCGTCGCCGAGACAGACGAGGCTGCCAGAAAGAAACAGGAAGAGTTTCTTTCTTATGGGAATCGGGAGGGAGCCCTGGCCCTCTTTGGTGGCTGGACGGGAGTGGACCTTTCGACTTACTCCGAGGACGAAGATTTTCGATTCGTCAAGATGCCTATGATTAACTCTATCATCAACGGATGGGCAGACACCGTTCCAGGCAGTGAGAATCTGAAATGGAACAAGGCGCGGATCGCGGAATACTTGTTGCTGGGAGGAATGAATGCCAAGATTGTGGGATCTCCCTCAACAGTGGCCGATGAACTGGAGCGTTGGGTGGAAGTAGCCGACGTGGATGGGTTCAACCTGTCTCATGTGGTGAACCCTGGCTCTTTCGAAGACATTATCGAATTCTTACTGCCCGAGCTTCGGGCTAGGGGTATCTTTCGAGCTGGGGTTGAGAAGGAAGGGGTGACGGCGCGCGAGCAGTTCTTTGGCACGCCGTGGCTGTTGGACGACCATCCAGGGAGTCGGTTCAAATGGGACGTCCATGATGAGGTGCCTCGATATCTGCAGGCCCAGTAGAAGGTTGATGTTGCACCGAAGGGATTGACATACAATTGGTCTGTGCTGCTGTCCAGCATCAATGGAAAAGAAACGATAGCTCGGAGCATACCTCAACGGGTTTCCGAGGAGTTCTCTTTTGACAAGGACCAGGCGAGGACCAGGGTAGTAGGGTTGGCAGTCAGACTCAAGACTGGATCTCACCAAATGGTAAAGCTCTCCCGGACTTGACACTGGGGACATCCAAGTCTTTGAGACATATTGACGGCCATCGGCGATGCGATGCGACTGATGCAGGACGGAGGACCTATGTCGGCCTGGAAATTCCCTAGGTAGGTTAGTAAAATGCGCCCCAGGACTGTGCAAGGTGTGGTGTTGATGCTGTACAAGTAGTCAGTAGTGCCGATAGGTGATAAACAACTGAGCGCGATCGGCAGCTCGGCAGGTAGGCCGAGGCTGTTCTCAATTCGATGACGTTAGTGATGTCCCCTCTCTTATTAAAACTGCCTACTTGGGTAACTACGGAGTACCTCTAACAAGTACTTGTAGTAATAGGTAGCGAGGGAGGCACTCCACCCTCTGTGCCCTGTATATCGGCCTGATGGCTTTTTTACTCGCACAACTCACCAAACCAAGTAATAGTGACTCCGTGCCTTGATCAGAGCAACTTCACCGACATCAGTGATTCTCCTCCCCATGCTCCACCTCAGTTGTTCCATCATTCAGCTAGTCAGTGGCCAAGTTGTGATTCCTGACATCAACACCGCCTTTTGTCCTGGTTCCTCCAACCACCGAGTTGAAACTCGAACTGCTGTGGCTGTGGCTTGCACTTGTTCTCGTCTGTGACATGTGACCAGTCAAGTCGCACACTGGGGAGAAAAGAGCCCCCACGCACAGACGCCAAATATTGCGGCAACCTCAGACACATGAATACGAACCGTCAACACGAACAATACTGGTGCCAGGGCGTTAGTGAAGCCTTTTATCATCAAGAACAACAAAGCTTTGACGTAAGGACATGCAGCCAGCATGCGAATGGAAATCCCTTGCACCACGCGACCAGGTCAATCAGTGGGCCTGGTTGCCCGCTTTTCAATGCCAATACTGCTCATGTCCTCGATGGCGGATCCCTTTGGTTCTGCCCCCTGTCCATGTCCACGTCCCCCGTGTGCCAGCTTTCGTGTATGTATGCCGCAATTCCTGCAGTCTTCTCGATTCCACCTACTGGCCACGAGTCTCAGCCAAGCCATCATTGGCCCGTATAATAGTGAGCGTCTACGGTTCCGGGTGGCGCTGCCGAAAATGCAGAGTGGCAATACTGCCTTGGTCATTGGCAATGTTCCTGTCACCCTAGAACATCACTTCTCCTCACCAACAAGTTGACTTGGCTATCTTCGATGCTGTCTCGTCCGGCAGAGCTCGTGGAGATCGGATTCTTCCTTTGCTCTACTCGTTCTGGGCATGGGCACATTGTCGTTATCAAAGGCTCGCCCAACACACCGGGAAAAGGGAAGCGTAGGCTGTCCTGGCTAGGAACCCATTTTAGCCCGTCCTTCTCGCATCCAGCCTTGCACTTCAAATGGGAAAGAGGAGCAATTGGCCTCCGGATTCCAGGGTCCCCTCAGACTTGCATACGGGCCGGCAACCGTCACACCAAGCTAGAACGCACATCCTCGCACTTCAATTTTCCTGCATTTCGCCTCCGTGGTGACGCACAGACCCTTTGCTGTCTTTCGGTTCGTTTCCTGCTCGCTCAACCTCGAACCACTCGCTACTTGCGCCAGTAACACAGCTCAACCGTAAGTCCTATCGCTGTTCCGATTCGTCGCTGTAAAATAGACCTATCACTTTGGAATCGATTGGGTTTTTTGGCTTTTGGCGGTATCGAGCAACTATTAAAAGGCGCCTTTTCTCTCCATGCTCAGTAAAGGAGGCCAGCGTCTTTTAGGGCTGCTCGGTGCACATTGGCCTTCCGCCTTTGTGCTTTGCTTCTGATCTTGCCCCATGGAGACCGTTTTCATTACCATCCACGGTCAGCACATTCCTGGATCCAGCTTGTGCTTTACTGATAGTGCTGCTAGATTTATCCCAGGATGCCCGAATCAGGTATTGTTCCGACTCGGTCGAGGACATACTGGGCTACTTTCCCCACGAGGTAACGGGTAGATCATGCTGGGATTACTTCCACCCAGACGAGATTCCCTTTGCCAGGGCCATCCATGACCGTGGCATTAGCCTTGACAAGGCGGCTGTGATGAACTATTGCCGCATCAGGCACAAGGATGGTCACTGGGTTGGGTGTGAATGCGTGTTCACTGTGGTTCATGATGTCCTTGTGGCCAGTACTGCCATCTACCGCCGGGGACCAAAAGCAAGACGTACGTCCAACTTCCTCCTTCTCAATGCAAGTCATTGTGACTGATTCAATCAGAGAGGGCGCTAGATGGAGCCGGCATCCGGCGAATCTTCTCCTCTTCCCCTCGGGATCCCAGATACCATATGTTGTCATATCTGTCTAACAAATTCTACGAGGAGCCTGCTGCTCATTTTCCAGAGCCGCGGGCAGCACTCTTCCTCAACCGCTTCTCACGGACCTCCACCGTCATGTTCGCCACAAATAGCATCACCACCATTCTGGGTCTTCAGCCATCAGAACTGATTGGAAAGAGCTTCTACCACTGTATCGACCAGAGTTGTCTTCAAGACGGCGTCAAATGCATCGAAAGCGCCAAAGCCAACGACTCTATCGCCTACTTGAGGTTTTGGTACCAGAACCCTCTGCAAGTGGATAACAGGGCTGATGCTGAGGCTGTTGGTGACGAGAGCGATGAAGACGACGATGGTGGTGTTCCTTTGAGGCCCGGCACTCGTTCTGGTTCTAGTGTCTCGATGGCGGATGCTTCAACTCCTCGCCAAACCGAAGATGCCGCGCACGTCACTGATCATCAGACGTCGAATGCTCCTGCACAAGCCTCCACTTCTCAGTCTACTAGGGCCCTACAGCAGCCTCAAACTGATGTGCAGAATGTCCAAGAATCCAGTCAGAATCACATCAGTCTTGCACCTCCCACAGGCACAAACCCCACTAACCAGCCACCATCATCCGACACGAGCACGGGTCTCGCAGTCAACGCGCGCGAGACAGCCTCCGACCTAGAAACTTCCAACAGCTCATCTCCATCGCAGGACAGGCCTGGCAACGTCAATGCCGAACGATTGGAGCTTGAAGCTGTGGTTTCGTGCACTTCAGACGGGCTTGTTGTCATCCTTCGCCGCGCAAAACCGTTGGTCCCTCATACACTTGGGGCGACAGAGGCTCCATATTATGCCAACGGACTGTTCGCATCACCCTGGGCGCCGGAGCCAGTTATGCCTCGTGCGGTACAGCATGCTGCCATGGCTCCCTCTACTTCTTTCCCGTCCGCGGACGCGCCCGAGTCAGGGTTCATGGCTGCCATTCGCGAAGTTGCGGTCTTTGCTTGGTCACTCACTGGTATCAACGGCTCTCTCGTGCAATATGCTCGGGGCAACGCGGCTCCGGAGGCATTACCGCCAGACGGTCTGCCTATCTGGGATCCCAAAGCTGACGTTGATCCGCAAGCGAATGAGTTGTACAACGGCTTCTTGGGCAGTGCGCATCGCCCGTTTGCTGGGTCTTCTGGTGAGTCAAGCGGGACGAAGAAAGACGAGGAATTGGGCAGTAGTGATGATGAAGTCCTCTGGAAGAGAGCACCGACACTGACGCCCTGGAGACGACCCAAGAGAAGAGGCCACCAGGATGCTTTTGGAGGGGAGGAGAATGATGGAGTGGATGGCGGGAATGAAGACGGCAGGAGAAAGAAAGCCACCAGATCGCATTCTAGCTCGGGACCCAGTACAGGTTCCGGAGGCGCCTCTGCTGCAGGTTCTTCTTCCGGCTCAACCTGATGACCTTCCCTCGGCGTTTGCAATTTATAGTGTGGACGGGCTCCTGCAAGCACTGTCTTGGAGAAGCAAGTGGAGTAACTGACGAACTGGGTACACATTCATTGACGAGGACGACGATGACGACGCCATGATCCATCAAATTTGACAACTAGTCTGGGTTTCGAAGTACTATCACATATGACCTGTGTGGCACAAAATTCTTTGACTACTCCGTACAAGCACCACAAGTAGACCGAATTGTAGCTGTGTGTCGCGAGTGTTGTTCACATGCCCGGCACGTGTTTTCGCGTTTCCGACGCGATTGCCAGAGACTATGATTTTGGTGACGCTTCATACTTTCGAGTACTCTCTTGACTTTGGCTTTGAGCCACAAACCTACTCCAATACTCTTATCTGTGACTTCGTTATACAGTGGAATTGACTCTCTGGCAATGCGAGATGCCTCTTACCAACGACAAGATGAATGCTAAGCAATATGTTCAAAATCGTGAATCTGTTGCCCATCAAGCCCGCCCGGAGAAGCGATCATTGACACCGCAGCCGAATTCTGGACGTGAACGGTCGCAACATCGTCAAGATGAAGCTTGTCGCAAAGTCCAGCAATCAAGTCACAGCAAAGAAAACAACGAAGTCATCAGTCGCCGAGAAGCCGCAAAGCTGAAGCTAGAAGTCCCGAATACACTGACGAATTCGAGTTCAAAGCTTGCTCAGCCAGCAGGACATGGTGCTGCCCAAGAGCGAGCCGTGGTTCAGCAAAGCATATCTTCTCGCCCTGCACCAACTGCAGGACACCGTCACAATGTGTGTACATCTTGTTGTCCAAGAATGGTTTCACCAGCTGACCCAGTTCTAGGCCTTCGACGATACTCAAAGCATCCATTTTGATGATTCAATGAGCTTGGCCGAAGAGAAGAGTGGGCGCTCGAAGCCCTCCTTCAGCTTTCACCATGGTGGGAACATGCCACCTATCTGGAACGACGATCCTCCTTTCTACCCTCCTCTCAGTCCTTTTGAAGGCTCAAAATTTGTATTCGGGAAACACGAGAAGGCCTCAGCACTGCCTCCAGATTGGCAAGCTCGAGTGGATGCTGAAAGACTCAGGCAGGGCTTCGATGCAGTGCATGGCACACGGTTCGCTCACAATACTGGCCCGGCGAACTATGGGAAAGATGACCAGGAGGAAGAGTCCGAACAGGACGGTGACATCGAAGAAGGAACGTCTATTGCAGAAAACACGCCCTCACGCGTTCGAATGGCTCCTGGGCTTAAGGATAGACCTAATCCCGGCAAAGAGAAAGTAAAGAGGGGGACCAGGGCTGAAGAACCGACGACTCGCCTTTTGCCAAACCACAGGAAGTCTCCCAGTGACGCTACATCGGCTGTCGTGGTCGAGCCTTCGAGCAGACAGCCAGTCAACCGCTTCAATGTTTACAAGTCCCTCGAGGCAGACGCTGAAACCGGACCCCAGGACCATCTTCATCCGACTATCCAACAGCCTCAGTCGCATGCATCACTGGTTCATCCGCCAGCCTTTTCTTCCAAGATGTCTTCTCTTCACGAATCGTCTTCTGATGAAGAGCAACCTCAAGCAATACATGCCTCAAACTCTCCGCGACTAGCCTCTAAACGTCATTTCCCAGATTTAGACCTAGACTTCGACCCAGAAGTCCTCAAAACCAAGACCATGGCGGACCTTGACGCAATCCCTTTCACAGCTGACCCCCGATCGGGCGCATCAGAGCCTGCCCTTGATGCAAATGGCACACCAATGAGTCTCTCCGCCAAACTCACGAACCTAACTAAAATGCGTCTCGAAGACCAACGATACCTCTTCAAATCCCTCACCGACACGGAGCGGGAGCAGACGGCAGAGTGGTTTGTAGAAAAAGTCAAGGCCAATATGCAGAAGCTGATGGCCGTGCGGTTGGAGAGGAGGAAAATCGCTCTGAAGTTTGAGTGGGAAGTGAAGAAGAGGGAGAGGCAGGTGGAGGTGAAAAGGGGAGATGTGGACCAAGAGTTAGCTGAACTTAAGAAGGGGGGCGGAGAACTGATTAGGGGGAAATCACCCGCAAAGTGAAATTCTGTGTGCCGTTGTTGTCGTCTTTGTCGTTTCCAGCAAGCGGGGACGAAATTGTACAACAAAAAGAGGTGTTGACTGGACGGCGTTAAATCTGGACTTGATCAACGATGAAGCATGCTTCTGCTCCCACCGTTGAAATTTTACCACGATGTCATGACGGAAAAAAGAAAAAGAAAACAAAAGGCGGAGGTGTGCTCACCACAACGACTCGATGATTTCACGACATACATACATACGGATATACGGGGCCTACACACAAACCTACCTACCTCTCTAAAGGAGCAGCCACAGACAGTACAGACCTCTCCGACCAACTACTACCAGCGGGGAAGGAGAAGAAGACAGGAAAAGAGGTAGAGAACGAACACCAGAAAGAGGAAGAGCGAGAGGTAATAGACCAAACCCACAGCCACAAAATCGAACAGAAGAGTTCGGATCTGAAACGACTGACTCAACAAGGGAGGGAGCGCGAACGAGCGATGGCCGCCACAGCAGCGGCTCGGAGAATGGGGCCCATCATTCTCGCTATGCTTGTGGGTTCTTATCTATTGTTACTTCCCGGACGCCCTCGAGGTGCGAGTGTAAGTGAGTAGGTACATACATAGGTACCTATGTAGTAGGGAGGCAACTCCGTCCCGATGCGATTCTCCCTTGTAGGAATAGTAATAGTATAATCTAATTTGGCTCGAGGGATATATGTCTGGTGAGCGAGTGATACCGGAGAACATAACGAGTGAACCAAGAAAGACGGGTACAAGAGACTTCGAAACTTGGCTTAGACTCTTCTAGAGCCCGGTGACCCCTGATACACTTTCTATATATCTGTCCGGGTATTATCTGCCGGGTAATTGACCGTGAAGCCATCAGGTCCATGGGTACCTGCTCTATCTTTGGCTTCATCTTTCAATGCCGGGTGGTTCGACTAGCATCGAGCCACAAGCAAACCAAAAAGTCGCTTGGCCTCACTCGAATCGACTTGGATCCGTAGGGGACGTTACTGACTGAAATCATCTCATCTCCCAGCCATGGAGCCGGAGTTCGCCCTCACCTGTCACGTTCCATGAAGAGTAGGCACTGCTCTGTCAGCAAAGAAATCCAGCTGAGATTTTTTGAGCTCGAATCTCAGAGACTTCTGCTCCCATGACGGTATTGAAGGCGTTGGAGCCAGTAAAATCATGCCACGAATGGCAAAGCGCCGTATTATTTCGCTAGGAGACTTGAGGATTGGATCGCCGACAGAATGTTCCAGGCAGTGTTGCGGTGCACACCACATCCGTCGCTCCTGGAGGCCTTCTCTGAGTCGCCTGGGGTTGGCTTCCAAAAGTTCCTGTGAGATAAACAATGGCTGTAACCATTATAGCCGTCAAGACTTGCCTTTTTCGCTTGTGGTTGTATGTGTCCCAGCTTCTGTCGTGTCGTTTGCCTCGTCCGCATCCATCTTGGTTTCGTCCTGAGCCTTGACCACCAGCTTCCCCAGCACTTTCGCTAGTCGCTGGTAATCTGCAAGCAATTCCTGCACCTCGCCAAGCTTCAACTCTTTTGCATCAGCCACTTTCATGAACCGTGAGATGGGAGGCACGGCCTTAATAGCCACCAATTCGTTATTATCCGGCGATCGCAGGAGAGCCTCGTGTATGAGCTTATTCTTCTCCCCGGCCGAATCTTTCTTGTTACCCTGGGCCACAACTATTGTTGGCGTAGGAGGAGTTTGTGCAGCCGGTGGAGAAGCTGATGCAGCCGGTGGAGAAGCTGATGCAGCCGGCGACCTGCCGCCAAACCGTCCTATTCCAAACGCACCGCCAAACGCAGAACCTATGTGGCTCATTGGATTTAGACTGTTGCCGAAATTCTTTACCGTTTCAAGCGGGTTGCTGGTCGTTGGTTGCGTCGCTGGTGGCATTGGCTTTTGTGCAGACCCGCTTGTTGCGACTGCAGCAGGATCATTCGGAGGCGAATTCGTGTTCCCTGAAAGAAAGCCTACTCTTTTCCCGGTGCCGCTTCCATTGCTCTTAATGCTGTCCACACTTCGCTCTCGAACGGCTGCTTTTCGTCCTCCTAATAAGCCTAATAACTTTTCTTCGGTCTTCGTCAGATTGGATGGCATGGGGCTAGTCTGCCCATCATGTACGGAACTTGATTCGCTGAGAGCATGGTCATCTTCGTCTGGTGTCAAAGGTCGACTGACAAGCTGCCTCGCTTCGTCTAGCGTCTTGGGGAGAATGATTTCAGCGTTGGGTCCTTCATTGCCTCGTTCCTTCAACTTGCCAAGGAGAAATTTAAAGCTGTTATCTAGGGTATTCGATATGTTTTTGAACCCTTCTTCTGCCGTGGAGCGAACGGCCTCGTTCGCGCTGCTTATGGGCTGCAGAAGGTCCGAGAGGGTTCGCTGGTGTCGGGTTACGGGAGCAGGCGTGGGCTTTCCGGGAACGGATCTGATGATTGAGGAAGCTTGACTTGTTTCGATTGTCGTGCCCGTAGCGTTAGACGTTGAGGGGGCCGTTGTAGCAGTCAACGGTGCAGGGACGGTTTCTGGCAACAGAGGAAAGACTTCAAGCTTATCCGAGGCCGCAGCTCCTTCTGATTGGGGCGGGGCCTTCTTCGGTCCTTCTGGCATTTCATCAGCCCTCAGACTGGCGAGATCGACATCCTCCAGAAAGGTAATTGCAGCTTCCAGATTGGTGAGGCAATAGGCGGCCTCGCCATCGATCTTAGGCGCCGCTCTGAATCGCTGGATGAAGTAAAGATTGCTGATAATGTTGATCCCCTCAACCGGGGACGTGATCAAGGCGTAGATCAGAGTTGGCAAGATTTCGTCGGCAGAGGATGAGGAAGGATGGATGGAGTACAAGGTATCGACGACGGCCTTATGGGCAGTGGTGAGGTGCTGTAATTTCCCTAGCGGATAGAGTTCTTCGTTCATCCTAGCCAGGCTCTCTCGCGCAGGAGCCAGTGAGGCTTGAACGTCTTCGACTGACTTTTCAGTGTCTTCACTCCATTCAATGCCCAGATCTTTCAGACCAATCCCTACCAGTGCCAATGCTGCCGTTTTTGATCTCAGCTTCTCGTCTCTGACCTCATCCAGAGTACTTTTATGTCTCCATATCTTGTCATAGACCTTCTCGCAGACCCTTTTCTCTACTGCCTCTTCTAGGACAATCCTCTTGTATTCTAACAGTTTCCTCTGCTTGCGTCTCTCCGTGACCTCAGAAGCTGTCAACATCTGCTGAGAGCCTCCCCTTTGATCCAATGGCGCCAGAGAATCGCTTGAGGGCTTGTTCTGCAGAGGTCTGGATCGTGAGGAGGGTTTAGAGGGGGTCGGAGAATGGTCTCGGTTGAGACGTGATTTGAGGGCGGAAATGTGGATAGAGATTGCACCCGATGCTCGAGCATAAAATTCCTGAAAGAGCTCTGATAACTGGTCGATTGTCGGCGGTTCATTGTATATTTTAGCACTGAGAGATTCAATGAATCTGTCCGTCAAGCTTTCCAATTCTATGGGCAATTCATCAAACCGGTCTGGAAGGCTGTTGGTTCGTCCAAGATCTGGAGATGGAGGTTCGTCCTCCTCATTTATAGGCTTTTCAAAGATGTCTTCCGGTGAAGCGTCCTGTTTCTTGGGGGATTTTAGAGAGGCGACGGACTGGATGGTGCTAGCTCTATTTCTTCCCGTCGAAGAGGAGGTGGCGGCAGGCTCGTAACGAGTAAAGGATTTTGTGGACAGAGCAGAGGGTCTCGGCTTCATCGAGCCTGTTGAGATAGTCCTCGACATGATGTAGATTGAGACGTGGTGGTCGGGAGGCGGAAACAGTGGACAGACAAAATACTCCGTGTTCTGGGACTGCGCTGTCAGCCTTTCTCAGGCAGCCAGCTGGCCAGATCTTAGAAGACCATCCCTTCACTCCAAATAGAAACCATCAAAAATCGTTTGCCTAGGAGTCGTACCTGCCCCCAGACCCGGGTCATCCGCAGAGGATTCGGTGTGCGCAAGTTTCGTTGTTGACTGCGCTGCTGAAACAAGAGGCACCAACACATGTGATTGACGGGATTGGTCACACACAGAATGTGGTTAGTTGCCCTCCGCAGTCAGCGCAGCCCAGGCGCAGGCGCAGTCTAGCCTAGCCCAGTTTAGCCCAGTTTAGCCCAGCGTCGTCCAGCCCTAGCCTGGCCAGTCGACGTCAGTGCCGTTTGTCCCTTCCAGACCTATCTCGCCGTCTGCGCCGTCCACGAGACCCCGAGCCACTTCAGTCAACAGTCATTCACTCCCATCGCTCCCATCTTCCCTGCCATCAATCAGCACATGCAATATGAAAACTCGGAAACCAAGAGATAGGATTTGCACTTCAGGCAGCAGAATCACAGCAACCAGCATGCTGCTGTCCTTCCTTGCTTTTGCACCCTCTATCGCTGCGGCCAAACTCCCCGCCGCTATCGATCCCTGGTACCCTGTACCAGAACCGAAACAACCAGACACTCATGACTTTACACTAAGACACATCTTCCATCGAGGCACCTATCGAGATCCCGACTTGCACAAACGCTACGATTTCCGCCCGCAGGCGCCCGTCCTCCTTACCCAAGAGGACGACCATGTCCTGTCATCTTCCCTCCAACCGCCGCCACACTTTACTCTCCGTTCCGACTCTGTTGAGATTGAACGACTCGTCGACAGGGAACCGCTGAGCATAGAAAGATATCTCCAGCATGCACGTCTCACTGGCAGTCCGGCTGTCCTTGACGCCTCACAGTGGACACTGGACGAGGTCGAGGGTCCCAATATCGTACACAAACCCACCATCCTCAACCTAGCAATTATGGCAGCCAATGCATATAATCCAGGCCCTGGTGAGGGAGACTGGGAAGATGTCAGCCAAGGCTATAATCGGTCCACGCCATTTGGATGGGAAGGAGACGGTCTGAGAGGCCATATATTTGCCAACGAAGGCAATGAAACTGTCATCATTAGCCTAAAGGGGACTTCTCCTGCAGTCTTTGACGGAGATGGAACTACTACGAAGGACAAACTCAACGACAATCTGTTCTTCTCTTGCTGTTGTGCTCAAGGTGGCTCGTACTTCTGGCATCAAGTCTGTGACTGTCAGACCGGCACATATACTTGCAATCGGACATGCGTGGTCCAGGCCTTGCGACAAGAGAACCGATATTATCGAGCCGCGATCGACTTGTACACCAATGTGACGGAATTATACCCAGATTCCAACGTCTGGCTTGCTGGTCACTCCCTTGGCGGCGCGGTAACCAGCCTACTCGGTCTCACATTCGGCCTGCCCACAGTAACATTCGAAGCCCCTGGCGACGACCTAGCGGCAAAACGCCTGGGTCTTCCCACCCCTCCGTCATCAGACCCCCATAGACCTCGTACAAAATATACAGGAGCATATCACTTCGGAAACACCGCCGATCCGGTATTTATGGGCACCTGCAATGGCGCCACGGCGACGTGCACTTTGGGCGGATACGCCATGGAATCTCAATGCCATACCGGGAAACAATGCATTTACGATACTGTGAGTGACTATGGCTGGCGTGTCGGGATAGGCAATCATAAGATCCACAACGTCATCGACAACGTGATCAAGATCTACCAGACTGTCCCTATTTGCGAAGCGGACGATGAATGTGTGGATTGCTTCAATTGGAAATTCTTCGAGAGTAATGGATCGGACTCGACCACGACTACTAGCACAAGCAGCACAAGCTCAGCAACGTACACGAGGACGAGTGCATGCAAAACTCCTGGCTGGTGGGGATGTCTAGATGAGACTTCGACAACGGCCACGACTTCGACGGTACCGGTGGTAACCACAACCTACACCACGACAAGCTGTGTCACGCCAGGCTGGTTCGGATGCAGTGAGAAAGTCAATGTAACTGTAACAACTACCGCACTTGCGCCGACGACAACTTCATCAACAACGTCTGTTCCTGTTTCCATCACCCATGATCCATCATCTTCCACCTGTGAGCATCCAGGGTGGTGGGGATGTCGTGATCCCACCTCCACTACATATAAGCCATCTCCGTCCTCGATGTTATCGACTCCAAGTGCTACACGGACGGCCGAACCGCATAAGAAGCACACTTGCAAGACACCTGGTTATTTCTGGGGCTGCTACGATCGGCCGAAGTCCCACCATCGTCATGCTACAAGCAGTGCCGTTGATGTCTCGACAACAGGACAAGACACGATCACGAGAGCGCCAACGCTCAGCACGAGTGCCACCGGTGCTGCGCCGACGCAGACCACTACCGGTGACGGTGGAAGGAAGGGAAAGAGATGCAGAAGGGAGGTATTCTTTGGCTTGATCTGTTTGGAGGGATATGAGGACGAATATGTGCCTGAACTATAATCGTGAGAGTACACACGGCATGAGTCTCACGATATTTTGGTACGATTATATGGGTTTGCATGCATGTCCTTTGGTCGCAAGGGGCTTGGCGTTGGATATGGAGATATGGCCACTATAGTGGAAGGCTTGGTTGAGTCTTTTGAGTTCGATAACTGGTCGTTCGTTTCCATTCGACACGAAATGTTGGAAAGTCTGCATTGACTGCCCGAGCTCTCTAGCATATCCGAGGTCAAAACAAAAAGGAATTTGCATCAAGCCAGAGCAATGGCTATACAGTCACAAGTATTCGGACAATGTCCGGAACCAGGGGGAAACTTTGTTCTCAACTCTCATAGTCCATAAAGCGCCGTTGGACTGTGACGTGCATTGGATGACTTCCAAAATCATGCGCCGCATCATCTTTCTCATCCAAGCCACTATACCAAAAGCTGTGTGTGAGTGTGGGTGTGGATGTCACTTGGCCCCTACAGCCCTAGCGGGTTATCCGCGGTCTGCTTCTTGCCGCCGATCGAGTCGGTGGTAGATTTGGCGGTGTTGCCCACTGCCTTGGTCGTGTCGCCTAGCTGGATACATGCACGAGCCTAGTCAGCATCATCGGGCTTCTTGTTGTTGGAAAGGGGAGAAGGGGCAGAAGAAGCAGAAACAGAAATCAGAAGGAGCAGGAGAAGGAGATGAAGAAGATGATGGACCACGTACGCCTCGAGTGGCGCCGCCGACGGTCTTGCCGACGCCCTCACCCACGCCGGAGACGGTGTTGCCCACGGTGTCCTGGTCGCATCGTTGAATACGTTAGCCAACTGCGGCAATTCTTTGAGGTTGTGGGAAAGAGAGCGGCCCAGGATGGGGAACAGGGCAGGAGGAAAGAGGGCGGCAAGCAAACTGCGATGTTTGTGTACGCACCGTGACGCCGCCCACTGTGTTGCCGACGGTATCGGTCAAGCCGCCAAGAATGCCTCCTACTATGTATATGCGTGAGTGTCGGTTCGACTATGCCTTGTTCTTCGTCGGGGTTGTTTGATCTGTGCGCCATAGGGGGGAAGCGAGATGGGAAAGGCTCAAACGGGCAGGACAGGGCAGGGGAGGCGAGACGGCACAGGGAGCGGATTGACATGAGTAGTTCCAACGGAGAACATACCGCCTTGCTTCTTCTGCTGTTCTTCAGCCATGGTATAGAGTTATAGAAGTTCTACGTAACAAGGACTGTCGTGCAGTTGTGATGAAAACGTTGAATATGATTCGGTATGAAAATGCTTGCAGAAGGGGGATGCGCCTGTTGATTGAACACGGGAAGTCTTGTTATATATAGCATTGCTCTGAAAGTGGTCTCCTCCGCCTTCCCTTGCTTCTGTGCCAAGGCAACTCGCCACATCCCTCTCCTCTTCTTGACGTCAGCCTCGACCCCTCTGAAGGGTCAGTCTATGTCAAGGGTCCCCAAGCCATGGCCGCGAGGTGGCTGGTTGGGCGAGAAAGCAAAATGAGTGGCTTGGACGCGACAGAGGAGGGCACCAGACACCCTTGTTTGTGAAGAAGCCAGAGAAGGCAAAGACCAGTCATGGTGAACGACGAGACTAACCGGCACTGCAAGGTGGCAAGACGGGAGAAGAAGTGGAGGGAAGACGAATGATCCCTGTACCTGTGACGTCGAAGCTGCTGGGTTGGTGGCACCAGTGGTGATCTGTTTTGGCTTTTGGGCATCTTGAGAATGACCACCCGCTATACAAGTACACGTATATAGCGAGATAGCGAGGTAGGTATTACATATCCTGCGAAAAACTTGTCATCCAGCTTCCTCTCTCCCTCTTCATTCACATTGCCAATTTGGCGAATTTTAGAGAATGGAATCCATCTATTAGGATGCTGGGGGCCTCTCAATCCGGGTGCCTTCCAATCTGCCCTGACGATTCCAGAGCATCAGTTAGCCTCCCTGCAGCTGGCAGAGTCATAGTTGTGTTCTGCTGATCCGAGCACAGACGAGCCACCATGCGCGCAAGCAGAAGCGGTGAGAAATGTCCATACACCACCATGGCTCTCCAATTGTCCAAGTGCTGCTTCCCGAAAGCGGATCTTGATGGTTGGAGAAATGATGATGAAAAAACAGGCAGACAGCACCTTCTGGTGAACAGAAAGAGATTCCCAAATATTGTTGGATCCACGTTCCTGAGGCTCTTGAGGGCCAGTTGCTGAGGATTGCTAGACCTGGCTGCTCCAAGGTTGATGGTCTCGAGAATGTTCGTCCATCTCTCACCGGTAGATATCCTGTTGTTCAAACTCGCCAGGTCATCCGATGGGGTCCACGCACCGGCCTCAACAGAACCGTGCAGATACTGGTTAAATATCAGATAGAAACGTTCCGTCTTGTCAAAGATACTGCCAGGATCGGAGGCCAAAGGACTAGGACTCGGAGTCCGGCATATCAAGTCAATTTGCTCGGCTGTCCATTCTGGCGCAGAAGGCAGTTCCTTGAGCCTGCAGCTCGTGTGGTTCATGAAAAGATATCTTCTTGCGCTTGAGATACCTCGGAATATCATCTGCATCGGCAACGCGTCTCCTAAACAGAAATGTCGACCTTTGGCCCTCCGTAGCTCTTTCGGCTTCTAAGCGCAAAATATCTAATACCTCGTGCTTCTTGTGCTTTTTGTCGAGTCCCACAGTCGTATCTTGCGTTTATACATTTTCTCGCAAGCCATGGTTGGCACAAGACTGGCCGTAAGGAGTGTCCATATGTCGCATTAAAGTTGTAGTTTGATTCGAGTAGGACGCGGATGGATGTGTTCTCTTGAAGGGGGATTTGTGGGTGCTAGCGTAATGTTAGACGAGGAGCATGAAGATCTTGTGCAGCCTAGGGGGCTTTGCTAAAGGCTCTGCTAAAGCCCATGCAATTCCGTTTTTCCGTTCCCAAGCCGCCGAGCGATCCAGCAGTTAGACGTGCAAAAGCAAGTTAGATTAATGACAGAAACGTCACTTAAAGCTACTATTTAGTAGTGTGGCCGTCGACCGTGGTATAACATTTCCATAAAACAGCTGAGACATTACTATCCAAGACTCATGGCAACGTCCTCTTGCACACTGAACGCTCTGTGCCCAGAAGCATCTCGCCATTTATCCAGCACATCGTCCTCTGGTCCATCACGACTCCGATCGCTCCGTGTGCTGGACTGGCCTGTATTCTTCCCACTGGAGCTCTTACTATCACTCCGGTCTCTCTTCGAGAACCAGCTGCCTGGTTTCTTCACCGCAGGGGATTTGGCGGTGCTGTTGGCGTCATTGGCTTTTGGATCCGGTGCAGATGACTTTTCCGTCGGAGGTGTTGGGTTCGCAGTAGCTGTGTCTTCCGACCGGCCTACCCCCTTGGCAAACTCTTTCGCTTTCCTCACCTTGTCCTCTTCCGTGTCAGACAAAGGTTGTGCTGGAGTACCACTCGGAGTATCCTCAACACTCGGCGTCGCTTCGACAAGTTCTGCATCGCGGTACCACTTGCGTCTCCTCGTATATCTACCCCATCCGTCCTCTCTTCTTCCATCTTCCCACCTGTTGTCGTAATATATCCAGCCTCCACCGTCGTCGGCGGTCGCTTTACCAGAGATGCCCGTTGCTCCTGTTTTGGTGTCGCTTGTCGCTCTCTTGTGTGATTTAGCATCTCCGTGCTCTATTCGCCATTCAGAGTCGATCCATCTCCACCGTGACAGACCGCCCTCCACATCCGGCAGTTCGAACTCCTCCTTTGATGGTGCAGGGTTCAGATGTTCATCCGTCCAAGGGCCACGCTCGTATGCAAACAAAGAAGTTGTCCACCCAAGACCCAGCCACCGCCGTTGGTTCTCATATAAGATAAACGTGAAACGAACGCCAGAAGAGTCGGGTTTTTGCTTGTTTGCGGCTTCTGTGGCGAGGTCGCTTTGAGATTTCGACCGGGGTCCAATTGACGGTCGAAGTGACGGTCCAGATTTCGCATTTGGCGAAGTATCAAACTCCAGCCCAGTGACGAATGCGGCAGCTTTGCGCATGAATACAGAACGCCAGAGGATAACCCGAGATACCCTGGCCGGCTTGGAATGCCAGGTCAATATTATTGTGCCAACAGCGAGAATGACTCTTCGAGGAGTCAGAATATAGAAAGGTGGAAGAGTCAGGATAATCCAAAAGGGGGTTACTAAAAGAACACGGATGAAGAGAGTCGTCAATGCTGGTCGAGTCGTAGCGGCAGTTGGTGTGGTCTGGGTAGAGAGAAAATCGGTCAGGATGAGGAAGGGATCCAGCAGGACATTGCATCGGGCAGTCAATTCTTGCAGCGTCTCAACAATCTCATCGAGGGTCTTATGGTGAGACTGAGATTCCGAAGGTTCCCTCCTGTGGCCCTTGGCTGAATGTTTCTCTCCGGTTTTGGTGGTGGACGACAGAGGAGAATAGCGCCTGGAGTACATTCCCAATATGAGACCAACTACTACAATGATTGGGCTTGCGAAGCGAATAATCTCACTCCCATATAGTGTGATTCCCCAGAAGACAGCCACCATCAGATATGATTCCCAAGGATCCCGGGTGCTCCATGACAGAAGACCGGCGAGTTTGTTCAGTGGCAAGAGGAAGGGATGTGAATGGGCTAGGGCTCGAGTGATCTGAGGGGGTGTCGCTACTAGCAAGGGCGACTTTTTGTGGACTATTATCGTAGACCGCTGCTTCGATGTGGCGGAGTAGCCAGAGGTGGATGTTGGAGAGAAGGCAGCATATGTGGGGGGATTTTGGTCCCAGACCTGCTGGGACGAGGAATCAGACGGAGGTGCATATGAGGACTGTCTTGACATTGAGGTGATCCAGGGAGTTTCTGGACAATTGTCAGTACATCTGAAGGAGAAGGCCAGAGAGGGACCAATGTGTACCAAATGCTGCCATACAACGAGGAAGGCTGGGTCATGAGGATGACGCCCACGGAATAGGACCTAAACAGATGACGCCACCAGTGCGGAGACGGAAAGACTCAGGTGAGAATAGTCTGATGGGAGATGCAAAGAGTTGTGGTGCAAGATTGCAACAATACTTGATAGATGTTGTAGACATGCTTGACGAGAGCAGATATTGAATGTCCGGCGATTTTGAGGTTTGGGTCTCGTGAACAGCAGCACAGGCATGTGCACAGCGGAGGCGCAGGTGCAGGCAGAGACATGATGATCGTGGCTGCTCGCTGATCCATACTTATCCCACACGTGACTCCAAACGAAACCGACTCGCCGAGCAAGTTTAGCCGAAGATTCGCCGGGCCAGGATGGCGATGAGCAAAAAGATTTCCTGCAGCTTCTGTCTCCCGAAAGAATCAAAGAACACACTCGGCCATTGCCAACATCTGCGCGGCTATCGGCCATTTCGATCTTGTTGCTTCGCTAACAAGAGTCAATGGTATGTGTCTCTTGTTTTCACCTCTCTCCGGCTATCCATTCTCTGCAACACGGGACTGACAGGACTGACCGCCGCAGGCGCATCGAATCATCGCCCAGATCGTCCTGACCGGCGGGCGTGTCTTTGGCAGGGCATTTGCAGAGGCATACAAGCAGGCGCAGGCATCAACGCAGTATGCGAGGGCTGCTGCGAAAAGTGACCCGGGCGCCGTCAACACCGCTGCCGCCTCCGGCATGACCCTCGACGAAGCCTGCAAAATCCTCAACGTCAAGCCTCCCCAAGGTGGCGCCACCAATATGGAACAGGTCATGGAGCGGTTTAAGAAGCTGTATGATCTGAACGAGCCAAAGAAAGGCGGTGGTGGATCCTTCTACCTCCAGAGCAAGATTCTTCGTGCAAGAGAACGGATAGAGATGGAAGCTCGCGCCGCCGAGCGCAAGGCCCAAATGGAAAAAGAAATCAAAGAAGGTTGGAGACCCAAGATATACAAAACTTGATCTCTCTGTGGCTGATCGTCTCCAAAGGACGGTAACGAGACTGGACGGCCGCTCCGCATACACCACTTTTTTCTTCGAACCTCTTTTCGACGATTGATTCTCATGCATAGCGGACGGCGTTGGATGGGAATTTACTGTAAAATGGATTGTACTATATCACGGGTGTGGGTCTTTGCAAGATTATATGCACAAGAGAATGGGCATTCTCACGTCTTGGATGGATGCTGTCTCTACATGTGAGGAAGAGTGCGACGATATCTAGGGGGAGACAGTCGACAGGCCGACGTGATGTACCTGATATCAGATCTGCCATACCGGCAGCCTTGAGATTGGGGACAAACGCCGCTCCATCCCCAATGAGCGACTCTCCACTCAAGAAGGAAATTGGGACCAAGTTGAATCCCGCCAGATTCTGGTCTGGGGCGAAGTTGAGCGGACATGTATAGAACGACATACGAGGCAAGAGGCCAGGGAGGGGCCTGAAGAATACGGAGTACTCGATGCTCCTCTCCTGGCGCTCGAACAGTACAAAATGATACCACAATCAGGAAGACCGCCCCCTGATCTTGGCTCCATTGATGCGTTGACATTTGAACGAGGCATGGACCTGCCAGCCGTGAGCCCAAGCAGAGTGAGCCCTGCTCGGCGCTCACTTGAGGACTCAGCCCAACCTTACCTCTTTTCAAACTACCTCGCGACTTGCTCTCCTCTCACCTGCTCCCCTGGCGCTCGAGCAGTACGAAATGACGCTAGGCTTTTCATGCGACGCACTACTCAGTTCCAACCCCGTTACAGGCGGTCAATGCCCTCGGTGATCCGGTGAGTTATTATTCATTTACAAACGGCCCATAGCGGCACCTCCTGGCTCTCTGGGCTGAAGGATGGATGGCTGATGTTGGACTTTACCAATCCTATACGTCACGCCTCCAGAACGGATCCTGTTTGATTCATCTAAGGTGAATCCTTTTGCAGTGGTGTGCGCAACGACGTCGCTGGAGAGTCATCATTGCTCCGGATGGGTCATTGGAATCAGGCCTCTTCACCCTGATCCTCGATCCTGGAGATGTTGCTGTTTACACTACTCTTTCGAAGCCCTCATCACGTCTCCTATCCATGCCCACCTCAGCTCCTTCCCCAACCCCCTCTCCTGCCAGTCATTTATGGATTCTGGGAAGAACGGCACACCGGGGCTTCTGAGCGCGGGATCATGCGCGAGGATCACAAAAATGCTATCGTCGCCATCATATTCCTGCATGTGTGCGATCGTGGTGAGGACTTCATCCATGTTGTGCCCGAAGGCCGGCTGCCACAGAGGCTCCTTGGGGTCCCGGTTCCGCGACGTCTGGAGATCCTCAAACCACGCGCCCGGGCAGAATGGAATGTTTCTGTCTTGCAGAGTCACAGGGTTTGGCGTGATGGTCTCGGGCATGGGCACGTACGCCGACGGACGGAACTCGCCACAGTGGTGGGCGGCGTCGCCACCAAGAAACACAAATGTGTCGGGACTGTTGGTGGTGCGGACTAATGCACATAAATGTCCCACGCAGTGGCCTGGACTGTCTAGCAGGTACAGCGACCCGTCGTGGAAGTAATCATGCGCTGGGAACTTTCCGATTTCCACAACGTCAGAGGTGAATGTAATTTCTCGGACGGTTCGGCCTCTAATGGGACAGGATCGGTCATCAGCCAGGTGCCTCAAGTATGAAATCGGAAAGGGGATCAAAGATCAAAGAAATGAGGTATCGCGGTTCGGTTCATTCTTGTTTTTGGGGAGGAGGGATTTTTTTTTAGCTCTGGAAAGGGGCTTTGTTTGGAAATGGGTACAGAGACTTACTCTACATCGCTTGGAAGCACTCCTCCCAGCGCTGAATTGCCGCCTCCGTCGCCGAGGAAATGATCTTTGAAACCCGGTCCAACGACGAGGTCCGTTGCCGGGCCAAATGTCGACATGTCGCCCATATGGTCCCAGTGGGCATGACTGGTGGTTTAATATACACATCAGCATAAGTTTTGGAGCATACCGAGATATAGTTCAAGTTCCAAGGGAAGAGCACCTTTCAAAGGCGCTCGCATCAAACTCGCCTCCAAATGACAGCGTTAATACTCTGTTTGCCCACGCCAGCTTCATCCAAAACTTCTGAGATGTTTTTCTCCGCGCTCGGCTTGTGGCCCAATTTCTTGAACCGCTCGACAGTGGCCGGGGAGAGGTTTTCCCAGTCTTTGCGAATGCCAAGATCAAACAAAACTTTCTGACCCGACGGATGTTCTAGGAGAAAGACAAACGATGGAGCAGGCGCCGCGATTGTGTAACCTGGCACTGGAGGCGTGAAGAGTGCGCTTGCCGGGACATTGGAGATGTTCGCCACATCGATGACTTTGACCGTAAGTGATGTCGATGACCGGGGAATGTTCAAGGCTGGCTTTGCCGCCGTGGAAGTGCCATCTGCGGTGATCGTGACCATTTTGTGATTCCCTGGTTGCAACTGTGCAAATCATAATTGTGAAAGAGGCAACAGATTTTAAGGAATCGTGCGGCACTCCTGGGAATGCCGGTTATGGGGGGGAAAGGGGGGGGGTTTGCGGCATCTACAAAACGCTGGCAGGGCACCAAATCTCTGCGAGATGCTTTGAAGACTACATTACCACCTGTATGGGAAGGCAAGGTCGAATCACGGTCTCCAAGATGCTTTACGAGAAGAGGAGTGCCAGGCTGTCAGTCCGAGCGGCACAACTCGTTGGAACCGTCGATACGGACTACCCTATTCGTAGAATCTTGCCGGCACCCAGGCCCAATTGGCAGTGACCGCGGTCTGGACACGCCAGTTTGCACCATTGAGCAATCCGATCCCGTTTCTACAGGAGATACTTCTGCTGGCACTGCAGTATGACTCTCGGTATGAAAGCCGCTTTTGCTTGAACAACATGGCAACTCGTTCCATCAAATCCCAAGTCGGAGACCTGGGTTCACCATCCTTGGGTTTTTCCAAGTCTCGAAATCTATCAGCCTTTGTAGACCACAATTAAAAATCTCACAGCATGGCGACCGAGGTACAGAAGGATGTTCAGCCCGAACAACGCAAGAACATACCCCATGATGCTCAGGCAATTCAAATTACTATCACGGAAGCCACAGAATTGTGCCAGAATGCCCTCCAAAAGGCAGGCTATCTCAGTGAACAAGCAGCAATAATCACAGATCATTTGGTCGACGCCGAGCTCCGGGGTCACCCATTTGCTGGATTAGCTCGAGCGTTGAGTATTGTCGAATTTCTCAAGAGTGCAGGCGTGAAAGCAGATCAAGAGATCGAAGTGACCCGCACAGGGCCAACGTACGCCCACCTCGATGGCCATGATTCAGTTGGGTATCTGGTGGCACACCAGGCCACTAAGCTCGCCATTGAGAAAGCAAAGTGTGCCGGCGTATCCGTGGTCGGGGCAAACGGACTATGGTATTCCGGGAATCTCGCATATTATGCTGAGATGGCCACACGTGAAGATTTAATAGTCTTGATTGCATCGAACGGCACCCCTATTGTCGCGCCTTATGGAGGATACGAGCCAAAATTCTGCACCAACCCTTTCTGCATTGGATTTCCGACCAACGAGCCCGACAAACCTGTGATCTGGGACATTGGTACAAGCAACATTATGTACGCACAGGTGAAGCTGGCAGAGAGACTCGGGGCTCCTCTCCCAGAAGGATCTGCGTATGATAGTGGCGGAAAGCCTACAACAGATCCGCTCCAGGTGCTGAATGGCGCATTGACCGTTTGGGGCGGGTACAAGGGAAGCGGACTGGCTATCATGGTGCAGCTTTTAGGCATCGCTGCAGGGAGCACTGAGCCCACCCCGTTCCTGTCGGACTTTGGTTTCCTGATCATGGCTTTCGACCCAAGTATTCTGCAGTCACTGGATAGAGTCAAGCAGGACGCGGAAAAATTGTCCAATTCGATCAGGTCAACCAAGATGCTACCCGGCGAAGGGCCAGCCAGGATGCCGTTTGAGCGAAGCAGTGAATTGCGGAGGAGAGCGAGAGCAAAGGGTTCCTTTGAGGTTTCAGGGAGAGTCGTCGAACAACTTCGCAGCCAAGGGTGGTAGTAAAAGAATTGCCTGTCCAATCCTACCCAAAATTGAAGGTCATTCATCTCGCGAGGCTGTGCTCCCCTTCTCCTCTCCCCGTGTTCTCCACATCCATCTATCCAAATACGGCTAGTCCAGCTGGGCGAAGAACTTTGCCGGCAATTTCGTCTGCCGGGCACGGCATCTCACTTCCTTCCAACTTCCCTATTTCTGCTCTCACACGCCATTGTGCCGCGACGGCAACTGAGCATCCCTTGACTGTGGAAAGGGGACCGGCAATAACATAGCACCACGATGGTCTCGGGACAACCTCATGTCCACAAAGGGCGCGCTCGTCTTGTCTGCCTACAATGCCATGACCGCAAGGTTAGATGGTTTCCGGACCCGGCTAAACCTGACACGTGGAGCAGTCCGCTGATTTGGATTTCAGATGAGATGCGATCTGGAGACCCGGTCCAAAGAGGGATTAGATAGTTGTGGGAACTGCACAGAGGCGTCGAGGTTCTGCGAGTGAGTTGACTGCTCTGCATGATGCACTTGAGGCAGTAAAGCCCGAGCTGATGGCTCTAGGCCGCGGACAACAAAACGCCGCAAGGGAAACACCAATGCTGCTCGCAAAGCTTCTGGGCCAGCTCACGGAAATACATACGCCCCGATTCGGCCGGCGTTGAATGATCAGTCCATCCGCATAGAGACGTTGTCTCAACCACTTCAACAACAGACGCCTGTTCATCAACCCGACTCGACTGTGGATGTTTCTAACTCTCAACATAGTCAATCCGCGGCTGAGAGCACCCTGCCACCGCCCGAACTTGGCGAGCGAAGCTCCCTCCAGCGACCAGCATTGCCCTCTACCAACGACCCACCAGAAATCTCGTCTACGATCCCTTACACGACAACGATAGGCTATTTCGGTAACAGTGGAATCCTAAATCTATTCGAGCCCGACTATCGAAGAATTGCATCCAATGAGCAAGGAGGCAGCACTCACTTCTCACTGGCTGAGGCCGACCTCCCCCCGCTGGAACTGCAGCAAAGCTTTGTCGAAACGTATTTCGAATACTGTTGGCCCTGGTGCCCGATCCTCGACAAGGCTGTCTTGTGGAATGACCTTGACCTCTCTCCGTCTCCCCTTCTGATCAATGCCTTGGCCCTCCTGGGAACCCAAGTACGGCCTCCAATCATGCGGCACGCAAAAGCTGCCGAGTATTACAACAGAGCAAAGATTCTTTTCTACACAGACCAGGAGAACAACCCCATTGTTTGCCTGCAGTCTATCATGTTATTCTATTGGTGGGCTCCACGTGGGTGAGTCTGTAACGCCTTGTTTTGTTTCCGCTAAACACACCCCTTTTTCCAGAAAGCCATTTCTCTTTGGCCCTTCTTCTGATTTCACAAGATTATTTGATCCCTTCATCGACACTTCTTTTTTTTTGGTGGAAATCTTCTATATATATATGGTAGAGATATCTTTTGCCTCGTTATAACTTTTCTTGCTTGCAACATTGTATGTTCATTGGTTAGTAACAATATTCTCACAAATCACTAGTCCTGCGCTGGTTCATAAAGACGCGGCTTGGTGGTGGACTGGGATCGCAATCAAATACGCGCAACAAATGGGTCTGCATCGCGAGCCAAAGAATGTCTGCGATGTGGGAGGAGATGCAGTGCAAGGGCTGAGAAGGAGGATCTGGTGGACATTGTTTGTGAGTTGACCTGCCCGGGCAGGTAGACTGCCTGGACTAAAGATGAATGCAGGCCCGAGAACGATTGACAGGAATGTGCCAAGGACGACCTCTTACCATCAACCCCGAAGATTGCAATGTTCGCGAGGTTTCACTCGAGGATTTTGGCTCATCTGAAGACGCGAGAGTGGACGTCTTCATTTATTGGGTCAGACTCTGTGGCATCATTGGTCGAGTCAGCCAACATCTCTCACGCAACCTGGAACAGGCGTTGTTTCCAACCACTTTGGCAGAAGAACTCATCGGTTGGGCCCACAGCCTCCCCAGCCACTTAGAACTACCAGACATGGCCGATCGAGCACGAAAATTTAATCGGGATGTGTTAAAGCTACATCTACCCTATCTGACCACCGTCACCATTCTACACCTGAACTGGTCGTCGCAGCACCCTTCACAGCCTTGGCCAGAAGCGTACACAGCTGCGGTATTGTCGGCATCGTGTGTCACTCGCATCTTCAAGGACTTCCTCGCTCGCGGGGAAATTCGGTTTCTGGGCGCCATCGCATGCTGGTACGTGGGAGTAGCCATTATAGCGCTCTTACAGACCCAGCAGATCGACTGCCTGGCAGAATGTGGAGCCGAGGACATTCGCATCTTGAGACTCGCTTTGAACGAGTTGGCGAGTCTGTGGCCCTCGACTGCCATTTTCGTCAAGGGATTTGACCGCCTGCGGGCATTCGAAAGCCTCGGGGCGAGGCGTGACGGGGGCGCTGCATTGAATCCGCAAGTGCCGCGCACAACTGGAAACACTGCGACCTCAGGTCTTTCGGACCTGAACTGGCCACATGGTGTCGACTGGCAGAGCTACTTCCCCCACGTCACGACGAGAACCTGCGGGCTAGCAGGCATCTTGCTCGCGGAACCACACCAGCCAGAAATATGGGGCGACCTCTCCTGGCTGGGAGACGCCACCACGTATTTTCAGGACTTGTTTGACTCTTCAGATGCGTTGCTGGATCCTTACCTTGAGAATCTCTCTGCCTTATGCCGAATAGATGATCAAATACGCCTCTAAGGCACGCCTGCTGAGAATCTTTGACTACTACCTGAAGTCGCGGTGGAAGACCATGTTATGTTATCCTCGCCGGAGACAGGGGTAGCTTGCAGAATCCATAATTGTCCAGTTCTTCCAACTAGGCCTCTATAAAAGCGATCTTGCTCAATTCAAGGTACAAACTTCAAAGACCCTTAAAAAAGCATCCTTGAGGCGATGTTAATCTTCTAGTAAAGCAAGATAATGATCGATTTTACTTTGAGAGATTAGCCAGAATCAGCTCCACCTCTTCGTCAGCCGCCTCCAGTATATGGCCTGCGGGATATTGCGGCTTCCACCCGATCTCTGGACCATGACGAGCCGTGAACGTGCACCTGTAGGCGAATTGTCAGCATTCTAAGCAACAACTCATGATTGAAACCCCCAAGGCTCTTTCTTACATTCCGCCAAGCTGTAAAGGCACGAGCGCCGGTGGACAGCCCAAGCCGGCAGCCATGGCGTCGAGCGCTTGGCCTGTGGCCAGCGTCACCACTTCATCATCGACGACGCCGCGCTTCGCCAGCCCAGTCGCCATAGCAGAGTAGAGATCTACCCAGGCGACTGTACCTGACGATGCAAGATAATAGCCTTGTTTCCCGCTGCCAGGGTTCTCGCCTCTCATGATACTTGCCAGGATCTGCAGGTATAGGGTTGTGTTATCGATGACATGGCAGACGGGCCAAATCTTTGCGTCTTTTTAGCTTTGACAACCAACATGTTTTGGCAATGGGGAGAAGAAGAAGAAGAGGGATTGGAGGGTCACAAACAGTTCTTTCAGCGTCAACGCTATACACGCGGCGTGCAGCCTGCGCCGCCCGCGTGATGTCGACGGTTTGGATCGAGATTTTATTTCCAAAGCCTTCGCCCCGGCCGTCTGCCGAAGTTCTTGGTCAGTGGCTGCTCAGCTCACATAGATCGAGGAACTAGCCCGCAGTCGTGAATCACTTACACACTATGCATGGCACGAAGATATAAGTTGGGACTCCGTAGAATTCGCCTAACTCAATGACCGTATTATTGGCGTCGATGGCCTGTTCGTCGTTGCATTAACGTCGAAGCCTAGTCCCAGGAGTAAGATGATCTCATCACTTACTGGCTGAATTTGAGGAAGAGGCGGTATCTGAGACTTTTGGATGTCGTACAGATCTGCGTCGGTGTCCAACAGTGGCCGGTCGACGGGAGCCCCGGCGTGGCTGGAAAAGATTTTGGCACCGCTGGTCTTTGTAAAGGGTTAGGCCGATATTGTGAAACCCAGTTGCGCTCAGACGAGAGGATTTACGTACATGCATGAAATGAACTTCTGTCCCCAAGCTTTTCTTGACTTCCGCGAGAGCTCTGATAAAATACGCTTGCGATTCGGCGTGCAGCGCATCGACCAAGAAGAGAACGATTGTGATTCTGTTGCTGACAACTCCTTCGTTGACGGCAGTCTCGTCTTTGACATCGAACTTGAGAGGTTCGGCCCCGTACTGCTTGACGGCATTGGCCTGTTCGTCCGTTCGTACGAGAGCGTACAGCTTGTCGTATGGTGGCAGGCCGAAGCTCAACCATCGAGCTAGAAGCGTGCCGCCTAGGTAGCCAGACGCCCCGGTTACCAGGATTCTGTGCGACATGGAGAGAGCGGTTGATTTGAGGTCTGAAAGTAATATCAGTGCCTTCGACGTTGACTGGGGTTAAATTGTAGATGTCAAATACGAGCTAATCCCCTCAATCTGATGTCGAACCGTTTCGACCGTTTCGACCGTCCGCAGACGGACGAGGCTCGTGCTTTGATAAAGACTCCAGCCTTGTCGCTTCAACTGGCTTTCCAAAGAGCCGATTGGTTCATATTGCCGGCGGGAACAGCCTATTGGTTGATAAGAGCCGCGGTGGAAGTTTCCCTGTGAGGCGATTGGGCTTCCTCGTGCAAGACTGGAGCCCAAATGTATATTTGAAATCAATGGACTTTATACTGAGCTTTCTGCCATAATTTGCCACTCGTAACCTGGAACAGTACTCTGCCATGTTGAATCAAGCGCAAGCACCGAAGGATACTGTACAATGCAATGGAGAACACAACAATCCGGAACCAACATTGACGTCCCTAGCAGCACACCGTCTCGAGAAGATACGGAACCGCAAGCTGACACCGGTGGTGGAAGGAAAGGCCACCCTTTGCTTACTCGACTACCTTGGTGCCCTGGTCTCGGGGTTGTCCACGCCTTGGAGTGCCGCACTCTTGAGGTATGCTCAAGGAGCGTCTCCAGGCCGAGGGAATGCTCATGTCATGGGCCTAAGGTCGCTTGTGTCGGCCGATGTGGCTGCTTTCACCAATTCTGCCCTCGCTCACAGGTTTGTCACAGTACGGGCGACACTGGCCTCTCAGGACGTTCGTGGAGCAGACCTATGGGCTGACTGGCTTTCGACAGCATCATCCGAGATGATATGCACCTGGCAGCAGGTGCCCATATAGGCGTCATGGTGATTCCAGCCGCGCTAGCACTTGCCCAGCGAGACAACTGGACAGGTGAGCAACTTTTGAAAGGCATCGTGGGTGGCTACGAGTTGGCTGTGGCCCTTGGCTCGGCGGTTCGCCATTCGGGCCTCTGCAATCCACATTTCCGTCCTAGTGGAATCATTGGTGCTTTTGGTGCTGCTGCTCCCGGAATTGTGGCAGATGCCAATATTAGTACGAGCGTCGCCGCAAGTGCTTTGAGCTTGGGAGCCAACATGGGCGCAGGCTTGAACGAATGGCCTTGGGCCGGCGGAACTGAGATCAACACTCAGATGGGCACATGTAGCCGCAACGGTATCAGTGCCCTGGACCTAGCAAGAGCGGGCATATACAGCAGTGACACGGTATTGGAAGGTAAAGATGGCTTCTTCGTGGCCTATGGATGCGGCCCTGACAGTGTAGAAGAGTTCAGGAATTGGTTGGCGGCAACCGATCCGGGAGCCGGCGTCATGGGCGCCAGGTTCAAGCCTGTGGCAGGTTGCAACATGATACAAACCCCTCTTGCCGTCGCTCTGAGTCTCGCCAGAGAAATACACGGTTCAGGTCAGAGTATCGAAAGCATTGACATTGTTACGACAACTGCTGCGAAGGATTATCCTGGCTGCGACAGCGGTGGACCCTATGAAAAGGTCCAGCAAACAAAGATGAGTCTCCAATATGGGGTCTCGGCAGCATTGCTATTCGGTCGAATCGATGAGTTTGCCTATATGCAGTACGACAATGGGGATTTGCAAGGTCTCATTCGAAAGTGTACACTCGCTTCTGATGCTAAGTACGATGAGGCTCTTTCGAGAGGAGAGCAGCCCTGTCGTATTAGAATCCGCAAAAAAGATGGGACAGTATATCAACACTCTCTGGCAGATGTCCCATGGCTGGAAGGGGAGGCTGTTGAAGAGAGATTCAGGAAAGAAGCAGCGGCTGTTTTTGATCCTGATACTGTGGATCAGATACTTGGGCAATGTCGCATGTTGAAGGATACAAAGACATGTGCACGTTTGTTTGAGCTGCTTGCCCTCCAGAGGTGGAGATGAGAAGGTCATACGTTCCGATCGATGCAGAAGAAATCAGAATCAGAAGATATCAAAGCCAAGGCCTATGGGTTGCATTCTCTTTGATAAGAAGCTACGAGCCGTTGAATTCAATCCTCTATATCCTTGCGACATCTTTACAGACACTGGGCAGCATGATGATATCGGTCTTATTGAACCTTGATGGTTCCGTCCCCCCCAAAAGTCAACCCGATGGTAGGATGAAAGCTGTTGATAGTCACTTATATTTGCCAACATAGAAAACAATATCGTGAGACAGCGGGTTAACTGACAGCCCTCGTCAGCTTTCCACGGCCGGTAAGATCAACTTTTACTCTTCCACAGGTTGCACCTTTTGTGATTTCTCAGTACCTGACCAGCCTCAACAAGCATATCAAATACTACGGTGGTCTTTACTATCAAGGGCCTTTCCGTAAAACAACGGCTGAAACAATTACCGCTGCCACGTTCCGGGCCGATCAGACTTTCTCAATTGCATCTTCGGCCTTCTTCTCAGTCTCCACCACAATTGTCCTAGTTTTCTCGTTTTCCAGAAGCACTGCTTTCTCCATGGTTTTCTTGGCCGGGTCGACGTTCGGCACAAGCGTGGCGCTGACGATTGCTAGAACCGCGAAACCAAGAGCCGTATAGTAGACTACTCTGTACGCCTGCATGTAAGCCAGTTTGACGGCAAACTGGCTTACACTTATAATTTGGGCTGTAATGCCGGGAACTTTTGCATATGCAGTTGCTGTATTCGCTGCAGCAGCTTGGATCAATGCCGTCAGATTTGAACTGTCGAATCCTGTACCGGCAATTGCATCGGTGATCTTCCCCGGGAGATTCTCTTTAAACTGGTTGTCGACGATTGAAGAGTATATCGCCGTTGCAACAGCACCGCCTAGGAGACGAAAGGTTGACAGAGCGCCAATGGCAATGCCCCTAGCGAGGGATAGGTTAGCACTCACACTTTTTATGAATCAGATCACGCTCTGCCACAACTCACATATCTGCTTGGTCTTCAATATTGAGTGACACCATGTTGAAAAGCATGTATAGTGGTTGGTTGATGACGCAGGACATCAGGAATACCAGAACAATCGCCTTGGCCTTGTCGGACACACCGACAGACGACAGACCACCGACGAAGGCTACTTGACAGCATATGAATATAAGGATCTGCCACTTCTCGTGGCCAAATCTCGCACAGATGAGCCATACCGAGATCAGAGAGACTGCATTACGTCAGTGATGAACCTCAGAATCTTTGTGTTGCAAGTGGTGGCTACTCACTCCAGGTGCCCCATGTGGTCAAATTTGCATAGACTCCGCGCATGATTGGATCGTCCGCAGGCACAAACAGGAGACCAGATTGGCGAGGCCATAAGACCTGCATACTGTAGTAGAGCATGCCACAACAGAATCCAACAAGGACGAGAAGGTTGTATCTGAAGCAGACAGTCTGGTTAGACGGCAGTCATCAAAACACAGAAGTAACTTACCTTCTCCATTGTCTGAAAAGTTTTGGCGGAAGTAATGGGTACTTCAAGTTGGCGTTAAAATCCCAAACAAAGAGAAGTACGAGCAACATGAATCCCACGACAATAGGGCCAATGACTGCAGATGACATCCAGGGGTATTGCCTGCCTCCGAAGTTCAAGCCTACAAGAAACAAAGTGCAGCCGGCGATAAACAGGAATAAGCCGATATAATCCATTTCAGCAACCAACTTCCACCTGGAAACGCGGCCCTCTTTGTGCTTTGTTTCGAAAGTAGGTGGATGGTAGAAGCAGAAGAGAAAAATTCCTGCACAGCCGTGGATGGCACACATAAACCAGTACGCACCTCGCCAGCCAATGCTTGCGTGGGCGATGAAAGCATAGGTTATGAGGGGGCTCATCAGGCAGAAAATACCGCTGGTACCGTATAGTCCTTTTGATATTAGCCAGATCAAATGACGCAATTGGATTCTCCTCTATCGAACTTACCGAGAGCGGTCAGCCGGTATTTATTTGGAATAAATTCCATAATGCAAGCAAAGCCCATCTCCTGGAACCCAGAGCCGATTCCAAACAGTACACCGCTTGCAATCATCTGGCCAATACTTCGGCCAGTTGCACCGACAATGGTACCAATAAAGGCAATGAAAGCCCCACAGAGCATGAAATAGCGGCGACCGAATATATCGGAAAGGCGACCACCCACGCTCACCAGAACGGCGGCACCGAGTCCCCACGACACGTTGATCCATACATAGTCTGGGTCGGGGCCGAGTTCGGCATTGATATAAGAGGCCGCTGATGCTGGAATCAGTAAGGTCATTTCATAGGCGGTCAATTGACCACAGATAGCCTACAAAACACGCTGTTAGCGGTATCACTTTTGGTAGGAGACGCCGGGACCGACCAAAAAGGCCAAGATGGTTTGACGGTTGATGCCTTGGAAGATCTCGTCTTCAACCACCACAGTTTGGTCGTCACTATCAGGACTGACATCCGATGTTGAGGTGTGTTCGACGTGGATATTGCTCGGGGTCTTTTCACATACTACCTGGAATTGCTCCATTCCGGAAGTTGGGCTGGCAGAAATGATATCCCAGCTCTGGCCCCCAGCAAGGTCTCAGACTGGGTACTCTGGGGAACTTATAATCTGGGGTATCTGATGAAGGGTCTAAGATATAAGCGAACTTTTACCTCGATACGGCACTCGATGAGCGCCTCGTCTGGAGAACTACTCCCTCCCCCAACACCGAATAGAACCTTTTCGGCATTCACGTCGGAGGGCCGGTAGCTGTGGTCCAATTATAGCTCGCAATGATTCATTTCGCCACCAGTTTCAATTGGCTGCTCTTGCCGTTACGGTGATGCGGCTATTTAGAGCCTTCGGCCTGGCTTCGGCCGCTTTGCCAAACGTGATGCCGGGGTGCCTGGACGCACCGAATACAGATCAAGGAGGACAACCTTGGGTCAAGTCATCGAGTGTCGATTGATGTGGAGCTGAAGTTCCGACCACAGGACACAAAATGTCTTTTGGCTGTTCAACATCAAGCCAACCCCGAGAGGGAAGTCTTTCCCGAAGAATTTGCATCCATTCTAACGAGACATTGCCAGCGTTTGGTAGAGAGTATTCTTGCGATTGCGCATTGCTAGTGCATTAGTTTCAAATGTGTCAGGGAAGAAGGTCTGGACGCTTGCGACTCGGCTGAAGAGCACCGAGTCCAAGATATCTCGCTAGCGAGCAAGGAACGGTAGTCACAATGACTAAGTTGGTGGCAAGGCCTTTCTCGAGTATCTGCCTAGAAGTATCTGAGAATCACAAGAGAAAAGAGAGAGGCGAGGCTAAGGGACTCGACCATGAGGTACGAGGTACAAGTAATAGCTCTGTAGCTCAAGCTACCCAGTACTCAAAGAGCTGCCTCCAGGCTAGTGCAGGGATGGCCAAGGGAAGGCCTAGCGGATCATGTGACTTTGTCATGTGACTTTGTCATGTGACACCAAGTAAAGGCACCCGAGGAGCCTTGGAATCTGTGCATTTTTCCTGTCAGTTTTTCTCGTCTTCAGCCCCGTCATTCAAAAGATTGCTGTCAGATTTTGATCTCCTACAGTAGCTCCACGCATCTCCCCTCGCCGTCACTACGAGCCTCTGGAATTTCTGCAGCCAATAGTTCTCGTCTGTCCAGTCATCTTCTTCGGCGTCTTTGAACCCTTCCTTTGCGACTGAGTATGGCACAATCACGAAAGAGTGACCTAATACCTGGGTCAGTGTGGAAACCCCAGGGTCGCGATATGTATGATGACAAGCGCTTGCGATTGCTCACCGTTTATCCCTTTGTCGCATGAGACCCTCATAATTGCAGCGACGCAGCTGTCCACTGTCGCAAATTCAATCCCCTTGGACAGCATTGATTCATATGTCGCGGCAGATTGTATGACTGTGCGCACATAACTGTCCAGAATTCAGTCAAATTTCATGGGCCCAAGGGTCAAACTGCTTACTAGGGAGCAATATATGCCACTCTGATCCCCTGATGGTACGAATGCCTTCTGACAGTTCTCATGAGGCCTCGGAGGCCGAATTTAGCGGTCGAATACTCCCAGCTGCCCTATTTGGGCTGTGAGAAAGGCTCAAACATCTGTTTCATAGGGGAAGGGGATCACCAGATTATCCACGATGCCGGCAATACTTCCGATGAAAATAAAGCAACGATCTCTATGAGCATCCTGTGGGCACCGACGGAAATAGTGGACAGCTAGCTTGAATGTGTACAAAACGCCGACTAGATTGATGTCGATTATATGGAGGCTTGGTTTCGTCGGTGTGGAAAATGGATCTGAACAGAGCAAGATAGGTTAGTGTATCCTCCAGATGAACAGTCCAAAGAGGCTGGAGTTCTTTCTTACCTTCCAATTGCATCAGCGGATCACCCGCTCCCCTTCCAACTCCCGCGTTTGCAATCACAATATCAACCGATTTTTCAGGAGATTTCGAGATCGCGGCTTCAAACATTCGAACTTGATCATCCCAAGATCTCGTGTCACACTTGACGAAACAGACATGTTGCCTTTGAGGGACAATTGATCAGCCTTGCGTCAACCCGGTGTTGAAAAAAAAAAAAACCTTACGAAGTCAGTTCGGCCTCGACCGCCTTTCCCTTGTCCTCGTTGATATCGCCAAAAGTTACAAAAGCCCTGAACGTCAAATCATCAGTGTTGCCTGCGGTCGTGAATTCCGTCAAAAGCATACCCTGCATCGACAAATGCTCGGACATATGCCTCGCCTAACCCGCTAGCACCTGCTCAAGTGAGTATAAATGCGCTTGAGTAGGTAAATGGGATGCAGCCCATGTCCTGACAAAGGAAACGTTGCATTAGGCATTAGGACTATTTGCTTACCTCCCGTGACAATAACACTCTTTCCTTTGCACTGACTCTTGTCGGGGACAATGCTGCAATCCACGGGCCCGGTGTATTCATAAGGTTGAGATGCCATGTTGAGATCCGGATATTTTGTTTTTGAACTTTGACGCTGCTGACTCGGTAGAGCTTTTACCTTGATGAGTTCTGAAAGCTAGGAATTGCTCGCCAGCTGACATATGGAATGGTAAGAGTATTTGTGTTGCGTTGTTGGAGTAAGGATGGCACACGGTTTATGATTTTCCCCATACTAGACGCTGCCTATCTCCGCACTCAGAATCGGAAACTGGGCGGCTCAATACTGTGGAGTGCCAACTTGGGGGACGACAATCCCAAGTGGTGCGAAACTGCCGTGGTCTAGTTTGTGCAGCGGCAGTGACTGTCCAGTAAGACCTCTGCCGAAGTGACAAGGCTGGCGGCTACGAGAAACCCTCAGCAACCGGGATACTCCCGTTATGTGAAGCCCAGCCCATTGCTTCCATGACACTCGCCAGAGTCGTTCCCGGCCTCGGCTTGCATGAAAAATGGAAAATGCCTATTGGATGCGTCAGGAGATACTATGGATGAACAGGCGGAAGAACACCAGACAGGCGATAGAGAGAAAGCAAGACCGGGTTAGAATATAGACTGGAGGTCTCGAACGTTTGTCGAACCGCAGGCAAACAGAGAACGGATTGCGTTGAACTTTTCAGAGGGAGAAATTAGACATCCCTTCTAAACATGGCTTTAACTGAGGAGCAGTTGACACCCATTGCGACCGTCAGCCCAGGCGGAGAACAGCCAGCCATCCACGACGTTCTGGACGGACATCTGCCTTTTGAAGACGTGCCAGCCAAGAAGGATGTGGCAGACCGCTCGAAATCACTCTCATCGGAGCCGAAGGGGTATTACGATACTCCCTCGAATAATCGATATTCAATCCCTATGGGTGAGCGACTGGCTTTCACTCCTCGCCAGCTTCGAGTCATTACAGTGGGCGCTGGATTTTCTGGCCTCATGATGGCCCATAAATTTCAACATCGCTTCCCAGAGATGGATGAAATGATCGACCATACCATCTTTGAGAAAAGGAGTGAGGTAGGCGGAACTTGGTTAGTCAACACCTACCCGGGGGTTCAATGTGACGTCCCATCCCATATCTATGTAAGCCTGCCCCCCTTTGCCAATATTCACGACAAGTGAAATTGAGAGATGCCTTTCTCTAGGCATTTCCTTTTGACCCAAACCCAGAATGGAGTCGGTTCTACTCAAGTGGTGCCGAGATCCAGGAGTACATCGTCAAAACCACTAAAAAGTGGAACCTGGATCGAGACATACAGCTCAACTCGACAGTTAAGAAAGCGGTTTGGGAGGAGGCGCGAGGACAGTGGTGTCTAACGGTGGAGCACGGTGGAAAAAGTCGACACGAATGGGCGGATGTCCTGATATCCGGGCAGGGAGTCCTTGAGTGAGTCCCTACCTTGACTACAACATGGCAACTAACAATGACGCCAGTACCTACCAATGGCCAACAATTCCCGGCATCGAGAAGTTCAAAGGTCGGCGCGTGCACTCGGCCGACTGGGACCACAGCTACGACTACTCCCACAAAAGGATTGCGGTTATTGGAAATGGGTCATCTGGAGTCCAGATCGTGCCTCAAATGGCCAAACTTCCTGGGACGACAGTGACGAATTTCTGCCGTGGCCCATCCTGGATCTACTACCGGGTGCCCCCGTCACAACATCTAGGCAAATCAGGGAAAACCGGCAACAATCCACCGTATTCAGAAGAAGAGAAGAGGGCTTTTAGAGAAAACCCCGAAAAGATGCGAAACCATCGCCGGGACATGATTGGGAGAACAAACAAGGCGTTTCGAATGGTAAGCGTCTAGGCATGCTTGTCGCTGCGTTTCTGACACAACGTTGCAGTTCATCAAAGACTCAGCCATGAATAAAGAAGCCATGGAACTCGCCCGGGCGCAAATGAGCGAGAGACTCGGGCACGATCCACGGCTATGTGAGATGTTGATTCCAAAATGGTCGTTGGGGTGTCGCCGAATCACCCCTGGCGAGGGATACTTGGAGTCATTTACGCTGCCGAACTGTGATATTACGCAGAGCCCGATTGTGCTGATCACCGAGAACGCAGTCCACACGGCCGACGGCAAGGTGCACGAGGTCGACGTCTGTGGGTGCCTCTCTGTCCCTTCTTGGTTCACTCGCAACACGATATACTGATGATTATTTAGTGGTGTGTGCCACTGGCTTCGATGTGTCGTTCCGCCCGAGCTATCCGACCATCGGCCGCGACGGGGTCGACTTGCGCGAGAAATGGGCTGACACACCCGAATCGTACTTTTCCATTGCCGTGGCCAGCATGCCCAATTATTTCACCGTGTTGGGCCCGAACGCGGTGGCCGGCCATGGGTCGCTGCTCGAGGCGATGAACTGGAATGGCGACTACTTCGTGCGATGGCTACGCAAGATGGCCGAGGAGGACATCAAGTCGTTCGTTCCCAAGTCAGCTGTAGTGGAGCAGCTGAACGTATACTCGGACGAAATCCACAAGTCGCTTGTGTGGACGGCCCCCTGCAAAAGCTGGTACAAGCGCAATCAGGTCAATGGGAGGGTCACGGCCTTGTTCGCCGGCAGTGGCATGTTGTACAAGCGCCTCGTGGGCGGGGAGCTGCGCACGGAGGATTTCGAGATCGAGTACCGCAGCACCAACATGTTCAGGTTTCTGGGCAATGGGTTTACTGCTTTTGAGCTGGATCCGGAGAGCGACTTGGCCTGGTATATTGAGAAATGAGATAGACGACGACCCGATACGATATCAGTGGTGGGCGGGTTCAAGTTTCCATTAGCCACCGAAACACCACTTACTTAGCTAGTGATATACCTACATACATACCCAGTATGTACTTAGGGAGAGATACGAGGCGATATCACCCAAGATCGAGAGGGATTATCTAGGGTCCTTCTGACCAATCTAGGCGGCCAATCCACCTCGCCAGCTCCTTGTTGTTCTCTAGCTCGAGATCCGCCGCGGGAGCCTTTCCTTGCCTTTTCCTTGTGGCGCCTTCGACCCCTTGCGTGCCCCCCCACTGGGACTGTCGCCATCTCTCCCAAAATTTCCGAATCGAATCGAACCAAAAAAGAAAAGAACGTGTCATCCATCTACCATCCCTCGCGTCCCAGCAGAATTCCCGATCTTGACCGCCCGTCACTCAAAAAGGTATTACATTGGCACCCTGCTCCTACCTCCTGCCTGCAGTTCCTCTCTCTATCCCATCTTCTCTTCTCCCACTGGACCTCGACATTGACACAAGCCATGGCCAGGCCAAAGTCGCCACTGTCCAACTCGCTCCCCCCTCTGGTCTTCGGGACTGCCACCTTCAATTATCAGGTAAAGCAACACCTTGCCCCTCAAGGCGGAATGGAAGGGTTTGCTGATACTGGCCTCGTAGTACAACGTCGACCCATATGCATTGGGTCCCACGTCTCTTGTTCAAAAGGCCCTCGCCCAAGGAGTCCATGCTTTCGACACCTCCCCTTACTATGGACCGGCGGAGGAGATTCTCGGGACTGCTCTGGACACCGACCTCGTCCGACGCCATTATCCCCGGGATCAGTACTTCATCCTCACAAAGGTTGGCCGCATCGCCGGCGACGCCTTCGACTATTCCCCGTCTTGGGTCAGACAAAGTGTCCAGCAAAGTTGTAAGCGTCTCAGGACCCATTACCTCGACGTGGTCTATTGCCATGACTGCGAGTTTGTTTCGCCACAAGAAGTCCTCTGCGCAGTACGGGAGCTCCGTCGGATTCGGGACGAAGAAGGCACCGTGAAGTATGTCGGCATCTCCGGTTACCCTGTGTTGGTCCTCTGCGAGCTGGCCGAAATGATTCTGCGAGACACCGGAGAACCGCTGGACATTGTTCAATCGTACGCCAATTTCACCCTCCAGAACACGCGGCTGCTTTCGGACGGTCTCCACCGTCTGGTCAACGCCGGCGTGGATGTTGTGACAAATGCCAGTCCTCTTGGAATGGGTCTGTTGAGATCGACTGGACCTCCCGTGGGGGCCATGGGCAATTGGCATCCTGCACCGGATGGGCTCCGACAAGCCTGCATTAACGCGGCAAAATGGGCAGAGGCTAGAGGGGAAAAGCTCGAAGTTGTCGCGGTCAGATTCGCCCTGGAAAACTGGCTTCGAGAAGGCGCGAAAGTAGGTGCCTTGGGTAGCCCACTGGGTAACGCCGACACGTCTTATGGCCACGCTCTCAACTTGCCCCGGGAGAGACTCGGGGTCAGTGTCATGGGTGTCAGTCGGGTGGAAGAGCTCGATGAGACGATGCGGGTGTGGAGAAGCGTTCTCGACGGTCTCGCCGACGACCTCGATGCCGACCCTGGGACAATCACCCCCTCGGACGCCGTCAGTGATCACGAGTGGTCTCTAGCGCGTCGTCAGACTATCCGCGAACTTGCCAAAGGGATCCGAGGCGTCATCGGCTCTCAGTGGGTTAACTATGCTTGGGCGTCCCCTGATCCCGGCTTTGTCAACCAAAGAAAGAGTAGGGACGATGCTGTGATTGATGAGGTAGAAGTTGCTGCCGCTCCCGACACAACGATGCTCACGCCGCCCTCGGAAGCCGACGACAATGGGAAACCAACGGACGTACCTCCTTTGTGTCCTGAAGCATGATTGCTCAAGTGTGGCGGAATTAGATTTCGGGAAGAGGAACCCGAGGTCGTGGCAAGATTCAATTCACTACTTATATCTCGGCGGTTACGACCACAAGTCTCTACCAGCATTTTACACAGGCCCCTATTAAGACGAAGAGGAAAGAGTGTATGCCGAATCCAAATCTCGCACAGCCCCTTTTGAAAGAGATAGATGAGTTGGGCCTTGGACGACCGCTCGGAGTCAACCCCGGTGTCTACAAGACAGCCAGAGACGCTTGCGATCAAAGACTTGCAGCTGTTTGCCTCTGACCGGTTCATGAGAGATGCTGGAACCGCATTCGAACTCGACGGGTCATGTACGCGAATGGAAGAGGTAATGATCGCGTCTTGCAGGTTATGGTCACAATGCTCTGCGTGGAAACCCACAATCTGCTGGACATTCGAAAGAAGAAACCCGTCACCGCACTTCCAGCTCACGAGCCTCGTGTTTAGGATGTCTTTGTTGAGCTTTTATCGCAGAGGGGACCAAGTGCTGTAGTGACGGTCGGCGGCAAGAACCTGTGATGGCTTTCGATCATGGGAAATGGCTGTGGAGGAATGCAATCCGAAGAAGAGGGCCAACCGCACAGGTTTACATGTGGGCTACCGCCATGGACACGACGGCGCTCGACGGGCGGTTGGTGGAATGTCGCTTAGTTGCGCGGCCAGCCACATGAAGAGGAGACGGTGCCTAGCAAGAGGGTACCTGGCAGAAGGTGTTAACCTGGCCAGCACATCAGGGGCCGTGGGCGATGCGCTGTCTCACAACAGCAAACACCATCTAAAGCGCCAATTGAATGCCGTGGAACTCCAACAATCGCGATTGGCCATTGAATCAATCTTCTGGCTTCTTCCCATAAAACTCCCAAGCGGCCATTTCGTGCCTTTTCGCCCTTCCCCACTGACACAGGCTAATCTGAATGCCCACACGGCGCTTTGTACATTCAGCTAGCGGGCCATTCGTTGACGTTGACGTTGACGGCTACAAGAGATTGCAATAGGCTCTGGAGCTGATGATACTCGTTTTTTTTTTTCCCCTCCCATCTACCAGACGGCTTAACTGCGATACATACTGCCACGTCCCCAAGTGCGTTCGTCTATGACCATGGCCGGAGTGACCCCCAGCGCCTACCTTGATCTACTGAGGTCGGAAAAGTACTCAGATTTTACAATCGCCTGCAACGGCGTCGAGTTCAAGGTCCATCGAGCTGTTGTTTGCCCAGCCTCCCCCTTTCTAGACGCCGCGTGCAACAGTGGCTTCCAGGTATAATAGTCTTTGTCCCTCTCCCGCGCGGAACCCCCCACCAGCATTTCAATTTCAATTTCAACATTGCTAAGCTGGGATAGATATTGACGATGGGACATCTGAACAGGAAGCCATGTCACGAAGGATCGAGTTTCCGGAAGATGACCCCGGAATCGTGGCGAGAGTCGTGCTCTTCCTGTACACGAGCGACTACGATGCCAATCAGGTCCCCACTTTCAACAAGCACAGTCACGGCGGCGGTTGTCTAGCTCAGAGGGACAGATCGGCGTCGTTTTCTGCCGAGTCCGCCATCTCTTCAGGCAACTTCGTCGCCGCCGCCGCCGCCGCCGCCGACGAGAAGAGGAAGCAAGAGGAGGTGGTCGTGGAGGCGCTCAAGATCAACGCGCTCGTCTACAAGTGCGCCGACATGCTGGGCATCGAAAACCTGAAGGTCCTAGCGGCAGACCGCTTCCTGGCCGACGCCGTCGGGCTCGTGGGCGACGACCAACTGGCAGAGCCGTTGCGGGTCATGTACGAATCGACGCACGCGACCGACGAACACCTGCGCCTGCCCGTGACCACGCTGTGCATCCGGAACCACGACACGCTCTCCAAGGCCACGGTCAAGGTGATCCAGGAACACGAGCACAACGTGTGGTCCGTGACGGTGCATCTGCTGCAGGAGGCGCAGGACCGGCACATGGAGGAGGCGCGCAAGCGCAAGTCCGAGTGGCACATCATCTACGACACCGTGACAAAGGTCAACGACGTGCTCGCGAGTCGGTGCGCGTCTTGCCACCGCGAGGTCTCCCGCATCCTCGTGCGGCCCGACAATTCAATGAAAGGCCAGTGTCGCAACTTTTGCAGGAACACCCGCGATGTAGATTTCGATGAAGACCCAGTAGCGATATAGCGACCGAGTGAGCTTCGCCCGCCACCATCACCGTCGCCCAGTCCCACCGCCTGCCCGGTCCATCCATCCACACATGCAGCCGCAATCCGGCGGACGCGGAGGCGAAGGAAAGGCAGAAACGAAGGAAGGGGGTACTGTATCTATCCATTACCAGGACAGTTCTGTTCGTGGAGTGGGAGTTAGTTGCCTACCTACCTACCTACCTACCTACCTACCTACCTACCTACCTACCTACCTACCTACCTACCTACCTACCTACCTACCTACCTATCTTAGGCGGGTATCACTTACGTAGGGGGTGTTGTGTATGTAATATCAATATTATCACGCACGAACACCACATCCCCCCCCCTTACTGCGGAGTACACGCAATATTAGGAAGTCCCAAAAGCGGACTTCCTGGCGGTAGGTGGTAAGACGACGAGGACTCCGTGACAAGATGGGAAGAGAAAAAAGAAAAGGAAAGGAAAAGCAATCAGATCAAAACCGAGGCAGAGGAGGGCCTTTTGTAGCTCAGTTCGGTTCGCTCAATCACTCGCTCATCCTTGACAGTTATTACACATCACTGGGGCTGGGGGCAAAGTTCTCCTTTCTATTTCCGATTCCATTTCCATTCCCCTTGACGCTGATCCGCAGCCAACGTCGCATGGCTTCCTGTCCTGTAAAATGGAGGTACATTGGTACATGGGTATCCAGGTAGAAAATCCTCACTCTCTCGCATGGTACAAATCATGCTGTACTCGTTTATTCAACCTCGACGACAACTCCTCTCTCCACAATCCAATCAATCACGCCCTGGACCGTCCACCTCCCCTCCTTGAATCTCTTCCAAACGGTATCTTCTCCAGCCACGTTGCCCACGGCGTCCTCCAAACCCTTGACGCCGACCATGCCTTCCCTTTCTCTCCACAAACGCTCAGCCTCCTCGCCGGCCCTTCTGACCATGAAATCTTCGTCTTCTGCGCGGTACAAATCGCACTTGTCACACTCTTGACACTTCTGGCCTGGCACAGGGCGGAAGTGTTCGCAAAAGTGTCGATAGCCTTCCCCTCCTTCAATGTTGGAGCCGGCTTTGCCAATGTTTTTGCGGCAGAGATAGCACATGCTATACCCGCAGACGCAGGTGAGTTTGTTGCAGCCGGACGATTTCACGAATGACGTTCCACACCGTGGACACGTCCTCTTGATGGCTGCAGTACGGGCGGCTTCAACGGTCGTGCGGAGCGAAAGTATTAATGGTTCGTGGCAGACGTGCGGATCGTGCCATGCCTTTTGGCATTTGAGGCACGACCTCCGCAAGCAAGAAGGATTGCGACACTGGAAGCGCGTGGTGCGAGTTTTCACGGCGAGGTGAGCTAGCGACGTGTAGAAGAGTGTGACGAAGTAATGGGGGAAGATGAGGAAGAAAGGCAAGAGGAGGATAATGGTGGTTGGGAGGAGTTCGAGAAGGAGGATGAATAGAATGGTGTGAATGCCGGTGGTGGGTTTGCGAACTCGCCACATTATGGCAGATGTGACAGTCTCTGGGTTGTAGATTTCTTCGACTTCGGCGTAAGAGCAGAATGGGCAGCGGACGAGAGGAAGAGCAGAATGTTGCAGGTTATGCTCGGCGAGGCGGTCTTCGAATTTTCTCCAGGTTTCGCGGCTGGACTTATTGTCGGAGCGGCGGAGGGCGCGTTTGAGAAGGTCCTGATGAATATGTCCGTCACAATCATCTGCAGCCAAACATTTCAAAGTGCCGTGCTCGGCGTCGACGGATTTTGCCCACCCTTGTCCGAAAAGGGCCTCATGGAGGGTATGGCGCACGCACTCTAGACAAATGATGTGGTTCGAGTGTGTGCAGAATGAGGCGTCTTCGAATGTCACATCGTTATAACAGACCTGGCATTCAAAAAGTGCACCCGCTTCTTCGGCTTCTTTTAGATTGAGGGCTTGGGCGAGCTCCAGGTCGGAAGCTTGTTGGTCTCTCGGTCTTCGAGACGACTGCACGGGGAAGGAGAACAGTCCTGATAGCTCGCTGTCAAGCTCACAGGACCCCGTTGTGATCAATCGTAACCCTCCTGGATCCGCCTTTGTCTTTTCCAAGAGGACCGACGGAGGTTCGGTCTGAGTTCTTTTCTTCTTGAGAAGGTTTGCAAACGTCGCTTTCCATGACCTGTTCGTCAATTCTTGGAGTGTCGGCCTCGCAGCGGTGTACGAGAAGTTGACTTCGGCAAGGACAGCGTCAACGGCACTCCTGCCTAGTGCACTGAATTCGCGACCGACCGTCCGCCGAACCGCATCTTTGTATTCTTTCGTCCTGAAAAGTTCGTCTGGTGGGAGCGGCTCGTCCAGACTTCGCGACGGGACATTCAATCGGCCCTTAGCCCATTCTGTTTTGTATTTGTAGAGTTGCTCCGTGGCTATCGGAAGTCTGCTGTCACCATCGAACCGGCCAAGGAGTTCACGGAGGACTTCGACCTTGACATCCGGGAAGAAATCGGCGAGGACGAGCAGGTCCTTGTTCAAGGCCACTGAGGGATCTTCATCTTCGTGTTTGTCTGAGGCGGGAACGGAATCCTTCGAGCCTGCTCGGAACGGGTTCTTTCTCAGAACTTCGGCGAGGGCGGAACTGGGGGACGTTTGTCGAGGGATGGGAGTGGGAGTGGGAGTGGGAGCGGGAGTGGGAGTCGACGAGGAAGGCTGCGCACGGTGACGCGATGGCGAGGATCTGGAGTTAGCGGAGCGTTTGGATGCGCCCGAGTAAAGCCACATCACACCGACTGCTGAGGATCGATCTGAACATGGTGGTCAAGCAGGTATCGATCGAGGGACGGGCAAGGACAAAGCATTATTCTTCTTCAGATCTTTGGGGATTACCCAGGCAGTGCCACTGACTTGCTGCGCCGGCATGAGTAAGGTCAATAAGAGAAAAGTAGACAAGTCCGTAGAGGCGGCTCGTAGCCTCCCAGAGTGGCCTTATTCCAGTTCTGGGCTGGTCGATGTAGGTGATTCCTTGCTTGTGTGTCTCACTATTCGCTACGCCCGCGCCAAAATTGACTCAATCAACCCGTATTCCGTATTCCTTCGTAAATGTCACGACCACTTCCATACATCCCCAGCTGGACCAGAAAATCCCCCCCTCAAAAAAACAAGGAACAATCCAAAAAAGGAATGATCCTCGAATTAGTAATAGTTGTATCTGTTTGCAAATAGTATTCCACTGCAGTGCTTTCACACAGAGCAAAAAAGGGCTCAATCGGGATTCGAACCCGAGGCCTGTCACATTTCATGGCTTTTTCAACCAGAGGCCAACACCCGAAGCGACAATCATACCACTAGACCATTGAGCCGCAGAGGGGAATCTGTGTTGGATTTGGAGCACAGAAAACGCTAAAATTTATGCCAGTTCAATATATATAGTACGTAAATTGACGGCGAGAAACTGGGGATTTCCTCGGCCGTCTGGTTCCCCGAGCTCCTTCTCCAAAGGCCCCATGAGGCGTCCATTTGGGCGGCTCTCCATTGCCGGACATGTCAGAAATAGAGGCATTAAAACTGCCGAGTTACTCACTTCGAGAGAAAGGAATAAAACTCTCCATGTGAAGAGCCTTCTAACCATGTTGTCAAACCCCTCAGATTATGCTACCTGAAATCCAGCCAGACATGTTTTCGCTACATAATCTACAGCTTGGGCTTAGGAGCACCCAAGAGCTCAGCACCAGCACCGGCAATGCATAGCTTGCCTGTCTCCTTGACCTTGGTCTGGAAAATGATCTTGTTACCCTCCTTCCACATCTCAGTTACCAACGTCTGGCCTGGAATCACGGTACCAGCAAAGCGGACCTTGATGTTCTTGAATAGGCCAAAAGTCTGGACAATGTGTTTGCCGCTGAAACCCATAAAGCAGAGACCGTGCAGGATAGGCTCCTTGAAGCCACCGATTTTGCTGAATTCAGGATCAATGTGAAGCGGATTCCGGTCGCCGTTGAGTCTGTACAAAGCAGCCTGATCTTCCGAGGTCTTCTCCTCTACGACGGCATCAGGAGCTCGCTTAGGCGGCTGGTAGACGGTTGTTGCGTTGCCACGGTTGGCTCCTTTCTTGGGTCCTCCGAAACCACCAGACCCTCTGACAAAGACGGTGGATTCATTGTAGAAGACGTCCTCTCCCGTCTTCGCGTCCTTGGTGACAGTGCCAGTCACGACAATACCAGCGTTGCCCTTATCGACAACTTCGACCAGGCGGGGGTAAGATACCAATTTGGCGGCAGTTGGAATAGGGAACTTTCGAATCTCAAGGTATTGTTCGCCATGTAGCAGCATCATAGGAGAGAAGTTGGGAAGGACCTCGTCCATTGAGAAAGGCGCAACAGCACCGAAGAAGGGGATGACTCCAAAAGTCGGCAGAACCTGGAAGTTGTCGTCGTTTTCATAAACCAAAGGCAGTTGTGTTCTCTTTGCGTTGAGGGACAGGTTGTAAAGGATCACATCCTTGTCATCATAGACAAACTCAGTGCCACTGGCTTGAGCCTTCTTAGCCTTTTCGATTGCTGCCAAATAGTCTGTCCCAGATTCCGAGTCCTCTGATTTCTTACTTCGGTTCTCCATGTTGGCCATAATCGACTTAAGACCGTCTTGACCGCTCTCAGGGTGATCTGCTCTGCCGTCGTCGAAGTTTGTGATTCGGTCCCATTTCTCGACAACGTGCTCAGGCGTCAGTTTAACGTCCACAGGGAAGCCATGGCCGCCGGTTCTCTGCCAACGTGTACGTGCTTGCCATCCACTGCCGACTTCGAACAGGAGGCCTGTCGGTGGTTCTGGGACTTTATCTGAGCATAGCGCTAGTACCAGAGGAGCGACATATTCCGGCTTAAAGAGTTGCACTAATTCTTCGGGCAAGATAGTTCGAGTCATTTGAGTACCCGCGTTTGGTGCAATGGTGTTGACGAAGATGTTGTTCTTCCGGCCTTCTAACGCTAGAGCCCGAGAGAATCCGAGTATACCGAGTTTCTTGTTCAGATCAGCACACGCCTCGTGTAAAATCTAGGAAACTTACCGCAGCAGCGTAGTTAGCTTGACCAAAGTTGCCATAGATACCACTCGTACTGGTTGTGTTCACAATTCGGCCATATTTCTGCTTGACCATGTGCGGGTATGCTGCCTTGGTCACTTTGTAGGTGCCACGGAGATGGACATTAAGGATGTCATCCCATTGCTTGTCTTCCATATTGGCGAAAGCCTTGTCCCTAAGGATACCGGCGTTGTTGATCAGGATGTCAATTCTGCCAAATGTATCGATGGCCGTTTTGACCACGGCGTCACCGTCCTCGACCGAAGCTTTGTTGCCGACAGCCTTGCCGCCAAGTTTTTGGATCTCTTGTACGACAGTATCTGGGTTAACAAGGTCATTGACAACGACAGAGGCGCCGCGCTTGGCGAAAGCAAGACAGTAGCCCCGACCGAGACTGCACATGTTAGTTAAAGTCAGCAATGGAGAAGATAGGGGACATACCCAGCACCACCGCCAGTTACTAGGACGACTTTCCCATCAAAGCGGATGTCCTCGCCTTGTTCATTAGGTGGCAGTTTCATTGATTCTTCGGCCTTGGTCACGAAGTCGGCAACACCATTGGGGTATTCCGGCTCGGAGAAATCGTTGACCTTATCCCACTTTTTCAAAATGGCGCCGGGAGTGTAGGTCTCGTCGGCCTTGAGCAAGAGGCCCTTGGCACGTTCCCATCTCAACTTGGCGATATGACCTCCACCCACTTCGAAGATCGAGCCACTTGTATGGGTGTTGGAAGGGTGAACCAAAACAGCCACTAGTGGTACGACCCAATCTGGCTTGAGGTTGGCGAGCACATCGGGAGGCATGACGGTCTCCGTCATTCGACTGGCGGCAATTGGAGCGATGACATTGCAAATGATGTTATATTTGGCTCCTTCCTTGGCCAGTGTCTCAGTAAACCCGACTTGAGCGAGTTTGGCGGCGGAGTAGTTGCACTGGCCGAAGCTACCGAAGAGACCGGCCGCAGAAGCAGTGTTGATGACCCGCCCGTACTTCTGTTTCCTGAAATACGGCCACGCAGCTCTTGCACATTTGTATGCTCCTTTAACGTGAACGGTGTTGATCAGGTCCCAATCAGCATCCTTCATGTTCTTGAAGCTGATATCGCGGAGGATACCGGCATTGTTCAGGAGGACGTCAATGCGGCCGAAGCTGTCAATGGCAGTTTTGATGATCTTGTCGCCATGCTCGACACTGTCGTAGTTGGCCACGGCTTTACCGCCGGCAGCCTTGATCTCGTCGACAACGATATCTGCGGCCTGGGCGACGTCAGGATAGGCGGAGACGGGGTGGAGCATGTGACAATTTCAGACAAACCTTTGTGCCAGCACCCTCGCCCTTGAAGGAACCGCCCAGGTCGTTGACAACAACATTGGCACCTCTCGAAGCAAAGAAGATGGCGTATGCTTTCCCAAGACCACCGCCAGCACCAGTGACCACCACGGTCTGGTTGTCGAAACGTAATTCTTGCACCATCGTCACCTGTTCAACTGTCTCTCATGCGGATTACGGAAGAGGATGTCCAGCTCGACGTCACGAAGATAGAAGGAGGGAGAAGGAAGAGCCGACTATTTGAGACCTTGCGCCGATATAAAGAACTGCGGCCGTAACGGAGAGGATTGAAAAGGAACAAGCCGAAAAATGGTGCCGGTGGGATTGAAAGGGAGTAGTAGTATCGTTAAACAAAACACTGTGAGCTCTGCGAGAATGTCATGAGTTTGGTTATTGACATCCAATTGGAGGGCTGGAGGGCCTCGGTGTCGTCAGTCTGAAAAAGTGCCGAGGTTCATGGTCACATGACACTCGGGATCCCAGCTCGCCAGCTCGCCAGCCCCACCCTGCCCACGATAACCAAGACAACCTGGCATTTTCGTCCCCTCCGCAAGCTTCCATCGGCGAGCGAAACCTAGCAGTACTCCCAAATCCCGCCCAGTTTTCGCCTCCACATCCTTCTATCGGCATGTGAAATTAAAAGTGCGGGTGCCGACCAGCTGCCCCGTCAAATGTGGCCTGGCCAGCAATGGGTCAGGCGGCTTGCATGCGCCAAAAAACAGCTCAACACCACACACCTCATTGAAACCGCGAAGAAAACGTCTACAAGATTTTATACGAGCAGGCCGTCCATCGAGATATACGGCCTGTTGCCGTGCGGGCAATCTCTGCTCAGCTCCATTGCGACCGGAGTCATCTCCGTGCTTGGAGCGGGTAATCTTCTAGCCGTAACCCTCTCTCAAATGCTGCAGGAACTGACAATTCCCATGAAAACTGCAATGAAATTCCTTCCCTCTTCACTGTCCTGAGACTTCTCACACTTGCGTGAAAGGCCCCCTTTCCTGGGGAACAAGGGGACAAAGATGGCCGAAATTCGCGACGACAAGGCCCAATACGTTGTGCCCTTCATTCTCTCCCTGCTCGCGGAACATCAAAAGGCATGTTCAACATCTTCAAATCCACCACCCTTCTTCATCGGCCTGAACGGCGTCCAAGGGGCCGGGAAAACGGTCCTCGTGGACATTTTGAAAACCACGCTGTCGTCTCCGCCCCATAATCTCTCAGTAGTGGTCTTCTCCCTCGACGACCTCTACCTGACGCACGCCGATCAGGTGGCTCTGGCACAGTCGCACCCAGATAATCCGCTGCTGCAGCACAGGGGACAGCCTTCGACGCACGACATTCCCCTCGCGCTTTCGGTGTTCGCGAGCCTGAAGCAAAACAACCCCACCAAGATCCCGCAGTACAATAAAGCTGCCTTCTCAGGCCAAGGGGACCGTGTCCCCGAGAGTGATTGGGAAGAAGTCAATACCGACCCATCTCACCCGGTGCGCGTGGTCTTATTCGAGGGGTGGTGCGTCGGGTTCCGCCCGTTGGCCCAGGAAGTATTGGAGTCAAAGCACGCCGCCGCCGTGGCCGCTTTGGAGAATTCTACCGCCGGCAATCCCTACAAGGGTCGTTTGGGACATAATACTCTGGAATCGATCACGACCATCAACGAGGCCCTGAAAAAGTACGACGAGATAACCACCCAACTCGACGCGTTCATCCACATCGACGCCCTCGACCCGCAGTATGTGTACAGGTGGCGCCTGGAGCAGGAAGCCGGCCTTCGCGCGGCAAGGGGAAGCGGAATGACGGATGAACAGGTCAAGCATTTTGTAGACGGGTATTATCCTGCGTATGAGCTGTACACGGACACGTTGAGGCAGGGAGTGTTTAAGGGGATCAAAGACGATTGGCAGAACAAGCAGTTGCGCTTGGTGGTGGGGGAGGACCGGAAGGTTAGGGAGGTGGTGAAGATCTGAAAAATGTAAAAAAAGGGTTCAATCTGAAAATATCGATGAGGGTCTGGCACGGAACTGCGACAGACTGGAAATTTCCCAGCCGGTTGTGGTTGTCGGAATGGCCGCGGTAGGGTAATATGCAAAACCCAAATCGAAGGAAAGAGATGATGAGTGAAGGACGTGAGAAATGGACAACTGCCCGCAGACAGAAGCACCACAAACGGGACCGTTTACGAATCTCTTATTCCCTTTGCTCTCAAATGGTCTATGATCATGAGACCAGCGATCTTGCTGCGGCGCATTGCCTGCAACCAACACGACCACTTTGCATAACATTAGATTCTCAGCCGAAAACGCCTCGAGATCACACTCACTGAGTGAACGCGAAGTCGGGCCTCCTCCAAGCTAAGATCCGCCCTGTGGAAAGGGAGAAATCACCAAATTCTCGCAGCTCGGGACGAGCTACTTGATCCCAGATTCACCTAGCCTGTCAGAATGAACTCTGGGGGCAAGCGATTGGGGCTGCGTAGTCAAGTTCCAAGTGGAAGGACGAAAACGGGGCATGACAAGTTCAGCACTACCTCTTTTGTCGGTGGATGGTTGCTCGGCGAGCAGGTTCACTCACTACTCACTTCCAGATTGAACGAGAATGAAGCATCGATAGAAGGGAGGCTGGAGTCGAAATTCATGCCTTGAAAGTGGCTGATAATAGCCTTGCTATCTGCTGCCAGTCAATGGGAATCCCATCAATTCTTATGCCTCCCCACAGTTAGCATGCGTATCAAACCACCTGTCAGCATGCTCGATGTAGCTCGAATAATGTTGAATACAGCCACCGTCCAAGAACGCAACAAATCCGAGAGGACACTTTACTGTTTTAGAGGTCGCTTTTGCCTAGAGCATGAAGTCGGCGCTCTTCGAAAAACAGTTCATGCCCTCTTGTTGTTGATTCCCTTGAGATAGACGTCACTGGCGAATCATGTCAGTAAGTCATGCTTCAGAATCAACCAGTTCTGCAACTGGAGACAGAAAATCATCAAGAGGTTGAGAGTAGACAAGGCATATGGAGACTCACAAGATGAGGGTAGCATTCCTCGGAATGAGATCCCCGAAACCACTACAAGTCAAACCATCAGTCAGCATATAGAAACCGTGAAAACGGGGAACATATTGGTTGACTAGTCTGTCGAGGGCAAGAAGCTATGCCAAGTCGAAATCTTGGGCGGATGCTGGTTTCTCTCCCGCACCGCACGGTACACAATGTATTGACTCCGTAGGGTTTGATTGGTAACTCATAGGGCAAGGAAGTCCTCTAGGCTGTGCAGAGATGGGAGTTTTGGTCAGATACTAACCGGTCGCCGTACGCCATATGCCTGGATTCAATGTCAGCTGATTAAGTCCATCGATAATTCAAACAATGGCTCAAGCGTAGCCTCCGAGGCTGTCAACTGAAAGGAAAGAAGGATCTAGTGTCCGTTGGACTTCCTCCCAACGAGCAGGATATGTATGTTTGGAGCATTCCTACGGCTGGATTGACAACGAAGTAAAACAAGAAACGAAGATCTCGAAGACTCACCCTGGAATTGTCAATCTGCTCTTCTCACCCAAAGACATTCTAGTCACGCCCTCGTCCCAACCTGCGGGAACCCATTGTTAAGGACCACTATTGAAGTGGAGGTGACATTAAAATCCATACCTCGAATGACTCTACCGACCCCAATCGCAGTCTTGAAGTCCCCGCGGCCCACTGAGCTGTCGAATCTGATGAACAAGTCAGAGCACGACATTTGAAAGTGGTGGTCACTTCTGAGCGAGAGGTCTTACTGGGAGCCCTTGAAGTCCTCATCGGGTCTTGAGGCATCGTACAACCAGCCGGTGTATTCGATGACGACTTCATCGCCCCTGGTTGGATAGTCGCTGTTGTTCCCGGGCGAGAGGACCACTTTCTGTAGTTGGGATGCCATGGCTGTTGCCGAGTTGGATAAGCTTGATCTCTACCGAGGAGTTGCTGCGGGAGTTGGAGGTGGACTGAGGAATTTGTGAAAGGGATGTGAGAAACAGGTGTTTTTGGAAAGTTTGGGAAGAAAAGTCCAGAGAGGTCAAGCCTGAATATATTGGGCAACTGGTGGCGGTTGCATACGAATGGCAATCAGCATTTGATGGTGGGGAACGAGGTAGACCGAAGGACGAAGTCACTCGCTGATGGCCTTGGCAGGAACGCAATCAGCCCTCCAAAGGAAAGGCAAGAGCGAGTGGAAATGGCTGGCTCCTACTCAATCCCTATAAGGAAGGGAGGAGGGAGGAGGGGACGGCGGGCAGTGACTGGAGCTGCTGGTGGACTCGAGGGCCAGCGGCAGGCGCAAAAGGCGACGGGAGATGGTTGCTCACAACCCGCTTTGGATCGGTTCTGCGCGAATGGGCACAGGGAGAACAGGAGAACAAGGACAACAAGCCAGAGGTATCCTTGTATTCTCGGGTTGAGCTCGCGCGTGTGAGTGGCAGACGGCCGCAGAGAATTGACTTCCCGGCCAGACTCAGATGCTCACGCGTGGATTTGCAGGGGGCTGACCTGGACTTGGATACAACGAGAGCGTCAATGAGGTGAGAAAGCTCTCAGAGATCCGAAGTTTGAGCAAGTCGTCGTCGGGGGACAGGGATAGAGGGCGCTAAACAAGCAGGGGTTCGAACACATGAAGAACAGGGCATGCGAGACAGATTGGAAGATTGAGGCGGAGGGGGATGAATGGGGCCGGGTCTAAAGCCAAAGCACTCCGGAAGAGATCGGATCAGAGAAGACTCAGTCAAAACATGCAGCAGACCACCAGGTTCTTCGCTAGAGGGAAAGGCAAACAGGAAAAGAAACGTCGACCCAAGATGCCGATCTGTCGGGAGGACGGCGAAAGAGGGGTAGCGAGAGGAGCGCAGGCGCGAAGAGGCAACGCAGGCACCGCAGTCTGCAGACACCGCAGGCGGTGCGGGGCAAGCGACTTGTGCGGTGTTCCTTGGTAGATACCGGGTACCACCAGTCTCACTCTCGTCTCACTTTCACCTCAACCGTTCTATTACACCGACTACATTTTTTCCCTCCTTTGCGCCTTGAGCTTGCATAAACAAAGCAATCAACTTCCACAATCAGTCCACTCGTGCAAGGCGCCATCAAAACGCATGGCCGAATCCTCATATTTGCCACCAGCTCCGCCCTCGTCTTTGACAAAAACGGTTCCCCTAAACAGGCAATTCCTGGGAGTGACATCGACGCTACCCAGGGCTACCCAGGACTACCCAGGACTAGTGTCCAGAACGACCTCCTCACTAGGTACCGCTACTTGGACCACCATGGCTGATCAGGCGGGGCGGTCTTCCCTCCTCTCTGACTGGCTTCGGGTGCGTTGTGCATTCCTAGCGCACCAATCCGCACCGCTCGCTGCCTGCCCAAGCACAGCATCCAGCATCCAGCATCTGGTGTTTGCTGATCTTGTATCCGAACTTCCAGCTACTAGGAAGGTTGACGCCTCATACCTTCCAATCACTGCTGGAACGGCTCAACTCGTCGCATGATAGGGCTCCTCCATCCGTCAATTGCTGCCTAACCATCCAAGAACTCCATGGCCCTCATCATCGGTCTGGACTTAACAAGTTGGCCCGACAGGGCATCGCCGCGTCCCGCATCTGACAGGAACATCAGCCTCACCCAGATCTTTGGTTGACCGAAGCAGCCATCCAATCCTGGTCCGACACATGTCGGTTCTGCTGTCCAAACCTATCCTCCCTTTTGACCTCGTATATGCACTAGAACCAACATCCCCGTCGTGGGCGGTTAAGAGATTGAGTCGGAGAAATCATCCCTGTCAATTGGGCTCGCGACTGCCGTCTTTTCATTTGGCGCTTCGGACAACCGATGCTGCTCCTTACGCTTCATCTCTCGACCATTCTCTCTCGAAGAACGGCTGTGCCTGGGCACGTGATACACATGACCCGTCGATCCACACGATGGTGACTCTCACACGGTAGTCGACACCACGCAGTTCTTGGGATTATGCTTTAGTTCACCCCACGATTCCGCGTTCCCCGTGGGCAGCTGTGCGTCTGTTTCTTCGCTTGAAATACAAATCATCGTTCACAGTGCCTCGCTTGCCGCATTTCCTCCACTCCGGATTCACTACTGAAGTTCGGATATTGTCCACCTCTGGGGTTGTCGACAGATATGTTATGTGCTGACGTCGACATGCATGGACGACATCAAACAAGGTCGGCGCCTTTGGTGACTACTCCATGCAGGAGTAATCCTCATGCATCAACATTGGAAATCTACAGCCGTGGCGTCGCACATGACCTATTTTCACACAGCCCAGAAGAATATTAGATCGTGTGATATCGACGCCTCTCTTTTGCGGCTGACGATTCTGATCAGTTTCCTGTTGGCCTGGTCGGGAAGGCGGAACGACGACAGCCTCCAACACGCCGGCGACATTCCATCCGAGCTATGTCAAATATTCCGGTCTCATGGAAATGGAAGGCTAGCCACCACATCTGGTGCAGCTGTTGTCAAGTAGTCTTTCTCATTTACCCCAAAATCTATGTTCTCTCAGCTCTTTCAGCCCCATCCGTTCAGTACGCAAAGCCTGAAAGCGATCGTCATGTATTTGGCCGTGTGCCTCGGTGGGTTCGCGATGGCTTAGAAAGATGACCGAACCGATGCCCACCTTTTCCAAAAATGCCAGGACGCGTGGGTAACTATGGGCGATCTGATCGACACCGTGGCTGTCGTCAGACAAGCAAAACAGAATGCCTCGCTCCAACGCGGCCTGGCAAATCTCCCCTTTTGGGTATGGCTCGTCCATGCCCTTCCTCACTGCCGAAGAATTGATTTCCAGTATTCCCCCGTAAGCGGTAATGCAATCCAGATTGCGCAAGATCCGCGCCCACACCCCCTCCATCTCCCGAAAACTCTGGTTCGGATCGTCGCTCTTCAACCGAACGAGGTCAAAATGCCCTACCACGGGCGGTCTCAAGGATGTCAACATGTCAAACTGAGCGTCGAAGTAGTCTTCAAAGATCCTCTCGTCTGTGCCGCCTGCCTTGGCTCGCGCGTCACGGTACATAGCGTGGTCGTAGTCGATGGGGATGGTGTGGACGTGGTGCACCGAGCCGACGAAGAAGTCGTACGGGTACTTGGTCAGGCTCTGCTTGATCAGGTCCTCGGACTCGGGACGGATCCACTCCCCTTCAAACCCCAGTGGAAGCCCTATCCTGTCCTTGTATTTCTGGCGTAAGCGGAGAGCCTCGGCGACATAGGCCTCTTCGTTTGCAAGGTGCGTCTCGAGCGTCGACGTCTCTTCCGGGTACCGGTCTTGGTCGTGCCGGGGCATGTGTTCAGTGAGTGCGAAGACCGACATGTTCTTGGAGATGGCCGTCTGGATCACGTCTTCGAGGGAGTCGCGCGCGTGGCCGGGGCAGAACTGGCCCGAGTGGGAGTGGTGCGAGAATGGCATTTTTTTTTTCCCCTCGACACCGAGGTTTGGAATAAGCCGTCGCTTGCACCAAATAGCAGAAGGAGGTTCTGTAAACCAATAGTTAGCTGCTGTTCAATACTAAAGTCTCTCCGTCTGACCTCAATGATCCTAGATCCTCACATATTTTCGTCAATTTCCGCAATTCTTCAAGGAATAATCAGTCTAGAGAGCTATCTTACTATGTCCAGCTATGCCCCCCGTTCATCCCGAAGTTCACCCGGCCACCACGACCCCTCCTGTCCCAATTCAGACCTTTCCAACCGTTTCCCTTTCCATAAAGAACACCCATATTTCAAAGCTGAAAAAAAAAAAAAAAAAAGGTGCGAGGAACATGGGACTCGAACCCACAACCTTGGCTTTTCAACTACAGCCCTTCATATCTTTTGACGGATGCGGGAAGGGAAGTAGGAGAGCCACGCGCTACCATTGCGCCAATCCCCCTTTTTTCGTTGAGTAGGCAAGGTAAAATCTCGTCGAAAATCTGTGCTCGAATTTGGCAAAATTCCAGCTCTTTTTGCGTGGCGAAAGGAGATAAAGCACGGTGATGGGTCACGTGATGGGACCTGCATTGTGGGGTGTTTTAGTGTGATCGAATGCCAAGCCATCGCTACCTATTACCAAGCACCTCGTACCGGGTACATCCTTTCTACTAAGCGGGCTCGGCGGTATCAGGCTACTCCAGCTCTCTTATTTACAGCCTCGCAACATTCAGAAATGACTATCAGCATTATCAGCCTCTTGACCAGACGAGAAGAGAAATTCGACTCCTGCGCATTGAGCCAGCGCAAGCCTCTCAAAAGATTTAGTCTGCTCCCTTGTGCGCACAGAGCTCGAGAACTGCCCATCATTTACCGCCATTTCGTACTGCTGGGGCGATAATCTGGAAGATACTCTACCTGTCTCACTCACCTTCTGCGAATCTACTTGTGTCAACTCATCACATGCAGAGAATGATGTCGGCTACACCAGTGGACAGTCTGGTCGAACGGATAACAACACCCCAACATCAACGGTTACGTTCAATATCACTACCCATCTCCATGCCGCTCTACGCAGCTTTCGGCTCATCGACGGATCGGATGTTTCCCTTTGGGCAGACAGGCTTTGCATAAATCAATCCGACAGTCTCGAACGATCTCATCAAGTAGCTTTCATGGATAAGATTTTCACCGGGGCCTCAAAAGTCCTTGTCTGGCTGGGAGGCGAGGTGGAGACTCCATCTGATGTTTTGCCGGCAAGAGATTACCAGATTTTGAATTTCTTCAACATCATAGGGCCAGACGGTCTAGAAAACAGCATACATCCTTCTTCACACAACGGGCTTTGAAATCGAAGTCTTAGGTGATGTCGGTGCGCGAAGAACCCTAGAAGATTTGATAACTTGTGGATGCCCAACAACTTCCACGACACCGTCGATATTGTCGCACTTTACATTATTTGGTTCACCGGGTGGGTTCTATCGCCTCTAGGTACTAACGGTACAGGAAGTTGTGAAGGGCAATAATCTTCAAGTGCGCCATGGTCACGCGATTATTCACTGGCAAACCATTCTCTGGCTCGCAGAATGTTACAATCATCTTACGACTGTGGCAAGTGCTTTCACTCTGGCCAATTCTGTGAAGTTTGAAATCGATTAAATGTGCAGTCACGTTACAGTCTTTTGGAGGACATTTGGAGGTCTACAGTCAACTCTGAACGATTGCAAGGGAGGTGTAGCTTCTCGTCCATTCCACACTTTTCTTCGTCAAGTCCAATTTCATCATGCAACCATTCAAAGGGACAAGCTCTATGCCCATATATCATCTCGCAACAGATTCGTCCGGGCTAGCTTTTACCCCAAGCTGTACAGAGACAATCCAAGAGACGTATCAAAAGTTTACATATCCAATACCTACAAAAGACGGGGTCTTTGAGAATTCTGTCTCTCGCCGGGTTATTTCTTCGTTCAAAAGGACACTCGGACATCGCAAGCTGGTTACCAATCTATCATGACTACCCTTCTAGAGGATGCATCGAAGATAGTATTCATGCTGGTGTTCCTGGCTGCTTGTTTAACGCGAGCGCTGTCAAGTCAATTTGCCATTGGATCAATTCGCCTCCGGCATCCTTATTTTACTTGGTGTGGATTTGACGACTGTCAAATATGTAATGCCCATTGATGAACTTCCTGGATGGCAAATTTGCGACACGCCTCTTCCAAAACTCTGGGCTTTATTGCATAAAGCCCATCGCAGCCTCTTTCATGGGACGCCACCTTACGGACCGTCGATGGGATCTAATTGTCCAGGGGAATACACATATCCACTGCGTGATCTGAAAGCCATCTACAAGATACTCTATAATCAAATCCGTGGGGGTGCTGGAGACCTCGGTCGACAGGCATTCGCCTTCCTTTCGCTCCGCGATGATCCCCGGTTCGATATCCTACAGTCATCACTGGCCCAACGCGAAACATTGCGCAGGTGGCTGCGTAACGGTCAGCGCTCAGATTCGCCAACCTCAGGGATGGCATGGGGATCACGGGCACCAATTGTAAAGGGAACCACACCGTTTCTCTCCGAGGAGGGACAACTTGGCTTCTGTCCCATCGGAACCCAGTCTGGAGATTTGGTGGTAGGAAGCAACGGCCAGGGGGAAAGCCACAGCCATTACTGTCACGCGGACAGGGCATCACATTCGAGTAGGTAGGAGAATGTTATCTCGAAGGTGCCATGGATGGCGAGGTCTTCAAAAGCCCTCGGTGGTCCGAGAGAGACCCTCTATACGCCGACTTTGGGGACTACGATCCTGCATTCACATCTCGGCGCGAGAGAGGAAATTATCGGAGGGGAGTTTGCAGGAAGAGACCCTTTCTAATCGTGTAGAGATTCGGCTGGGTAATGCTCTTGATGGAGAATGTATGCGAAACCAAAGAATAGCGTGCCGTTGTACTGTGTAGTATGAAAGCGGCTTTTCGCTCGATCTCCAGAATCTAACGTGATTTGGCAAGCAAACTTTTTTTCCGTTTGCGGATATTATAAGGTATACTCGGTATATTAGTACAGGCTTCGTGTGATTTCATCCAAGGTGAACCCCAAGAATGCTCCCCACGTAATTCTACGGCAAAACCAGCACGACTTGTCGTTGACAAGGATATCTCTCGCCCTGGCTCACTCATAAGAAAACTTATGAGACCTGCACCTATAACACCAACGAAGTGAAGCTGTGACGTGAATTAGTGCTAACGCCGGCGGGCGCGACGCTCAGGAAGGTGAAGCGTATATCTTGTTGAGTTCCAGCGTTTCGTGGTGAGGTTGTTGGTAGCGTTTATTAATCTCTTTTTTTTCCTGGCCTCCCGAATTTGGTTGTCCAGCTCATCTCTCTCCTCTCTACCTTGCTCCCATTTGTCATATTCCTTGTCTCTCTCGGCTCTGAACTTGTTGAGATCTCTGTTGGTGTATATGATCATCTGTGCTTCTCAGCTGTATAATTCTTTTATTAATTAGTTGATGTTTTATGGCACTTACGTCTCGAAGCTCCGCTTTCGTATTGCCGTCCATTTCATTTGATATTTCTGCAATGAGGATATCCCTGCTCCCTTTCGTCTGCTGAATCTCTGCTCTTTTCTGTTACCCCTTAGCTGTTTGATCTTGTTGACATTGTTCTGTTCTTTAGTACATACCTGCTTGAGACGTTTGTGGCTGCGAGATATTTCGGCTCGCTCGGTGTACCTGATTGATTGAGATGGTGGGATTCTGCTTGGCAATGTTTGCTGTCGAGCAAGCAAGGCGGACTTGGAGAAGATGCAGATGGATAATGTCCCCAGATCCCTTGGTTCGCGCAAGAAAGTAAGTTTGGGGTTGGCGAAGATCTTGGATGCGGGACGGAGGGGCGCATACCTGGACAAGCGGGGGAGTTGAGAGTCGTAAGCAAATGAGCAAGGTGACAAGGAACCCACAAGGGACCCATAGAGGAAACGGTTGCCGCGTGGAAAGGACTCAAAGAGACTAGCTCTACCCCATACACGGAGTATAACCACTGCTATTCTGAAGTTAGCAATTCGATATTATACACTGGGGATTAAGATCAACGCTTTAATGTGGAAATCAAGGAAGACCGCAGCTAACAGATTTTCCGCTCGCATCTTCGAGTAAAGGCGTTTGGGAGCGAGAGAAGGAATAGAACGCGCTCAGTTGTCAGAGGTATCATGTCTTCCGATTGATTTCATTTCATTCAAGGGGTTATATGCACCGTGTACCTCCTTTCTGGCCATGCACGTCTCAAATCCAAAAGCCGCCAGACATATAGGATAGCCGCAGGTTGAACAGGAAAAACACCATGCAAATATAACATCACTTTTGTTGCCTCAGGGAAGACCCTTTTCGTCCCTCACTTGTTTTGATCTAGTTCTCGACACAGAACTACGCAGCCCCTGCCATTCAGCACCCAAGCTGATGGTGGTTTTCAAGTGAGTGATTCCTTCTCTTGTAGACCGAGCAACAAACTAACAGGCTATAGCTTCTTGTCATGGTTCATTGGTTGCTGCAGCTTCTGCAGCCAGATGCTCGCCTTCCTTGGGATGTTCATCTCCGACTGTTGCGTTCTTCGCATAGATTCCATCAAGCGTGACAGTCATAGCGCCAGACTGAACCAGCGCACTTCGGAGATCATCCAGGAGATCCTCTCCGTCCTCGATCCCGACACACAGTCGGATCAGGTCTTCAGGCACGCCACGCTCTTTGCGAGTCTTGGCATCGATGCTGGCATGGCTCATGCGGCATGGCATGCTGATGAGAGAGTTGACACAGCCGAAACTCACGCTGATGGCCCATAGTTTCGCGGACTCGACGATCCGCTCGGACAATTGGATGTCCCCGGTCTCGAATGACAAGACCGCACCGGGCCCCCGGGCCATTGAATGGAAGAGGTCATACTGGGGGTGACTCTTCAGACCGGGGTAACGGACTTTGAAGCCCGCGGACTCAAGAAACTGTGCAATCATCATGGCGTTTGCTTGCTGTGCATCCATGCGGACTTTTAGTGTTTTGATTCCGCGCATGAGGAGCCAGCAGTCAAACGGAGCAAGGCCGCAGCCTGAGGCATTGATGGTGAAGTAAAATTTCTCACCCAGCGCTTCGTCGTTGACAGCGAGGACACCAGCCATCAAGTCGTGATGGCCTGACAGATATTTCGTGCCAGATTCATAGACAACATCTGCTCCGAGTTCCAGAGGGTTTTGGAGCAAAGGTGAAAGCATGGTGTTATCCACAATCACTAGGCATGAGGGGTTGGCGGCGTGGGCGAAACTTGCAATGGTGGGAATATCCACAATCTTGATCAGGGGATTGGTAGGCGTCTCAAGCAGTACCATGGCGGTCTTGCCGCTCAGCACCTCCTTCACCTTGTCAGGTGCGGTCGTGTCGACATGATGGACGATAATCCCCCCGTGTGTGGACAGATATTTGAGCAATCGGTTTGTTCCTCCATACAGATCGTCGCCTGTCACGACTTCGTCACCCGGCTTCAACTGCCGAGTGATGACATCGAGGGCACCCATGCCAGAAGAGACCACCAGCGCCCTCTTGGCGCGCATGATCTTTGCGAGGTGTTTTTCTAAATGGGTGCGTGTTGGGTTGCCGCTACGAGTATAGTCATAATCGGAGACGCCGCCGGTGGCAGAGGCCTGTTTGAAGGTGGCAGACTGCATAGTGTTAGTTCATCTTGTTCCTTGATTTCCCTCGTCGCCATTGATCACCGCTGACCTGGTATATGGGCACGCTGCTGGCATTGTACTGGTCGTTCCCCTCTGAGTACACCAGTTGGGTCGCAATTGCGTATTGCCGACCACCTCTGGGACTCGACGGAGCAGGCGAAGGCGGGAGATCATGGCCGTCCAAGTCGACCTGTGCGAAAGCTTTGCTCATTGCGCTGAGCTTCGGATTCTTCAAGGGCGGTGTAGAAGAAGACCCGGACTCAGACATGGTGGCGGCGGTCGAAGGATGGTGGTGGGGGTACAAGCTCGACAACTTGTAGAGTACTGATCAGTATGCTCAAGGACATATGAGAGTCGAGCAGGGCGTTCGCCTGTAACAGCTGATAGCGACTGGATCGACTTGTGACACTGAATTAGCAAAGACAATGGACGAGAAAGGCGCAGGCGCACAGAGGTTACTTGAGCTTGGTTTGCATGTACCGAAGGTGGAGCAATTTTCGCAGTTTGCCGGCCGCAAAGGCGACCAAGACAAATGACGTGCTCGCAACACGGCTGCCACAGGCTTCCCCCACAAGACTCCCTTCCTGTTTCTTCTTTCACCTGGTCCAAGTCAAATACCCAAAGTCTACTGTGTGAATATGTCGTAGAAAGGGTCGAGTGTGAACGTCCCGACTGGGCTCACCACCTGCGTCGTCAAATGCAAGCATTTTGCAACCAATACTGTATATTCAGTACTCTCCATACTCGGCAGGAGGGCACAAACACACTGGGCTGAACATTTTACCGAGGCCAAGGCCCCCGAGCAAAATTGCTCACGAGATTTCCCGACACACCATGCACGAAGGATTTGATAATGTATATTTCAGGAGGTAAGTCATAATATCTTGGGAGCTGTAGAACGGGAATTGATAAATCAGAATCATGGCCATGGCAGAGCAGTATGTTGCAGTATGTTGCTCCCAGTGTAGAGACAGCATAAACAGCAGCTTATCGAATCAAGCAGTCCAAGTGCGTCCAAATCTTGCCGCAATGCCCTGGTGGCCTCCCGAGGCGTTGGTGAGCTATGATCTGATAGAATATCGCTCAGTCGTGCTGTGCACCTCTCCCCCATCATCAACACTTCGCAGAGCGATACTCTTTGAGCTCTCAGATCCAAATGTAGTCGAGTATCAACCGGTCTTTGAAATGAGTCTGCCCACAAGCCGTCAATTCATTCATTATCAATCCCGTCGACCTGTTTGCTAGGTAGACCAGATCAGTCAAACATTCCGTTATTCGTTCCGGGACGTTGATCAATAGACGACATTGCCATGCGGTTCGGCGATGATCCTCAGGGCCAATGCGATGGAATGTTCCAGGGCGTGAAACGCTGACAAGCGCAGGGGTGGGATGGAGCCCGTCTTTTGAGCATGAAACTCGAGGTCAGCAGAAGATACACATACCATCAAGGATGATGCGCCGTAATAGGTAGGCACACCCCAAACATTGGAAAATTTCACAAAGCTTAAGCAGGGCGACTTTTCCTGTGGCTTCTCGGTTACCCCCCCCCTTAATGAAACAGCACCGGCAAAGGTCGGCCAGCGGGGCCCGATGTGGGAACCAATTGCTCTGTGTAAACCTGCTTTGATTATATGGAATGTTGCTGAGTATTCGTTGCATAGCACAGCCTGTCAACATGCTCGCACATACTTATGTCTAGTGTGACAGAACGTCTCGTGACGTGATGGTATGCGCCCAAGCAAACAGTCCGCCCTTCTCGCCTTTCATGCTCTGGTCCTCCCTCGAGGATGACCGAGGATTACGAATGGGGCGGCAGATGGGGAAGATCATGGAGGAGAATTTGGGCCAATCCTCCGGTCCGCTGAAGCCAAGGGCCCATCGACCGGCGGGTGGCTGACACGCGATTGGGCTCCAGCTAGCTCCTGGTTCCTGATGCTAAAATTGCTTGCCTGTGTGCCATGTTACATGCTCGTCTCTCACTGGCAGCCCGGTGTCACAGAGGCCACGCAGCTCGACAGGGACTCACCTTGAAGCAACCTCGTCCCTGTGGTTCTGGTCAGAAATTTTCTCGCCCAGAGTCTCAGCGCTGCGAGCATATTGGAAGCACAGACTGTTTCGATGAGCGTCTCGTCTGCAGATAGGGCGGTCAAAAGTTCCAGACTTGCTCTCTCCAAGCTGTCTGTCAACGGGGCGAGCAACACCACTTGCAGTCCGTCGTTGAAGACCTCGGCCATATTAGCAGGAAAGGATCAAAGATATATGAAAAGCCACATCAAAGCCAAAAAGCTAGTCCACAGGATCGTAACGAGATTGTGGTGCGAAATTGGTGGGAGCGGAAAGCAGAAGCTCAAAAATCAGGACCGGCAACAATCAATGTCCAAGGGCTCTACCCAGTACAAGGTAATAGGACCCAAGGACCCAAGGGGAGGAGGCTGAGCCAGCCCCCGGGTGAAGTATCGTACGAGTCTCGGTGGTATTTGGCCCTGCAGGTACAGGCTAGCGCCTGTCTCCTTCAACTACTGGGTATTGTGGTCCAACGAGGAGTGCCCGAGGGCCGTTAGGGTGGGCCTAAATTTGTAATTTACAGGTACGGAGGACACGATAAAAGCGCTTTAACCAGAGTGCGTAACTGTGCCTGAGATAATTCTCCGCTGGGAGCCACCTGGAGCCACCTCTCGCTGGGCCCGAGTCCACAAACCCACCCCAAGATCCCTCTGTTTGAGCGCCCCCCGGCCCCCGGGAGCCGCTTGCGTGCCTTGTCTCGACCAAACAGCCACCGCTCGGGCTTAGCAGCTGCGCTTGTACGGCTCGTTGGCTCACCTCGTCGCTCCTCCTTTCCGATCAGGCACTGACTCGCTCTCCATTCAGCCTCCTCTCCCTTTCGACAGGTCTTGCACAATGCATTCCCTTTCAACTGTTGTTCTTTGCACTCACCCTTCCCGCCTGCACGCCCTCTCCATCGAGCCTCGATGATCCGTCAACGTCGCCGTGGTCGCTGTCTCTCGTTCTGCGACCGATAATTCTCACCTTCGACTTGTCAATTTCGCCTCGACGGCCAGGTTCTTCCATCCCCTTCGTGTCTAAGCAGTTTTGCCAGCACCGACTTCGACGTGCTCGCGTTCATTCCCTCAGACCGTCGACCTAGAGCCTATTTTGACACGATCGATCCCACTCCTTAAGTTTTATACCTTTTTGCACGCATTTCTACAATTCGCTGCGAAGCCTCTTCGGGAAGATCCCTTACCGCGCCGTCACTTCAAGAAAGAGTCTCCCAGCCGCCGACAGCGGCTCTTTGGATACTATCTTTGTCTTCGCAAGCAATTGGCTGGCCCAACAATTCGCGGAAGAGCATAGCCGACAGCGGTGTCTTTGTTGGAGATACGGGTAATCCTGGGTCAAAGAAACCGCCAAAAATATATGACACGAAGCCTTTGACCGTTCGACTTGGGCAGTGTGCATACGTAAAGAACAAAGGAATCCCATTGATCACAAGCCTCGACAACTACTCGATCCGCTGTTGAATTCTTACTATACAACTCCAAACTGGCTTGAACGACCCCCGCAAGACGACTGAAGCCAAAGAAATCGTCTGGGACGGTTCATCCGAATCACAGATCAGGATCATTTGATCCTAGCCGCTCTTTTCAATACACTCACCACATACGCTCGTTTCACAAGAAGATTTGAAGGACGGAAAGAGAAACTAGATTGACGGGCATTTTGCTAACGAGCTTGGAAGAAACTCCCTTGGCCCCAACATCCTGCGACATGAAGATCTCATCAATTACTTTATTTGCTGCTGTGGTGGCAGGGTCCTTTGCCGAAGCGGTCCCAGCCCATCGTCGTGGAGCGGATCTGAAGCCCAGGTACTATTTTCCAAGGGTCGTGAAGAGGCAGGTCGTCACATTTGACAACTCGACCACGACGGATTCAGGGATAGGTAGCTTGATTTCGTCGGTATCTGATGCTCTGTCCGGGGTCGCATCAGCAATCTCGGGCGATTCGTCAACGACGACACCAGCAACCACCGACGCACAGACGACCGACACCGCTTCAGTCGATACTGCCACAGTGACCGACACTTCCACCAACACGGGGACGGATCCAGCGACAACGCCTACAGATACGGCTACGCCTTCAGCTACAGATACAAGCATCGCCACGATCACGGATGCTTCCGGTAATCCATCAGCAACTGACGTTCCTACCAGTATCAACACTGATACCACTGCGACTGGAACGGACACGGCCACCATCACCGACACGGCTACCACGAGCTCGACATCCGACGATGGCGGTATCACTCTTGGACTTGGTTCGATCATTACGAGTGATTCATCCTCAGACACGACCACTGCCACCACAACAGACACGGCGGCTGCGGCATCGAGCACTGCTGCAGCGGAGTCAGCTCTCTCATCTGCCAGCGATGCTGCAACTTCAATTTTGTCCGTTGCGAGCTCTTTACAATCAGTTGCGGCGACAGCCTCGGGTACAGACATCGCTTCTATTTCGTCAGCCTTGTCCTCAGCTGCAGAGGTCGCGTCTTCAATTGCGTCCGATGTGAGCTCAGCAAATTCGGTCATCACTTCCGCAACTGCCACTACCACTTCGAGCCCGGCTGATGTGACTTCTGATCTCGGCTCCTATATCTCTGATGCAACGTCGACGCCCCCAATCACGTCGCCAACCATCACGGATGGGAATACGCCAACTGGTACACCCACCACTACGCCGACAGACTCTCCAACGCCGCCGCCGCCAACAGACAGTTCTACCACCAGTCCAATGTCGCCTACGGATTCACCCACAGGTGACCCAACTATCTCCACGACCACCAGCCCCCCGACTGTTGGTCCAACCGATCCCCCTACCACCACTCCAACCACTACTCCAACTGATACACCGACTGATCCTCCGACGACCACGCCTATCGGTCCGACAGATACCCCCGGCAATAACACGGTCACGACTCCTACCATGACACCAACTGACACAGCCAGCGACACCCCGACAACTTTCCCTACCGTGACTCCAACGCCATTCATTGGGAATTTGACGACCCCAGTTGTGACCCCTACCACGACTGACAAATCCACAACCTCGGGGCCCCTGGTCAACACTGTCAAGCCCACTGGGACGGACTCGGCGACGGCTTTCACTCCGGATTCAAGCATCATTTCTGCTACGACAACTGCCCCCACTGAAACGTCCAAGTCAGCTTCGACAAGCGCTGCGGTTCTCCCGACGACTCTCCCTCGAGTGATTCAGCCTCAAGGCGGTGTGCCTGATGCGCCAAATAACTCTACCTTGATCCAGCTTGGATTTAATTACGGTCTCAACTACGCTTTTGTCGTGTCGTCGCCCACTGCTGTGTCTCAGATATTCTCTTATCTCCCTGTTGGTGTTTCTCACGGGCTGGGTATTGATCTGAGTGAAGTTGTGATGCAGTACCTCCAACCGTACAATACCCTGGATACCTTGAACTACATTACGACATTAGCCATGGCTTTCATCCCGTCGGACAAAGTTGATACTCTCTCCCTGCAACTCCTGAACCCTAACTCGGATCTCTACAACAATCCGAACCCCTCTGTGGTGACTCTGATGAGTATGATTGACCCTTCGATTCCAATTCTGCCTGGATCTCAAATGGCCGGTGGAGGTACGCCTGTGAACTCGGCAAATTCTGCCGCCACCACTTCTGACCAAGGTGGTTCTGGCGATGACGGCGCTCCCAGTAGTTCGGACTCTGGAAGCTCTCCCGTTCGCCCATCCTCCGTCGGCATCGCGGTGGGAGCGGTGGCTGGGGCCGCAGTCTATGGAGCCGCCATGTTCCTTGTTGCACGGAGGTACAAGAGGAGGAAATCTGGCCACCAAAGGTCAAGCAGCATGCAGTCAGGCAACCGTGGACCTCGTCCCGGCGAACAGTCAAACCTCATGGTCGGCGCACGAGGCAGCTACGGCACCCGATTCGGTGGAAGGACGTCCCGAACCAGTGATCGCAGCAATTCTCAACGAAGTGGACGGACGTATATTAGTCCTCCGGTAATGGCTGAGAATAGTTTGGGATGGAACTGATGTTTGAGAGGATCTACCTTGTACAGCTGGAGATGTGCGACCAACTGATTGGAACTCGATGCCCGCTCACGAAAGAAACACCACACTCTGTTTGTTTTGTTTTGTTTTATATAGTCATTCTCCTTTCTGTATTGCCGGTTTGGCCTTTTTGATACCTTGCATAAAGGTGGAGAGGAGAAAAGGTGGATTGGAGAAATGCCATTTTTGATTGAGGTAAGCGATCATGACGTACAAGAAAGTGCAGGGGAAGGGGGAGAGGCGAGCCGAGAGGATACTGTGGATATAGAGAAGTAGATTTCAAAACGTGAGAGCAGTGTGAGAACCGATGAGAGGATGTGACGTAGCGGTTGAACCCTGGCGAAGCAGTCCCAGAGAGAGTGTGTGGAAGAGGGCGAGATGTATGTGAAACATGGGAGTGAGAGAGACACAATGGCAATCTATTTTATTACCAATGTACCTCGTACCCGGTATGATCAATCAGGCTCTTTCTATGAATACCTAGCGAGCTAGGTAGTCCTTGGTAGTCGTCGCGCGAAAAATCTATCCTTTGTCGTCCCCTTCTGACGAGCCGCTCGCTGCTTTGCTCACCCCTCGGCTCGCGCGAGCTGGGTCAGCGGTCACCTTTCTCCTATTTTTGTAAGGCGTTTTTCTGTCACTTTACAATATATGAAAAAGTATAGTGACGGCGCTACCATGCGGAGAGCCAAAAAAAAAAAAGCAAATCGACGTCTACAGGATTCGAACCTGTGCCTCCGAAGAGAACACCTTGACTGGGAATAGCAGGGTGTCTTGCCAGTTTGTTAGATTAAGAAGTTCTCATAGTCGCCAGGGTCTGCTTACCGCCTTAACCACTCGGCCAAAACGTCGCAGTTAATTGTGAACATGTTTTGATGATGGAATATATAACCCTATTCAACGGGATCACTCACGCCGAGGTGCCACGTCTTGCACCGTCTTTGTGGCCGCCAGCCACACTTGCCGGCTCGACTGGTGGCTTGGCAGCCAGGCTTGGCGGCCTGGTTTGGCACCCTTTGCACCCTGCAGCCTTTCAGGTGCAGGTCTTCTTCCTCTTACTTAGACAGTTCATACTCCATGAGAGCTTCGTTTCTTCCCCTGCCGTGCTTGTGCATGACAATCTTGGCCAAGGATGGTGAGTTGAGACAAGCCTTGGAACTTGCCAGCTGGCAGCCTCGCGTCGAAACTCTCTCCAACCAGGCAGAACTCAGGCCCAGCGTAAACGACCTCGGAAACCTCTGTCTGAGGAGTCACGGCACCTCTCCCGAACTACCGTGCTCATCAAGCCAGACAGGCGTCAGCTTATAGTGGTCGCGAAAAGCAACTATCTACTGTGGTAGGGAGCGTTGTGTGACAATGGCATACCGTGCCTCCTAGGTTTCCATGAGATTCAAGAGCGCAACACCCCTCGGGACACGCACGCACGCGAATTAGAATACTCGCAAGTTTGTGAATGTCTGATGTTTGGAAGAACTTTTCTATCTTGATCGTAAGTGTCAGAGATGGTTTGGCGTAGTTCTTCTGGCCTGAATTAGCTTATTCCCTGGAGCCATTATCGAAGTCTCTACAAGGTATAGAAGCATTCGGGGACGCACCGCGAACAACAAGCGAAATACCATTTGATTATTCTAGTCAGAGGATCATGGGAGTTGGTGAATCTCTCCGTCTGAACCTTGATCGGGGAGCGTCATGGGTAAGTGACCCGCCTCAAGTTGTTGATGCTGCTTGACTGCTTGCGTTTAGGCGGTAGTGAATCGGCAAACAATCGTGTCCGGAATGAGTTGGCGCTTCCACTATTTCATTCTTTGGACCAGCCTCCAACTGAAACCATCCATTCTTGATTTTTCCCATGGCAAACCGACGGTTCAGTCATGGACGTCCCTTGCAGAGGGACCGGCTGCGGGAAGCTAATCTCGTTCCCTAATCTTCCCTGCCATAACTACAATGGACACGGTCTCGCGAGTGGCTTTGGATGCGATTTCTGCAGGGTTTATGATACAACAAGTCAAGCAGAGCAAATCATCCGCGCGGACATCGTCCAAGAACATCCGAGGCAAGCTGCACTGGATACCCTACCACCCGTGCCTTAGCACACAGCTATCGACGCCGATTCATAGAAAACAACCCTGCTGTGGGAGGAGTGGCATTGAATTCCTACTGGAATCCCCATCACACGGACAACGTTGGCCCGTCGGAGCAGCACAACAAAGCCGCCTGGAAATCTTCTCACACCCATGCAGGGTGCGGGGCAGTTCGACCTCCTATGTAGCTGCTCAGAACCAGTCTGACCATTCAGAAACCCCGACGCCGTTCACTTCTCCCGAGAGTCACGAACACCCCGGGCGTTCGAACCATCTTGAACCTCCCGGGGCACAGTATCCCTATGAAACTCCTGAAGAGCAATTCTATGTCGACCGTGCTCACCCCCGGCTCGTGTAAACTGAGCGGAGACAGCACCTGTGACTCACTCGTCGTGGGGGCCAAATTCCTTGTCGCTGGTGGTGCGAGGCATGCCCGGTTCTGCCAAAATCTCAAGGAACGCCTGTAGATGTATTGAGACGAATTCGCTGCTTTCGCCTGCTTTGAGAACTTCGAAGATTTTGCTCACGCTGTTTCCCTTTCCTTCCCCGCTTCACCTGCCTCCCCAACCGATTGAATATTCCTCATTGCTTAAGAGATAATAGTAGTCGCCTCTGCGAAAGAATGGGGTCAGTGCTGACTTCCTATCGGCTTCGCATTGCCTGACTTTCAACAGGTATACCCACTATTACAGGATCCTCAATCAGAATGTGTGGAACAGAATATGGCCGATACTCATATCAGAAATTCCTCTCATCATCGAGGCAGCGGATGTCCCGGTAAAGATGGAGCACAATCATCCTCAGGACCCTCTTATCGATCTCGACCAAGGTGTTCAATTCAACGGTATCGGTGAGGATGGCCACGAGACGTTTCTTTTACGGAAGGAAAACATAACTAGCTTTGACTTTTGCAAAACTGTGCAGAAGCCCTACGATCTCACCGTCTGCTTGGTGCTCTTAAGAGCGAGGCAACTGGCTGGTGATGCTTTTTCCCTTCGGTGAGTAGAGGGGAGTCCGAAGGGATCAATTTACTCATATATTTGGCAGTTCTGATGGCTCTTGGAATGAGGGAGGCTGGCGCAAAGCTCATAATCTTTACAAACTACTATGGCCAGAAGATGTGCTATCTTGTCCTTGGAGAGTAAGAAGCGAACCGGACTTGTTGGCGGAAGAAGAGACGCCCTCAGAACTCACCGACGGCATTTCGAATATGACAAACGTGGATGCCAAAGAAACGAACTTAATACAGGGCCAAGGAAGGAGACAAGACTTTTCTGACGTTGGCAAGGTGATCAGAAATTTACTCTCTAGTTGCATCTCTGATCCTACTCACCGAAAGTGTGCACAAAATGAGTTGAGGTGGCAAAGTCTCCCAGGTGTCACCCTAAGACTGATTGATGTCTTCCTTGGATGTATAGTCGACGCACCAGAAGGTTGTAGCTTTCTGGCGTTGAGTTACGTTTGGGGGAAGACACGAATTTCAGGTCTGAGGGACGAAACAATGCAGTGGTTTACCCAAAACGGATCCCTTTCTCGAGCAAAGAATATCCCTCGCGTTATATCAGAGGCCATTCAGCTTTGCGGAGCAATTGGCGAAAGGTACTTATGGGTAGATGCACTGTGCATCAAACAAGACGATACCCGTGACAAGGCCATACAAATCCTGCGGATGCGACAGATCTTTGGCAGCGCTAAACTGACTATAGTAGCTGCCGCCGGTCAGGATGCTAATTCACCACTATTTGCATCAAATCCGCCTGGAAATCGAGAGCTGTCTTCGAACGGGATATATAAGAATTCCATCTGGACAACGCGTGGTTGGACATTCCAAGAAGCAGCATTATCACACCGGATGCTTGTATTCTCCACACTTGGGCTTTATTTCGAATGTCAAGACCAACTCTGGAATATTGATGAGAGTTCCCTTGAGACGACTGCCCTACCAAAAGGCGAAAACGAATGGGATTTCCTCTATGCTCCTTCCGGATCGGAGCTCCACGCGTACTATTCTGCTGTCGAGGGTTACTCTAAGCGGAATCTTACATATCAGAGCGATGTCTTGAATGCTTTTCAAGGGATTATGAAAACGTTTTCAGCTACCTTGGACGGACAAAATAACGAATTTTATTTTGGACTGCCAACCTCCTTGTTTGATCAGGCCATTTGCTGGCAAACCGACCAGCATTGCCCACACTTACGAAGACCGAAATATCCAAGCTGGTCGTGGCTCGGATGGAAGCAGCGAATTTTCTGGAAATCTCAGCCTGACGTGCAGACTCGGTCGGCCCAGATGCTGTACCAGCCCGTCAATAAGAGAAAACGTCTTCTGTTTGCACAATTGGGTGCAGACGGGTCTTCTCCACTCTTCACACACCAATACAGCAATCGCAGACCGTGTTATTTTCAAGGTCAAGACCTGGAGGACGGCGAATGGGCATGGGGTCTTCCAGCAGCATTATCAATCTATTCCCGAGGGACCTCTTCCCTATGTCTAATGAGCAGTCTTGCCCAGTTAATGGTATCTAGGGTTGACTTGGCCCGAACGGAAGAGCCGAACGGCTTATATTCAGTGATGGCTGACAGCCCAAATCGAGAAGTATTGGGCACCGTCAAGTTGGACAGAGGATGGCGTAATGATCAACCGGATTCCATGCCATTCATGGCTCTCGATGGGGAAGAGGGAGATGGGACGCTCGTCCTCACAATCCTGATGTGTTTATCGAATAGCCACAACGACTCGGACAGCAGGGAGTACTCTCGGGTCCAGATGATGGAATGTCAGATTGGCGAAGAGACTTGGAAAAAGGCCGGTGCATTGTTAAGACTTATCTGGCTAATCTAATGAAATGGCTTTGATTCCTTTTGGGGGGGAATGAGAGGCTAACATGATTCGTTCTCAGGGTGATGAGGAAAACAATTAAAATTAAATCCTCGTTCAAGTCTGCGACCCCTTCTGCCTACGTGTTCACAATCCGCAGCCCGCTTTGTTTACCAAAACAGCGTCCTTTCTGATCAGCCATGACGGAGATTTAGCTCGAGGGCCTTGCTCCGACATCAGGCCCGTTGCAAATAGGTCGAATCAGGACCGTACGACCATCATGAAGTGATCCAAGACTTCAGAATACAGCGTATTACTCGTCCATAAATCTACCTGCACAACCTTACCGCGGCCTGTGCAATTGTGCGCTCCTCTGACCTTGCAGCATGGGTCTGCTGCAACCTTCTCCGCTCGTAGTATCTATCAGGACTTGCTACAAGTTTGATTTGCCACGGACAGAGGCGCCATACACTCAAAGAAAGTGAGATGCGTTGAGAAGAGCTAACCAAAGTCTAGGCTATATCGATATCGCCCCGTAGGGCGGCACAACGGGGACAATCAGTCACCATCTGGGTACGACTACTTTTTCGTTCAATGCTGTGACGGAGCAGGTAATAGTTTGGCGAGGCCTTAGGCCCCCTACATAGGCGCCTGGATCACAATGTTCCGTACGAGGTAATAGATTTCTTACTCTTCAATGCCCTAAAGTGCGATGCACGGAGTGGCAGAAATTGTTTCAGTTCAAAGAGAAATTATCTGAAACGCATGCCTTGCTGAGAGGCAGATGTAGTCGATCTCTAAGGAGCTAGATTAGGCCTACAGGCCCTCTCGTAATGGCTCGGTGTGATACTCAGGAGGTGCTCAGTGAGGTTCAGCCAAAGGCTCCGTTGAAACTCCAGGTTAAAGCGGCCTTCGCTCACCCTCTACGATCAACCCGTAAATGGTCATTCGGTTTTTCGATCTCGAGTAATCTTGGTAGGAAGGGAGGCACACATGCGCAATAATGGACGGCAAGGCTGGACGTCAGCGCCCTCATTGCCAATCAATCTAAACAATAGACGACACGGGGTACGAGGTACTAAGCCCTAGATGCCTGTCTGCTCACAACTGCGATTCGGCTCCAGTTCACTCACAACCATACTATCCGGTCTGATCTGACTACTTCGGACATGCAGCTTTCTCCATAGGTCGTCGTACCATTTGCCCGCACCATACATGAATGTATCCATCGCAGTTTGGGACCCCCAGTTGACGTTCCGCCCAATGATATCAACCCACGCCGTTGTTCATTACAGTGCCAAAATCAATCGTCCTTATCTTTCCCCGAGCTCTGAGAGACATATGCGTTCCTCACCCTGCCCCTCAGGGGAAACCTTTCGTTCAGAAGCGCTTCTTCTGTCGCAGACTCTGTCGTGCTAGCTGTCGGTGTGGTATTTTCCTCCTCGTCATCTTCTTCGCCAACCTGAACGTGCCTGTCCTCGTGAGTTTCAGTATTCGTCTCCAACTCGATCAGGTCCCCCATTTTATCAACCGCAGCATTTCGTTCCCTTTTCCCTGCCGCGCCGGCCATCTTCCTCACCCATCCTTCAATCGTGCCGCTCACATCACCTGCAAGCCCCGAACTATTCGAGTTGGATCGCAAGCTTCTCACCGACTCGGAGCTCGCGCGGGGCGTCGATCGCGACGTGGACGCTCTTGCGCTGAAACCCATTCGAGGGATTTCCCCGGCCGCTGGGAGGAAGTCCGGGAAATATTGGTTGAATTTGCGGTTGAGTGGATCGTCGGGCGGACCTGGACGAGAAGCCTCTGTCCGCAGACCGCGAAGGGTACCAACTCCTCCGGGCCCGCGAAGGGCATCGGCGAAGGGATTCCCTCCTGTAGCGCTGGAAGATCGTTGGCGACCGGACGAGCTGAGCCGGGATGAGGGAAACACGGGCCGGCGGGCAGGGGAGACGTTCAATGAAGCAGAGGTTTGCGCGGCGTGAGTGGGGGGATGGCGGAGTATATCAAAGGAGGATTTGGGTGTAGGGTTAGGTGAAGCGGTGGAGGTGGCATTCGATTTCCGACGGGGGCGCGGGAAGTAGCCTAGCGCACGACGAGGGACGCGTAAGACTTCGATGGCTTCTTTGATGTTGGGCAGCATGACCCAGCAGTCATGTTTAAACTCGATTTCTTCCGAGAGGGAGGTGATGAGCGATAGGGGTTCGGAGGTCAAAGTAGAAGACGAGATGGTCGCCTTTGCCCGAGAAGGGTCGTGCATACCATTGGACGGCAAGAGGCCAGCGTCTTTCGGTTTTGAGTTCGAGACGGCTTGGATAGAGAGGCGGTCGAGTTCTGGATCGAAGAGATCTCTGGAGAGATATGGACTGTCAACTTTCCTCCCCCTGACGGTGGAGCCTTCCAAGGGTACCAATACATGAGTCCGCGTTTGGATGTTGTCATTTGGCCAGAATCGATTCACTTTTCGGAAGAGGTCAGCCTGACAGTTATACTTGATGATGACTCCAGCCAGCGTGTCGCCTTTCTCAACCTTGTGCATGTAAACAAGGGCATCTTCACTCTGGTCGGTGGGAGCGGTTGTGGCAGTGTCCGCATCTGAATCACGTCTCTTAAATTTGCCCAGATGATCGCGGTTCCCTGATGCACTTGCAAGGAGCAGTGCCTCCCTCTTCTTCGCCTGGACCATTGCCTGGCGTTCTTCGACGGTGCCCTGGAGTTGATTTGTAGAGGGTTGGATGGAGGGACCCCATTGCGGGGCGGCGTTTTTTGAGCCATAGTGATTGTCTTGTTTCATCCAAAGAGGCTTCTTCAACGAGGCTGCGGTCTTATCCTTGGAGGGACCTGACACTTCGTTCCCTAGCAACGTGGACGCAAAGCCTTGGAGTGAGGTCCAAGGTTCCCACAGCCCCTGGTTTCCTCCAGTTAGGGTTGGAGTGCCCGAGGACGACCTTGCATGCGTTTTGCTTGTTCGGCCATGTCGGGGCTTGTCCGTCGACTTCGATCTGGTTACCGGGGCGTCGTTGGGCGAGACGCCTCTGCTGGAGAATAGTGGCGGGGTTGAGGAGGTAGAGGTAGAGATGGCAGTGGACTCGGTACCTTCATCGTCGACGTAGGATATAAGGCGGCCGGTTCGAGGACGGAGAGTAGACGTGCTACTGTTTGCAGACTGGTAGAGGCCGGTCAGGGAACTGTTGCTCATGGCTGGCCTGGCTGCCAACACGAGACATCGGAGACTGGCGACATGGAGGATCCGAGAGGCCCAAGTAAACAAGTCCTAGGGGTCACAGGATCCCCTGGATGTTTGTTGCTTGCAGAGAAGACGGGATGGCCTGGCCGCGAGGGAGAAAGAATCAAGTCGAGGATCGAGTTAAGGAGAGGGGGAACGGTGTGCGCAGGGCGGACTAGAGAGGCCAGTTGAGTTCGGAGTCCTTGGAGCGCAGCAGCAGCAGACGATGCGATACCAATGGCACTTGAATGGCGATGGCGCTGATGGCGCTCGCAGCCGCCTACGTCGATCCTCATCCCACGTGAGCGGGCTAGTCCCTTGCCGGAGGTTGTCGCCCTTCCCAGATATAATACTCGGTACTTGTTAGGTATGTACTATCGAAATATCTCGTACTCTCTACTATTAATACACGAGGCCGGCTCCTCCTCTCCTTGCTATCATGGATAGTAGTAGCTGATTTGGGCTTACCTGTCTCTGATCAAATACACTCCCTCAACCTGCATCGCTGGAAATACTGTCCACCGTCTAATCTTTCCGGCTCATATCCATATACTGTCCACCTTGCAATACCAAATGTCTTTGACCCAGGCGCCTTGCACAACTTGGAAGAACCTCTAACCTTGCCCTTTCTATGGTATACTTCGCTGGGAAGAAATCAGAGACTGTCTTCTCTCCACCTGCTCCTGACCCTTTGCCATCCCTCTTTCTCCTCTAATCCTCCTCTCTTCTCAAGTCCAAGTCCGCGTTCCACCCACTCCTGACTGCCCATTTCGCTCAAGCGACTGAGTGCCCTTGCAAACGCAAACCGTTCTTCATCGCCGCTGAACAGAGAACTCTGCTTCAGCATGCTCATGTTCATCCCAAGGTCGTCCATCAGATTGCGCATTACGTCGTCAACATCTGCCCCTTCATCCTCACGACCCCCTCTTCCTTGGTTGGATTTTTTGACTTCTTCCACAACCGCATGCTCCTCTTTAGAGGCCCCAGACTTTTCCTTTCGAACTTTGTGAGTGACTTTATCCAGAGACTCGTCTAGCTCACTCTTGGACACAAAAAGCTGAGACAGGGGTACTGTGGTCGTGAGGACTAGCTTCGCGTGCGATTCGTACACGGCGTCAATGAAAGTAATAAACCGTCTAGCCCAGTCGCGTTCTCTATGCGTCATTCCGGGGACGTCGGTGACAATGAACGCATCAAAACTGCGCATCATTTCAATGTAATCCGCTGCCCCCGTAGCGCGACCAATCAGGTCGTGGAAAGTGAATTTGGCGCAACGACCCGAGGCGAGGGGGATTTGTACTTCGCGACCCCAAACGGTGATGGTCGTCGGATGGGGAGGATCGTTTTCTGGGTCGCCGAGGAACCGGAACCATTTATTTGCGTGAGAGACAGCCGCACGGTCGAGCGGATGGTGGTAAACTCCCGACGGTGGTCTGGGGAGTTTGCGATAGTCGGTTTGTGAATCAAGATTTATGATGCGGAGTTGTTTTTTCAGCAGGTTGATGCAAGGAATGAAGGACTGCCGCTGAATCCCATTCTTGTAGAGATCGTCGGGGTGCCGATTCGAGGTCGTGACCAGTGCAACGCCGTGCGACATGAGGGCCTCAATTAAACGACGGAGGATCATGGCATCGGCAACGTCCACCACTTGGAATTCGTCAAAGCAGAGGACTTGGGCAGTTTCGGCTATATCTGCTGCGATAAAAGGCACAGCGTCAAAATCGTTGCCGTATTGCATTCGGATCTTGTGTAGCCGCTTGTGCACGTCTTGCATAAAGTTGTGGAAATGGATGCGCGTCTTGGATGTTATGTTCGGAGGTAATGTGTCGAAGAAAAGGTCCATCAACATCGTTTTCCCAGAACCCACGTCGCCGTACATGTATAATCCTTTGGGCAAATTCTCCGGTATTTCGCCAATGGCTTTCTTCCTGTTCCCGCTGCCAAAGAGAGAACCAAAGAGGGATTTCTTGGGTGGCTGGAGGTCATTGATGTCTGGGTGGACAATCTTGGGAGGATCGTACTCCTTCAGAGTCTCGTGGAGATCTTGTAGGTGTTCGACCAGGGCTGCAGCCAGTTTAGCACGTAGTCCAAACCAGAAGAGATTCCGTCCACCCACTTCTCTGGTGCTCATCCTCCCTTAGACGCCTCGTTTGCACCCTCTCGTCGTATTCTTCCAAAGGTCCGCGACTGGATACTTCCGTCACGGTGGCGAGCTCTCGTCTGGGTTGCCGCTGGACCGATCTTGCGACTCGGACCGTCTCTCCAAGATTTTTAGCAGTCTTTCCATTGCCGGTAATATGGATCCGGCGAGGAGATGTTCTCAAAGCTTTTCTTTGCTGCCGCAAAGCGCTCAAACAGTTGGTGCATATCGATCGTCTTGAGGGGTGCACAGCGGTATCGGAGAGCAGAGTTCTGAGATAGGATTGGAAGGTGATGCGGACGGGCCGCGCAGACGCCTTCATCTTGCCCGAGGCACAAGTAATTGAATCACTGAACAGAGATCTCAATTGCGCTACGAGACCTGGACAAGACGAGCACCGGAGTAGTCATGGCAAAGAACTTGAAGGAAAAAAAAAAGACCCGGCTGTAATAGAGCAGAAACGTCAGAGAGAAGTTCTTGAGCACCTTCGGAATAAACACCGCAATTGGTGATCTCGGCTATCTCGGACGACTGTCGGCCAGAACACAATTGACGTCCTCTACTCGAGTGTCACCGCTGTCGAATCTTTCATCCGACGTTTCTCATTAGGACGTGTATACGGACGAATCGCCTGAACGCCTGGACGCAGGGGCAGAGATTGTGGCGAAATTCATTACAAAGAGCAGGTTCTATATTCCTCTGAGGACTCTCGCGTTCACCCGAAATCGCCTCGATACCTGCATGATCGAGGGAAATATAATTTGTGCACAAGGCTTTCCGTCATCCATGTCGCATCGTGCGCGTGTACCTGTAAAAGATCCGTTCAAACATGACCGCGAGAGATTTCAACTCCACGTAGCACTTCATATCCCTTCAAGTCGAACGTGAAAAGTTTCGAAACTTTTTTGTGAGAATGGGAAAAGTCTTCCTCCAAGATCAACTCGATGCCTCCTCTCAAGCGCCGAACATCAATCACATAAACTATTCGTCTCATCAGGTCGCCCTGTGTCTAACCCTTCACACCGCGAAGAAGAAGAGAAGGACAGGGTACCACTGCAATAAGGCACTGGGACCCAAAGGGCTGCTCATTGGCAATATTCAGGATCCGTGATTGGAATTGCGAGCCCCTTCCCTCTCAACCTGTCGCATAGTTGACGTACAGTGTGAGTTTAGGATTCCGTTGTAGTGCGACGTCCAGGTTGTCATCGGTCTCAAGATCAATGAGGGTGTTTGTTGGCTCGTCCTTGTATTGTATGACAATGCCATCGTTGACCTTCAGCCGCTCCATCAACTTCTCTCTTAGCGCGGCAAAGACAATATCCTGGGGCACCCGGAGAACAATAATGTCATCCTGGAAGAACACCTTAACCTTCATAGCACCACCAGTATTGCCGGCCTTCATGCTCGAAGAATTGGAATTTTGAGTTAAATTGCTGGCCTGGGAGTGCAAGAAAGGTGGTCCTCCCATAGTCACACCGGCTGCGGCGGACATGGGTGCAGGCCCCCGTTGTTGCTGGGACATTCGTGCGCTGGGAGGTGGCATTCCCCCATACGCCATACCTGGCGTTTGCTGGTTGGAAGACGTCCGAGAGACTGGTTGCATCGAGTGTTGTGATTCCGCGGAGAGTCGGTAATCTTCTCCCAGCGCGTTGGGGTCAATCTCAAAATCTTGACCCGGTTTTGGCTTGAACAGATTCCTGACCAGCATACTTTTGGAGATGTGGGGCGGCATTGCCACTATCTTCTTGATATACTCATCTAGATTCTGGCGTCGTCCATTGGAAATTGCATCTGTGACGTGTGCCACTGGCCCAGGCATAAAAGGGAGTATACGAGGCTTGCCCTTGTTGCCCGCCTCTTCCGGAAACATTTCTAGCAAGGCAATCTGAAAGTCGTAGAAATCAGCGTAGTAACGCGACAGTTCCCACCATCGGCCGTCTTCCATTTGACATTCAATAATATACCAGTACATATCGTTGTCGAAACAGTACCGTGGTACCGACGCGCTGATGGGGGCAAGAGGGATGTTCGACTGCTGCGACATTCTCGCCCCATTCTATTTGAAACTCGGTCAACTTCACATCTCATGACTGGGGAAAGAATATCTTCCACTTACATAATTAGTACTGGCGATCGATTGCTGCGAGGATGCATTCTGCTGAAGGCTCATTCGAGCCATCTCGGCCGACATTTGAGCTTGGGGGCTGTCAAATTTTCCCAAGCTGATACTGCTGTTCTTGTATTCTGCTGCAAACTTTTTCCATTCCTCAACCCGTGGGACGCCTGCTTTCCGGACTGCTTCAAGGGGATCGGCCACCGATTGCATAGTCGCTGTATCCTTAATATCAACAAACGATACGGGGATCAATCCTGGTCCTCCTAACCGTCCTATCGGCTTCGCAACGAACCATTCTGGATTGGATTGCGCCACCACGATGATGGCTTCTCCGGCTTTGGCGTCCAACTCGTCTGCCCTTTCAGCGTGGAAATCGTACTGCACCACTCCGTACACCATGGCGCCTGCGCTTCTTCCGGTCATACTCGGTCCTCTCTGATGTGTTCCTGCACTGGGTCTTGTGGTCGCGGTCGATTCTGATCTTGTGTGGCCAGAGTTGGTCGAACCCTTCTCTGAAAAGCCCGAGTCGTGGCCATCCATCTTCTCTCCTGGGGACGATAGAGAATTTTCGCTTTGTCGCTGTTTTTTGCCGACCACTTCAAAGAATGCCACGGGCACCAGACCTCTCGCGGACGGGATGAGCGGGTTGCAGGCCTCGTACCACTCTGTGTCGTCTTCACGGCTCAGGACGTGAAAAAAGTCACCCTTGTGGAATGACAACTCTTGCGCATTGCCATTTTTAGGCTCGTAGTCGTACAAGGCTTTTATAACTTTCTTCGGGGGCAGGGCCTGGATCGTCTTGGGGGTGATGGTCAGATTTGGTGGCTGCCGCCCGTCCTTGTCGCTCTTGAGAGATCGGCGAATAGCCTGGAGGAACAAGACGGATGAGTGTCTGCGCGATGCGAGGGGGCGCATGTGGAAAGAGAGTGGTGACATACCTTCATTGTCGCATTGAGGTGTGCCCCGCAGTCGCCCTTAGCTGGAGAGAAAATGCTACGAAAACGGGCTGTTGTGGCTCTAGATCGACTGCATGTGAAGTCGCAGGGTGGAACGAGGGCTTTGAATGGCTTGCACTGGCGTGGACGGTGGTCGACTGTTCCGAGCAAAGCTGAGGCAGAAAGTGTTTCAACCTTGGGGAGTTGACAGGCCCGGGGGGGGGGGGGTGACGAGGTAGTTGATGTCGGTCGGACAGGCACAGGCGCAGTTCTCACGAGGTTCAGGCAAGGGAGAAGATCTGGTGTGTCCCTTTCGTCCCTTTAGCGTGTTCTGTCTGGCAGGGATGTGGGATACCTCCTGGCGCAGTTGCGCAGTGGTGCTCCGGTTCAAGTCCGCTGCGGCCCCCACAGACCCAAGATTACAAAGGACTCAAATTTTTCACATCAGATTCCGGACAAGGATACCTAGAGATTAAATCGAGATGACGATGACGATGAGAGTGATGCGCAGGATTTTATTTGAGCACAGATGGCGAGATGGATGCAGGGGAATGGGGACGCGCTGGTCCACCGAACTTCGAGATACGTTACTTGGATATTTGTACAAGCAGGGGAGGGAGTGCATACTTGGGTACATACGAGTACGCACTAGAATGAGGGAGTCGCAAGGGCTAGACGCAGCCGCAACGTGGGCATGGACATGGACATGGACATGGGCCGGCGCGTGAGAGCCCACCAGCCATTCCCAAAGCATCCAGAATTGTAAGATCCGAGAACAAAGGAGGCCCATGGGCATGGCCTACTGGTACAGTTGAATTCTACAGGCCACCCTCGTTGACTTGCCGGCATGACGGCTGCGCAGCTAGAGCTAGTTGCATGTCGATGCCCTGCTTGTATGAGAGAGAAGTCACTGGATACCCATCCCCGAGGATGCAGAGCCTAGCCACACGCTCCAGGAGTCGCTGTCGAACGCGCATGGTTGGCTAGACTAATGTCCCAGCTACATACCAGCCCAACAAGAGACCTAAACCCAGCTGTGGCCAACACTACCAGTAGACAGGTTGTGCTCAGCTCGCTCATCCTATCTAGGTTCATCCGCTGGTGGAGGAAACGTCCTCTTCAGCTACGTTACTGGCGAGCTGGCACACTTCCGGCTTCAGGTCTTGAAATAAAGGGGGCCCAACCACGACTGGACCATCTGTCCTGGTGATCCTGCAAGACAGCCACCCTCGGACAACAATCATCTCACATATCGTCTGTTGAGGGTAGCCTTCACAGCTCTCGCAAAGGGCTCATTCTCCCCATACGCCACTTCACCGTTCATCTCCATGCGCAGTTGAACTGCGACGTCTCTTCTATGTTCCCATGGGACGCCCGCTAGATACTGGGTACATCTTCCCAACACTCCGCAGGTTCATTATAGTTGCCAGTTTTCTGCCTCTTTATCTTGCTTTGACGCCAACATTGCAATGTTAACGTTGTTGTATCTGCTGGCCCAAGTGACGGCATCGCCACGTGTGAGGACAACATCCATGTCTGCAGAGGCTGCAGGGAAGAGCGCCCACGCAGATCAAGGAACTTAATCCGAAGAGCAACGTTTCAAGGTGATGCCGGCACCATCAATATTGCCAGACACCAGATTTACACAGGTCTTGAAGGCCCTGTCGGTTGTGGACAGCATGAAACGAAGTGGAGCTTATCATATCTGTCCCTTGATGTCGACTTGGCCAAAGGCTCTGGTCTTTGCGACCTGGAAGATGCTCCCCGCCTTTCCCGTCAAGAAGCGAACATCGCCGTCTCGTTCTTCGAGCAGATTTGATGACTCTTCTGGGGCATGGTCAAGGATGAACTGACAGGCTTCTTCGTCCGACTCAAAACCGAGTTCTTCGGTGACGAAGCGCAATCGAACGTCTGGTTTGTACCTGACCATATTTTCAGTGATTGAAGTCATGCTGGCATGGGGATGGCAAACTTACGTTTTGCATAAGCATGCGAGCGCAGCGAGTCGCTCACGTTCTACAAACATATCCATCAAATATGCCCCCATGTCGGGCACGGTGAGATACAATTTGAAAAATTTGTGGTAGTTTCCAAGGGCAAGAGCAGAGCGCACTTCGAGGGCATGCTTGATTGCAGGTTCTTTCTTGTCTGCTGGTGTTAGATCAGAAAGTACGTCATTCATGTCAGTCTGGTTGCACGTGTGGATAAAATAGAGGATACGATATGCCTTGAATTCCACAGGGTGACCACCAAGATTCTGTTTATACAACGCCCGCAGCTGCGTTTGACACTGGTTATACTCACCCAGGTCACCCTTCTCCAAAGCAATGCGAGCATGGTACTCGTAGACGCTGGTGGTGAACTCGTTCTTGATATGCTGGACCGTCAAATCTTGCCGGAGTGACTTGAATTGGTCACAAATATAGACGTAGTTGCCCTCGGTGCGCCACTTCTTCTTAAGTAATTCCAGAGTTTTCCGAAGTACATCCAAAGGCCGTACGTCATCAGGGTTGGGTGCTGACGTTAATCTGAAATAGTTCTTCTCGAGCTTTTGCGATCGGCCGACAATAGGTCCAGTCATTCTCGGCTCCGGTGAGGCAACCCGAGATGACTCTTGCGTGCGTGGAGAGTCTGATCCCGCGCGTGACTCCTCGAACCGCCGCCTGCGAGATTCTAGGCTTGCGTGGGTTTTACTTACGGATTTATTCATGTCGAGTTTGGGGCGCTTTTCGGGTGCGTTGAAGGAAACACGGTCAGCCAGAGGTCCGGAAGATCGTCCGTTCGTTCTCCAGGGTGGTTGCGGTGCAGAAACCTCGGCATCTGCCGAAAGCTCCGTGGATTTGCGCTTACGTGGGACATCCGGTTGAGTGTGGTAAGAAGCGGTGGAAGCGGCTGGAACAGGTACAGGAGGAACATAACATGGAGGGGTTATAGGGGCAAGAAGAGCACGATTGCGTTCATCTCGAATCATTTGCTGAGGCAGCGGCAGCTCCTTCCAATTGGTAGTATCCAACTTGCCATTCTGAGTTGCATCAGTGATGATTTCTTTGAGTTTTGCTTCAATCTGCTCTTTGGAGACATCTCGAATTTCTGCGGCTTTCGCAAATGAACGGTTGACATAGTCACGGACCTCTGCAGACCAGACTATCTTCGGTCTTGCAGGTTGCTGGGGCTGGGGTGGAGGAGCGTTTGGTGCGGTGCTCGTTGGAGGTGACGGCATATATTGTTGGGGCGGCATTGGAGCTGGAGCGTAGGTGGGTGGCGGAGGAAGATGTGGTTGAGGACCGAAAGCATTTCGAGCGGGAACTGGTATGTAAGCATGATTCTGGTGGTCAAGCGACGGATATGAAGTCTGCCACGGGGGGTGGCCTGCAGGAGATGAATACATGACAGCGCGATCAGGAGGGCCAGACTAATACGAGGCAAATATGTAGCAGAAAGTGTAGAAGAGGGGATTCAATAGCCGTGGCGGTGCAAACCAAGGAGAATCCTTTGATGCCGCCAACTTGGTGAACAGAACAGGAGACGGTGAGAAGGAGAGAAAGAAGTGAAGTTGGCTTGACCGTGTAGTCGCAGGGAGGAAAGCTTCTTGGCAAACGGTCTAACCCGACCTGGGCTAGCGATATCTTCCTCGCTTGATCTTCCAGTCCATGTTTTATCCCGCAGTCTCTCTTCATTATGTATTGTAAACATGTTTGGGATGCCAGACTTATAGCGACAAGCAACTTCAAAACTGTTTCTATTCTCAAAAATGAACTCCAGTCTGCATAGACAGCCGGATGTTCCTCAAAAAGCCAGATTTGACCGCTGGCTCGCGCCCGACCTTGTCTCAAGATGAGGTCCTTCTATTCGTTCAGGACGGAGTTGGGCTTTACGAAGGGTCAGACGGAATCCCTGATCACATATTTGCATCTCAAATGCTGAAGTTTCCTCAGGAAATACAAGATCGACTCTTGCCAGAAAGGACATGCATATTTGACTTCTCATCGAGCCTGCTACGTCGACGACGCAGATCCTCGAGCCAATTCATGGGCGGTTGATCTCAGAGATGTTGAGAGACACGAGTTCCAAGTTGTAAGCCTCGTTTTCGCCTAGAATCGATGTGCTAACGCATCGTCTCAAGGCTGGATTCCTCAAGTCGTCGCCGAAGGTCACCTTGTTTCCCAAACCGCCCAAACGACGACTTGGCTCGATAAGTAGGGCTGGGCCGGCACAGTCGCCTCGATTTCAGAGGGTAGCGTCTTCTTCAACTCCATCAACACGCGCTTCCAGTCCGTTTCGTTCATCGACAATCTCTCCCACCCCACCACCGCTAGTCACTGGCACTTGGGTGTGCCCCATCTGCTCTTTCTCCAACCCTGTACCCTCCAATTTTGATCCTACAATCGCAACTGAATCATTTCCGCTGCCACCTTGCCTGGCTTGTGGTATCAAACCGCCTTTCTCACTTGTGCTCAAAGCAGCTGTTGCTGCCAATGCGAAGCGCCTCCTTGGAACTCGACCAGAATCTATCAATCTCACAGCCGACTCCCAGACTCAGTCTTATGGAGATGAAATTTCTTCAGAAAGCATCACTTGTCCCCGATGCACATTTCACAATCATCCTTGGATGCGCATCTGCGAACTGTGCTCTGCTCCCCTTCCAGCGCCAGATACTATACAGAGGCAAGCTCTCGAAGACCCATTCGGTCGGTCTCGGTCACCAGGGCCTGAAATATCTGGCCTTTCTTTGGAGGAGGAGCATGAAACTCCAAGTGTCAAGTTTTCTTTTCGGAACGGAGGTGACCGAGTCTTCTACGAGCGACTCAAAAACGCAATGATACAGAGAAAGTGGTTGTTGCAGAATGCGCCTCCCATCCCCCGACCTGATGGTGACCGTACGCCAACACCATTTAGCGGGACGAGTCCTGTGCCATCATCCGAGTCTCGAGCAGTCGCCGTTGGCATTGCTGGACTTGAGCAGCGTGGACTTCAAACTCGCAGGAACAACGAAGCGGTGCTTGGCAATGCTTTTGAAGATTTAGAAGCTCTGATGGCGTCAGCAAAAGATGTCGTTGCCCTGGCAGAGCGATTTGCGCTAGAGTCGGGATCGCAGACAGGCTTGTCCGGGGCCCCAACGGACCCTCTTCTATCTCAGTCGGCGGCAGCACTGGGTATGGTTGCAACGAAAGATATGGTCGGGGACAACTCCACTGCGCTATACATCTCTGAGCTGGCAAGGAATTTGGCTGAATACGCTACAGACGACCGACAAGGCATATTACGACGCCAAGGCGGCACGATGAGTCTGGTTGACCTGTGGGCGATGTTCAACAGAAGTCAGAATGGGGTGGAGCTAGTCAGCCCATCTGACTTCCACAAGGCGGCCGAAGCGTGGGAAAAGTTGGGCCTGCCCATCAAGCTGCGCCGTTTCAAAAGTGGACTGTTGGTGGTGCAACAGCGCAATGCAAGTGACGAGAAAACCATCGGCCAGATCAGGGCGTGGCTCGATTCACTACGCCTTGCGGCAGCGGCAACATCGCCAGAAGCATGGGATAGGTCAATCTATGGCGTTGGAGTAACAGCACAGCAGGCAGCCGCACAGTTCGGCTGGAGCCTCGGTGTTGCCGCCGAAGAACTTGAAATGGCAGAGGAGAGAGGAGCACTCTGTCGGGAAGAAGGCGTGGAGGGTTTGAAGTTCTGGGTCAACTTCCTGCTCGAAGATGACTAGATAGACATGTACTCCGTATAAGGAATAGCTAGGCCCTTAACCCCTGAACAGTTGATCTGTGCAGTTGATCTGTGCACTTGAGTGAACTCTTCACATCTCGCCACCCAGCCACAAGTTCCTCAGATACCACGTGGCGCCGTGGCGCCGTGGCGCGTCCATCGCGTCTGTGCAAAATTCGGCGCACCTGCCTCTTTGAAAAGTTTGTACTCCTGAACCTCTGGCATTGAGGGGACCCGACCAGCGCCGACTGCAGAAGGCTGACAATTGTTCTTTATGCTGATGTACGATGATATTGATATTGTCTCACCCAAGTCGCTCTTTCGCTTAGCTTCGCGCAAATATGGCCAGAATCGGTCGCGGAGGTTTTCTGGCTCTCGCGGTGGTCTTCCATCTGGTCTATATCTACTCCATCTTCGACATTTACTTTGTCAGTCCAATCGTCCATGGCATGAAACCATTTGCCGTCCAACAACAGCGTGCTCCGTCAAAACGCCTCGTTCTATTTGTAGGAGACGGTCTGCGCGCTGATAAGGCGTTTCAATCCTTCCCAGATCCATCTCCTCCTGACCCAGTAAATGCCGACCTCACGCCCCGACCTCTCGCTCCCTTTCTGCGATCTCGAGTACTCGAGCACGGTACTTTCGGCGTCTCTCATACACGGGTGCCGACAGAGTCGCGCCCCGGACACGTTGCGCTTATCGCTGGGCTCTATGAAGACGTTTCTGCGGTAACAACTGGGTGGAAATTGAATCCGGTCGATTTCGACAGCGTCTTTAATCGAAGTCGGCACACATGGAGTTGGGGGAGTCCAGATATTCTTCCAATGTTTAAGGAAGGAGCAGTACCAGGACGGGTCGACGCCGATCATTATGCTGCAGAATTCGAGGATTTCTCACAGGACGCTACATCGCTGGATATCTGGGTCTTCGACAAGGTTAAAGATCTTTTCAAATCTGCCAACACAAATGCCACCCTTGATGCCATGCTCCGAGAGGACAAAATTGTTTTTTTCTTGCATCTGCTTGGATTGGATACCACGGGTCATTCCTACCGGCCGTATTCCAAGGAATATCTGCACAACATCAAGATCGTTGACCAAGGCGTCGAGGAAATTACAAATCTAGTCGAAGAATTTTATGCTGATGGGGAAACTGCCTATGTCTTCACGGCGGATCACGGGATGAGCGACTGGGGAAGTCACGGAGATGGTCACCCTGACAATACGAGGACGCCCTTGATCGCTTGGGGTGCTGGTGTGGCCCAACCCCAGCTTTTTCCGGGCGCGCAAGCTCCAGGCCATGAAGACGGGGTCTCGTTTGACTGGGGTCTTGATCACGTTCGACGCCATGATGTTAACCAAGCCGATGTTGCTGCACTGATGGCCTACCTTGCTGGTCTGGAGTTTCCGGTCAATTCTGTTGGCAAGCTTCCGTTACCCTATCTAGCTGCGTCGACGCAGGAGAAGGCTAATGCAGTGCTGGTGAACACCAAGCAAGTCCTAGACATGTACAGAGTCAAGGAGGAACAGAAGCAGGCAACCTCGCTGAACTTTCAGCCATACCCCCCTTTCTCAAAAGCCAATGCCGCGATCGCTGATCGAATTGCCGCTGTTGAGGCTGCAATGAGCAGCAATCTCTATGACTCGGCTATTCAGCTGTCCTCGGAGCTCTTTGACCATGCTCTGCAAGGTTTGCGGTACTTACAGACTTATGATTGGCTTTTTCTCCGCGCTCTGATCACCGTTGGCTACATTGGCTGGATTACCTACGCAATTACGACAGTCATCGACCTGCATGTCCTTCATGGCGCTGTGCCGGACGAGAGGACAATTGGAACAACCATGGCGTTTTCATCTATCCTGGTTGTGCTGTATTCGTTCTTCGTCATCGAGCGGTCACCTGTGACATATTACGCATACGCATTTTTTCCTGTCTTTTTCTGGGAGGAAGTGTTTGCCAGGAGAAAGGCTCTATTTTCTGGATTCAGCGTTCTTTTCGGCCACATCCAGAGCTTTTCGAGGTCATTGTCTCTCATTGTGCAAGTCTTGCTCTATTTGCTCGTTATTGAAGCTTTGGTAGGTGACAGGAACCCGTTTTCCAATGGGTTGGTTTCTGACTCATGCAGGTGCAATCATACTTCCACCGCATTATCTTCACCCTGTGTTACCTTTTCGCAGCGGTGTTTCCCGTCGTATATGGCGCGGATTTCATCAAGAAGAATAAATTAATTGTGCTGGCATGGGCAGCGGGCTGCCTGGTTCTGAGCACCTTTACGCTACTTCCAGTGGTGAAAGTTGAGAGTCCCACCATGATCACCGCAGGAGGTCTCCTCATGTTTGGAGCCGGCGTCCTCTATCTTGCTTTTGAGCACGATATCACCACCCAGTCGAAATCCCGGACACAAGAAACCGAACCCAACGTCTTTTCTCGAATCCTCATGGGCCTTCAGATCGGGATTATTCTGCTAACCATCATCGTTACACGCTCAAGTGTTGCTTCGCTCCAAGCAAAGAAAGGGCTGCCGCTTGGGAACCAAGTCGTTGGTTGGCTTGTTCTTGTAGCCTCCGTCATTCTTCCATTCGTGCACCGAATGGCACCCAACAAACACTACCTTCATCGCCTCGTCATAATCTTCCTTACATTTTCACCAACGTTTGTCCTCCTTACGATCTCATATGAGGGCCTCTTCTACTTTGCATTCTGCTTCACCTTACTTACGTGGGTGCGCCTCGAGCACGCCATCCAGCTTCATGGGTCCTCCCAATCACGAGAGACTCCGTCCGATTCAATGCCCTCCGCAAATGGCATCAGCATAACATCGAAATCCCAGAAATCCGAGAATCTACATCCCGAACAGACGTTCCGCACCCTTGCGCTCACCGACCTCCGCCGCGCCCTTTTCTTCCTCTTCTTCCTTCAATCCGCATTTTTCTCCACCGGCAACATTGCTTCCGTTTCGAGCTTTAGTCTCGACGCCGTGTACCGCCTCATCCCGATCTTCGACCCCTTCTCACAGGGTGCCCTTTTGGTCTTCAAACTGATGGTCCCCTTTGCTATCATCTCGGCCGCATTGGGGATTCTCAATCGACGACTCGGATTGCCGAGTTCGGCGCTATTCATGACAGTTATGAGTATTAGTGACGTGATGACACTCAACTTTTTCTGGATGGTGAAGGATGAGGGAAGTTGGTTAGATATTGGCACAACAATTAGCCACTTTGTGATTGGGAGCTTGCTTTGTGTCTTCGTGGCGGGATTGGAGGGGGTGAGTCAAGCCTTGATTCATGGGGTCGAGGTTGATACCTATGAGGATAGAATGAAGCAGGTGGCTGGTGTCCAGGTGATTCAGGGGAAAGTCACTGAAACCGATATGGATGGGGGTGCGCAGGCAAATGGGATAGTGAATGGAGTCGTGAAGGTCACTGAGGGGCGAGAAGGTGTGGACGAGAGGCCAGTTATTGATTAGTTGTGGTCAGCCCTTGGGTCAAATATGTCGCTGGAGTGATGGTCGCGGGCATACTGGCACGCCTGTTGTGAATAGGTTATGATTCCTTAGACCTGCGTGCATCATTGGACTCTTGAGAACCGTGTAGATGCCACGGCATGCTCCTAAGACTATCACGATTCGCGCAAATTTGTACATCCCTCGCAATAACACATTGTACTCGGATCAAATTTGGGAGCTCAGACCATGCCGTTCTGTTTTGGTCTATCTAACGTGAAAACTACGCCATGTCAATGCCGTTTCCTTTCCCTTGTCGCCTGATGATGATGGGATCTGCCCCGGCGCTCTTTTCTCCGAGCTGAGGTCCCTTCAGCGCGGCATTCTCATCTATTCGAGGCCTGTCGCTTTTCTCCCGGGGACCTGCACCAGCTCTCCACTCAGGAGGACTCACGTGTACCTTCTCTCAAGGAGAAGAAGATGATGGGTCCATCTTTACTCGCCGCGAGAATTCGCCGCTCCGCGGTCAGACACGCCTGTGGCGCCCTTGGCCTTGGAATATTCTGCGTACTCGCCAGCTTTTGCACCCTCTGCGGCCACGAACTCTGCGCTCACGGGCTCCTTGGCCTCAGCACCTGTCCTGCTCACATTGCGCCCTGAGATCGGCCCCCGAGGGTGATTGCCCTCCTGCTGTAGGCGTCGAAACTCGGGGTTCATGTCGTCGGGGTCCCGGAGGCCTGAGCCGCCCGTTGCACCTACGCCCTCTGGGCCCGAAGTCGCTTTGCTGGCTGTGTGGTGTCCTTCGTGGCGGAGTTCGGTCGATGTCTGTCCCTGGCCCGGGAGGCCAAGGCCCGTGTGCACGTCGGCAGATGTGGCGCCGGGCAGTGTGCTTAGAGGGTCGGTGCGGACGCCTTCTTTGCCGTGTGAGCGGTCGACGTTGTCATTTAGAGCTTGTCCCGGAACTTCGCCCACTGGGTTTGGTTGGTACGTCGCATTTGCTGGGGCCGTGCCTGGGGGAAGGGTTTTGGCGGTGAATTCGGGGGCGTGATCTGCTGGCGAGACTTTTTGGCCTATTTGGTGCTAGCGAAAGGAGTCAGTAAGGGCCCTACCAGTAGACGTTTTCTCTCTCAGGAGGTATCTGATGACCAGGGAACATGACTTACACCGTGCTTCTCCATGGGTTCATCGCGGGGCTTGTGAGGCATGAATTCACCCTGGGCGTTGGTCATGGAGTCTGCGTTTCTTGCTGCCATTGTGTCTGCGTTTGGTTCTTGAAGTGCTTCTTCGACGTGATAGGGTTCTTTACACTGGGAACTTTTCAATTCTGAAGTGCAGTGGTCCAGGATCAATTGGATGGACAGGTCAGAGACAACATGAAGTCCTGAAAAATGGTCGTGTGCTGTGCCCTGATAGTTGACGTCATGCTGGGACATTTGTGATCTCATAGTCCGTTGGACGTTTCATGTGGCAATGCAAATCGATATCAACTATCAACGGGGTTTCCTTCGTCACAGGTGATACGGTGCTCACCAAGACCGCGCAATGGTCTGTTGTTGGCGTCTCTGTTCGGTCGCGTGTTATCCATCCTCGACGGGGTCTGGTTTCACCCGTTCCATTTAACGCTTACGGTCTGAACTGCCAACACACATACCCAACTCGCCAGTACCTAGACGCAGCTCCCATACATCAAGTGAAGTGACACCAGAATTTCAGACTTGCTTGCATACGTCTCCAAAGAGGGCTCTGCAAGGCGGTAATCCTCGCTGTTGCTGAGCATGAAGTCTCCCTGCAGCTGTTAAATAAGCCTCACACTTAGCACCACTTAATACTTGTAGAGCTGCCAAGCATTAATGGACTAGCCCGATTAGGCGAAGCAGCTTGGCACCTGTTAATATATAAGGGCCTGGGCATCCCGGGTCACATTCAGTCCGCCAGATACAATCAACCTACCTACCTACTACCGACTTGACCCCCAGATTGGTTCACCAAGTAGAGGGAAAACTGATTGTGCCCTCATCCCAGTTGAGTACTGGTAAAGAGGGTGGTGTCTCCCTAATGTCGCCTCTATTTAGACAGACATACTGGCTACTCTTGGACAGCTTCGCGAGTCTCTGACCCGTTGTCTCTGACAGCACCTCCGTATTCAGACAATATTGTAATCTTGTGGAACATTGACGCCCATAGTGACACAGCGCCACTCACAATTTCGGCCTTCTCCCAAAAATGGATCCTCCTCTGCCCCTTGTTTGCCCCACTGGGGCAGAGAGACACTTTCGGCGGGCTTGCATTCTTTCTTATTTACAGGTTGTTTCCATAATATCCCATGTAATGAACAAGCAGGAGCTTCACTAGGACGAGCTTCAAACCACATGCCTAGGATATGGCAGGTCCTACCACCTCTAATAGATCGCTCGGTGAGAACGAGATTCGCCTAGTGAATATTCAAGAAACTCATGGCATTCCTGCATACTCACTGACGACATTGGTATCTTCCATGTCTGAAAATCGACCCTACATCGCCCTCTCCTACGTCTGCGGGAAAAAGAAATCCAAAATCCATGTAAATGGCCAGGAGCAAGGAATATATGAAAATCTATACCTGGCGCTGCCCGCCCTCTATGTTTTCGCCTTGCAAAACCGCTGCGATTGGGAAAGAGAACCATACTTCTGGATCGATCAAGTTTCCATTGATCAAAGTGATGCAAAACAGAAAGCGAAGCAAATGCTCCGCATGACGGATATTTACTCTCGAGCAAAGAGAGTGTTGATCTGGCTCGGTCCAACCTGTGGGAATCTCAAAGCCTTATTGCAAAGCTTCGCCCGAGTCATCGGTCCAGGGGCACGGAGAGCTGGGATTCTAGCTATAGGGCCAAATCTCGCCACAAGTTGGCCGGATTTTCCCAACAATCCCGAACTGCGAACAGGACGCAGGCAGGTGGAACGCTTCTTCTCGTCTGACGACTTCCGGTGCGCATTTGCGAACAGGCTCGACATGCTACGGGCCTTCGAAGACCTGACATGGAACGAATGGTTTGCGCGCACCTGGACGATCCAGGAACATACTGTGGCCAATGCTACGGTTTTCGCGTTGGGGGATGACACGTTTGTTGATGGGGACGATTTCATAGCATCAATCTTATGCTGCACGCTTTGGTTCATGAGTACAGCTCGGCCATTGATGCAGTCCCGTTTTCTCTTTCTGCGGCTGTTCAGGTTGTTACTCTTCTGGTATTATGAGAAACCTGGGCTATGGAACTACTTGACGGGTCCTGGCCGGTCAAGAGAATGGAATTCCCGAGCAAGTACCATGCTCGGTGAACGGCGCAAGCGCCAAAGGCAACAAAACGGAGACCACACAGAGACAAATTTGAAAGCTTGCCTTGTGCGTACCTTCATTCCGGAGTCGACAGATGGCTCAGGTTGCAGCTGGGAGATCGATCGAATCTGGGCATTGTTCGGAATGTGCACCGATCGGAGCATCCTGGAAACAGCAGGCTTTCCACTAGACTACAACACGCCTTGGAGGGAGGCGTACCGTGAGGTTTCGAGAACGCTGATTCGCCTCGGTCATACAGATCTCCTAGGGATCGAAAGTAAGGGGGTAGCAAACGACGCTAAGAATAACACGAGCTCCCGCGAGACATCGCTACCCTCCTGGACGACTGATTGGTCTGTCCCACTGAGACGCCCACTCTGTGGACTCCTAGAGGATGGTCTATTCAAAGCCGCGACCCATCTCCAAGTTGCTCTCAGCGAGCATACACACGTCTCGAGCCAGGCCAATACTCTCGCCATCAATGGGTACTGTCTAGGTCCCATCCAAGCTTTGGGAGCCACCTTCACAACATCCAAGGCCGCCGGTGAGCTCGATTACGTCCAAGCCGACATTTACCTGCGAGAGATTGAGGCCTTCGTGGAGAAAACAGCCCTCATTCCATCCCGACTCAAGGCACATGCCAAAGCCTACATCCCCGTCCACGGCCTGGAATATAACTATCTGGCCATCACCTGTCGCGCAGACACTACCAGGGTCATGCGCGGCTTCGGTGAGATGAAGAAGTGCACAGCACAAGGCGAGGGGCCGGTCCTCGTTATCAGCCAGGACCTGCTCTCGTATAAGACGTTTATGGAACGATGTCTTGGAAAGCGACCCTTTATTACGACGCAGGGTCACGTTGGGCTGTGTACTGGCCAAGCGGATGTAGGTGATGTGTTGGGAGCCGTCGCCGGAGCGCCTGGGCTCATCATATTGCGGGCGGCCGGTAAAGACACAGATCACGGTTTGGATGCCGGTGCCTTTGAGGTCATGGGTGAAGCATTTGCGTATGGAATTATGGACGGAGAGATTGCTGGGATGGGAGATGTCGAAGAGCGACACATCGCCCTTTGCTGAAGTCACGTATCGCTCCCATGGGGTCTTGCTATCAATGCTCACCTCCCGTCTTTGGCATTCGCAAGAGTTTCAATTTCCTGAAAGAAACACGACCAAAGATCCTCGGTAAGAAGTCAACGGACTCCTGAACGGACTCTCTATGTCACCTCGGGTGGCGAGATTACACCGACCGAAAAGCCAACCCAGCTTAAATACTGACCCCGGACTAATACGAAGTTACCCGACCGCACCGGGTCGCAGGTGCTGAAAGCCGGGGAAGCATTCGGGGAAATACGAGTTCCATACGAGTCTAGCAAAAGCTCCAAACAGTTCATCAAGCCCCTTGAGTATTTATCAATGCCTTATTTCTCAACCATCGGTCGAAGGTGTGGCTGGAAGTGTAACAACCTTCATTTCACCGTCTCAGAAGATTATTTGCCCAGCAGATCTCTCCCCCTTTAACGTGTTTGGGGAGATAGTCCTCCCCTTGCTTTCAACATGGCACCGACGATGAAGTTACCATGTATCCCAGAAGATGAATTCGTCATTTATGGAGATGTGGGTCACTAGTCCAGGCCAACCAAGCTACTTCCTAACGTCGTCCCTTGTAGGTGTACGCAAGAGAAGGCTACGCCGACGAACTCGAACCACTGTGCCGCCTTCTGATTCGACTGGTCGAGTCGGAGCCTGGGACGTTGGAATATGCCATCTCGCGAGACCACGATGAGCCGAACCACTTTTTCGTCTTTGAGCGGTATAGCGGCAAGGAAGCATTTGACAAACATTGTGCCAGTCAAGAGTATCAGAACCTGCTCAACTCGGGAGTCATGGTCGGCCTACCACAGCCCAAGATCTTGAAGCAATTGAAGCCCATTTAGAGGAAGTTCTAGTGCCGGCCACGTTGAAACTCTGTTCTGTGTAGGAAATGAGAATATCGTCGGCTACAAATGGCAGACTACAGCCTCTCAAAAAGACCATCGTACAACAAAGTCAGGACATACAATACATGTCTTCACTCCATAGAACGGAATTCTATCCATGCAGGACAGAAATGCCTCGACTACCTCCAGCGGTTTTCGGGGAAAAAAAAAAAAGGGTCTGTTCAGGTTCCCTTCTGTCTTGTAAAGGAGTCAGGGCGTTATGCAACGGAGTTGCAGAATAAGATCCTGCGCTGAAATTTCGTCGCAACTCGCCAGCCGGCGTTTGATAATGAGAAGTTAGACACAACAATGTGTCTGCCTTGCAGTCGAAGCACCGAAGAATAATTAGACAATATACAAGGTTTGTGATATCAATCATTCGCCGCGAGAGGAGGGGGGGCCTCATGGAAGTTGGTACAGCGTAGCCAACCAGCAGGTTTTAGATTCTGCAAGTGCATTGGTCAATCTGTCTTTCTTTTTTAGAAATCTGGTTTTGTCCGTTTCTCGCCTTCGATGAACTCGTATATATCCCTACTGGTATGCCGTAAACATCTCCCAGTTACTAACAGCAATACCATCTAAGCGCGACTGGTTTCTTTCCCTTTTCAATCAAGCAGGCGTCAAGTACCATTGCGATGCTCTCAGGTTGAGCCAGGAAATCTTAGGGGGCGGCCTTTGACCCTGAGCCTCTCCTCGTAAAAGTAAATGAAGATCAAGATCCCCCCGGCTGCGACGATCACCGCAGCCTGTGTGCCGAAACTGGCGCCATAGCCAACGCTCACCCCCCATGGCTGCTGAAAGTAACCGACAGCAAATCCGCCCATCACGCGCATGAAGTTGATGAACGCCGAAACCTCCCCCGAGGCTTGGGGATAGCATTCGAGAGCGTACGTGGTGATTGCAACACTGGACAGCATGGCACCGAATATATAAATTCCCCAGCCGAATGCAATACCCAGCCAATGGAGATGATGCTTAAACGTCTGTCCCAGAGGACCAGGCCAGGCACCATGATGATGGTCCCGAGATACGTGACAGGCAAACGCGCTTCTGCCTTGAAAAGACCGTCATGGCGTCTCGTGTATCTTGCAGCATTCCAGTCGTTCAGCCAGTGTCCGAGAGCCTCGCCCAATGTGACGCCTATAGCAGGGGCACTGTACCAGAGACCATCAGCCATAGAATGAAGAAAACGGTTAGGAAGGCAAAACATACAAATAGATGAATCCGGACGCTTTAGGACTGAATCCGTAGCCTCCAACGTCTTCTGGTGTCCCGAGGAGGACGGCCGCCGTGATGTTGACTCCAGTGGCCCACATGAAATATAGGCAGCTATTCCCCCGTCAGTACACTTTTATCGGACATGGTTGTTACACCCACAAGTAGACTAGGATCGGTAGCATCAGAGGTTTGATCAATACTGCCCAGAACCTGCCAAAGGCTGGTAAGGCACCCACGAAGTAGCCTCTGTGCAGTCTGATTTGCCATATCCCGATCACTCTCTGCCATCTGCTGCCGCGCGGCGGCTGCTCCTCAAGGGGCACATCCCTTCGATACCAAGTTTCGTCCAGAAACAATACCACCAGAACAAGATCAAAACAAGTCGATGCTAGCGCAAGCCAGTATAGCGGGCGCCACTGCGAGTCAAGTCCGGAAATCATGAAGTAGCCCAGCATTGGGCCAATGTATGGCGTGACATAGAAGAAGAAAAGCCATATGCCGATCTTGCGAGCGTGCTCGTGGAGGAAGAACATATCTTTGATGTAACATAGTGCCGTTGTCTGGCAAACTGTGAGGGTAGCCCCTTGCAACGCACGCAATGCATAAAAGGCCTCGAAGTTGTCAGTCAGGCAGATCCCGAGGGTGAAGAAGACGCTGGCGAGGACAGCCCAGAACACGACGGGCGCACGCCCCCAGAAGTAGCTTGGGGGAATCGCGAGGACACCACCAACTCCTCTGGAGTCTAGTCAGCTATCAACTCGAAGGGGGAGCAAGAGAATCCGTCACAGAAGGGAGCAACTTACACCATAATCACTGCGAGGTTCGTGGTGAAGTTCATTGAGTTATACGATTTATCCCAATGAAGCGCTTGAGGCAGAACCGCTGGGAAGCCAAGGCAAAGACTAAAATCCCCATTGCCCGCCAAAATCGACGTTGTGAGTAGGACTGCGTGTTTCTTCCACCATGGGCAGTTGAGTGGATCGTTTGGATCGTCGCTTGGTTGCGGAATAAGAACAGTCTGCGCTTGGTTTCAGTCATTCGATGCAAGCAACCTTCGAGCCTGGGAACGTACGCGACCATCGGGTGCCAATTTCAAGCCTGTCGTATCTGTACCATCTTTGGTGCTAATGGTGAGAAGTATACCTTCGCCCTCTTGAGTCACTTCCTCAGTCGTCAAGTGATGCCCTTCATGAGCTGTTACATGGGACTTTGCTCCTATGTCTCCATAGTATCCGACCTGCTTTTCTTCCTGAGAAGTTTCTTTTGGGGAAATCATGTTGGAAATCCTGAACAAAGCTCGCACGGACAAATTCGTGTCAACGGTGAAGCAGTGAAGGCCCAGACGGATTAATCTCAGAGGCCTGTTGGTATAATGAGTCGAGAAGAAGCCACGTCTATCAGAGGCGAGAACGTGTGTCTGGTAAGTACATCCCTCCCCTAATATCAGGAATCGGACAGGGCTGCCCGTTTACTCAGCTTCTGAAATGGGAATAAAGGCACTGGCATGCTGCACGGTGAAATGTCGGACTGCCGGTCTTCGGGCTATTGGCTGTCGACCTAGGTATTACCGGAGAAGGTCATGTAGAGTTCAATACTGTGCTCAGCCTCCTTTCACCAGTACGAATGAAGTGTTGTCCAAAGGGGAAAACCCTGCGGTAGAGGTCGGACCGAGGACAATCTCTCGAAACTCAAAGGACGGTGAATACAGGGAGCCTAGTTAGCCGATCATACCGGTGTCTTAGCAATAACACCTGAAGAAATGCATTTCAGAGATCCAAAGTGGCCAAAATATCAGCACTGCGGTTCGTGGTAACATGGACCAAACGCACGATTTGGCGTCCATGGTTAGACAATCCTCAAAAGCGAGGCGGATGAGTGCAACAGCCCGGCCATTTGGCAGAGAGTAGCAGTCTCACGAGTTGCAGACAGCTTTAGCGCATACGACGTTCCTATTGCAACCTAAGTCTAAGCTATTGACTGTTTACTCATGTTGTCTGAGGTATCGGAGACTTAACCCCGCTTTCTCACAATATCTGGAAGTCCAGAAGGCTCCCCATGTATAGTCATGAAGTACGGATCGTAGACAGTAGTCGCTCGCTTTGATACTTCTCCATCTGCGTACTCGGGCCTTTTCAGGATGAAGTGCTGATCTCGAGAACATTCAATAAACTCCCCATTGAGAGATCTGTCGTTCAATCACTTCCAGTATGCGCTAACGATGGTTGAGACGGGTGTTAATCTGACAGCCTGTTAGAATAATGGGCGATATACGTCCCGAAGAAGAGAGGACTTGCGAGTCTTCGCCAAAGGTATCCCGCATATGCTGGCTTATGAATTGGGTCGGCACCACACCGGGACAGACTGTATTGATGGTAATGTTTTCTTTCTTTGTGGAGGTCCATATCGACTCGGAACTATGGCAACTTGGTACTCACGAACTGCAAGTATGGAGCACATGCTCGCACGAACCCATTGACATGTGGAAATCTCAGCACGAAGCCCCTACACATCACTCTCCCTCTGGCTTACTCCGGCTTTTGCCCCAGAATATTCGGGAAACGATGCAACCGGGTGGACTGCCACCATACTGGACGTTGCAATAATGCTCCCGCCGGGCGTGGGATTCTGTCGCATAAAATGAATGGCAAGTTGGACGCCGTAGATTGTTGCTTTCAAGCAAACATCCGTGCATGACAGGTCTGGTTCGGGAGGTATCCTTTGACAGATACGTCAGCTCGCTAAGTAACAGCGGATGGGACTTTCGCTGTACTCGGTTTTCCCACGCCACTTGAGAATGTAAATGGAGTTCCTGTCGATGATCCCCGCGTTGGCACAGAGAGCATCGATTCGGCCCCATCTTTGAAAAGCAGCTGAAAATGCACTTGCTTGCTCGTGGTAATGAGTGATGTCGCATTGGCAAAACATGAAGTTCTGTCCAAGTTCATCGGCAAGTTTTTGAGCAAGGGCACTTTGAGACGCAATATCAAGAGCAGCGACCCTCCAACCTTCGCGGATCAGTTTTCGTGTCAACTCTGCGCCAATACCAGACTAGAGAATGGATCCCTTCTTATTACTTCTCCCTCGAGAAATTTGCGTATAGATCTTGTGAGAGAACACATGTGGTGATCACTTACGACACCGCCAGTCACGAGCGCGACCGCTTCGCCCGGACTTGACATGATTGTTTCGTTATCGGAGGACTTGAAGCAGACATCAGTAGTTCTGAAGCTATTACAAGCGGCATCCTGTTTATAGATCGCGCAGGACGCCACTGTCATAGATCAAACATTGTTAGCGTCCAAACACGCCCCGGTTCCGCTGCCCCAGGCTTTTCTCCCCAGACATCCCCAGGCCGCGGTAAACGAACCCATTTACCCCGACCACCGCAGTGGGTAGATTAGATGTGCGAAATCGCCCCGAGTAACCGAAACTCCACCGAGCACCTTTAGGATGTATCCACGGATGTAAATGCTCGTCGAAGCTTTATGAAACAAGTGGCGAAGGAGTGAGAACTCACTAAAAGTTTGCCTGCTTATGGAAAGATGCTGCGCTTAACAGGACGGAGTTTCGTTGCGTTTCGGCAGGTTAATTTCCTTGACAAGTATGGAAAACCTTCGACAACCCAGCGATATCTTCATTTCGTGAAAACAAAGAGCAGAGTCATCGACGCCTTTCTTGGGCTTCGTCAATATGGCTACCAGGTCACCGATACTACCGGATAACAATCTTCGTCAATCGAGTTCCCGGACTGAGTGAGGACGAGTTTCATAAGCATTAGCCGTCGACCCACAGGGAGTTAGCAGAAGACTTACTAGTAAAATATGGTATCGCAGAATATCGACAGGTAAGCACCAAGGCCCACAAAGGAAGCGAGGCACGGTCGCTCAGGAAGAAGCACAGTACCATACACCGTCAGCTCTTTTACCAGAAGCTGAAGCCAAATGCCCAGGTTTAGACCAGCTCAACAAGTTGGATTTTGATAGAGCAGCCGACTTCATCATGGCAGATATTGAATCTTTCTATAAGTTTCGACAGGACCCGTATTATCACTCGCACATCGATGCCGATGCAAAAATACTGTTTGATTCGAACACAGCCCGGTGGACTGTGGGATGGGGGGAAGTGTATGTGAAGGGTGGAAGAGTTGTTGAAATGTCAGACGGGGAGGAATAGTTCGGCGGGTCCAAGTCGAATTTTCGACCAGGTTACGTGATGACAAGGTCAACCTAACCCTGTGCAAGCCTGTGCTCTGTGCAAGATCAATGCTTCTTTTTGGCGACCAGATACTCTGTATGACGAATTCTCTCGGAACAAGTACTTTTCCGTAGGGAGGCCCACCACAACATCTTCGCCTTCCAAATGCGGTGTGTATTCCGTGGCCCTCCGACTGATTGGGGTTGAATGCTCCATCGCACTGCACATCATTGGCCCAAAATACCGAGGCTATTCTGTATTCTGTGCTCTTTAATTTTGTTACAGGCCTCCAATTCCCTCTTCTTCAACGGAACGAACAATCTGAACTGTTTGTATTTCAAAGCCCTTGAGTCCCGTCGAGGGAAGCATAAAAAGTCAAGAGGTATATTCGCCTGATCATTTCGAGAACTTCTACTCTTTAGAAGATTCGCGTTTGAAGGACCACTGCCACCAAAAATGGACTGTCATGGGGTGGAAAACTAGGCCGAAGGAGGCCTGTTTACTATGTTACGCCCCAACTTGCGATGGAGACCCACTTTGATCGTACTAACCGTTGAGCATTGAAGATCTTTGGTTGATATCCGCAGCCGCATCACCGTATCGGGTCTATAGATGTCGATCCAGCCCCGCCCGCTAACTCGACTATGAGCGCCGCCGAAGTGCAATCTCGGTTCATGGAGGATTGTGTCACTTTCACCCCTTGCCATTGCTAGTTTAATGTCAATGTCGCAACAGTGCGCGTGGATAGCCTGGAAGCAACATGCAGCTTGTGGACTTCACTCTCCTTGTATAAGAGTCTGCGCTCTTCGCACAATGGGATTCTTGAGAAGTAGGGGCGGCGCCTATTCATCGCTTCGCAAGGGACTATTGCCCGCGAGCTGAGAGAGCTAGTGGTCCGCCATGAAGTACCCGTCACTCGCTTCATATCTGCTCGTGCTGGTCGCGCTGCAAACAAGCCAAGTTACTTCTCTTGCGGTACCCAGGCCACCGACTTTAAAGAGCCGTTCACTCCTTCCGCCTTTTTCGTTACCGCAGAATGACCTTCTCGACTTGACAAGAGCATTGGATGTTACGACGAAGCAAGCTGGCTATTTATATGGGCCTCCGGTCGCTGGCGGACCTTATTTTCCCACTGGCGTCTTGGGTTTGGCGAAGGTCGCGGCCGACCAAGCTCTGATCCAGCTCGATGAGGCCCCTATCCTTGTGGCCGCTGCCGCCGATACAACTGACAGTACGGTGTCAGCTCCTCAGTACAATGGCCTGCAGACCTTGGACGATTACACGCTCCTTTACGACGGCCATTGGAAGGCAACTCTCCCATCTGGCCCCGTTCCGGGCATGTTGACCAATTACACCCAAGATCTACTGTTCTCAATGGAACGCCTTTCGTTCAGCCCTTACCAGGTGAAAAGGCTCAATCCCTCGTCAGATACATTACAGTTCAATGTCGATGATAACACTACGACGCAAATCACAGGCATGACACTTCAACAGCTATTTGAAAGCGGTCGACTCTTTTATGCCGACTATCGAGACCAGAAAGATCTCACCCCCACCGATCGATATTCTGCCGCATGCGACGCATTCTTCTACATTGATCAGGCATCAGGAGAATTCTTGCCACTAGCTATCCGTACCAATGTGGGATCGAATCTCATTTACACGCCCAAGGACGACCCTGCCGACTGGCTGCTCGCGAAGATCATGTACAACGTCAACGACTTCTGGTTCGCGCAGTGGAATCATCTGGCGAGCACCCACGAAGTCGTCCAGATTGTATACCTGGCTGCCATCCGTACCCTAAGTGACAATCATCCTGTTCTCGCTTTACTGAACCGCATTATGTATGAAGTGTACGCCATCCAGCCGCTGGCAGAACTCCTCCTGTTCCTTCCTGGCGCAGCAGTCGACCAGGTCTTTGCCTACACAGGCACCTCGGCGCAAGACTACACCACGAACCTATATGAGAACGATGGCAGCGGCCGCTTCCAAGCAAATTATTTTACGGCCGAGCTTGAGTCTCGCGGATTGATCAATTCAAACTTTGGCCCCGCGTTGAAAAACTTCCCTTTCTACGAAGACGCTTCGACCATTTATAATGCCATTCATGCATTCATGACTTCTTTTGTGAATTCGTACTACCCCAAAGACTCAGATATTACGGCCGACAATGAAATGCAAGCATGGGTCAAGGAGTCACAAGGCCCCGCCAAAGCGATTGACTTCCCTTCGATCACGACGAGAAGCGCCCTTATCAATGCTTTAACACACATGGTGAGCACACAAGCTGAATTGACATTTACACTCTATACTCGAAAAGATCTGCTAACGAAGCTCCTCCTCGTAGGCTCATCTTGCCTCTACCTCGCACCACACGGTCAACACGAACGAGTTGCTTTCCGCTAGTTCTACACTCCCCTTCCATCCTCCGTCCCTCTACCAGCCGCCACCCTCGTCCAAAGGTTTTACAAACGTGGTGGATTTCCTTCCGCCGCTTGACAAGGTTGAAGAGCAATTCAGCGTGGCAGCCATTTTTGTACGCCCCTTTTTTGTTGGCACGAATCGCACGCTGATGCACATGTTTGATGATCCTTCGATGCTAAGCCGCATGAATAGCGCCACTCAATCCGCAGCATCAACCTTTTACAGCAGTATGCAGGCATTCAGCCAACAGGTCGCCGCACGCACATTCGACCAGAATGGGTTGTCCCAGGGTATGCCGTTTGTGTGGAAGGCGCTGGATCCTAATGTCGCACCTTTTTCTATCACTTCTTAGGATGGCTCATTAGAGCGCACCTCGGACTATTGGATACTATGTAATTTCGGCCTTTATGTGATGGGGGCACATCTTTTATTTATTTTAGTTTCCCCGCCCCAGCAGAGAATAGTTGGATTCAAAGTTGTCTTTCCCTCCCATTCCTAATTGATCACGGAAATCGCCTTGTCAGCTTTTAGGTAAAGCAAATTCGGAACAGCAACGCGTCCTTGCAGATTCCCGGGGAGGGCTCTCGGAATATTCTCGCCATTTTCTCTAAGTAGGATGGGACGAAAGGGGCTTACAGCACTGTTCGAGAAATGCATCCAGTCCCAAGCTCTTTCTAAAACCACAAGCTTTCTGACGAGCTAACATAACACCATGGTCCTTGCGACTTCTTCGAAGTTCGAACACGTAAGTAAGCGACGTCCTTCGCCATGCCTAATTAGCGAAAGGCTTGATGGGTTGCGACGACATGGTCTCCGTTCCCTTTGCAGGTCTCTCTCTCTCAAAGCTCGAGTCAGGAACCCAGGGCCCCGGGCGAGTCGGCATTCAGTATCCGCAATCTCGATAGTGGGGGCTGTCGAGTGGATTATCGTTTCCTAATTAGTTAGGTACTATTCGACAGTCCCCACGGGATATTCCCATGAATGTGCAATGACGTTTGATAGGGTGGATTTGCACGGGGACCGTTTGTTTCAGAATGGAATCCTCGAGGAACAGACTTTGTAATACGGAGTTTCTATGACTCCATATTGGGTGCTAACTCCTGAGTTCAGTTAGTCGATAACTAGTTGATGGCGATCAACAGTTGAGTTTTTCTTCCCCGCAGACCACATCCCTGTTCGTTCTTGTATCGCTATCAACAACTCATGCCGGTCCAGGACATCAGGAACCACTTTAGGGGCTACTTTCATTCGCTGTTCTCAGCCTAGCTTCAGGCCTCACCAGCCTTCTGGCAGTGGAGAAACCGACCGCGTCTGATCTCCCGGACGCCACCTGGCGGTCCCAGCAGCTGGTTCAAACTGCCTGCGTTCCAACTAAACGGCGACCAACTGCTCGGTACTGGGGCAAGCCTCGTCGTCGCAAGAAGCCGTTGCGAAAGGATCTACACAGAGCACCCCGTTGCGCACGGATGCGAGGATGGCACAGGGAAACAGTAGGAGGCGTTCCTACGTCTGTGGATCCCCAGGACAAGCTTCCTACCCAAATCCTGCGCAAATCCTCCACCAGCTCTTCTCAAGCATAAGCCTGGAAACATCTCTTTTTCAAATGTTGTCTCTCAGCCGGGGATATTTGCAATTTCGTTTCTCCCCTCGCCTTTTTGTACCATAATCCCTTCTCAACACCTGCTGCTTCCCGGTGATCCAGCTTGAAACGTGTGTTCCCCAGCAGTGTCCAGTGTACGGGTGCATTGCGACCTGCGAACTAAGCCTCCAACGAGCTATGAGTGTCTCGTAACATCACACTTCACAACGACTCTTGTTTTGCGATCCTATCACATACATCAGACAACGTGACATGCTATCTTGCTGCTAGCGTGTCTAGCCCCCAAGACTCGCGGCTGTCCGAGACAAACAATATAGTTCCGTCGCGGCCGGAATCAAAATGGTCGACACGTTGCACCGTGAGTGCTCAGCCATCACCAGAGCAGGCGCATACTGACTGTCGTCCCATTAGCACCGCTTTCAGTTATTGCTTCTTTCCCGAAACCGAACTATGTCAATCCCGACACCAGAGGACCTGGCCTTGTGTACATGTGTATCATCTTTGCCGCCATTGGCATCATCATCTGCACGGCCCGAGTGTACTCGCGACTCTTTATAACCAAGGCACCAGGCTTGGATGATCTTCTCGTGGTCATCGCCCTCGGATTTCTCACAGCCTTGACCGTTCTGGTCATAATCGGCAATAAGGACTATTACAATGGTCGACACGTATGGGACATACCGCCCGATAGTTTCGTCGGGGGACGCGCCAACATCTGGGCCAGCTTGTGGTGTTATATTATCGGGATCACCTTGATCAAGATTTCGGTTCTGTTGTTCTACCGCCGTCTCAGCGTCAAGTTCAGCCGGGCCTTCTTCATTGCGACCTGGATCGGCATCGTCTACAACATTTTGTATTTCGTCTCGTTCGCCCTGACGCTCCTGTTGCTCTGTCGCCCTCTTCACTCCTACTGGGACAGCTTCAACCCTGTCTGGGCCGCGACTCACCACTTCCACTGTGGTTCCGAGGGCGCGGCTCTCCCTGCGTCGTCGGCGTTTAGCGTGGCCGGCGATTTCTACAGCACCCTGCTGCCACTGATCCTGGTGTATTACCTAGAGCTCCCCCGCAGACAGAAGATTGCATTGTACGCGCTCTTCGCGCTGGGGTTCATGGCAGTTGCCGCCGGAGTGGTGCGGACTGTCCTGATGTACAATCTGTTGAACGTCGACTACGATTTCACCTGGACATTGTGGCTGACCTGGATCTGGGCGGTGCTGGAACTGTACTTGGCCCTTTTTGCCGCCAGCGCCCCAAGCTTGAAGCCGTTCTTCCGACACTTCTTTGTCGAGTCCATCAACAGCTTTGCACGAGGCTCTAGAAGACGCGCAGGGTATTCCAACGACAATGGCCAGGGGATAGGGGCGGGACCAGGCTCGGGAAAAGGCGCCGGCGCCGGCTCAGGCACCGGGACATACGCGACAGATGCCAGCAAAGGCGGGATGAGCATGGACCTCTCCGCCGACGTAGAAAGGGCAGGAGCTCGATGGGGAGACGTCGATGAAAGGGTAGAATCTCGGCAGAGTTGGTTCCTGGCGGACAATGAAGAGGCCGGGACGAAGCATTTTGAACTGCGCGCCAGCCAGGACGGGAAGAAGATGATCCCCATGCGCGTGTACAAGCGCAGCGACTACTACAACTACAACGGCACCGAGGGGCCTTCAGACCCCTTTACGGACCCGAACTCGAACTCGGCGACGACAGCGCTGCCGCAGCGGCAAGATTGGCCGTTGCCCCTGCCCACAATGGGGACAGAACTGCACCATGAACCGCGCGAGTTCCTGGCAAACCCGCGCCTTTCAACGTACAATGAAAATAGATAAAACATAAATGATATTCATAGACACTCGTTAAAAGGCACCCGTGTGACATACCGAAACGTTGTGCTCTGTACCACCTAGCCCTACGACGGCTTTGAGGACTTGGGCTTTTCTTAATGAGTGCGGGAAGCAGGGTGACAGTCCACGAACAATTGCCACGCCTTAGGAATGGTTGGACACGGCCGCAGCCAGGACGTTTCCGCATGTTGTCATGAAAGCTCCGTGGTCGGGCAATAGCCTCGCGGTTGAGGGCAGCGATCTCGAGGGCCTTGGCCGCAGGTCCAGCAGCGAGCTGCTGTAGCAGAAGACTTCGAATGAAATGACTTTTGTGTTTGCCTAGCTCATTGAACTTGGAAGTAGAAGAATGCCAGCAGGAGAGCCTTCGGGACTCTTCATAGCTAAGTCGTCTAATCGGTACAATCGTATGTTGGGTCTCAAGTCACGTGATGAAACAAGGATGCATGCCATCGACCGTACGACCACATCAAGGAGTCGGGACTGCTCTCCGGGCGAGCACACAGCGGTCCCGTGCACGAGATATTACGCTGCAGCACTCTGTTAGTGAATACTCGATGATGAATTCGAGATAGCTGCGCTCGCTGGGTTCAGAAGGTTGGAGTGCGAACTGAAATGGCGGCAACCCGCAGTGTCCAAAACGGGCTTAGCCCCAAACTCGCCGAACTGGCTCGCTGGCAGTTGTGTGCGACCTCAAGAGCTTGAGTTGTATGGCTCTGGAGACGGTTCTTCAAAGCATGCTTTGCCTACATACCAATCCGGCTCAACATCTGTCATGGGTGACGATCGCAGCTCTGACCAGGCCTGGCATGACTAGACGGCGATACCCCAATGATGTGTGGTCATCGGTCACCTTCATCTCGAGGCTCCCTCAACGCCATGATCCCATCCGTTCCTCCAAATCATTCCTGGCGTATCCCATGGCGATCTCGGAATCAAATACATTCAGCTCGCCAAGTTTGAGATGTTGACAAGTTTTGTAAGAAAGACCAACTGGGCGTTTTCCGCTATGCCCGCTGCGGAAGCGATGGCATTGTTTGGCGTAGGCACAATCAGGCACACAATGCGCCCACGGAGCCACGTCTTAGATGATGTGGTTGCGTCTGAAAAAGTGCTGTTTGGTTTGCCGCATGTGCAGGGCGCAGGCTAGGCTGTGCAGTCCGCCACTTCAACTAGTTGAGCTCAGGCTCCAACTCCTACTGGTTTGAGAGGATTCTGGATTATCGGCATCCCTGTCGATGGGAGGCGTGTGCAGCACATCAAGCTGCGCACTGTCTTTCAACCTCTCCCAGCACCCTTCAACGAATGACTAATTGACCGCGTTTGCTTCATCAATATCCTTTGGTGCCAGAAACGATGCTTGATCCGCTCTCAGCCATTGGCTTGGCCTCGGCCATAGTGCAGTTCGTTGATTTCAGTGCTGAGATCATCCAGGGCGCTCGGGAAGTCTATGGTTCCATGTCCGGCACGACTGAGCGTAATAGGAGCCTGGAACTTGTCGTGAGCGAAATGATCAATCTAACCTCGAAGCTCAGTTCTACGCACTACTCGCAGCAAAGTGAAGATGAGAAGGCTCTCGGCCGTGTTGCAAATGAATGCAAAATTCTGGCCGACCAAGTTCTCGATCTTCTGCAGAAGATCAAGGCGAAAGATCCCGGTTCTACCCTCCAAGCCCTTTGGGCTGCACTGAAGAATCAGAAATACAAAAGACAAAGGTTGGAGTTGGAAGGAAGACTGGAGAGCTGTCGAAACAACCTTGAATTCCAACTGAACTTTTTAACCAGGTTGTGCCCTTTCCACCTTCAATTGGGCAGAAAGTAATCGTTTTACAGTGTTGGGACAAAGGGCAGACTGGATGCATTACTTACCTCTGCAGAAGGTCTCACTGGGAAACTTGAGATACTTCACAAGCATGTTGAACAACTTCGCCGCGGAACTAGGGTTACATCCATTAGCCCTGAAGCCCAAGAACAACTCCGAGAACTCCTGCATTTCACAGAAGAAGATCTCCAGAAAATCAAACAGCAACGTGTTTTAGAGAGTCTAGCCTACGCCGACATGGACACAAGATTCGAACATGTCTCCGAAGAACACAGCAAAACCTTTGAATGGATTTTTGGAGACACCACCCAGGTAGGCAGCTTGAATCGTGACACTTCCAGCAAAGAGTCGTTTCTGCATTGGTTGTCAGCCGGAAGCGGTATCTTTCACATATCCGGAAAACTAGGGTCAGGGAAAAGCACATTGATGAAGTTTCTGTGCAACCATCCTCGCACCGAAACCGAACTACAACACTGGGCAGGTACGTTACAAACCCGCAAGCGAATTACACAGCCGCATGAGTTCTGAAATAGCCAAACTAACAAGTTCCGACAGGCGGCAGAAAACTAACATTTGCCAAGTTTTTCTTCTGGAAGGGTTCTAAAACAGTAGAACAAAAATCCCTAATTGGCCTTGTCCGGTCTCTCCTCTACGAGACGCTGAATGCGTGCCCTGAGCTCATCCCCGACGTCCTGCCTGACCTATGGGCTCAGCTGAAGTCGACGCCCTGGCAGGTAAAAACGAAGATCGATCTCCGGAAGTTGCAAACCCGGGCAGCGATGTCTAGCCTTATCAGTCATCGGAATCTGTACAGGGAGCATTGTTTCTGCTTCTTCATCGATGGTCTGGACGAATTTGAAAAGACTCCTGAAGCCGGTTATGCAGATCTCACCAAGCTGCTTTGCAGTTGGTCCGAAGCTGCACCGGACGACGTCAAGATCTGTGTCTCCAGCAGGGAGGACCTAGTCTTCATGAGCGCCTTCTCCAGCGAAAGGAGATTTCGCCTTCAAGATCTCACAAGGGAAGATATTCAAAGCTACGTTCGGGATAAGTTGCCCCGGTGCGACCGATGGGAAAGGCAATGAACTGGCCCAAAAGATAACAGACAGAGCTGATGGGATCTTCCTCTGGGTGGCTTTAGTAGTAAAGTCAATTCGGGACCAGTTAGACGAAAACTATGAGGTCTCTGACGTCGAAAAAGAACTTGACCAGCTCCCCACCGAGTTACATGAGCTTTTTGAATATCTTCTCAAATCATTTAGCAGCCCAGGCCGCAAGAGAGCTCATCGGACCTTTGCCATGGTTCTGAAGTTGAAAGATTTCCCCGTCAACTTGTCGTTGTTGGGGTATTCTTTTCTGCGAGACTACGAAAACGACCCAACATTCGCTATGGAAACATGCTTTCCGTGCTCTGACATGGATGACGCTACTAGGAGACGCCGAGAATATCTTGCGCGCATCGGACTATATCGTGATTGCAGACAATTTCTCGAAAGTCAGGCAGTCCAAGCCGAGATGAAGTGCAGTCTTGATAGCTTCAGCACTGAAGATGCAATATCTCAACTGTTCCTTGCGGAGTTGCGGTGCAACAAGGGCCGAATTACCAATGACAAGTTGGGTCTGGTTGTCTATGCCCTGATCAAGATGCGAATCCAAGACAACATTGATCAAGAGCCGTATCGTTTCCAGGAGTCTCTAAGCGCTACAGTAATCCATCACCAAGGGGCGGACATCTTGGAGAAACACATCAATGATACCATAACTATGCAGCTAGAGGCGGCCGGTGCCGTTGTAGTCAAATTAACGAACTTTTCTGCGAGTACGACTCTGAATGAACGCAGCATTACATCCCCTCTTCATATTTCAGCATTCTGTGGAGCTTGCGAATACGTCGCCTGGAAGATAGAGCGAGATCCTACCATTATCGAAAACACATTCGAAATTGCCATCCTTGCTTGCTGCATCGAATGGAGATGGGAAACTGATTCTGAGTACCAGCGCAACAGGATAAAGCTTCTGGAGCTTATGCTGGCACGAGGTCTCTCTCCCAACACTGTTATACACACTTGCCCTGCGAATAACGGCTTTACTGCGGAATTGAGCTTCTGGCAACATTTCCTTGTACTTAAAATGATTCATGTTTTGCATGGTGAAAGTGAAAAGGACTTTGGCGAAATGATTGAAAGGTTTTTGGAATATGATGCAGACCCCCATGTGTGGGTTTCGATGCTCCAGGACTCCGGAGGGGTTTCAACAAGCCAAGAGGTTTTCATGAAAGTAACCCTTGGGAGAGAGCGACGCACGACTTTCGAGGTGGATGCCGGATACGTTGACTGGAAGACATCTCCACCTTTTGCTCCACTCGGCAAGGAGGTTTCGCTTCGAGAACTGATTGAATTCTTTGATTTCGACAATGCGAAGACGATTCTGCAATTGCTGGATGGGAATGCCGAGGGGCAGGAACGGATGGCGAACGTGGACAACGCTGCACGCGATCATCTGCCCGGAGACCAACAGGATTGCATGAAACAGGATCTGGCCGTCCCTGACCCTCAGCCGGAGCGGCAACTCACACCACAGTTAACCTTGGAAGAGGCGGAAAAGGAACCGTTGGTGCTAAAGCCTTCGACCCCAAAGGGCTCCTCTTCGTGGCTCGAATCGAGGGCGCAAATACCTCTTCTTTCATTCGTATTGGGTAAGTGTGTCTGCTTCCTAACTACACGGTAGTAGGTTCTTTTCCTGACTCTCGACTAGGTATTCTTGTGGCTTTTATCCTGCCTCAGCTGTGGGCGATGATTGTAACTCACTCGAGGACGCGAGAACCGTGAAATGTTGTGACTGGAAACCAGAGAAGAACATGTCGAGTCGGTCTCCCCAGCGGAGGAATCCCAGAGCTTTGGCTGGAGAAGCTTTTTCAGTTGCGTGACGATCTACAGGTTTGCCCCGGGCCCTGGCCTACGCTGAGATCGAGATCGACTGTTGAAGGAGGGCGAGAAGGGAAGGCAATGTGCACCAACCGAACGGCCCAATGGATGTTGCTCTTCCCGCAATGCCAGCGAGGCATCGCCATCTACGCCGATGGCTTGTCCGCTGGGCATTCGATATACCGCCCCGAAACCTCAGAGACCCAGGCTAACCGCAACAAATGGTGCAAACCCACGCTAGGCACCCCGTCCTTTCCCACGCCGTCTTTCCAACATAGGCCGAGCTGGTCGTTGATTTACCTGCTATTTGCATTCGGCATGATCGACAGGGCAAGTATCGAAGGACATACGGAGATCCGTACCCGGACCCAAACCTTCCTCCGGCCAATGAAGACGCTAGATCCGTTGCGCATTACCAAAGGGTGACGATCAAGGTTCATATTAGATAGAACTCTCCACGACCAAAACGTGTCTGCCTTCTACACGTCAATGTACAACTCTCTTAGACCTTCATAACCACTACATCCAAGAGCTACCCATACAAGACGTCTCAGCACCTCTATCAAGAAAAAAAGGCATTCCTCGTCGTCGTCATCGCCATCCTCGCCCAGCATGTCTGATATCAAATCAAAGGGCGGAGCGCCAATTGAAGATGGTGATACAGTCAGAACGCCTGTAAGCTGCAAGCAGAACCCAAGAGCCAACGAAGGAACAAGGACCAAGGAGAACGATTTTAACAATCACGCGTCACTCACGCACAGTATCGGGGAGGAAAGCACGAAGGACAGGTACGTGGCCAGTTCACCTCCCGCTCTCCCTCCCTCCCTCCCTCTCTCTGTCTCTCTACATCTCTATCTCTCCAAGGGAATCCCAGAAGACAACAAAGTCGCTGATCAACGTGTGTGCGGACGGGCACTATAGGTCGAGCAGATCGTCACGAGCGAAAAGCAGGCCAAGGAGGCGCTGGACGGCGTCAAAGGAGCGGGCCACGCGCCCACCGTGGTCTTCACGGACCAGAACAACAAGAAGGTCGCGCACAAGCCGGGCGCGGTGACGGACTTGGACAAGGAGAGCTGAGAGCTAAATGGAGGGAGAGGAGTCGAATCAATCTGAAGACGTCAACAATGTCTTGGGTGGTTGAAATGAAACTCTTATGTAGAATTCGCCCTGACGCATCGTGGGCAAATGAGGCTCAGAGCATGATGGCCGGCCCGCGTTCCAATTGATCCCCACGTGTGGTGAGTATTGAAATGAAAAGGATCGTTCTCCGTCCCCCAAGTCCGTCCAATTGCAGACTCGATCCATGTGAAGATTAGACTATGCCGTTATCCACTCCCCCGTTGGCTGCAAGATTTCCGGAGACGCAGAAAAAGAGTGTCGAGATTGAATTCACTGGCATCTGGAGCTGAAAAGACGATGGGTGTCTGATAGATAACCACTCCGATATACACTTCGTTCACAGATCTATTTCAACCTATTTGACCAGGGCCATCAGGAAACCGTCGTAGTTTTTGTCCGCCACAGTCTGGATGACGACGGCGTCGACTCTGTCGTCTTGACCCACGGCTTCGATGAGCCTCCTCGTCCCCGCAATTCGAGGATCGTCCTTGGCGGCGGCCTCGTCGACCAACCGGCCTCGTCTGACGACGTTGTCGACAAATATGCAAGACCTGGGCTTCGTCATCCGCAGCGCACACTCGAAATAGGCCAGATTGTTCTCCTTGTCGGCGTCGATGAAGACAAAGTCAAAGGGCGGGCGCTTGCCGGCTTCGACTTCTTTGAGCAGGGCGGGGAGGACCTCGATGCCGGGGCCGAGAAGGACGGTGATGCGATCGCTCAGTCCGGCGTGCGCGATGTTCTCTTCGGCGACATTCTTTGTGTCCGGGTTGACTTCGACGGTGGTCACTTTCCCGTCCTCGCCTGCCCCTGCGGCCATCCAGATGGCAGAGTATCCCCCCAACGTGCCGACTTCCAGAATGTTTTTGGCGCCGGTGATTTGGATCTGCATTGACAGTAGCTTCCCCTGTCCTGGGAAAACGGCAATGTCGGGAAGGCCCCTGACGAGAGAATTCGAATGGGCAAATTCCAGCGCCTCGTGGTATTTGTTCCGAGATGGTGCGAGCAGGTGAGCATTGGTATATTGGTCAACTGCCGTCCATCGAGGATCGTGCTCATGCGGCAAGGGCTCTAGGCCTTGGTTCGTCGCCATCGTGGGTTCCCGTGCTCGCACAGAGGTCTGATTCTACCGGACAGATAGATGCCTTTTCTTCAGATGGTCAGTATGGCGTGTCTGGTTCCGGGAACGAGTCATCCCTCAAGAGGGCCACTGATCCTTTTTAACCTTTGCTTCGGCCTCGGTCTTCCTGCGCCCAAGCTCGGCCGAGATATCAGGATGCAATGGTGTCGCAAGGACTGTAGCGATGGCGTAGTCGCCGTCGTGGCTGATGCTGAGTTGAGCAGTCTGCTCGGTCACTCTGCTGGGTGAGGTTGTGGAATGATCCGAAGTGGTCGAGTCCGAGTCTGTCAGACGGGTATCACAGATGATATGGACAGCACCGCCGGATTCAATTCCGACTCTCAAATCTCGAAAGCTGAGTAATGAAGCGTCCCAGGCCTTTTTGGCTGCTTCTTTGGAGGCCCAACGGCCGGCAATCCAGGCGGCGACCTGTTTCCTCGCGGACTGATCCAGGGCGTCTGCATCTTTCCAATGCGGAAACCGGCGCCTGAGATCCTCCAGCTCTTGGGGAAGGAGAAAACGATTGGTGAGCCTGACTAGGCGTCTGATATCTGGTTGGAGTAGCGACGAGATTCGGTTCGTGGCAACGATGTCGGTGCCAATGCGCAGCGCGAGAGGGAAAGGGACCCGCATTCGGCTGGACACGCGTACCGCTTTGCCAGAGCGGGGGCAGATTGACGCGAGTTTGGTGAAGGGTGTTGTGAGAACTTTGAGATGGGTAATACAGTATTGACTTTAGCGAGGTTTGGAGAATCGCGGAATTGGGGGACGAATGAAGGAAATCAACAGTAGAGCCAGTGGAGAGCGCAGGGAGCAGCGGCGAGAACTCACTCGTTTCACTAAGTCGTTTTCAGCCATAGAATTTCACCTATAGAGCACCATGATGGGCAGCAGGCAGTCAAGAACAAAGGGCGCCATGCTTGAATCATCGTGGGCCTTCTACATATCTACCGCTCGTTTTGCTATCTACAGTACAACCAGACGGCAACGCTATCAGATTCCAGTAACACTACTCCATACATATGTACAACAGATATCGCCCGCGCTTCACGCGCAACTCCGCATCTCGTAGTTGCGGGGCCCGAGGGCAAAGGCAATGGATAATATGGCATTGATCTCCTGGTCCAGCTTTGCCTGTGTAGCGTTCTCTGCCCATTTTACCCCGCCGAAAGCCCAAGACATCGTTGTACCGCCTCAGGATGAAGCATATCAAGTGTTCAGGAACGCCATACGAGGTGAGATCACGTTGTCAGACTTGTCGAGATCCACTGTTGACACATCCTTCAGATTGGCCGTCAGCACGGCGAAGCTGCCAAAACCGAGGTGCACGGAAGCATTGCCTTCTATTCCGCTTTCTTCAAGGAGAGGACCAAACTTTCCTGGGCACAAGTGCAGGATGTCGCTCGAAAGTCCCTTCCCTGGCTACAGACTTCATACCCTGAATATGTCGACGAAATGCAAGGTGTTGCCGATGGTGCTGGCCTCGATCTCGAGTCAGTTGTCGCGCTGAATGTCCGCACTGAGATTGCCTTTGGCATGCTGAGCGACGGCTGTACCGCTGTGGCCTGGAAGACGTCAGACGAGAGTTTCCTGGCGCAGAATTGGGACTGGAACTTTGACCAAACGCCCAACATCATCTGTCTCTCCATCGAGCAGCCCGGCAAGCCCAGGATCCACATGATGAGCGAAGGCGGCATTATTGGCAAGATCGGGATGAACTCCGCAGGCGTCGGCGTCACGTTGAACGCCATTCAAGCGCCTGGCGTATCGTTTGACAAGCTTCCCTGCCATCTTGCGCTGAGGACGGTACTCAATAGCACATCCAAGGAGGCGGCTGCAGACGCCCTTCGCAAAGCCGGATTAGCTTCGGCATGTCACATCACCATTGCCGATGCGTCGACCGGGGGGGTTGGATTCGAATGCACGGCGCTTGACATTGTGGAATTGCCCATGGACACGGATGGCCCGTTGCGTGGCTCCTGTACTCACTCTAACCACCTGGTCAAGAAACACAAGGTAGACGGGGCATTGTTCCTCAATGACTCGCCCTTCAGGCTTGATCGAATTCAGCAGCTGATGAGGGACGTCGGCAAACCGTCCGTGCAAAGCTTGAAGGAGATCTTGAAGGACGAGAGAAACTATCCCACCGCTATCAACAGAGCTGTAGGTGAGAAGAGCACGAGCCAGACCTTGTTTTCCATTGTCATGGACTTGAAGCAAGGCTTTGCCGATGTTAAAATGGGCCGACCAACGGAGGATGGGGAAGTGTTCCAACTGAGACCATAAAGACCATGATAACACAAGGACTGAGGGATCAGCCTCTGTCCACCGGGGATCAAATCTGGGGTGGTGGTTTTCAATCCGTCTAGCTTATGTACAATGCGTAGGTTCGTCCCAACCGTGATCTCTCTGGGTTGCTGTTCCCCTCTCTAATGCGCCTCCTTGCCTGAGATCTTGCCTGCCTTGTCTTCTTGCTCCACCTGCTGTAAGAATTCCCTGCCAACGAGTTAGGTCGGGCGTTCCGAGAGCGGTTTGCTGGATGGGCTCCTTACTGAATGAACTTCTCTTCGTCCTTGCTCGAGGCGTTGATCGGAGGTGTGCTTGATTTTTTCGATCCACCGCCTCTTGTCAGCAGCCAGGGAAGACCGAATGCGGTACTGAGCGTAGCTATGGCCAGCTACAGATGGTCAGTCGTCAAGGTCAAAGGGGAGGCCATCCCTCAATGTGGATTTAATTGTGATAGGGTAGGGTTGAGCAAGTCGACATACCCAGTGTGATCCGACCTGACGGCCTGCGACATTGTACATGGCAACCATTTTGGCGAATTGAAGGCTTTGCGAAAATATCGGACCGTGTCGTTGGGAGGATGGTGCTGGTTGCAAAAAGATGAAGCAAATCGACTGCGGACCGAGTTTTTGCGTCTGAGCTGTAGGAGCTTTCATTGAACGGCCCGCCGGACTACGGCGAGTCGCACCGATGGTCTCTGCAGTTTGCTGCCGTCACGCTACTTGCACAGCCTGGCGAGAAGCTACTGTACCTCGTAGAGAGACTGCAGAAGCTGCAGAAGCTGCAGCAACTCGTCATCCATTTTGACACGACGCGGACCTGAGGCCTTTCTGCATCCGTCGCTTTTTCTGTCAATGTGAGCCGGCTATCTTGGGCGACAGGCAGTTCCCGACGTGCCTGTTGAGCATCCTAAACCATCTCCAATCCCACCATGGCCGGCAAGGAGGGAGACCGCCCGAATTCTGCCTTTCCACGAGAGCGATTGAACAAAGACCTTCAAAAGCTGGTTGACAAGCAAGATGACTGGGTGGAAAGCTTTTACGAAGGCGAAGGGCCGGACACTACCGAGACGAGCATGCGATACGCCGCATATGCGAACCGTCTGCGCACGATCATGCTGAGTGCACATCGATATGTTGCGTACACGTCGGATATTGGCGAGTCCTTTCGCCCAGTCGCGCACCCGTACCTTGTGAGAAGCGCATACGCAGTGTCATGGGCATATGTGCTTGGTGATGTGGGCCATGAGGGTTGGAAGGCTTATAAGAGGAACCAGAGGCTGCTACATCCTCACCCCGAAACAGGCTCTGACGAAAAACCAAAGGAACCTATGGGGATGGTCGATGCCCAGACACCTCAACAGCCCGTTCACGTCCCTGCGATTGAAGACTATCGGGCCGTGATGGCTCAGAGAGCCGTGTTCCAAAGTCTCGCCTCGATGGGATTCCCGGCGCTTACGATCCATTCGATCGTAAAGTACTCCGGGAAGGCACTCAAGACCGCAGCGAATCCAACAATAAGAACTTGGGCCCCAATTGGAGTGAGTAATCCGTTCAAAAACTCATTGCTAGAGACTGACAAGATTACAGCTCGGTCTAGCAGTGGTTCCCGCACTGCCGTACATCTTTGACGAACCTGTGGAGGAGGCTGTCGAATGGACATTCTACCAGGCGTTCCGGGCCATCGGCGGAGAAAATGCGGTGGGCAAGAGACACAGTACAGGTAGAAAAGAGGCTCTGCAAGCTGAAGCAAAGATCGCCCGCGAAAAGAAGGACTTATGACGGCGAATCCAAAGGCATTGAGAGGGGGGGAAACGTCTGGCCATAAAATGATGTTCATACCCAACTTCGCCTACGCATATACATATACCATTTCCACTCGTCTTACACCTCTTCGGTCTGGAACCGGCCGCGGTCGCTCCACAAGCATTATGGATCAGCTTCAAGGCGGTCGACGACAAAGATAAGCAGGTATGAAGTTTGTCTAGATATCGGGCGGGCAATATTTCTCTCCTCAGCACGACAATGCCATCCAACTTCTATGTACAATCCTCCACTGACTGCGATCCACACAAAGGATCCAACATGGCAAGGCGCAGGCTGAGGGATCCGGGCCGATGTCGGATCGGTGAGTAATGACCCGAAGACAGACTGACTCAATCCAAGTCCATCTACTGCGCGGATTGGGTACTGTAGTTGAATTTCCCAGTCGACAATGATCTTGTTCAGCAACACAGTTGGCCAGGCGAGAACGACCCGATAAGGCCCAGGATGGCTCTGCAGGATCTGTTCCGCCGCTGTTTGAAACGTGGCACGGCCACCTCGACCTGTTGAGACGGCTTCAATGCACGGCGCGCAGGAGCCTCTGCGATCACGATGCCGCAGCAGCACCAACCTCTCCTCGAACCCAAGCCAAACGAGGAGCCTTCAAAGAGGCTGCCCAACACCTCAATGGCTGTCTCCATCCCCAAACCTCAGATACACCTCCCCTCGGTGAGAAATGTCTCGGTGGAGCAAAAGAACCCTGTGCGGTGGAATACAGCGGATTTGGGATTGAGACTAGGTGCAGATCTCACCTCTGCTGCAAGCGCTTCCGCTTTGATCGCTCCCATCATTACCATTATAGACCGGTACGTACCTCCCCGGAGGTCTCATACTCGGCGACTGCATCGAGAAGCGAGCGGACAGGCCGGCGCCGTTCGCGTTTGGCTCAAGTCCCGTTTCAATGTCGTCTGCTTGCTTCACGTCTTGCAATGGTTCTGTTCAAACAGTCAGTGCCACTAACAACAAGAACCAGATCCATAGTTGAGAAAGCTGCGAATGGCGCATCCTTCTCTTCCTGCCTCCTGCGCTCCTTGCGCCCAGCAATCACCCGTCCGCACGCGTTCATCTTCTCCAGGCCGTTCCTGCTGATCTTCGCCCTGTATTTCGCGACCTACACGACAGCCAACACGGTCGACACGTTTCGCTCAACCGTCACCCCGAAGCCGGCCTCTGCGGTTTCTTCAGGCCTGACGAAATTCGTCGCGACTTCCTCGGTGAACATGACCGTCTGTGTGTACAAAGATTCGTGCTTTGCGAGGATGTTCGGCGCCGCTGTATCTTCTTCCCCGGCTGCTGCTGCCGTTCCCAAGCTCTCTTACGCCCTGTTTGCCGTGCGGGATTGTCTCACGATCTTCGCGTCTTTCAACCTGCCATCCATCATCGCACCGCAGCTCGCCAACGTCCACCCGGAGATGAGGTCGCGGTTCTCTCGCATCCTCTCCACGGAGTCGGGAAGGGCAAATACCGCCCAGTTTCTGGCCCCGGCGGCCATCCAGTTGATATCTACTCCAATCCATCTACTTGGCTTGGACCTGTATAATAGACAGGGCCGGCTGGGAGTGGGTGAGCGATATTCTCGGGTTGTAAGGGATTGGGGGGTGAGTGCATTCGCTCGGATGGGTAGGATAATTGTAAGTTTTGCAATTTTCTTCCTTTCATTCCTTCCCTCCGCCAATTTCCCCTTTGCAGAGACGAGAGCAAGATCAGCAGCTAACCTGTCATGAAACGAACAGCCCGCCTTCGGCGTCGGCGGTGTCGTCAACGCAAACATGAGAAAAAAAATAATGACCAAGATCGAAGAGTTGTGACCTCTCTTCGGACGACTTTTCACGACTGATCCACGGGCGTTGGCTTCGGCGTTAACGGTTGTTTCTCTGCTGATTGGCTGTCTGTCATAATCAGTCCTCAGCATTTTCGGCAAGGGTACCTTGTGGGAGAGGTACTTAGACAAAAGTTGGAGCGATGAGGCTCTGTTTTGCTTCCTCGGCATTTCCATACCTGGTACCTGCGACCCGTCGTGGTCGAAAGGGTACATGATACGATGTAATACCCACAACAAATCTTTTGGATGCACTGGCCGCCGGACTGGGGGCGCGAGCCGGTGAAAAAGTCTTTGGGCGAGGCTAAATGGCCCAAGGGATTGGTTTTAATGTGAGATTGGACTGGCCTTCTTCATACTTGATTGAGGATGTGAAGCCTACATGTCGAGGGCCACCAGATCGAGATAATTGGAGCAATGATCCGAGAATCATTTCTCCCTTCCCGTCCTCACCTTTCTGTCTCTCTGTCTATGTGGTCCTTTTCCCCTTTTCTGCCCAGTCACTTCCATTCACCACTTACGCTCCATAGCTCTTCCTCACCTTCTCTCTCAACAGATCCAGCCCGACGGCTTTTCTCCACCACTCATCCCACCACCCGACAGGCCAAAAGGTACAGTTGTAGAACCAGGTGCGCCCGGCGCCCGTGCCCCTCCAGATCTCCAACGGCAGCGGCGAGCTTTTCCGGGTTGCGGCCTTCTGCCAGGGCCGCAGGACATCGCTTACGACGTCCCTCGCCCACTTATCCGGGTCCTCGCGGATGGGGAACGCGTTGCGCATCGCGCTCTCGGTCTGCTCTTTCACGGGCGCGTATATGCTCCCCTCGGGCAGAGCGGCGTTGCCTCCTTGGTGGTTGGCGTGGAAGTTTGAGTGCACGCAGCCTGTCTTCAGGTCGATCACGTGGATGTTGAACGGTTGCAGCTCGATGCGCATGTGCGTGGAGAACATGGCGCTGGCGGCTTTGCTGGCGTGGTAGGCGCTGTTGTGCGGTGTGGGCTCGACCGAGGAGACGGACGTGTTGTTCAGAATGAGGCTTGGAGCGTGATGCCGGCTGGCTGTGGATGTGGATGTCGTGGTGGCGGTGGAAGAGGAGGAGGACGCTGAATTGTCGGGTTTGGCGGCGTTGATCAGCAGAGGCAGGAATGCCTGGGTGACGGCGATGCAGGACCATACGTTGAGGTCAAAAAGGGCTTTTGCTTCGGGAATCGAGATGTCGGCGACCGGCATATTGTAACCTTCCAACGTCGTGAGAGTGTCAGTCCTTTTCCCCAACATGAGTCCCGAGTATGAAGCGTTCTCATGCCAGAGGATCACCCTTCCACCACAACCGTATCCACCCGTCCAGGTACTGGACAGCGCACGGCGCGAGAGCACAGCATTAGACACACAAAAGCAGATCCAACCAGGGAGGATCAATGATAGCGGGAACAAAGAAGAAGAAGCAGAAACATACCTCCTCCCGCATTGTTGACGAGGCAGTCGAGTCTTCCCTCGACCTCCCCATCTCGCCTCGTCAAGCCCCTGACGGTTTCCACGCACAGCTTGATACTCTCCTCATCCAACACATCCAGCCTCAAGCACTCGATCCCCAATGCCTGCAACTCGGCCATCTTGTCCGGGGTCCGTGCCGTGGCGAAGACGCGCAGTCCTGCGTTGTGGAATGCGATTGCTAATGCGTGTCCGAGGCCGTGAGCCGAACAGCCTGTTATCAGGACCGTTTTGCGGGTCTTGTCAGGTTGAAATTTTGCGGGCGCGGTCTCGGAGGCCATGATGAGCTTTATATCTGAAGCTGAACTGTACCAGCTAAAGCGTGAGTCGCGGTACTTCGGTTTCTCAATCTACGGAGGACTCAAGGGGTGGCGTTTTCCCCAGAAATTTTTCCCTCCTTCGTGCGCAGAGTCTGCTACCAATATGGGATCGTTGAGCGTATGAGCTGCTTTGTCCTCACAAAGGGCGGATAGAGCCTAAGAAAACCCGGGCAGTCCTGGAAAGGTATTCGCTGTCAATTCCCGTGTCGGGAAAGAAGAGTTCTGGGCGAGGGACAAGGGAGGTATATGTACTCGGTACGAGATAAAGTATTTTCAGAGTGAGGCTCCACCAAGTTGTGGTAGGGAAATTCATGTAATTGGATCAAACACACCGCCAAAAGAGGAAGGTAGATATTCAACCATGACATTCTGCGAGGTCGAACCGTTGAAAGGACAAACTTTTCAACACCAGGAGCAGAGTGCCAGTTCACGTTAGCACAATTAATGGGCAAAATATCTTGATCATCACACTCGAGTTGTGTAGACTCCACCGCCAGCACTGCTGCACGCCTGGCCTCAGCGGCACCCTTTTCCTACAGCCTTGTCAGCCTTGCGGGAGAGCTATTGAGTTATCGCTGTGACGGAACATGAGATGTAAAAAAAATGCATCCGTTCCGAGCGACCATCAACCGAATTAGTATCTTGGAGCAGAGTCGCTATAAAGGCAATAACCTAAGGTGAAGAGCGGACTTGTGGATACATCATAATAGTGATGGTCCTCCAGCGCCCCCTACGCCTCGCACTGCGACAATCACGCACAGCCTCCAAACGAATGCTTCCACCCGTATCATTACTCATATCCGCTGACATTTTCAATCCGCACGCGCTTTTGCAGTGTTCAATCTACCTTATCGCGAGCTTTCTGTGCTGAAGATCCCCGGTCTTTGACCTGTCAGGACAATCCGCTTTCTTGGCCGTTGGGCTTCCCCATCGTCGATCCCTTTCCGCTGCTGAGCGTGAGCACTAAGCCCTTCTGCGACAAAACCGATTGAATAGGCGCCGAAGCCCAAGGCCGTGAGAGTCAACAGCGTGTATTTCACTCCGCGTGTGAAACGCTTCCAGAGGCCCTCCTGGGTATCTGGGCTATCCCTATCGGAGTCGAGGGTTGATGGCTTTTCGTCCGTTGCGTTCGATGACGACGCCGCCGCCGCCGCACTTGGACGGATTGTTCCGGAAAAAACCTTCTCTTGCCTCCTCACTTTTGGCTGATTTGGGGTCGGACGAAATGGGGGGGCTGTGGGCGCTGCCGGGCCAGGGACTGGGTTCAACTCGGTAGGCAGCTCATCCAAAACCGTGGCAGCTTCTTGATCTGGTAGTCGAGGAGAGATATTGGCGGTTGGTGCCGGTTTTGCTCCATCCATGGGTGATTGTGCCTCTGTTGCAGTCTTCGGCATGGCTGAGCCTGTAACATTTTCTGGTTGCTTCTTCTGGAAGATCAAGATGTTCTCGGTCCCGTTGTACAGCGAATATCCTGCTCTTTGCATTGTTTGGAAATGCTTGAGAAATTCTGGCGCGTTTTTAAGGCGCCCTAGAATACTAATTATGTTGCTGGACTTGGGTATTTCGGTGCTGGGTTGATTTAATGGAGAAAAGTTAACCTTCCCAGTCGAGGTGTCGTAGGCAAGAATAAGATAGGGTGAATCAAATTTTCTGATTCTGAGGCTCTCGATTGGTGGAGGTTGCTCATCGTTCCAAATAGCCGATCCCGATGGAGTGTGGATTGGTTCTGGAACGATCTTCAGATCTTCTTCATTTGCAGCTTGTGATGTGATCTGCGCCCCAGTTTCGACATTTGCAGCGACGCTCTCACAGCGGCTCTTGGGAGGGTCGAGGATCTTCTGAACCTTAAGGTCAATCCTCTTCTTACCAAAGTCGGCGCCCGACATCTGAGGTGCACTCCAAGCGATTGCTGGCCTCCCACTTTCGATTCTTCTTATCGCGTTCTGAGCTTCATGTAATTCTCTTCTCACTTCCTTTGCCCCTTGCATGACGTCGCTCAGTTTGTGGAGAGACGGCTTTCCTTCTGCCACTTGTTCTTTAGTTTCTGCTTGGCTTCCAGCATGTCGTAAACCCTGAAGCTCCTGGGCCTTCACGTCAGCATCTCGAAGCTCAGCATGGATTTGCTTCGCCTCGTCTACGAGCCTGGCAAAATTGGGCTCGAATTTGCTAATATGATCATCAATTAACGGATTTGTGGCAACTCCCGGTTTGGCGTTCGCAAAAGAGAGCGGGTGGGGTCTGGACATGTCCGGTTGGGAGGTGCTCGACGCGAAAGACATGGCTTCGGCCTTAATCGACGCCTGTGCTGGCTGCCTATGATCGGGATTGATGGGTCCATATTCACTCTCATAGACAGCTTGTATATCCGCAGCTAGTTGGGTCATCTGGGCCTTTTCCACTTCTGCATCCTTCTTCATATTCTCTGTCGCCTCTCGCAAGTCAGATGTCCGTCGTAAGCCTTCTTTCTCATCTGCGAGGACGTCGTGTGAAGGAGTAAAAGGTTCTACTGGTCGGGGCTTGGCGTTGGACTTGTAAATGGATGGTGTATTACGCAACGATTCGTCTTTGAAGACAAGCTTCTCGGTCAAACCCTTCACCGCATTGGCTCGAATATACTTCTTGTAATTCTCGTTGAAGTTCGTCATGGATTTCACGGTTTTGGCAACGATACCATTGGGATATTCCCGGATATGTTCCCAGACGTTGTTGAGGGTCTTGGTCAATTTGTTGGCCGGAGTTTCAATCTTCAGAGTCTTGGGCGACAAGATACCTTCATTTGCGGCCTCTTCTTGTCGTGCCTCGAAGTCCGTTTCGAGCTTTGCCCGTTCTGTCTTTTTCGAGTCTTCACTGCCCGCTATTTCCTCTTTCGGAGGCACTGGCGCTCCTGCTTCTTTCTCTGCTGAGGAAAAGGGCCGTATGGATGCAGAGAGTTGACGATCGAGAGCAGTCTGCAGTCTGGCCAATTTTCCATTTTGGTCTTGGGCAGCCCGTGCCTGGACTCTGTCGAGAGCCGGCTCAAGCTTACTCTTGAGTCTCTTGATCAGTACTTCAACCCTAGAGTCCCGCGCATCTGTGGCGCTCACCGGCTCTCCGGTCTTTTGTCGAAACCCTTCTTTAACCAGCCAATCTGACGCATTGGCGTCTGCTTCCCTGCGGGCCTTTGCCTCGTAGGTGGTACCTGAGAACAGCGGCAGAGTATCATCTGGCTCAGGCAACTCTCTGATCTTCTTCGGAGCGGCGGTTTCGCCAGTAACGAGTTCCGACTCTGGCTGTGCACTGACCTCTGTAAACATTGCAGTGGTGTCGATGTTGTTGCCCTTGGCCCTTGTCATCAGATCCCGGAATTCCTGTTTTCTCGAACTATCCAAGCCTTCGCCTGTCCCGGTCGGGCCTGTTTCAGTATGCTCGTCAATCGTTTTCTTTTCCGAAGCACTGAAGCCGTAAAATTTGTGAGGTTTGTAGGTCTTGACTGGTATATCAACTCCATGTTCTTGGAAGAACAGGTTTTTGAAGAGTGGCTGCTTTGGCTGAATATCGGATGGCGGATTCCGTACCTCTGGCTGTCCAGGTTGCCCTTTCGGTTCCGGGGCTGCTGATTGCTTCTCCTGCTCAAGGTCTTCCTTTTGTTCAGGCTCAGCCGATCGCTTCTTTATGGGAACATTTCTCATCGAAATTGGGTCGTATTCATACTTCTCCTCACCAATATCCAGTGTCGACTTCTTGATTACTTGCTTGACCGAGCCAATTTCTGAGGGAGGAGTCCCTTTTTCGATCGAGTCTTTCTTAGTCATTGTCGGAGCAGGATCTGACTCTTTAGTGTCTTGATCCTTCTTCATCTCCTTCGGATCTGCAAACCAAGAAAACGAAGTCCATGATGAATTGTTGGAAGACGGCGGACTTTGCAACCGTCTGCCGAATAAAGTTCCATGTGGATCTCGTGCAATAGCACGGTCGACAGCTGCTCGGAAAGCATCGAAGTCTTTGTATACAGTGTCAGACTCACTGGTATATTCATTATCTGACTCTTTTGCTTCCTGACCAGAGGCCCCTGTGGAGGATAATGGTTTGTAATCGCAATATCGGTTTGCCCAGAGGCGATAGTGACGCCAAGGTCGAATATAGGTATCTTCTGACTCCCACAGTGCTCTTCTCCGAAGAACTTTGTAGTATCTTGTTCTCATGATCTTGTGATGTCTTCTCGCACGCTCTTCAAAGTCCTCGGTGGGAGACCAAGGGTTCCCTATCTGCCGTCCCCACCACCAGAGGGTCCGAATTTGGACTGCATTGACTCGATGGCTTCGGTAGATATCGGTTCGTGGATGCAGAGGCCTCATAGTGGCGGAGATGCTCGCGATATTGAAGGTCTGGGGGAATGATAGTAGATGGTGGTGTTACTAGAGGACAGTTCTGTGTCGTCGGAGGAGGACGAGCAATGGCTATCCCAGGTCCGACCACTATCAGGCAGACATGAGCACGCACTCGACGATACAGAGGGCCGGCACCCCGACGCAGGCGGGCGTCTCGATGCTTTCCAACGTCAAGGATAGATGAGATACGTAGCAGCGCATTGAAGTATGACCCATTGAACTAGCGCAGATGAGTCGAGGTGAGCGTGGGCGACGGGGAGGAGTGAGGAGGGCAGGGAGGGGTAGCAGGGTAGCAAGGGTATGTATGTACATAGCAAGCGCAGCCAGGTGATATCGATATGAGCAATGCGGGATGCGGAGAAACCCCGTCCCACCACGTATCGAGTGCTAAATGCAGCTTGCTGCTGCAATGACTTTCTCCATCATCGTAACTCCATGGACTTTTGGACAATGCACTCAGCACTATGGCAGAAATCCTGTCTATGCTGGATACACCGAAAAGCCGACTGTTTGCTCTCATACCCGACGATCGGGGATCTTCAAATTGCCCTAACATTACACCCAGCCCACAGAACACCTGGACCGTCCTGGGATCAGAAGAGCATAAAATCGTATCGTACAACTCGTTCATTCATCGCCTCTTTTCTTGGTGATGGTATCCACGACCCTGCCATAGAACTTAGCTGCGTTGTGTCGAGCGAAAGTGATGTCCTCGGTCAGATAGCTGGGCATCAGTTTCATCATTCCGTGGTCCCTGTCACGATCCAGAAGCGGCGTGTACAGGTATTCTGTTTCCTCGAAACTCGTGCCTTTTGCAATTTCCTGATCGATGAACAACCTGAAATGTAGTGCTTTCGATCGTTAGCTCGTGAGCAGAGCAAAATGACAGTTCAGACTTACTCCCGTTACGACCGGTCTGGATGCATTCGTATGTATCGCCCTCTTCAGTCTTCTTCACGTTGAGAATAACGAGTCCCGTAAGGTCGCTGTATAGGTCCTCCTTCATCTGTGCAACTTGGGCAGCCTGCGCAGCTTCTCCTGCGAATTGGCGTTGTGCAGTACTCTTCATCGCACTGCTAGGAGGTTTTGGATTGTCGACCGATGATGCTCGTGCTGCCACTAACTTGGCTTGTAGTCCTTTGATCTCGTTTTGGGCGTCAGCGAGATGCGTCGAAAGCTGCAAGGTCGTTTCGCGCATCTTTTCCATCTCTGCTTCCTGGGTCTGCATCTGTCTACGAAGCTTGCGCGCCTCGTGTGCCAGAGGTGCGTGGGTAGCCAGCTCCTTCCTGAGAGATGCCACCAGGTCGTTTGACGCTTGCATGGCGGCATCGCATTGCTTGCGTAGCTTCTCCATGTTCGCATTCGCCTCGTTGATGCCCACTTCTTTGAGATTACGGTATTTCAAATCCACATTCTCAAATTTGCGGGTGATATCGCCGAGTTTACGTCGAAGATTAGGATCACCTCGTTCGGTGTCGGATGCGCTTCCAGCCCGTCGTCGGTAAGGCGGATCCTGCCTTGTCCTAGAAGTATCTCGCGCGATCGATCTGCCTTTTGGCGCTGTGGCTACCTCCAAGTCCCCACTTGACTCCTCTGTCTCCTCATGCTGCGGCTCGGGGGCAGTAGATTGAGATTGTGAGGCCGTCTTCGACTTGGTGGGAGCGGTCGCTTTGGTGGAGACTTTTGAAGCTTCCTTCTTTGTTCGACATGCGGCGTGTTTCGGACGTGCTGCAACAGCTGGTACTTCTACCTCCCTTAAACCGTCTTCATTCTCATGTGTCTCAACAGCCTCAGGAACTGCCGTTGCTTTTTCATTGGCGCGCTTCCCTCTCTTAGCCTTCGGTGCAGCCGTTTGTGTCTCGGCTTCGGATTCTCGAAGCGTCTCGTCCTGGTTGCCGTTGGAATCTTGGTCATTTGAGTGATCTTCACCCGCCTTTCGCTTCACGCCGGCAGTCTGCTTGGAAGAGGTCTTTTTCACTTCCGAAGGAGCACTCTTCTGCACTTTTGACTTCGCTTTTGAGGGTACCGTGACGCGGTGTCTTTTTTTGCCTCGTTTCGCCTGTGTTGTTTTCGCGTTAGTGGCATCGGTCGCGTCGGTGACGGAGGAGAGAATAGAATTTTCGTCAATAAAAGATGCCGCCTTCTCCGTGTCAGAGTCAAGGAGATCTGCAATGCCCTTCATATCGATGTGCAATCAGTAAATGCCAGTCCTAGAAGTGCAACAGGGTGTCACTCAGAAGCCAAGTAGAATCGAAACGGGAAGGTGATCAAGGGTGATGTAAACAAAGCGATGCCACTGGTTTAGCCTGCGGAACATCCACTAGCCACAGAAGAAGTGGCGATTCGGCTCGCCAGCTGGTGCAGCCTCATCACACGACGGGTCATTCTTGCAGTCTTTGGACACCTCGCTTCCTCAGGTCATCCATACCTAACAGTTAATGCATCCTGCCATATCTTCCGCAGTCCAAAATTAGGCTCCATGATGTCTCCCGATAGGGGCGATGGTGCCTGGTGGCATCGAGTACTTCAAGAACTCGCCATTACAGTCCCTCTGGTATGTGGACTGCTCGCTCACCCCGGGACGAAGCCTAACAGACTCCAGATGTTCGGGGGCTATTATATGATCAAGTATGTCCTGTCGCAGATGAACCTCGACCCCGAAGCGGACCAGAAAGAACAGAATCGCTTGCAGTCGGCCGCAATATTACGACGTCTAGAGGATCATCCTCGCAAGAACCAACCTGCGAACCAACCAAGCACGGACCGACCGCGAAGGGAAGATCTACGCCTGTCTCAATATGAAGAAGTCATCTTGCAAGAGCTGGTATTTCCAGAGGATATATCTGTGTCCTTTGATGACATTGGGGGTCTATCGGATATAATAGAAGATCTCAGAGAGTCGGTGATATACCCTTTGACCTTACCGGAACTATACTCTACCTCCTCCTCTCTACTGGCGGCTCCTTCCGGCGTTCTCCTATACGGACCTCCTGGTTGTGGAAAGACCATGCTGGCCAAGGCTCTAGCACATGAGAGCGGCGCGTGCTTTATCAATCTGCATATTTCGACTGTTACCAACAAATGGTTCGGCGATTCGAACAAACTGGTCAACGCAGTCTTCTCCCTGGCGCGCAAGCTAGAGCCAGTGATTGTCTTTATTGACGAAATCGATGCAGTCCTGGGCACCCGACATAGTGGCGAACATGAGGCAAGTGGAATGGTGAAGGCCGAGTTCATGACGCACTGGGATGGGTTGGCTTCCTCCAACACTCTCGGTCGGCCGCAACGGATATTGATCCTGGGGGCCACCAATCGCCTACAGGACATCGACGATGCTATTCTTCGACGGATGCCCAAGAAATTCCCCATCTCGTTGCCGAATGCCTCCCAACGTCTCAAGATCCTGAAGATTATCCTTCGGGATACCAAGCTCGACCAGGAAAATCTTGACTTGGAGTATCTGTCCAGAGTGATGGCAGGAATGTCAGGAAGCGACATCAAGGAGGCATGTCGGGAGGCAGCAATGGTGCCTGTCCGAGAGATGATCCAGCGGCAGAGAGAAAGTGGACAACGCATGGAAACCATGAAAGCAGGAGACGTGCGAGGTCTACGTACAGCTGACTTTTTCATACGAGCGCGTGGGGATAAGGCAGCTCAGGACGCAAAGAGAGACAAGGACGAAAAGGAATGGAGCACTGAGTCGTCATCTCCCATAGTAGATGGTGTGGAGGACGCAGTGGAAGAGTTGCATCAACCAGACTAACAGCTGTTGGTCTCGGCCCTTTCCCTTTCTCGAGTTGCGAGCCCTTTCACTTGGCACATTCAACAGAACGTTAGGGCAGTCTCAGGTACGGGCGTAATGGGCATTTTCGGTTTAGGCTCACCGGCATAAATACAAGAAATACACCACTTGGCTAGCTTTGTGCAGCAGTCCTTGATGCACAAAGGCGTGAGAGACGAGAACACGAGGGGAGACAAGGGCAGCTCGAAAATCAACCGGAAGGTCTTGCCCACCTGGATCGTGGCATGAGATCAAATCGAGTCAATTCAACCCGCGAGCTCTGTCCTGGTATACTTTGGGCCGGTCTAGTCCAGTAGTAGCATGGCATTGTAGCGAAGCCCCGGTACCCCGCAATCATTAAGTTACTGGCGGATTTGGAGTGCGTCTGAAGCGCAAGCTTGGTGGCCCGGGGGGTTGAGGCGGGCACCGCGTATTCCGTTCTCCGTACTTGTCAAGCCCGCCAGCCTGCCAGCCTGCCAGAGGACACCCCCAGAACAACCCCCAGTGGGATGATGGACAGGCGATTCTTCTGCATGGCTACTTAGCCTATGGCCACACACTAAAAATTTCCATTCCGCTGACCAGCCCTCCAAGCCCGCCCACCCACCAAAGTGCGGAAGACGGTACCAGGGCCTGGCATTCATGTGCTCTCAGAACCACCAGATCGTCTTTACAAGATCCTCTCCCCTCGTATTCAGTTTTCGAAGTCGACTTTTGTCACCGCTTCCTCCGTCCTCCTTGCCGTCGCTGCTTTTTCGCTGGAATGCCCTTTCGCTCCTACGGCACCGTAGACCTTGCTCGCCGTACTGTGGTCTGAACCTGTTGCAGCCATGAGTGACCCAAGCCCACAGTCCGAGTCGCGGGCACCTTCTGCTGCTGCTGCGTCGCAGACCTCCAACGATCAACCCGCCACAAACAGCGCGCCGGCGAGCCAAACTCCAGGCCATCCAAGCTTCAGAAGGTACATAGTCATGGCGAGACTTCTGCCCTCGTTTCCGCATTTGCTAACGCCTTGTCCAGGCAGCGCGCATCTCGAGCGTGTGGTAAGCTCACCTCCTCTTCCTGAACTTTCTTTTTACCTAGCGACGACGCGGGTCATGCGGTGAAGTTGGGTTTGGCGGCTCGCACAATGGACGGTCCTGCCTCTGTTGCAGGTCGAAAGAATGTCACAAGAGCTCCTGCGGACATGTTCACCTTAAGACTTTTATCTCTCTGGAGTTCGCGATAAACCGAGAACCTCGGTCCAAAAGTGGTACTTGCCATCAACATGATGCTGGCAGTTGGAGACAGGCGCAAACACACCCTGATCCAATGAGCACGGGACAAACACATGGCGGAAATACTCAACATTTTGGAAAGGATTGCTAACGTGTCCACTCTGCAGAAACATGTCACGCCCGCAAAGTATGTTGCCACTCCACCGTCGAACACAGGGAGACTGCAATAGTGGATCGAGCTCTAACGCGTCCTTTGGATTAGGTGCGATGCGATGCAGCATCTCTCGGGTGAGTACTATTCTGTCAAACCGGCACCGCTGATCGCGCCCGTCACTGACCGCCTCTAGGGTCCCATGCACGAATTGTGTTGCCTTTTCTATCGAATGTCGAATTCCCATTCCCAAGCGGAAAAGGGCCAGTGCCGCCCGAGCCAAAGATGAGGAGAGGTAGGACCTGGCTTTCTCCTGGAGTTTTTGAGGAGCCTCCTTGCTCCGTAGCTTCGACAGTGGAAAGGTTGACCAGGACTTCAGTGAGGCCGGCGACTCACAGCAGGCGGGCACGCCCACGGACCCTCGCCCAACACGCCCAACACAACCAAAGCCTACTGTTGGCTACAATTCGCCTGATGGCATCCCCTCGACGCAGATGTCGGAGGCGCAAGCCGCACAACAAGCTGCGAACAACAGCACCATGGCTCAATTCATGAAGCCCAAATTCGCTCGAGCGCCCATTAAAGAAGCCGGTCGAGTAGCCTACTTGGGGGAGTCGTCAAACCTATCATTACTGGTCCATGATCGGCATGGTACCACTGATGTGGTTCACTACCCCTTACCTGAGAACATCAGGGGCGCTCGCGCTCGCCTAACGGAGCCGGACCAGATGGAAATAGAGATCCTGCAGCAAAGGGGGGCATTCCTGCTTCCACCTCGTGCGTTGTGTGATGAGCTCGTCGACGCTTACTTTCGATGGGTCGCTCCTATTGTGCCAGTCATCAATCGAAGCCGGTTTATGAAGAGATATAAGGATACAAAGAACCCGCCGTCGTTGCTGCTGCTGCAGGCCATCTTGCTGGCTGGTTCCAGGGTCTGCACTAATCCGCAACTGATGGACGCCACTGGATCGACCACGCCGGCTGCAATGACTTTTTACAAACGCGCCAAGGCCCTGTACGATGCAAACTATGAAGATGATCGAATTACCATTGTCCAGGCTTTGATATTGATGGGCTGGTACTGGGAGGGCCCCGAAGGTAAGGGCCTGGCGGTCACCGAATATGCCGACGTCGCCCGATCTAACATTGCAGCAGATGTGACAAAGAATGTATTTTATTGGACCAGGGTGGCCATTGTCGTTGCCCAAGGTGCAGGAATGCACCGAAGGTACTATAGAACTGTGCAATTCCAATGAAGGAGTCAGCTAACCATCTTCACAGTGTGGAAAGTTCCCAGTTGAGTAGGCAAGACAAGCGACTATGGAAGAGAGTATGGTGGTCGCTTTTCACGAGAGATCGATCAGTAGCGGTGGCCCTCGGCCGGCCGGTTTCCATCAACACGGACGATTCGGACGTCGAGATGATCACGGAGGAAGACTTTATCGAAGACGAGGGAGACCCGAACAATGATTATCAGGCCGATCCAGTGCACATCCAGTTCTTCTTGCAGTATGTCAAGCTCTGCGAGATCATGGGTCTCGTGCTTTCCCAGCAATACTCGGTGGCCTCCAAAGCTCGTCGAACCAACGCGATCGATCTGACTCACAGCGACATGGCGTTGGCGGACTGGTTGCAGAATTGCCCTCGCGAGGTTTACTGGGAACGCTCACGCCATCATTTCTGGTCCGCACTTCTGCATTCCAACTACTAGTGAGTGTGTTATACTGGAAACTCAGTCAAGCGTTGACAAACTCTACCAGTACCACCTTGTGCTTGCTGCACCGAGCCCATATGCCGCCGGCAACGGCAAAACCCCACGACTATGAAAATGTTGACATGGCTTATCCTTCGAGGACGATCGCTTTCCAAGCTGCCGGAATGATAACCTCAATTATGGAAAACCTCCTTGCTCACGACCAAGTCAAGTACACGCCTGCGTTCATGTGAGTTTCTCGTATTTGCCATTCATCCACTCACTAACCCCGTTGCAGCGTGTATAGTTTATTCTCTGCACTCATTATGCATGTCTATCAAATGCGATCTTCGGTACCATCTGTTGTGGCTGCGAGTCAGGAGCGCATCAACGTATGCATGAACGCGTTGAAGGAGGTGTCCAAAGTGTGGCTTGTTGCCAAAATGGTCCACACCCTTTTCGAGTCCATTCTCGGGAACAAGGTGCTGGAGGAGAGGCTCCAGAAGGCCACAGGGAAGAAGGCTCAAAGGGCCAAAATCAACCAACGCGATCAAGGTCAAAACCAAGCCAATGGCAATTCGAACGGGATGGCAAGCGCCACACCTATCCCCGCGCCGCCGCCAGCACCGCCGGCAAATCCAGCCAAGCGCAAGTTCGATGACATCGACCTTGCATTTAATGTTGGACCACCCGCCCCTCAAATGTCGTATGAGCGGTCCCGGCCTCAAACACCCGCCGTGACGCCCTCTCGCGAGATACCTCCACCACAGCAGCACAACTATTTGGGCTCACCTCCACTGCAGAACGAACAATATCTTCCCCCCTCCCGGTCTCGAGGCGCATCACGGTTGCCATCGCGAGGGCCTACGCGGGCCAACTCCCCGTTCAATGGGTATTCGATCCCTGCGACGCCGCCAGACTTGTTCCTAGTCACCAGAGACTCGCCAAACATTTCACAACAACTCTGGGAGAACTTCCAGCCGGATCAGCTATTCCCCGATGGCACGATTGGGGATGTTGTAGGGTTTAGCACAAGTCCCATCCTGAATCATGCGGTGGATCCTCAACTACAGCAACTGCAGGGACAGCAAACAGGTATGGCAGGAGGCGGGCAACCAATTCCACATATAGATGTATCAGGGCAAGGACCGCAGCCTCAAGTATGGCCTCCCGGAATGCAAGGGATGATGGGGGCAGGCATGGAACTGCCAGACAGTGACGGATGGTCGACGAGCTCACTCGGAAACGCACCTGTGGCGCCTACGACGCTCAACGTGGAGGATTGGTTCCAATTCTTTGGGATCAATGGCGAAATGGCCGGCATGACCATGGACGGGACGTAAGCTCTTCCGATGCATGCGATGCCGACCAGTCATTTTAGCCGTCACCGCGCAAGGCACGAGCAAAGGCACGTTGCACACTGGTTCGGGCAGGTAGCCTCTTTTTGGCGATTTTGTTGCAAGAACGGCGTTTCTCTGTACAATGCCAGCTAATGATACATGTCTATGGAGCAGCGAGACACATGTACTGGTGGATGGTTCATTGATGGATGATACTATAACTATCTATGTCTATGTACAATGGAAGAAATGACGATGGGTCTTTGCGAATGTAACGAAACGCCATCCAACCTCTGTAGTCTCAGCTGGCAAAAGCGAGTGTGTTGTAGAACCTAGAGTCTGGGGGTCGAGACCTCAGGCTGGTTTTTTTGGGGGGGGGGGGGGCCTTAGACCTTAACTGTCGGCTCTCAGACCACGCATAATAACAAACAAGAATAGCCACCATCTTACGAGGTACGACGAAAGCTACTTGGGGGGTTTGAGGAGAGAGGGGCTTGATTTGGGGAGAAAAGAGAGAGGCCTTTTTGGATCCTGGGGACTCAGGTTCAGTTCAGCTCGCATGGAAGTACCGCACGCAATCTCTGGTATTCTGGTCCGGGGTACATATTACTTGTGCCATTCGCTCGCTTGGGGCTTGCTCTAGAGGGTTTAGCTCGTCTCGTCTCGCGAAGGCACGCACAGCTACTGGTGCTGCGAGGAGCAAGAGCAGTGTTAAGTCACTTCCGTTCTCTCCGACAGCTGCTGGTTACATTCCCCCCGGGAAATAGGTTCAAGTTTCGCGGGTACTACCCAGCAACACAGCCACTTTATCTGGCACTCTCCTCCTGTCCCCAGTACTTATGTACCAGAGAGAAGAGAACCCGTCGGGCGCAGCCACGCCCACTGCTTTGCCTATTTAGGCTGAATATGTCACAGCTACCGTCTGGGTCTGGGCCCAGCCCTCGCCTTGGGCTCCCTGGAACCATTAATTGCTCACTCACTCACTCCTTCACGAGCGAGCCAGTAAGTCACGGGCTGGGCTGATGACGACAACCCCAATCCCAACCACGACCACACCAGCCAATGGAGCGAGGGCACGGTTATTTTGCCTGTCTGTTTCTATACAAAGATCATTGCGGAGACACACGCACAGACATACACTGGTAGGTTACCTATGTATGGATGGGTGTGTGGTTGGATGGATGGATGTAACAAAGGGAGTGGGAACAGGGGCGTTCGATACGGTATACGCACATGGTTGATGATAGATGTATAGATATAAAGAACCCCGCTTCATGTAGGATGTTGTTCATTCTTTCAGCAGGAAAGATCATCCGTGAGAAAGGAAAAAGCAAAGAATACGGAACAAAACAGAGCGGCACAACATTCAACACCTCACCACGATACTTAGTCTAGACAGCACATATTCGGGAAGCTCGGACTCTCTCACACACACACATACCTCTCTCATCATCATACAGTATTGTGTCAGCATTGTTGTTCAGCAACTTTCAACCACCTTCCATTTTTCTTTTGTCTATCTCAATAACCCTTCTTCTTACCATTCATCAACCATGCCAGCCTCAGTCCCGTCAATGTCCATTGCGCCTTTGATCGTCACGAGCACCACAGGAACCACCATCCAGGCCCTCGACAACTTGACCGGGGAAACCTCCGGGATGGCCACCATCATGGCCGCCAACTGCAGCCAGAAGACAGAGGAGAAAGGTGACAAGACCAAGAAGCGGCATTGGTGGTCGCGCGTCGTCCGCAAGGGGAGACCTTGTCGCGAGATGAAGTCGCTGGAGACGGCTCCTCCAAGTCGGAGTTTAAGTCGGGCCCCGAGGCCCCTGGACGATGACATGTTTCCCAGGAGGATCCGTACCAACAGTTCTCATTCTGTGCCCACGACACGCACTCAGGTCGGGGGATTCATGGACGACGACGACGACGACGACATGACGAAGTCGCCAGTCGAAATCTCCACTGCCGCCGCTACCACCTCCACCAGTCCCAGGTCGAGTCTGACTTCCAGTAGCGAGTCTTGCTCGCGGGGCAGCTGCAATAGCGACAGCAGCTTCGGTGCGAGCACCTCTCCGACGTCGACTGGCGGTGTCAGCTCCAGGTGCTCCACAGACTCCCAGGGCAAGGCCAGCGCCACAGGTGTGGCCGCATTGTATGAAGCGCTGGGCACGAGGGCCATCATGGAGGAACAAAAGAAGTTGGAGAACTATCGAAGGCGGCATGGCATGCAGCGAGATCGGGCGGTGGATAGTCTGGTGCTGGGAAACGCCTTTGTCGGCATGTAAATGGTATAATGGGGCCTCAACATGCATCCTGACTGTCTTTTGTTGTTGTTGTAGTCTATATTCGTCGTGACTTCGCGGCTGAGGACGATTGTTTGGTCTGTAGAGCGGGCCTTCCTTCATCGGATATTTTTGAACACCTCAATGAATGTGTTGCTGATTTTCTCCATATCGTTTCCATCTCCCTGTGGTGGCACAAACCTTATATCCGCAATCACTTGACACCCACCGCCTCCAAGAACAGCAGCTTGTTGCCCTCCTTCACAATGTCCTTGACCACCTCTGCCATCGACTCGACTTCGATGATCTTCCCCTTTCCGTGTGAGAATGTCCACTCGTCTCGTTCTTGCTCTTCTTGTCCGGCATTCTCATCCGAGTCATAACGTACCTGGAATACTTGCCAATTCAGCGCTTTCAGCTCTCGGAGGTGTGAGTCTACGAGGTCGCTGGGCCCAGAAAACACCATTATGCCGGGATACCCGGGTTTACTTATGCCGGAGATGGCACTGCTGGGGGATGACGCTGGAGACGACGCAGTAGGGTTGACGGCTAGTTTTCGCTTCGAGGTCGCCAGGAGATGATGGAGCCAGATTATTACAGTCCTTGGCCTTGGTTGCGATCCCGCACTTGGATCCCTGGCGGCTTGTTGTTCCTTGCCGTTTGATCCCTCGACTGAGCACGCAGTCAAATCCGAAGAGGTTCCAGAGATCTCGTCCTCAAAGATACTGACGACTTGATCCAAGACCTCCACACCTATCCCTTCAGCACCCAGGCCGTCAATGGCCCGTCGAATCCTATCGCGGATATCGTTCCTGGAGTTATCACACGCAGATATTACTTCGGGAACTCCCTGTTCGGGGTATTGGTCTGGAAGCCGGAGGAGCAGGGCACTCCTCTGAGAATCACTAGGCGTGAAAAGAAGATCCCGGCTTCGAGAGTCAAAGGTGATGTTCCCGGGATACATTGCCTCGAGGAGGGACAGTTCAGCTTCGAGTCTAGAAGAGGTTTCGGCTGAGGTCATGGTGTGAGATGTCGTTGGTCTCTGAGACGGCGAGACGGTAAAAGCGGCTCGAGTCAGACGACTGAATCACGTTTGTCTTGGCAATGACTGTAGATAGTCTCAAGAGTCTTCTTGTGGTGATGCAAGTTGATGTTTCGTCCCGCTCATTTCCACTCAAGGGTCCTCCACTACCGACCGCCATCACATGCTGCTCGATTGGAGCAGGAGAAATAGTGACATTGCAGTCTCGGCTGGTTAGGACCGCCACCTCGCCAGCTTCCTAGACGAAAAATAAGTGTCGGGGTGGTCAGCGCCTAAGGCCCGACGTTGTGCTTGTGCACATTTTGCCAGGAGCTTGAGAACCTCTTCTTTCCTCTGCTGGCGGTGCATGATCACGGCAAGGATGCCCATGGCCATCAGTGTATCAGGATGATCCTCCCCTCTCACCTTTTTCGGCGTCTCGATCGCTCGAGATAGTTCACCTTACCGAAAGCGCGCCCATCCAAGGTTACAATACGAGAGGTATCCTAGTTCAGGTTCCCTCCATGCAACCATCATGGCAAACGCTTTCATCAAACCAGGAAGTGTGCAATTCCCTTTCAGCCATTTTCGAGCAGCGATGTGCACCAGCCGATGAATATCATGTAATGGTTCGGAATGACTCCCTATTCCGCCCATTGACCGGCTCGTCACAAACGAATATCCATTCAGTGTAGCGATGGCGTCGACCATCGCTTTCTTCGAGCTAAGTTCTGGCAGCAGAGACAATGGAACGTCCTTTTCGTGAAGACAGGCCACAGCACTAAGAAACTCTGCCTCTCGCCGGTGATGTCGGCGGATTTGTTCAAACAAGATGAAGAAAGGGTGGCAACTGGATTCTGTGCACTAGAGTATCCGTGAGTAATCTCCACAATCTTCACTTAGAAGCTTGCTCACTTCATCCCCAGGTCATCCATGAGCTCCGGATAGGTGTTGACCGTCTCTTGGGTCGTGGAGATATATGAAGGGGCTTGGACGATAGCGAGCCGGAGATAGGTGAGCTTCTGTAAAAGGGTGGTGGTTCTGCTGTGCTCCTCCAGCATTTCAAGTCTTCCTGACGCATTCGGCAAGACTCCCCTAGTCTCGTCGACCGACATCGCCGCCAATTGGGTCATCCCTTTTCCAGTGAGAAAACTAGCTATGCGTCGAGATCTGGTCGGGATGAGGATCGAGCCATCGGTCGTGCGTGGCAACGTCTCCATCCGCGCGGGCTTCTTCTGATCGTCCGAGTCTGACCTCTATGCCCACAAGCATTCATCATCACTATTGTCCAGCGCTAAGAACCATCTGTTTGTGGATGGGTTGGTAAGCCACTCTTTGACAAGGGTTTTGGCGTCGAGATGGTCGCCTCCGATCCCTGGAATTCTTCCCTTCTTTCCGATGCCGAGTATATCCTTCTCAAACGTCAATTGATTGGCGGCTTGGATCCAGAAGATTGAGCAATTGGAGTGCTCTGACTTGACTTGGCAGACAAGCTCGAGGGCCAGTCAACTCCTGCGTCAAGTAGAGATACAATCCGGCGACCCTCTGGATCGAAAATTGCTTGTTGGAGATGCTTCAGCTCTTCAGTACGACCAATAAACCCCGAGAGGTGGTCAAACGGAATTTGCCGTACAGGTTCTGGTAATTCATATCAGGAGACAATACGACTTCGGTTTCGCGAGGTAAAACTTCATAAATGGCCAAAGCCGTTGAAGGTTGAAAAATATTGAAACTCACCTGAACAGATAGGTGCTTCCTCTTCGCTCCACTGGACCAAAAAGGCCTTCGCGCACGCTGCTGCTGTTGCCGCCGCGTATCTTTGCCATCCCTTCCTTTTGTGACTGTCGGTATAGTCACATACACCTTTGATGACCACGCTGGGGAAGTAATCCCACACGCCTGCCCCTTCCATTTCGAAACCAATGATTCCGTCCGCTTGCGCCATCAGGTCACGGTGCTGACCTGAGGCCATCACGGTGTTCCCCGAGGCCATGATGCCAAAGTGGACGACAGGCTGTGTCGTTGATCCACCCATGGAGCGACTGCGCTTTACACGCATTATAGAGTCACAGCCTAGATCTTCGCATTCCGTTTTGAGGGCTAATTCGCAAATCTCGCCCTCTCTCTTGCACTCATCACATGTTCCTGGTGGGTGGCGATGTATATACGATGAATGGTATAAGATATCATTCTCTTGGCCTCGATACTTGATCTCAGGCCTCTTCCGCTGTATCTCTTGGAGAAAGGTGGTCATGTTATTTTGCATTTTCTGCTTGTACCGACTCGTCCTTAGCTTAGCCTGGATAGCTCGGATCTCTGGGCTAGGACGACCAAGTGTGTCTCGAATGTCTTCCTTCACAAATCCCCTTGGACGCCGCCTCCCAAAATCATATTGGAGGAGTGCTTGACTGATGATGACATCGCCGAGCATGATTTCTTCTTGGTCGGTCCCGGTGCCGTAAGGCATGCCGCCGCAGACACCGACCACTAGTGCCAGCTTGATATTTGGGAAGCTCACGCGTAAGGAGCCCGCAACTGCCGCGGCGGGAGTGGTCCCTATACCTGGCATATAGGCTAGAACCGCATTGTGGTCACCTATCACTCCAGTTGTATAAACACTGGGATCCCCAGGAGCTTTCCTGAAATTCTTGCCCTCGTCTTCCCAAAATTTGTCAAATAATTCTTGCACGCACTCGGCTTCCAGTGGCAACGCACAGATCAGCGCGATCTCGAAGTCACCACGCTCACGAGGAGTTTTGGCGGGCATCTTTGCGTCACTCGGGTTCGGGAGAGCGGAGGATAGGGCAACACGAATGCGAAAAACGCAACAGCGAGGAGGTTAACCAGTCCTCGACGGCGTCATGACAGCTCGGATGGAATGCAGTTACGGGCTTTAGAGGGGAGATGGCAGACATTGTCGTTTACCGCGCGGCTGGAAGTTGCATCCATTACCGGGTAGGCTGAAACCAGCTCACCAGGCTGAAGTACCGACTCACCGAGTACTCCGTAGGCGAGGACAAATGGCGTTGTCGCAGTGTCCTCGGCCCCATTGCATCCTGCACACCAAGAGTCGTACCGGGTACCCACGATAGAATGGTCCATTGTCTTCACTTCACCTGGACATCCCAACGCGTGCTGAAGCCGAGGAAAGGTGGCGCTGTATGGGACTAGAGCATGCTGGCTCTACCATTCTATCTCTGTTGATAAACGGTCATGTGTCCCTAACATGATAAATCCTTTGAACGGGGAAGCTCCTGGCCGATGCACTCGTCGTCGCACTTGGGGAGATGGGAAGCAGCGAATGTACATTCATAAAGAACATGCTCGCAATCATCTCGGTGTTCGTATTCAACAAGCCCCCGACGGGCACTTTGGCAGTGATCTCAGGATTCGTCCAGCTGTTATGTACCTATGTATGTAAATATATTGCTATCTATTGACCATCGCCGTTTGAGCCGGGTTCTGCATCGGACTTGTGGCTTTCCCGCTTCTCGAGAAATGCATTTCTTAAGCCTCGCACTATTCGAAAGGCTGGTTTCCGCGGCAACTCCTCGAGTCCCCAAAGTCAACTTCCACCCTTTTACTCTTTTCGTAGCCACGATTGGCGTGGCTACCTCTCGCTTCTATCGAGCCCGCGCGGCATGACGGAAGAATTATGCGCTGTGAAGGCTGAAGAGGTGGTCAGGCCCTGCAAAGGGCAATATCTCGAGCGCTCCCTCCTCAGGTAGGTTTTGTGGCGGGCTGATGCCAACCAGGCGTGATCCTTGCAAACAGGAGGGCTTGTTTTTGTATCAACCCAACAACCGGATTCTGAGGCGTCTTAAGATGCCTTTTCATCCCTCAAAAAGGCGCCTGCGCCTTTCTGGGGAGGCTCCTTCTCTCAAAAGACACTCCATCAACCTTTGCAGAGCTGGTTGAGTCGAACCATTGGAGAGAAGGATATCTGATGATCACTTCTCTGGGGTGCTGACAGAGGTACTTCTACTTCAATATTGGACAGACGACCGGGATACTATATTAGGATTGTCCCATGCGTGCCATAACATTCTTTGCGGGTCTCCTCTCCCAGATACAGAGGCGGGACACGTAGTAAGTCGTTATCCTTTCCACAGCCTTGCTGCCCTTTTGGCGCATTCATCAAAACAATTCATTACCCGGCCTAACAGCCTCGACCATCAGCGACGATGGACAGTACACCCAAGTCGTACAAGCTACGACGTGGACATACTCTCCGTCTTACTATACTTCATATCTCTCGACGGAAATCATCACCATAACATCATACATCCCTTGTCCCGTTCTCACCAGCTACACCACGGTCTACAAGTGCTCGACCTGCGGCGCGTGCGACGACTGTGCCCCCACGGCGCAGACCACATGTGAGCCGAAGCTCTGCTCCACTCATATCGACGACGTTGTCGAAGCAATGACCACGCCCTACGGGTCGGGCGAGTATGCCATCGCATTTGTAACAAGCTATGATGGCGCACAGGCTGAGACGACGAGTATTCCTGCGTCCTTGTGCACCGCCTACGAACAGATCGACCTTAACGGCTTTGATTGCCAGAGTCTCCCTGCATGTGGCGGTTCGAGCCTAGGCGGACTCACGTGCGAAGCGAAACCGTGCACCACGTGTATCGACGAGGACGGGGACGGAGAGTACGAAACCCTCACCGAGGGCACTCAATACTTCTTCACCGACTTCGCCCGACTCACCGTGAACGGCCAGATCACATCCACGCCTGCGAGTCTGTGCGAGCTCCTAACCATACCGACGCCGTGGAACCTCCAGCCCACACTCGCCTGTGGCTACGACAATGGCGACGGGGCTAGTGAAAACAACAACGCCCAAGGCGCCCAAGTCATAACCTACACGTACACGACGAACGGAGCGACCATTGTCGTCGCCACCACCTTGCCCTCGCACGGAGGCCCGTTCCATCTCACGGGCAGTGGCGGGGGAGGGAGAGTGGGCGGGGAACTAGGCAGGAACGTGCTCTTTTGGATGTGGATTGGCGGTGCGCTTATCGCGGGTGTGGGCATGATTGTTCTTTGAACACCAAGAAGGCGAACGTGATAATGTGATTGATGCCGGAAGGGGACTTTTCATGCATTTGTATGGGATATCGCAATGGCAATGGCAAGGGCAAGGGCAAGGGCAAGGGCAAGGGCAAGGGCAAGGGCAAGGGCAATGGGAAATGGATACGGACTTCATGCAATGAGTAATGTCGGGGCAAACGGACTGGGGGAAAAAATCTGTACGTGAACGGACGGCCGGGGTGGATGTCTCTATCACTATACCAAGCAGGTTGGTTCTCGAAGGAAGCAAGGGCATGTTCACCTGACCTCAATATTGAAGCTTTGGGTAACGGATTTGAACGGGCTGGGATGGAATAGAAACCATTTTGTTATTCTTGTTCGCGTTTTTCTTTTGGGTCGTTGAAATATTCAAATCTGAAAACTCTGGTGAGCTGTGCTGAGAGGGGCGGTGGGCGCTCATTTATCCCAACTGACTGTAGTTGCAATGGCTGCGCACAAAACATTCCAAGTCGAGAATCGAGTACCAAGTATCGAGCATTGCGTGTGACTGGGCTGGGCGGAACTGGCTGGCTTCCCTGTTCATCGTCGCTGAAATCAATCCGTACAGTCCGGGCCATCCATCCGTCCATCCATTCCGCGCCCTTTGAAGGGATTTTTGCCTAACATTTCCACCAAGAAATGCCCTTGATTCGCCAAAAATGTCATTCCAACACTCCCCTGGGCCTTTTCATGCACTCTGGATAGGAACCAGGCAAGCACCGCAAGCCAAGTACTGTAGGTTGATAGGTGAGTAGGTAGGGGATATGGCCTGGGCTGTCCCTCACACCATCGCGAGGTTGTGTCTCTTTCGCATAGCCTCCTCCAATACTGGCTGCACTTGGCGTACCCGTGGTGGCTTTGAAGATTATGAAGCTGGGGATGACCGGAAGAGCAGTGGCAGATTTTGGGCCCTTGCGTCTTATCACAGCTCTTCCTGCAATTCCCGGATCTTGTAGTAGATTTCCCTCAAGGTCTCTTCTTTACCAACCTGTTCCGAGCGAGTCAGCAGGACAGACGATATTGGGCCAGATCAAAACAAAGGATGAGTCTTGAGAGTAGCGTTCGTGAGATGGCGTTCGCGGATAACTTACCTTTATCTGAAATCCCGTTGGTTTCCCTCCCTCCAGACCGGTCAGATGCATAGTCTTCCCACTCGGTTCTTTGCCATCGTGCGTGCCCACATTCATCTCTTTAAATACCGGCGTGTTGAGCAGGAGACGATGTGTGCCCATCGCCCGCATGATCAATCGTCCTCTGCGTTCAAGAGCCATAGACGATTCATGTTCGCCTCCGTCGATGGCAGCTTCAATATCTTCCTCAATTGCCTCTCCAGAATCGTTTTCAGCTTTGGTCTCTTTGCCTGCCGCATTCTTGTCATCCGTGGCAGGGGTCTGCTCCGTTGATCTTGCTTCGTATCGCATGTTGATCTTGAAGTCTCCCAGGCCGCTTTCTTTCCATTCCCTGTCAAAGTGATATAACTTCGCCCGACAGCTGAAGATGGTTTTTTCGTCTTCTTCTCCTGTGTTGACTAGCACGATGGTCAGTTAGCAAATCGCCCTTACATGTAATACAACAAGACTCACCTTCTTGCTCGTGGAATCTCGGGTCTTGCTCGACTTCTTCCCCAGCCTGCTGGGCTTCGTCGTTTTCGCCTCCGTCTTCACTTTCCTCCTCTTCTTCATTTGATTTTGCTCCGAAGGGTTTGGGCTTTCCAAATGTGCCCGCCGTCCCCGAGGGAGCAGCAAATGGAGAGATGCCCGAACCAAGTGGCTTCGCAGCACTTCCAAACCCGCTTCCACCTCCAAATCCAGCAGCTGAGCCAAATCCGCCTCCTGAACCAAATCCTGACATGGGCTTACTTGCGAACGGTGATGCACCTCCGAACCCGCCAGAAGTCGACGCAAAGCCGCTCGTTCCTCTGCTGCCACCAAATCCACCACCAGTTTTGGCGGCTGCGCCTACAGCTCCGAAGGGTGACTTTTCGGACGCAGCGAATACTGACAGGCCGGAAGAAGCGAACGCAGAATTTGAAGTGCCGTTACCAGGAGATGAAGTTGATTCGGCCTCCTTCTCGGGTGATTTGGGCGATTTGAAGCTACTGAAAGGAGATGCCGCTGACGTGTTAGCAAAGCCTGATGATACCGAGATCTGCGATTTGGCTGCTTGTTCGGGCAGCGGAATGGTTTTGGTCGAGGGCTCTGTAGCCGCCGGCTGCTTCTCCGAGATAGAGGCAACATTAGGTATTCTAACCTCTGTTGTTGTATCTTCCAAGCCTGGTGCAGCACTAGCAGCTGTGTCCATTTCCTCCTTCGAAGGCGCCGAAACCAGGACCCCAGGCCCGCCTGGAGACTGTTGCGCCTCTGCATCACTCTCTTCCTGGACTGGACTCGCCATGTCCTCGTATTTTTCAAATGTCTGTATCTCCTCATCGTTCCCTGAGATCTCCCGGGACCTCATTCTCTTGTGCTGGCTTCCCTTCTTTGGCAAAGGAGGGCCTCCGTTCTCGACACTAGGTCCAGACTCTTCGTTCTGCAAATCTTCAAAGGATCGTTTCTTGGAAGGCCGGCCGCGTACCAGTCCATTTTCGCTTTGTAACTCAGCCACAGCTTCGACACCTGTGACGGTGCCCACAGGATGGTCTCCAACCGCCCCAGGCTTTGCCTTGGAGTATTGTGAAAGTCCTGCGATTGATGTTTTCTTCAGTTTCTCCCGCGCGGTGCGTTCGCCCCCCTCACCGTCTGAACTCCCATCTTGCGGCGGCAGATCTTGTATGACTGTGTCTTCTGTCGATTCCTGACGTGGTGGCAGATTTTCTCCTTGATCGCTCGTAGACATCGTGTGTGATCAAGATGGTCGTAGGCGGATTCTTGTGGATGGAAAATCCTGTAGTTTGTGTGGTGCTGCGAGGCCTCCAGGAAGCGGGATCTCGCAGAGACAATCCTCCTTCGCGGTAGATGTTTCCGCTTCGGTCGCCGCAGACGTCGAGGTTGGGAGAGATGGATGTGCGATGACTTCTCGGTCTTCAGATTCGGTTAGGCCACGAAACCCCACATGGACCCAGTCCAGATGTCCTTGAATGCACGGAGTACTTGCTCCGAGTTCGAACGAAAGGCAGAGAGGCTGCTCGTGCTTGAGGCGCCAGAAGGCTCGAGAACGGCGGTGCGAGAACGGCGGTTGACCTCAGTGGCTTGATGAACGGAATCAGGTAACCGATAGCGCCTGTTGCAAAGTGTTCACCAGCAATATGAGGCTGTTGGAGTACAATCGCAGCGTGCAATATATCCTTCGGAAGCGACAAAGAAAGAGACGCTGGAATCCAGAGATGGATACGCAGTCAAGAGGATGGGCGGTCGGCACGAAGATATTGGTATTGATACGATGAAGCGGCTCAAGGCATGCCAGGCCCCTTCTCGCCCTGCTCCGCACAATCACACTCACAAAGGCCTCTTTTTTCCGCCCCACCCACGCCAATGTCGTCAGGCCTTACTCGGTAATAGAAACAAAACTTTGAGACGCTACTGTACTATTGAAGTCCAATTTTCTGCATCACAGGCGGGAATACTGTAGTGTAGTGCCAGTGCGGGCGATTCACCGGTCAACCCGCTTCCTAAAATCTAACTAATAAAACAAAGGCAGCCGAGACTGACATAGAAGACCAAGAGAGGATAGACGCTGAGAGCCACCCTATTCTTGACAACCCCTGATCCTCCGAGGATACTAACTCCGGCTGCAAGTGACCATGCAACAAGGACAATGTAGACAGGAATGCGCGCAATAGTGGGTAAGCCAACGGCGCTGAGTAGGGCAGCAATGGTCAGGGGGAACAGGGTATACCCAATGATGGAGACGGATTGCATGAACGAGCTAGAACAGAGTCAGCACGGCTAGTATGAGGGGACCGAAGTTCTCACATGTTCCCTCCGAGCAGTTTGATCTGAAGGGTCACCACAGCCTCGCCGATCCAGACCAGGGAGAAGACACCGGAAAAGACCAGGTCGGTTTGGCCTTTGCTGGCACGCATGGAGAGGAAGACGCTCAACAGCAAGCAGAATATTAGAGGCCCCCTGAGGAAAGCTGTCAGCATGCTTCTCTTGAATGAGAGAGGTCTTTCCACGCTAACTCACCATAGATCCCAATCTCTTAGACCCTCACTCATCCCTCCCTGCAAGATTCCATCTGCGTCCGGCCAGTGTCCCAAGAGCCCTCTGAGGTCTCTCCCCAACCCTCCTCCTTGATTCTCGACATCACCCATGCCGGTGCCTTGTCTCTGGAGCATGCCTCCTAGCAAATACTTGGGGTAGAGGACTTGCTTCATTTTCTCCCATACTGCGAACAAGTCTCGAGATACTGTGTCCCAAACACTCTCATCAATGGTATTTTGTGGCGCATGTCTGTCTTCACCGGGTATCCTAGAAGTCAAATAACTCTGATTCAGGGGCGCGCTGGAAGATGACGATTGAATGTTGCCCGTTAAAGGGGTGCGATCGGAAGTGTTGTAGGAGGGTTCGTCAGGTTCGACTTCTGTAGAAAATAAGCCTCTGACCTTACGAGATTGAGTTGGGCTACCGCACCATCATTGAGGAAGTCATCGTCGAGTACGGCATGATCATCGTCGTAAGAGTTTCTTGACATTCCGCTGGCCATGTTTGCCAGGGGGTTAACGCCCGCAAGGAAAAAGGGTACCTGGCTGCAATGGCTGGAGATGACTAGCAGCTAATTGTCGCGCAATCAGGAAATCATGTGGAACATATCAGGTCGGAAACCTACGATTGAGCAAAATGGACGCGGTTGTAACAACGGACTTGAAGGAGAGGGTCTGGTAGCATGACAGTCGACGCAAGCTGCGACCTGAGGAGAGCATGGCGACCAGGCGACCACGATAGGGCTGAACGGCCGCGTTGAATGAGTAATATATTACGTAACCCATCTACTACCCAGTATGTTTCCACCCGCGACACCATTTTCGTTTTCACCACTGGGACATTCAAAGGCATTCTTGTCATCCGCCAAATTCGATAGCCTGCAGCCCTTTCTCCAAATTGTCGATGAGCATCTCATCAAGAGCATCCTCTCTAAAGCTAACCCTTTCGGTCCACCAGTTCAACCAAGACATTGCTCTCGACCCTTCGGACGCTCGCAGGAGCCCTACACTCACATCAACCAGGCCCGGTCTTTCAAGGCAATGCCAGAAGACTGTAGCTCCGCAACGGCGGCAAAATTCACGGAAACAGCCCTTGGAACTCTCGATCTGCTTGAGAGTTTCCATGTTATAGTCCAGCGGCTTGCCGTCGAGCTGAAGCAAGTTTGCTTTGGGAATAAACGCCCAAGCTTGAATTGGGGACCCAGAACCTAACCTGCAAGACCTGCATGCACAAGTGCCTGCCAAGTATTTCGAATCATTTGCACGCAGCCACCATTTGACGTCTTCGCGGTTCTCTGAGCTCGAAGAATGGTATGGGACAATCAAGTCGGGCCACGGCGACCAGCATTGCTTTGAGAGAGCATTGGGCCGGGTGATGAGGAAATTCACTCCTCCACAATGGCAGCCCGCGTGCAGTTTGCTCGAGTCTCCAGATGCCAGCCTGATCTGATTGACTTCACCCTTCGAGGTGGCAGAGCTGATGTCGTCAATCCGTGTGAACAACCCTCCGGTCAACCCCTCGACCTTCGCTCCATCCGGCCCCTGTAAATAGAGGGGTATTGCAGGACCATCCACTTGGGCTAAGCAGATTGCCAGACCGCCATCTTTGGTGTCGCCAACAAACTCGTGTTGCACGATCTTTTCCAGGCTCGGAGCTGAAGTGGCTCCCAGGATCTCGACATTATCAACCACGCCTGAGCACACACTCCAAGTGTCGTTTGTATGGACGTGCACAAACATGGGTGAACCACATGCTGGACAGAAATACCTGGTCAACTTTGAAGAGGAGGCATATTGGGTAAGTCGATCCACTGCATTTGGCCTCGTGACAAGGGGAAAACACGAAAAGTACAGCACACCAGTGGTGTATCGGCAGCTGTTGCATGAGCAAGGAGACACTGGAACAGGGAGTTGGGAATCCAACTGTAGTGTCTCAGAATTCCTCCCACACAAGCATGTGACGCTGACGGTGGTTGTCATGGTTTTGACTATGGCGGACTGAGTTGTGGGCAAACAATCTGAGTGATGGCGGTTAGGTGTCTGAAGACGCACAAGACTTCGTTTGTGACAAGTCTCCGAGTTTGAATACCAAGTCTCGGTGCAATTCTACCTCTATATCAGAAAGATGAGTCGAGGGCAGGATACAATCCCCCCCCCCCCTCTGAGAACTTCGCCAGAGCCGTGATTTCATATCCTTGTGATGGATGGAGAAACTTCGGCAGCTTCAGTCCGGTAATCCGCATAGCACCTAGCGAGATGAGTATTTGAATACGCCCTTGACCTGAAATACGTCGATACGGGGGTGCAAATGAGGAAGGCCTTGCCACTAAAGACGAAGGGTGCCTTTGAGCGTTGGACCAGCGAAATCCGGTCCACGCGGAGAAGAGAAGCCGCTTAATAGGGAAGACCGAGACTAGTAGGTATGGAGTATACCAAGAGTATACCTAATGGATCACGAGGTGTATCTCCTTATGATACTCCGTATCACCCCCCCCCCATCGCCTCTCGGAGACCTGGAATACGCAAGGGGAATAGTTGCCGCCCACGTAACAGCGTGGGATGCAGCGCAGGTCCCGCCCAGAACATAAAACTGCTGATTTTGGGTGTGTCTCCCTCTCTCTCTCTTGTTCTTTTCCCTTTTCCCTTTCCCTCCTCAAAGAGCAACAAGCAATCCGTCCTGTATTTCCCATCCCGCACACGCCGATCTCAGACCGAACAAAGAAAACCTCTAATCCAGAAACAAGCACTCGCTTTTCAGAACACAATGGGTATGTGCATGGGCGTCGAGCCCTGAGCAGATCCCATGGCTGACTGCTCGGAATCCAGGTCCTTGCGGCTGCAGCTGCGGCTCTTCTTGTAAGTCCATGGCGCTCTGGAAATGAATGCTTCCTCGCTAACATGAGCTCCAGGCCAATGCCCTTCTGGTCAATGCACCTGCGTATGATGAACCATGCCTCTACCTGTGTCTCCTGACCGGCTTTTTGACACTAGACCACAGAAATAAAGCACCTCCACCTCTCACACCACCGCCTCTGAAGGCTCATCTCACCTCGCCATTCAGCACCCCGATTGCCCCCAAAAAAAATATAAATCCATGTTTTTCTCTCACCACAAGGAAACAAAGTTGGGACGGGCGACCTCTGTCGAGAAATGGTTGGAATCCGACACTCATTTTGGACATGGGGGGCGACGCAACGTCTGTGATTGATCTATAGCCATTGCCATTGCCCGCGGGCAGAGCAGACATAGAGACTAAGCACACGTAACTTTCTCAATGAGGACAATGACATGCCCATATCATCTTTTCTCAACCGCGCCTCTGTTCTACTGGGGACTATGCTTCCCAGGGGGTGGCAACCTTTTTGTTCAGCTCCGAGGTGCCGTTCCAGCGGGCGGGCAGGAGCGGGGTATATCCCCAATACCGTACCCAGTACCTCGTATTATTTCTCTTGTTACAGTACCTGCCTGACTCTTCCAGAAGATCCTTATCGCCCCTTATCGGCTTATCGATTGTCGATTGAAGGGGTTTCCGCGGGCGGAGGGGGGGGGTAAACAATGAGCGAACAACGAGTCCAGTGTTAAGGAGGGCGAATTTCATGAGAGCCACGGGTATGACTATGGCCATCTAGAACAGCCGAATATCAAGTTCCCCTTTTTATTCTTCGTCCACAGTCAGGTTTTGACAATCTTTCTGCTGCTTTCGTGCTAGGGAATTTGAATCGGTTTGAGCCACGCTGACGCAATGCTTCATTCGGCGTCACCAGCGTCTGCTCCTTGCGTGTTGCTCTTTATAGATACCTAGGTAGGTGTGGACGAACTACTCGCTCAGCTCCTTTGTGACGCCAGATATCTGTCTTGCCTGATTCCCAGCTTAACATCAACATAGCATTGAAGTGGAGGAATCCCCGCGTGCGCTTTGCTCTGCCCGCCAATGGTGGAAAGCTCGCCTAGCATTTCTCTCTCTCTCTCTTTCTTTTCTCTTCCGTAGGCGAGCTTGTTGAGGCCATACCTCGAATTTGGTGTTGTAATTATCGCCCATGCCGGATCCAGTCCCCCTTTCGTCTCGTGTCAGAGGCGCGCTTTACGGCCTCGCCGTGTGTGACGCGTTAGGAGGCCCTGTCGAGTTCAAGCCGCGCGGGTCGTTTAAGCCGGTGACGCGGATGCTGCCAAACGACAACTTCGACCTCCCGCCGGGCTGTTTCACCGACGACACTTCGATGACCTTGTGTCTGGCCCAGTCGTTTCTAGACTGTGGCGGCCAGTCCAACATCGTGGACCAGGTGAAGAAGTATATCTCGTGGTGGCGGGATGGCTACCTGTCGTCCGTCGGGAGATGCTTCGACATTGGGGTCTCGACGAAATGTGCGCTGGAAACTTGGGACAACCTCCTCAGGCTTGACCACGACGCTTCACCGACCGACGAGGCCCACCGCGCAATTCTGAAGAGAATCACGCGTTCCTTCGGCAAGGACGAATTCTGCGGCAACGGCAGCTTGATGAGAGTGCTTCCGGCAGCGTTGATCGCTGTAAGCGAGTTGGATGCTGTCCAGCTCGCTCGTGAGAGCTCGCTGCCAACGCATCCTCATCCTCGCTGCGTACACGCCTGCATGATATACGCTGCTTTGGTCCTGCAAACACTGAATGGCGCCTCAAAGACAGAGCTCGCCCTCAGCTTGGCGGAATCGGTCAAGGAAATCCCCAGCAACGTTTCCGACACACCCATTGAACCTGTCCTCGCGGAGCGGCTGGGAAAGTACCAAACGCTTGAGGATTGGGAGAAGACACCGGCCGAATCGATACGGAGCACGGGCTACGTTGTCGACACTCTCGAAGCGTCGCTCTGGGCTTTCTTCAACTCGGATACGTTCGACGAGGCGGCGACCCTGGCTGTAAACTTGGGGTACGATGCAGACACGGTGGGAGCGATATGTGGCGGGCTTGCTGGGGCCTATCATGGCTTTGAAGCTATTCCAGAGAGTTGGCTGCGCGACATGAAGAAGACAGACCTTCTTGATGAAGTAGCCCAGAAGATACTTGAACACAGGAACACAACCGTGTAATTGTGGCTCTTCGATGTGAACTCTTCTCGAAGCACTCCTGACTGCCAAAGAGAAACCGCTCTGGATTACATAGCTGGCAAACGGTGCCATGGTGCTACCAGCTTATCAAGGAGCTTCGAAAGAAAGGCCTTGCCAGCTTTGCTCGGAACGGCAACGGATAGATAATACAGTATGTCGACTACTATGAGGGAAACCTGACCTTGCGTCGCCTCGAACTCGCCATCTTGGCCTTTTTAAGTGCCTGATCCGGCGCCGGACTGAGAATCGAGCCTCTGTAACGAGAACGAGAACCAGTGCTGAAGATGCCATTACCCATGTTATCAAGAATGCGGTAATGTTGATCGGGTCAGGGTAGGATTGAGGAGGCGGGCAGCAGCGGATTTTGACGAGCGAGGCTGTATGAAGAGGGGAGATATACATAACCATGACGACGACCATGACGGGACGATGGAATGACGGGGCGGGATGAAGAGAGACGTTTCTACTTATCTCTTCCGACTCGTCTGCAAGTACTCGGGACTGCTGTCGCGGGCGTTGTATGTATGAAGTATATACTGCCTCCGGGCTGTCTATAGGTCACATATTCGGCTTATTACTCAAGTACACAAGCACACAGCCCAACAAGTACCTAGGCATGTGCAAGGGCAAGGACGACTCATTGACCAACTATCACTCTTTGAAAAAGGGGGGGATAGGTACATGGCCTCGAGGTATGATATGTACATAGAAAACCCAGCATTTCATCGCCACCCTCCAGGTGATGTAATACTACGGAGCACATACGGGGCATAATATATCCATACTTGTATGTATATCCTTCCCAGCGAGTCGCCTCCCCCCGCAATGTTCTTGCAAGCGAAAGGTGTGGAATCACCTCACGGCACCCACATCTACGAATCATCGAGTGAACGTTGGAACGTTGAACTGAACTCGGATGGGTAGTGGTGGACGATCCAAAAATCATCACGCCGTCCCGCCGCCTCTCGCCACCTAGGCATCGATATTTCATCTCACTGGCCGAGCAAACGGGGGGTGGCGCAGCGAAATGCATGCATGCATGCATGCCATAAGTAGGCACAAGATATATATATATATACCCCTGTTCGATAAATCCTGTTCTGCCTACCTTTCTTCTGACCACGTGCCATCGATCTCGATTCTCGGGGAGCCTCTCTCAACTAAAAGTATCGTTTCCCCCCCCCCCCCCAAGAAGCCATACAGGTTAGGCTAGGACCTTGTGACGGGTCACCCTTACAGACTGTATCCTCCGAGCACGTAAAGACAATCAATCAAAGCCACACTCACAATGTCCGACTTCGGCTCGAGCCAAGGTTCACGCCAGCAACAGCAAGTTACTGGCGGCAGTGGCAGTGGCGGCGGCGGGGGCTCGTACAGCTCCAGTGCCTCTGCATTCTACAGCACGTCGGCGTCCTATTCTACCTCGATGTCGTCGAGCAGCACCGACCCGCAAGGCCGCAGCCACAGCCACACGCACCGCTACAGCGAGACCATGACCAGCAACGACCGCGACGGCACCAGCATCCGCCGCGTGGTCGAGCAGACGGGCCGGCCGACGCTGAGCGAGGAGACGTATATCCCGCCCCGCCCCGCCGGACGGGGCATCGAACTTGACGGCGACGGCCGGCAGGGTGGCGCCAGCGGTGGCAGGATCGAGGACGTCACGAATGATGAGGACCAGGACCAGGCGGCTAGGGACAGAGAGTACGAAGAGCGCATCGAGGACGAGTATGCCAAGCGGGAAGGTGGCGCTTGAAGGATATTTTTCCGGACTTTGTTCTGTGAGATTGGGAATCTGGGGTATGCTCGGGATGGACGGTTGAAACTGCTACTTGCTAAATGATACTCTACTTTACTCGATGGGACGGAAGCTGGATGACCTGGGGAGGAGTCTTGTCTTCTGTGACAGAAGATACGTAAGACGATCGGAGCCCTGGGGGTGGAGGAGAACGGGCTGTGGAATACGTACATGGGTGTGTTGGACGGGCTTTCTTGCCCGATTAAGTGCTGGGGAAGGAGGAGCTTCACGGCGAGCCGGATTCAGAAATAAGCGGCATAGTCTGTCACCGAATATGTATCCTAAGACTGTGTGCTCAATAACGTCAAAGCGGCCGCTACATCGAATATCATTGACAGTATAGGATGAATGACAGAGGAGGGCCACTATTCCTAAAGGTAAACAAACATACTTATTGTGAATGAAAGGCATCTTCGAGCTAACAGCGAATTACTCTACTCTTGTCAAACTGTGTCCCTTATTTTTGAATCCACTCGAATGCTGAAAGACACAACTCAACTGAACAAGCTCGGATGGGGGGTATATTGCTCTATCTCTAAATAATCCACTCAATCCATTCCTCCATCTCTGACTATCGACCATTGACTGTCGGCTATCTGCTATCAAGCTTTGTAGCATCATCTATAATACTGTGCGCATGGGGATTGAATGAGGATCAGGGGGTTGGAACAAATGAGACGATTCGGCTAGGGGCGGAGGGGGAATTGAATGTATCGCTCCTTTCTTTTTGAGTCTGCTGCGTCTTTTCGCTTTCTTCGTGGGAGAGAACTGTTGGGGACCCGGCTGTCCCCTTGGCCTTCGTGAACAATGGATTGATTCGGTTGCCATGTGGCAGTGTCCATGCAGAAAGAAAGTGAGCTAGGGACGCACGTCGAGACACAAACGAGTCTCGCACACGCAGCCGGGCATGAAACAAAACTTTTTGAGGTGGCCAGTCATGCTTCGTCCTCCTCTTTCTAGATCTTCAGCTCCTCTAGCGATGCGGCGGCTGTCACGCTCTTCTCCTTCGAAGGGATGATCGGACTCGTCGAGATGTCGATTTTCTTCGTGCAGATCCATGCAGATGCATACATGTTGACCCTACAATAGAGCATCAGGGTCTGGTTTCTCAAACCGGGGCGGCCGCCACAACGGCACGAAGTTGTCTAGACTCACCGATCGATACACTTCCCGGAATCCCGTCTGCCCACGCACGTGGCATCAAAGCCATTCTGCTCAAAAATGTCGGTATACCATGGTCTCAGCGCGGCAGAGCGGAAGAGAACACGGCCCCCAAGCTTGAGGACCTTGTTTAATGCCACGATTTGCTCCAGCGCCGCCGAGTTTTTGTCCTTGGGGTCGAACCAGTCCATTGAGTCCATGAGCTGGAGAAGAGGTCAATGAGTCTGACCTAAGGTGGAAACGCAAGGAATTCATGCCGAGGGACGAAAGTAAAATGGACAAAGACTCACAATGGCAATGGTCAATGTCGAGGCGCTGATCCTAGAAATCACTTCCATGATTTCATCCGTGTGGATGCGTAGACCATCAAATGCATCAGCCTTCGACAGCGCTGTGTGGGCTTTGACGCCAAGGTAACGAGGATGACACCTTTTCACTGTTTGTTAGAGGCAAGGCCAATGCCAGAGTCCGATGCAAAAGTGTTGCTTACTTCCTCGAGAACTTCCCCTGCAGGCAGAGATAATAGAAATAGTTTTCCCTGCTGATCTGCGTCGTTTCCACCACGGGGTCTAAAGTGTCGACAACGTACTGCCAAATAGCTTCGCCGCAGAGCTTCTTCGTCCGTGGCAGCCTCGTCCGCTGCGCGTAGTCGTCAATAATGAGGGCGTGCTGGTTTGGAGGCACCCCGGCGGCCTTCCATGCCCACCACTCTGTGGACACTACTGTTTTATGCAAGGGCCAGCTGAGCAGGAGATTCCTGATCTGGGGCCAGATCTCTCGCTGCTCATTCAGCGTCTCCACTTTACACATTGTACGCACTTTTGCGGTGAGCCCAAATGTCTTGAATAGCCACCGCACAAGCTTAATGGCGTGTCTGGAGCCCCCGCTGTCGTACAGTCCTCCCTTGGAGGAGAAAATGTAGGATTTGCCGAGCCAGTATTGGAACGCTTGGCTGGACATGTGCGGACTGAGTTTGGAGAGAAGGAGATTGCGGAAGTCTGGATGCTTGCCCTCGCCGAATAGTTGCCAGACGTCGCTGTAGGGAAGCGTGGTGAAGGCAGCAACTTTGAGCTCGAGGAGGTGATTTTGATTCGGATTCAGATCGACGGCATGGATGCGCTTGGGCCGTTCGAGCAGATAGTCAAGAATATTATCCCCGGCGCTGGTAATGGTGAGGATAACGTCGTCTTGAGTGATGTTCAACAGTTGGCGGTCGACCTTAGGATCTTCCCAATTGAAAGCGTAAATGTACTCGTTGCCAAACTGTTGATGTTTTGCCAACAGGTCGTTATAATAGATTCTCCAATGATGTTGCTGGTAGAAAGCCGAAGGCAGTGGCAGGTCGTTGCTCAGGTTGACAATGGCAGACTCGTACGACTTCGACCGGGGAATGCTTTGTTGAGCGTCCAGGTTCCGCTGTTCCTTGAATTTCATTGGGGATAGGTACGGCGATTCCGTGAGAGCCGCATCAAGTCTTTCCAGGACTTCTTGGCCTTGATCAGCAAAGGCTTCGGCATCTCGTCTGCATCCGATGAAGATATAGTATGGAATGCTAGGAATGACACACAGTTAGCTGCGCGAGATCTCAATAAGAGAGAGAGGGACCTCCCGGACGCTGCGGCAGATCCATCACCTGGGTCTGCGTCTACGGTTAAGATGGAGAGGGAAACACATGGTTGAGGACTCACCCGCCGAGAGGATAGTTGCGCTGGCTTGTGGACAGGACAGTACCAAAGCGATATTCGACGTAGTCTCTACGACCACCATCAAGGTTTACTCGATCTGCGTCGAACCACGTACGCCAGAACATCCGACCGAACCAATTGACATGGCGATTGAAGGTCCCACCACAGTAGTTTCTCGAAGAGATATCAACGATGCTCTGGACGTAGAAGTCGCAAATACCGATCAAACCTTTAGGAGACAGGAACCCTGAAACCATGTCGACCACGCCATAGAAATCTGGGATCATGGACAAGCTGTAACTCATGGTGATCAGGTCTGCCGAGGATGGAGCACATGCGACCGATCTCGCATCTTGACACAGGACCGTGACATTCTTCCAGCCATTCTTACGTACTCGTTCTCGCGCGACCTCGCACAGCGAAGTGGAGAGGTCGACAAGGAACACATGCTCGAAGAAGGCCTCAATACCCACCAATTTGTCCATGACTTCGACGTTATAACCTGTGCCGCCCCCAATGTCATACCAAACGGGTTTCTGCCCGTCTCCGGAGGCCATTTTGCCTTGTAACTTCGCAACCAGAATCGCAAGCATATCCTCTCTCCCCCGCAGAAGGCGTTTTCGGGTAGAGTCATAGACATTGGCCTGAAGCAAATATAAGTAAGAAGGGGAAGAGGTCAAACTTTGTTTACCCCCTACCTGAGCAGAATAGAAGTTCTCAAGAGCCCCCTGTTGACCGATATCGGCTCGTCTGTCATGAGGCTTGAGCATGCAGGCGTAGACAAACTTGACGTAGGGATGGGCAGTGAGCTTGTCGACGGTAGCCTGTCCGCCAAGCCTATACAAAAAAACACCCAGGATGGTCACGAGGACAGAGAAACCGACACCTATCAACCCAAGTTCGAAGTGGAAGTCCTTCAGTCGCTGCCATTCCGCGTAGTTAAAGTGTGCCATTGTTTGCCGGTCAAATGCAAACAACAATGACACTTGCAGGGAGGAGAGAGAAAGAAGAAGGGTAACTGCTGAGGTGCTCGTGATCTCCCTCATATTTTCGGGTGTTTATGTCTTGACCGCAAGACCCATGGAGACGCTGGGCGACGAACAAACCACGGGGCAGCAGATTCCGCGAATCGGGTCATTAGAAAGGACCATATGGCGCACTGAGTGGCAAGGACAACCGCCGTAAAGCCTTGAGAAGCGTCCATTTGGGGGACTGCCAGCCAGATTACCCAGAGCCGGGCCTGCATGTGAAACCAGCAAAATTCGGTGGGATGAACTTTGTCGGAAAAAGCTCAGAGAACGTGTGGTGAGAGTCCTCTGATAGCTCTCCAAGGGGACGAATCAAAGTCGAGAACTTGGCGCGTGGACCTCAGAATCCTATCGCGGGCGAGTCGGAAGAAACAAGCTTGGGCAGCATCATCTCGAACGAAAGGCAAGAATTCGGTGCACGTGTCGGACAGCTAAATCGACAACCAATGCAGTCGGTAGGGAGGAACTCGGCTCTGTTCTATTCGATGGCCAGCTGCAGGGCAACGAGATCTTTACTGTCCAGCAAATTGGTAGTGGGGATCGCCAGGTCCTGGCCCTTGTAATGATGCAGGTCATTCTCCGTCGCTTCTCGCTTGACTTTCCAGCCTCGACAGGAGGTCTTGCGCCCTATCACGTGCACGGGCAGCCTCGCGTATATGCTCCTTCTGGTCTGCACGTAGGTCTTGATTCGGGGACAGCGCTGGGGAATCCTGGTCTAAGGGTGTGCCGCCAGCGTCCAGATCACCGAGCCTACACGCGCAAGCGCAATCTTTGTGGAGATCAGCTATCCAAAGGGCAACCATTGCACGAAGTCTGATGAGCTCTGCTTCATCCATACACGGAACGGTCGCCATGCAAGTGTCCATCCTGGATGCAATCTGATTAGCCTGCTCAAGTTCCCTCACCTTCTTCCATGATGGATTGCGGAATCCGCCCGCGCGAGAAGAAGGGGTGGCGGATTCGACATCACTTTCATCGTCCTCATGCGCGGTTGATTCGTCTGTGGATTCGGCTTGCACCACGAAAATCCAAAGATTGAACATGGCAAGGTAATAGTCAACAGCATTGACCGCCTCGGGCCAGGACTTGTGGTAAGGATGTCTGACAATCAGTCGCTCATAAAAGAGTTTGGCTTTCTCGAAACCTTCGTGCGTGAACCGAAGTGCAGATACCCCCGGGTTTGGACTTGGTTCTCTGGCGGTTCCGTTGCGCAGAAGCACCTCAGCTGCAATGCCCATATAGCCCTGGGTGCGAACAGCAGCGCTTTTGCTGACGATATCCTCGTGGAACATCAGGCCTAGAGCACGAGCAGCACGGGGAAAATCTTCCTTGAAGAGTGACCGGTGCACTACAGCTGTCAAAGCAGCGAGATGCTGACCGTGAAAAGATCGCGAGCTGTCAGATAGCTTCGACGTTTGTGAACTATCCATTCCCTTGTCAAGATTCCCTCGGCCTGCCCGGCTCTTCATCAGAGGCGACTCAGTGTGTGGAAAGGGGAAAGGTGGTGGGGGCTGGTCCAGCGGCTGTCCAGAGACACGGCGTTGGAGTCTCTCGAGAGGAGATACAACCGCAGTATAGTCGAGGTTGGCCATGGTCTCAGATTGTCCGTTTACACCGTTGTCGTGCTCTTCGCCTTGCGTGGTCTCTCTCTGGATTTTCATTCTCTTGCGCTTCTTCTTTCCTGAAGATAATTCCCACGCTGCCAAAGGAGCTCGCTGTGTAGCGATTGGGGGCACGAATATGTTCGGCATGACTGCTTGCGGTATACTTGAGAAAGGTAGGACAGCCTGAGGAAGACTGAAGTGGTGGGCATCCAGGTGGACGACGCGTGCCCTTCTAAATACACCGGAGACCGCGTGATCAGAGTACTACCTCATTAGGAACGTCGCATCGAATCCATCCACTTGGGGTGATGTAATCGTGTTGAGACTTGGGCTAAAGACTCGAAGGTGTCACACTTGCAAAGATGTATAGAGTGACAGGTAGGAGTATGATAGGAGGAAACACAAGACAATTATAGAGCTCGATCGAGGCATGTCCTCGAACACAGCATGTTGTTATTATTGGATCGGAGGTTTTGTTGTTTGATTTCGTCCTCAGAGGTGCAGAGGTCCAAGTGAAGGGGTGACTTGAGGGTGGCCAACTCACCAAACAAAGTCCGTGCCTTGGGGTCTTGGGGCCGCTTTTGGCTCGTTCGCTGCCCAGCGCTTCAGCCTTTCCTCGACCCAAACCACACCACACCACCCTCCAACCTCAACTCTCTGTGATCAACCAAAACCACTGTTGGTGACCTATTCTATGCCTCTTGATTTCCGTCGGCCTTGTACCTGGCTACTGTCTTGCTGCTGAGATCCTCACATTCACGCTAGTCTTCGATTACAGCCGACTCCAAGTGCCTCGATGAGCCTGTTCAGTTGCTGACAGCGACCACAACCTGACCACCGATCGAATCCTTTCTCGTGCCATTCATTTTCTACGACGTGTACACCTTCACAGAGTGGAATTGCTCAGTCCTTGGTTGACGACGCAGCCGCACAGAACCATCGCTCGTTTATCATGACACCAGAGTAGTTGGTCCCTGTTGAGCAGGCGGAACATTATCCGGCCGACGACCATGGGGAACGCCGCGTCGGCCCCTCGTACTCAGACTGATGAGGGACAGGTGGAGGAACTAAGGGCTACGCCGAATGGCACAGATATAGCTGTTGGCGGTGCGGGCGCGGAGGGCAGGAGTTCACGGCTGGCAAGAAGAAATACCCAGTCGTTCAGACTCGCAGGACAAAGAGCCAGCACTATATATGAGACTTTTCGACGCCATCTATCCGCCGAATCAGTCACATCACTTCCGAATGCAGGCCATTCGACACCCTCTCCTTCCGAAAATGAATACGAGCAAGAGAATAGACCGCTGGTAGGTGTAGAGGATGTGGACATGCCAGATGCAGATGCAATCCCAACACCTATATTGTCGCCCTCCCCGAGCAGGAGAAGGTCAACAATGTCGAGATTGGGATCAAGGCTGCTTCCAGATTCGGTCGCAAGAGGTCTGTTAAATAGCGGAGAAGAAACTGCAGAGGAGGGCCAGGCGTTACGGCATGGAATCTCGGGGCGATTACGTCCTTCCGTTTATGAGCGGCCACCCAATTCAGATTCGAACAGTCGAGTGTCGCTCACGGGTTCTATCAGAAGACGCGGCGAGAACCGAACTGAATCCAGACGACGGACAATCCGAGGACCATTTCCTGCTCTACAAAGGGTCAATCAACCCTTCGAATCTAGTGGCTCATGGTCAGAATCCATGGATGGCGATCTACGAGAAATACCTCAACCTGCGGCCTCGGGCCTCCGACGTCGAAACAGGTTTAGCAGAGTTCGGGATTCGATATCACTCTCTCAACGAATTTCCAGTCTGTTTCGGCAGTCCACAGAGCAGCTAGCATCCAGCCAGGGAGGCCGAGAGTCTCCTTCGCGGCCGGCGAGGGTAACTTTTGCGGATGAGTCTGATCATCTCCTTCCATCCATCCCCTCCGCTGACCAACGCCACGAGAATGATGATGCTCCTCATGAGCTAGATGCAGTTGAACCTGAAGCTCGGACCCTCCTGGCCGGGCCACGAGTTACTTCAGGCATGAGCACAATCAGACGTTTCCAGCCAGGCCTCCGTTCACGATCAACACGACTCATAAGAAGAGGCGAGCATCCGCCGCTTTCGCAGGTTCTCCAGCTAGCCGCCGCGGCCATCGCGGCCCAACTTTCAGGTCACGCCACAGCCAGTTCGACGGGTGCCCGCCATCTTGGTGGCGACACTTTTGATGGAAGTATCCAGAATTTCGTACAAACTCTTCAAGAAGCGGCAACGGCCCAGGCTGGAGAAAACATCGACATGAACGCATCGGACGGTGATCTGCCGCCAGTGAACTTTATGAGAGTATTCCAATTTCCAAACGATGAAAACGGTTCGCCCATTGCATCACAGGCGGAATCGCGGGATGTTGATCAGATGGATCTGGATTCTATCACAGGACCCGGTGAAAGCGATCGGTCTGTAACCTTGGTCCTCGTCGGGGTTCGATCCCTCCCCCACGGTCAGGACAATACTGGCAATGAGAATGGTACGCTGGGCCCAAGCCTTGACACGCTTTTGAGCCTACCCTTCTTGCCTCCAGCCAATGTGCTACGGAATGGAAGCTCCGGCGCCTTATTTCGACGTTCGGATGGAAGAAACAGATCGAGCACCCGGCGACACTCGATGACCAACTTCAGCTTTCCTGCACAATACGAGACTCAACGACATCAACGCACCCGAACACAGACCAGCCGCTTGTCCAGCCATTCAGATCAAACTGTCCCTACGACACCTGACGCAGGCGCTTCCTCTACCTTGGTCTCGGAAACTCCTCCTGGGCCCATTCCTCCGCCCTCCACCCCTGCGGACATCCGAAGTGGCCATGCTACGCCCATTCGTCGACCATCCTCAGCATCGGCGGCACCTAATCAGACGCTCTCGGAACTCGAGGAGGATCACGCACAAGACCATGCCGATAACCGTGCCCCAGAAACTTCCTTCAACACCGCACGTCAACGGAGACGAAGTGATTCTGAATTCGCTCGTCGGCCAGAGTTGGGATCTGGCGCAGCAAGGCGCAACGGGATGGTGGAGCCGGATCCTCCGCCAGCTGGAGCTGGACGAAGTTGGCTGATCTACGTTGTGGGCACCAACGTTTCGGCGACTCATCCTGCCTTTGCTATGCCCAGCCTGTTCACTGACAATCCGTCCTACGAGGACATGCAGATGTTGTCAACGCTGCTTGGACCTGTCAAGCCACCGGTTGCAACCCAAGACGACGTGAGCGCTGCTGGTGGGGTGTTTCGCCTAATCGTCCAAGAACCGGGCTTTGTCGGGGAAGCCGTTTTAGAGAGCGATGACTCGTCGCTCGTGATCCACTTGGGAGAGCGGTGTCTCATTTGTTTGTCTGACTATGCAGCATGGGAAGAAGTGCGCCGCCTAGATAAATGCAAGCATGTCTACCACCGTGAATGCATTGACGAGGTGAGTAATGCTCCCTGGACAGAGTAGATGGTGATTTACTGACTCTTCGCAGTGGCTTACAACTGGTCGGAACAGCTGTCCAATGTGCCGTGGCCAAGGTGTGCAAGAGAAAGCCGCATCTTCTCCTTCGGCAACGAATGCAGGTGCCGCTTCCTCAACCACTACATAACAGGACGATTGAGCAGAACCTCTGTGTGTTCTTTGCACAGAGGCTCACGACACTTTACGAATTTTCTTGGAGCATTTCCTGGAACAGGGTATAAGTTTGGTGCACTTTGGGTAAACAACGGCGAAGAGAAGGCTACTGAATGGGATTGTGCAGTGTTTACAGATGGGGACCTCTGGGGAACCGGGAGCTGGTCAGCGGCTTCCACATGGTCAAGGCAGCTACTTTTATGGATCTGGGACGCTCTGGTCGGACATGAAATTTGTTTGCGTTGGTACATAGCCAGGGCACTGGGTATTGGTCTGAGAGCTGGGAAGCTTGCAGACGAATCTCAATCGAATGTCAGGGGATAAACCCAAGGGGCAGGCTCCTAATCAGAACTCGCGGAATTCGTGACGCAGAGGATGAGTACGAATCTTACGTTTTACAGATGTACCTTGTCACGATGGTGTTGGTCTAGCTCCTGCTCTTCTCTTCCCCTTGGTCAAATTAATCATACTTCAGATGCGTTTTGTCGACGATCCGCAACTAGGCCAGGGATTTTGAAACACGGGACTTTGCATTGGAGCAACAAGCGAGGATTCGATACGAGCCTTGCCGCGCCTCCGGAATGTGAATCGATTCGTGCTAAATGTTTGTGGGGGCGACTTGTGCGACCGCCGACATGATGACGGCGAGTTGGACTACCAAGACACGAGTTGAAGTTCGTCTTTGAGGGGCGACAGGCACATGGGAGGCGTGGAAACAAATGGCAGGAGTGACTACAACAAACTAGTGGCTTCTTGCAATTCCACATCCAACCTCTTCACTTCTGCATTTGGGGAAGCCCCCAGCTCCAGCGACTATTACTTTCGTACAAGTACTGTACTTGTTACACTCACCCTCCAACTCACCCTGTCACCATCCCTGTCGTCCTCCTCACCCACTCTCCCCCCCGTCGTATCCGTTACAGCCTGGGCCTTCGTCATCGATTCTCCCACGTTTGTCTGTCAGAGAAACACGAGGTCTATGCAGGCAGCCAGGATAAAGCTTTCAAGGGCTAGTCCTCCGTCCTGATAAGCGTGTCATCGAGATCAAGACGATCAATGATATCGAATTGCGGCGTCCGGAAGTTTCCAGCGAGTCAGCTTCGCCTTACTCTTGGAGCCCTCCCCAATCGCCCTGTTTCCCTCCTGGCCGGTATCCTCTGCCCCTAGGTATGTGGGTAGAAACACGGAATGAGTCGGTCCCATGCGATGATGGGTGCAAGATGCAAAAGGACACACCAGTGGCTCTGTCCAAAGCCAAGCCGCCGTGTTACTAGTGACCATGACACTTGACGGCCAATCGACTTTGGTTTGAAGCAAAATACACACGGTGTTTCGGGAGACCCGGTTGAGATGACGAGAATCAATCCCTCTGCGAGCTACGCCGGCTTCTGCACCAAGGCTTCTTACTGGAGTACAACTCTCACCCTCGACGCCAAAGCTCGCAGAGCCCAAGAAAAAGTGGGCTTTCTGACTGGAGTGACAGCAGGATCTGCAACCGGGGTGAATAGTGACCAGAGAAGAAGCTGTGCATCCCCGAAAAATTGCTAGGCAAATGCTGCACTCACCATTGGGTGCGAAAGGCATCATCCCCGACCAGTTTGACACGCCTATCGAGACTAAAAGGCCGTTTTTAATACTAGTACGCTGGCCACGCTCGTGTCCTGACAGCTTTTGGCTCGGTCCAGGTCTGAGCGAATCAATCCTCTAGGAGGGGCGGAAAAGGAGCCAGAATGAGCTTTTCGCAGACTTTCTCTCGCTCGTTCCCCGCCCCCAAGCAAACGGCGGTGCACCTCAAGCCATATCACTATCGACTCGACCCATCCTCGTACTTGGGAGAAGCTTGCAAACGTGGAAGAGTGTCCCACAATGCGCAATCTCGTCAGCATTGGGATTTCCCTCGTGCCATTTTTGGTCGCAAAAACGTGAGAGCGAGCATACGAAGTAGGCATGGGACAATTCTTTGGTACCGGCATAGAAATTGCCGGACAAAGATCCAGGGATCGAAAGTTACTCCGGTATATCCAGTACCGCGTACGGCGGACAGATCAGGAGATCGACCAGATGAACCCCGACCATATTACTTGGCCCATGCCGGATTCGCAAGCCTTGATCGTCTATTGCTTCTAAATCTGCTTCGTAGCAGCCTCCTCCTGAAGCCCAGGCCAACGGCACAATTTAGGCTAGTCGAGGATGTCCCAGGGTCAAAGGGCGACCAACTCCACATCAATTACCGTTTCCTTGACCCGGAGCAGGGCGGCCAGGACGGCGCCACTGATGCAAACCGGTCGATGGGCGATGCTCTCCGGAGGAGCTGTCCAACAAGCCAAACTTGTACGGACCGAGAAACGTGGCTTTAGCTTTGGCTGCTGAGCTTCCTATGAGCACGGAGTAGACATTGCCATGCCCCAAATTCAACGCTGCTGGCCCATCGGCCGCTGATTCACCCCCTGAAGGGACTGATATCAGAAAACTGGCTCCGAAGAAGCTGAGCGCTCACATATAATATCAACAAGCACATATACAAAAGCAGGTTGATGGTGTTACATACCCCTGGGTTCACCAGAGTTATTATTATCTAGGTCGCAATCAAAACCAGTAGAAGTGTTCCTTAGGACCACAGGCATCAGAAGACTTTGTGGGGTTCATCCTCTCCCTCAACATGATCGCCCCTGGTCACGATCCATTATCCCAGACGAGGAAAATCATGGGTCATGTACCCCGTACGAAGTAAATGCAGACAGTTGCACCGATATTTCCGCCGGCCAACATGAACAGCCGGATTCGGTGCAGGCCAATTTACTCTGCCGCCATAATTCGGGTTCCGGCCATGGACATCTTGCAGGGCCTGGTTTGCCAGAGCCAGGTCTCCTCGCACCTGAAGTCCCGGCAAAAGAATTCTAGAGACAAGCTACTATTGTGGCCACATAATATGTTGTCGGATGCTAGCATCCCTGCGAATCGAGTATCATCAAATGCCAAAGATTTCTGATCCCAGAGGTCCCGATCGTGTTGTCCTCAGATCAGATCTACGCTTTGACACACCATGCATTGCCTAGGGATATTCTCGGGAGTTGGTACTGTACTCCGTGCTCGGTACTGTACCTACCTGTACTCCTTGCAGGATCACCACCCATGGATTTCGTGGTGCGGCTCACTCTGGGGGGAAGCGTGGTTTGTGCCGCATCCCAGAAATTTCCGATTCCGCCCTTCATACCAGCTTCAGGTGCATGGCCTGTGGGCTGTCTTAGGGCTCCCAAGGCCAGGGTTTTGGAGCTTGTGGTCGATTCTGGACGCCCTGTGGGCCGCCCATTGATCGACGTTCGGGATCGACCTCAAACAACCCCAGTCAAGTTCTGGTTCTGAGTTCACGTCTGACGACACTACTACTTTACCACCACCTAAAAAGTGTGCTTGGAGCAGCAACAGGACCCCTGTCCTGCCCAAAATCCACCGTCGTGGTATAGCGCTTGTGCAATCATTCGCTGCTTTTTGGGCATGGGGCCTGAGAAAGCCAGGAGGGGTCCCCCTTCCAACTTCGAATCTTCGAGTCTTGACCTCTTCATCTCTCGACAACACCCAAGCTCGGTGGTACAATAGCAATCTGTGCCCGTGTCTGGAAACAGCTTCATTTTCACCTTGTACCGCGCATATCCCTTCACCTCTTAAGCCCGGATGCAAATCGGGATCATATTATCTCCCCTCAATCAAAGAAATGCATCAATGGGCTGGCTGATCCTGCGATAATCGTCAAGTGGTCGCCCGCGTCATAGCCGGCTTTGGCTGGTGTCTGCGAACTCCAACAACTTACCTTGCAGACCAAGTTGGCCTCATCTGCGCTGCTCGGATTGCAACCCACGGATCCAGTGCAGGTCCCGTGCGATTACATGTACGGCGAGACTCAACCAGACCTGCCTGGACTTCCTTCGGTCCCACTGGTCTCGGGCTTTGCACCTCGATGTTATATCACGGCTTTGAAAATTTTCGCGACAAGATAACACTAGACTATCATCAATTACTGTTCTGTGGTGAAATTACCTGTCTCCTACACGCTTGACCGAGCGCCTGAGACCATTCGACCAAGTCCTGTTGGCTCGACATCTGATGCATTTGGACGGCAAACGCTGATAGCAGGACTGAGACAAAGCGTATGGAATATCAGTCGTTGTTACACCGAGCTCGACTGAAGCAATTGCCAGTATCGTCATCCCTTGGTCGTTCGACAAGACTTCTTCAGTCGCAGCGACTGGTCCTGCGTACCACAAAGTAGTGGTCAGACTCCTCTTCAAGTGTTGGGTGACCCGGAAGCTCATCCAGGGGTACCGCATCGTGTTAGCTAGTGGACAAAGACGAGAACAAGTATTCGTTTCTGTCTATTTGGCGACTACCTCTTTCCTGTGTCACAATCAGCCATTTGGAATTGTGTGACTTGCACATCAAGGCATGAGCGGCCCTTACGACCATGGCATGAATATGCCAATCCCTAATATACTGGATGCAACGTATCCGATCTACGATGGCAATTTCAACACAGCATATCCCCGGCTGTCAGGTCCTCCAACTCATTTTGATGGTGTTGCCTTCTGGTACAATCCCACCAATACTGAACAACTTTATGACCGGCAGGCAAGCCTTCTCAGTGGCCGTCGTGGAGCCGGGCCCCCGAATAGCATGGACTCTTCAGCTGTCAAACATCGTCGAACTCGCAGTGGTTGCTTTACTTGCCGCAGTCGAAGAGTAAAGGTACGATCATCAACGTTGTCATGTTTACTTGTCACTCGCTAATCACTGCTCAAGTGCGATGAGACGAGGCCTGTCTGTGACAGTACGTTATTCTCCCGAATAACACAGAATCTATGACTGACACCTACCCAGGATGCAAGAAGGGCAATCGTGAATGCGAGTTTCCGCAAACGACCTCGTCTTCGAAGCGCACCAAGCACGGCGATAGTCGCGGTACAAAAGACCAGGCGGCAAAGCATGAGATGAAAGATGAAAGCATGACCGTATTGCCCACAATAAAAGACGAAAGCGAGGAAGACGAATCTCCACTGTCTCCGACAACAACCCGGCCACAACCCCTGCGAAGCGACAGCGGCCAGTCGGTGCCGCACAGCGCAAAGGCCAAGAATGCATCGGAAACATCATCGGCCGTCAAAGATCAAACCAGTCCACAATCGAGCGAAGGATCGGATGCTCGTTCGAGAGACGACACACCTGCGTCATCACTGCGCACAGTTGGCAACTCTGCAGAAATGCAAGCTCGGCAAGCAAAGATAAAGTCGCTTAAGCCAGACCTTCAAAAGTATCTACAATTCCAGCAAGAGTACATGACCTTTTACCACTACTTCTTCAAACTGGACCCTACGGACTTTGTGCATGCAGAGTTTATCGACCTTGCCTTGACCTATGAGCCGCTGCTTTATGCGGCTGTAGGGTTTGCTGCATACCACTACGAGTTGAAGCAACCGGATCCGAAGTTGTCGCATTTCTTAGGGTACCATAGCAGATCGCTGTCGATGCTTAGGAAATCGTTGGAGAAGAACAAAAAGGTCACCGAAGCCACTCTGCTTACCGTGTTGCAACTGGCGACCTTTGAAGAATACATTGGCGACTGGGTCAACCTGGTGGGGCATCACCGTGCGGCCCTAACGATGGTGCGCGATCTTTTCACCCCAGGCACGATGATGGAGACGGATCTTGGAAGACGTATCTTCAGCTGGATCGCCCGTTTGGATATCATGGTGGGTCTCATGGCGGGCAACGAAACGCGCCTCGATCGACAATGGTTTGAAGCGAACGCTGCATGGTACCACAGTCAGGTCGAGAGTGACCCTGAGGTTGACGTCGATATCGAAAACACTATGGCATATTTTGTGTCCTCAAATCGGCTGATTGGCATGGACATGGCTGCCCTGTTCGCCAAGTTTGCTAAACACGAAATCAGTGTGCAGACGTTTCACGCAGAAAATGCTCAGATCGTTGAGAGGGTTAATTCCATGAAACGCCAGATTGAACTATTCAATGACGAATACTACAGGGTACAGGAGTTCCCTGTAGAAAAGAGTCGACCTTTGGCCGAAGAAGACATTGTCAATCCCTATGTCCCGGGAGGCCTCTTTAAGGATGCGCTCTACCCGCTGAACTTCATGTGGATCGACTGGTACAGCATTGAACTGTTGCAGAGATACCAAACCGCAGTAATGCTTCAGCAGCCGATGCCTCCTGAATTGGAACAGATAAGTTTGGAACAGTGTAGGATCTATGAGGCCATGGAGCGATGGCCGGACGCTCCAAACGGATCTATCCTGGGTGCACATGCGCCTCTGGGGCTTGCTTCAGTTTTCTTGAAGAAAGATGCCAGGCATGTCATGTGGGCGCGGAGGAAGTTTGCCGCGGTGGAAAGACAGGGCTACATTTTTCCACCGTCGTTCCGACAAAAGATGGCAGAGTTGTGGGGGTTGACGCGCGACCTGGTTGGCGAAAATGAAGCTGTGGAAAATTGGTGGTTGCCCAACGATGAAGGGAACATTCCCATGTTGAAGGAGATACGGAAAGTCGTGACGGAAAGGCATGAAAGCGATACAATAACCAGCATCGAGTCAATTGCCAACGTCAGAGACTTGAAGGCAATTTTTGAAAAGCTGGACATCTGGACCCAGTCGGTCGAGAAATCGGGGGTGAGTGATGGCAATTTCAGCCCCAAGAGCGATACCAGTGGCGGACTCAGTGACCGAGGGAACAATCCTGGCTTTAGTCCAACCAGCTTAAGCTTTGCTGATACGGCAAAAGGGAGTATATCGGGAACTATTCAAGAAGGCGGCGGCACTCTGAAACGAAGGGACAAGCGATCGAGTTCAACATCATGAGAAGGTGATGAATACGATGGCCACAATTTCACGAAGCCTTATAGGCAGGGATGTTTTTTCATGCGCCAACGACGCGACACGACCAACTACCTGAATGATCAAAGCTTGAGCAGCTTATCAGATACCTTAGCAACCGGACCGGACGCCTCACCGCTCAAAATTCTCGAAGTCTAGACAGCGGCATTCGTCCCAAGATATGAAGTCACCAAGTCGACGGACTACTCAGGCGATCCTTCCATTGGAGATATGCCTTTCACCGCAACCACTCTGTTCTCTTCTAAACACAACCATCTTCCACATTACACTATTTTCAACGTTGGTTAGACGAAAGTATTTTATTTTTCAGCAAGATTCTTAAACTTGTGGTTGTGTGACCATAGGAGAACCCTTTCCTGACTCCGTCCAGAACTTGCCTCATGAGGCCACAATGTCGGCTATGGTTCACATGGAGGGACTCAAAACGCTTGCAAGGCTCATCATACACTAGTGCGACATTTCGCCCTTTTGACTCTTGAGATGTACATATATTATGCTCACCAACAAAAGAAGGCGGCAGCACTCTAGGCTCCTGACGGCTACCAAGGCAGTTTGGCAATGACAAATTGGAGAAGGAAAGGAAAACGCCATGCAATGCTACACTCTTGTCTCTCTACTCCTTGAATATTCAGTATACACAGTCTTAACGAGTGGTCCCGAAATGCCACCCAGCTTATGCGACCGCTTCTGACACTTTGGATCGACGCATTCGAGGAAGAGGAGCATAGAAAGGGCGTTTCTCCCTCCCTCAAAAGAGGACGATATAGTAGCAAAACCCAAACTTGGCCTCGTTGCATACAAAATGTTGCTCCAAGGTCTCTTTATTGCTGTGTGGGTGTGTTTGTTGTGTGTGTTACTGCATCCAGTCATCCACTCGAGGAGGAAGAGAGCAATTTGATTTTCAGATATTCCAATTTTCGGAACCCGTCGAGTGGAGAGAGCAGAAACAAGAGAAGGGAAGAGCTCCTTTCATTGCCACGATTGCTACATACCGTCGGTACTCCGTACATAAAAAGGGACGAGTTGACCATCTGCCTGATGGACTGACGGACCGAAATGCTGGCGGTGAGTCTACGGTACGTTCTCTGTATATTGATGGATCTCGAGCCCAGGTTCTATTTATGTGATATTATTGCACTTCATCTCTTTTGGGGGTTGTTTGAGAGAACCAAAGTAAATTTTCGATCTGTAACGGTGAGTTCGAATGTGATAGCTGAAGAAAATGCCCTGGGCATTTTTGGGTTGCATATTCTCTGTATTCCCCCTCTTCTCCTCCTCGATGGCCCACCTCTAACGGCGACTACATCTTTAGCCTGTGCAGCCGCTCAAGGGCATATTTCTCCTTCCGTTTACTGCAAGTGTTGTTGGCATGTTTCTTTTCTCACTAGCTAGCGGCACAAAGTGAAAGAACATGAAGAGCCTGCATAGGGGGGAAGAGCAACCTCGATCTCCATTTGTGACCATTTGGAGTCGGACGTTCATGCGCCTAGGTGAGTTTCTGCAGGTCCACTTCAACAAGTCCACTCGTGGCTAGAGGCATGTAAATGCTTACCCAGTGTCCACCTTCCATAGACCGACTCTTGCACACATTGCCTCTCTGCTCGTCACCCCCACACCTTTGGATCGATGATCAAACAAATCGGCAAGGTTCGACCGCGCCCACAAAGTTAGCCCACCCTGTACGACAGGACGTGTCAAGCGAACGGTCCTATGTCGAGTTCTCCGAGGGTCCTCAGGTCATGAATGCCCAGGAATGAGAGAGTGGCGGTTAGTTGCTCTTTAGGGTATTTCCAGCCCAAGTCTTCCCCGTTGACGTTAGCAAAAGAAAAGACCAAACCTCCCGAGGCGGCCTCGGCGTATATTAGTCCAGTGATCAAGCAAATCGTCGACAGACATCTCCCCTTGGTTGGAGGACCAATTGGTCTCATCGTCCTCGTTGAGACTCCACTGCAACCGGGCCATGGCTCATTTAGGGTGACCGTTGAACCACGAATGTCGAATGATATACGCGTATTCGCATTCCCTCGTACCCGGTCGTTGCTCTTTACCAGGATCTGGATGGAGTATGTGGCCAGTTTTAGGACCAGGCTCCCGTGAAACAGGTTTCTTCATTCAACCTCCACCCATTGACACAATCGAATGCTGCTAGGACGGAACAGAGGCCACAGCTTCCTTTTGACCCATGGCTGGCTGTCGTGAAATTGCGTACCCAGTACGATTTTGCAGATGCTTCCTGCATGAGCTGCCGTCATTGTCCGAGTCCAAAAGCAGGGCCTTGCTCTTGGTTTTCTTTCGACGTCCCTGTTAGTCTGTTTCTGGATAGGAACTTTCCAGCGTGCTCTCATTCTCTGAAACGGTCCACATGGCTTGACGTACTAGAGAGTTTGTGGTTCAGCTTGTTTTAGCCCCACATGTAGGTAGGGCTTGCTTCCTTGGAGGTGCAGCTAAGCTCAACGGGAGCAAGCTGGCTCCATCAACGAATAAGACACGGGGCTGGTGTGCTCATTTGCAGAACTCGTTCTGGTACGAGGACTCCGTACGAGGACTCCGTACTCCATACCTTTCCCAGGACGGTGACCTTTGACTCGTAGTGGATATCGCCACAAGTCCAGTGCGAGAGGTGAGTGCGCATGCCATTCGTATCGGCGGGTGCATATCCTGCGCCGACACTTGACCAAAGTGAGAAATGAATACGAGGGAGGGCGAAGGCACGGGAAGCGGATGCCTTCAGGCTTTTGAAACTATCGCATGGTTTCTCTTTCAAGGTGAAACTGCTTCTTGAAGTTGCAGGCTAGTCACACGGGATGCTTCATCCAGTCTAGACTCGTCTCGTCTTACTGCAAAGACATACCTATTTCTCCGAGACCCCTGAATGCCCCTCAACGTGGCAGACATCTGGGACATGGGGGGCATGTACTTGGTAAACGATAAAGAGGGAAAGCGTTGTGGCGTAGGTTGTGCAATAGAACGTGATAGTGCCGACGCGGGAAATCTTGCCCGCTGTGATGCCCTAGTAAGGCCTGCTCTGACAAGTCTTAGGACTGATATATTTGGGTGCGAGTACCTGTACTACCGTTCAGATGCAGTGCCGAGCACAGCCGCTGATAACAGTTGCCTGCAATAGGTGTAGTAGGTAGCCCCTGGCAGGCATCGAGGTTCTTCCGGCTTGCCCGATATTGCCATTCGGTTGAAACAACTTTTCGAGAATGGTTTCACATGTTTTGAGTGGATAGTATTAAGATGATCATTCGTCCCCCCCCCCCCCCGGGTGATCGCCATTCCCAAGCTGGTTTGTTGTCCATCGAGTCAGGAAGACCGAGCGCGTCCGACCCTTCTCATCGAAGAGACCTACACCAGTACCGTAAGAAGCCCGAGGTTGGGGGAGGTAGATTGATTTTGAAGCCCTCAAGTCCTGCCCATGGCCGTACACCACACCGTATCACATGGCGGAATCCATCTTGCCCTTCCGGTCAGCTGCTATTCTCGCATTGCGCCAAGTTTCATGACCAGAGAACGAGGCGTTAGGGTTGAACCGTGCGATTGGCAGCTAAGAGGGCAACTTCCCAGAGGGCAGCAGGGATCTGTACCCTCCTACATAACTGCCCCCTTGAGGATGGAGTACCAAGTACATTGTCGGACCTCCCTCCGTATTGGTAGCGGGCTCCCCACGTAAGTTTGGCTCTTGGGGAGGCTGTCGCGTGAACTTGACCTGCCATGAAGTGAACTGTCGTGTAGTATCTGCGTTGCATGGGGTCTGTGGCTATCCTCCCTCTTGCTGGTGAGGAACCCATTCTCCAGTGTTCAAAAATGCATTCCCATGGTGACCTCCATTCTGCTGGGTGAATTGGGCGAACCATAGGCCAAGGTAGCTTCTTATGGGGAGCGGAAACATGGGGGAATCTTTTAATGATTTGACGAGCTTGTGACAATATTAGAGATCTCTCTTGGAGGCATTGACAAGCATGGGGTTTTGGTATGGATGTGAAAAGTTCCCAACCAGCCGAAGCGCCTGGTAGATGCACGCAGCCTGGGGCAGTTTGGCCATCTATTCGGAAACAGAGCATGGACGGCTCCGATCCTCAGAGAACTCGATGCTTCGATGCAAAAGTCTCGGATCCGACTCCTCGATATGAAGGTCGACAGTTCCGAGAGTCATTACCGTCGGCATGGCTCAGGAGGCGGGATGAGTGCCTCAATGAAGAGATTTCATTACTCATTGATCCCAATCCCCGGGGAGCCAAAATGAGAGACGCAAGCTCTAGGTCGACACAATCTTAAATCTTTCGTGTGGTGTCAGCACAATCAACTCATCTTATTCTGGTTTGCAGAGAGAGACCATAAACACCTGGTGGAGATGGATGTGTAATGACCATCTTCCGCAAGTTCCAGTTAGCTCTGTGTAGTCCAGCACATGCAAAATTTGCCGGCGTCCGGTCTCACAAGGCTCGAACAGAAGTTCGCGTACCATTTCGCGCGAAGACAACCACTTGAAAAATGTGAGCCCAGACTACCCCGTCAAGGCTGTTTTGCGGTTGAGCACCATGAATATCCCGCAAATGCAACAGGTCGGAAGATAATGGGCATCGAAAATTCGCCAGCAGAAAAAAATGGTGATGTATGGCGGATAACCGGCTGCGCACGAAACGTTGCTGGAGTGCCACATCCTCAGCCTTCATCGGAGTTGTCAGAGGAGAATAACAATCGTGGAAATAATGAGCATCGTCAAAAAGCGAGTGGGAGTCTGTGGTAATGGGGGACTGACTGCGGCCGTCAGCCTCCGTGTCTGTCAGTGAGAAAGTAGAAATGCCCTTGAGCACGAAGGAATTGGGTTGGGAGTCGTCGTGAGGGACAAGAGTTGAGTGTTATCTGAATATTCAAGTTAATTCGCAAATATCCATTTTGGGACACGCAATCCAGAAAGGTTGAATCAAATCTGTCATCTGAACTGAGCTTGATACCGTGGCTAGGGGATGGTATGAGAGAGCCTGAAGGACAAGGTGCTGGCCAAGTGAATCCTAGAGATCGAATCAAGGAGCATAAACTAAAGCGAGATATTCTGAATGATCTCGGAAGTGAAGCACGTTGTTGAACGTTGATACTTTTCCGTTCCATGTGGAGGTTCAAGTCATTCAGCAAAGGGAGATACTCGGCCAGATCCTTCTGCCCTACAAACTGCAATCTTGCGTGAGATTTGTGCAGCGAGGTACAGGGCATATCGTCCACGATGGAAGTCATTTGACAACAGACAACCAGGTTGCAAAAAAGGTCAATGGGTGTCAGGGACTATTTATAGAGTACGAGGACATTGCCGCCTATGAGCCGAAGAGAATGAAACAGTCCGGGAAGCAGCAGCCACGGGATTTGAGACGACATAAAACAAGAGGAGAAGCAACAAGGAAGCGATAATCAAGGGAGAGCAGGGAGAGCCTCGTCGCTTCTTGCTGGGGCAGCGCAAGGCTGCGCCTCTGCTCGCCGCACTTTCCTCATTCGGATGCGCGACATAATTTTCCACCGCGCAATGCGACAGCAGATTCACTTGAAACTCACTTTGCCCCTCAACACATCCCCCCCTTTCGTGTATCGGACACAGAAATCCCAGATCCTGAGCCATGGATTCATATCGCCCTTCTGGAGAGAATCGTCGTCCTTACCGGGACAGCGACTCTTATCGGCCCCGCCACTACGAACCTCCTCCCCCACCTTGGGCTCCTTCTAACGCGGGCGGTGGAATGTATTACTTCCAAGGCTCACGCGACAGAGAACCATCAGGGCCGTCCAGCTATCGTCCGAGGCCTGACTATCGCAGGGGGCGATCTCATCCTCCGCGACGAGAACAAGCCCGCAGACCTCCTCCACCTTTTCCCAAGACAGCAGCAAATAGACCTCTGCTCAACCTTCGCCATGACGACTCCACAGATTCTTCCCTTACAGATCCCAACTCGACCTCCAAGTCTAAGTTTCGCAACGTTGATGAGCTCACTGATAGCGAAGAAGAAGAAATGGCGCAATCCGAGGATGAAGAGTTGGACCGACCAGCCACCAAACGTGCGCGACTAAATGGGACTGATCCGACCGTTGCAACTACCGTGCCAAAATGGTCAAACCCCGATCCATACACTGCACTTCCTCCTCCAGCAGAGGCGACTGCCAAACGCATTGATGTCGTCAAATTGATTCGGAAAGCGCGCATCGATGGCGCCCGCAATCTCGATAAGGTTGGTACCGCACATGACTTTATCTCCTTGGAGGGCGATGAACACAAGCCCGGTGAACAATCTGTGTCTCCTCCGCCTCACCCGCAAACTCCCATCATCCCCCAAGCATCGGCTCCTCAAGCGGAGGTCAAAACCACTGTCACAGGCAAGAGAAAACGAGGTGCTTCTCTTGGTGAAGAAACACCGCTACCCCGATCAGACGACCAAATCTATGCCGATCGACATGTGCAAGAAAAGTGGAAAGCCACGCCTGGGGTTGATACGACGCCGTGGTTGGCTGCTCATCCTCCCAGCGACATCCCTTTAGTTGCGTGAGTGACCACAACAATTCTTTGGCTCTACAACTAACGAACCACAGGTTCCACAAAGAGATCATTGACTTCTACGATTGGGTGAAGCCAAAACCTCACGAGGAGGAAGTTCGTGGCGAGGTGTTTCAACGCCTCAATACCATCTTACAAAGTTTCAAGTTCGGAGAACTGAAAGCATTCGGATCTTATGCTGCTGGGCTGTACTTGCCTACCGGAGATATGGACCTTGTCTACTTGACTCGCAACTTTAGGCCTGGCCGATTTTCCCAGGAAGACGCGAGGCGACTTGTTTACGACTGCGCCAGGTTCCTGAGGGGGAAAAACGTTGCTCAAGGAGCCATCGTACCCATCCCCAAGGCCAAAGTACCGATAATCAAGTTTGTTGACAGGATCAGCGGTCTCAAGATTGATCTCTCTTTCGACAACGACACTGGCGTTGTCGCTATTGATACATTCCACAAATGGAGGCAAGAATACCCTGTCATGCCTATAATTGTGTCGGTGGTGAAGCAATATCTGATGATCCGAGGGTTAAATGATGTTTCAACTGGTGGTTTGGGTGGCTTTTCGACTATTTGTTTGGTCACCAGCCTCCTTCAACATCTACCTGCTCTTAAGCAGCCAATCAATCTTGGCGATGTCCTACTGGAGTTCTTTAACTACTACGGAAACCTCTTTGATAAGAAATCGGTGATAATCCGACTCGATCCCCCTGGATATTTAAACAAGGTATTTGTGCCCGTCCTGTTTCGTTCCTACTAACTTTCTGTTGCAGACGTCTTACCGGCCTCGGTTCGATGACAGAGAAGTGAGACGACTGACTATCATTGATCCGCATCGCGCAGATAACAACATCTCTGGAGGGACTAAGGAAATTGATAAGATCTTCAAATGCTTCTCCGAAGCATACAAGGCCCTTACAAGTCGACTTTCCGCCTATGAAAGACGAAATCCACAGGCTCCTCAGGGCAGCTTTTTGGAATGTCTCATTGGTGGTAACTTCACGTTGTACGATTTACAGAGAAAGAAATTGCGTGGCCTCTGTTCCAATGATCACGATAACGTTGCAAAGAAGGGGGGATATGCGTCTGGCGTGTCTTATCGACCAGCTGTTGTCGATGCACGTGACAAACAGAATGTACGTTGATGGTGGCTACTTTACAGGCCAGGAAGCTTGACGTCTTCTAGGATCTTCGAGATGAATCTGGCATCTTCGCAGAGAGAACAGCTGCACCAACGAAGAAGTTTGGTAAAGGCGAGAGAAGAGCGAAGCGACTCAAGCACCTACGACCCGACCTTGCCCCATCGATACGGAATACTATTAGCCTCATCGATGCCTTGAAGATCGGAGGCTACAAAACACCAGAAGAGATGGACAATGACCTCCAGGTACGAGAAGCGGCGGCGGCGAAGATTGCTGCAGCTAGAGTCAAATGAGACCGACCAGCATTGAGGAGCTTTTACCAGTTAGATCACTCTTACGCGTTACCACATCACAATCCGGCACTCGGTAGTGGCAACTTCACTCAGGGCTCGGGGTGTATGCCCCATATTGAGATTACCAGGCAACCGATCAGAGCATATTGACAGTCACAGTGCCCTGAAAGCTCTGTATCTCGGAGCGCCTGCCTCCCCGAATCACACCCACTTGAAAGTGTTCTGTCTCAGCCTTGGCTTCTTCATTCCATCGGACTAAGCCTCATTTAGCAGATCGCGGCATTCTCGAGACTGCTGACAAGTTTATAGAATACTGTTTCTCGATGACCTCTAGGTTCGGCGAAGGTCGGTAATCAAGCCCAACACACCATTCCCGGCCACCCACTTTGTTCTCCATCCTCTCTCCTTTCTTTCTGTTCCTGGTCTTTGCGTGATCCCCTACGCTGTGAAAAGGTAATCATTTCCAAGATTTCCCAAGTCTACTGCAGAGCGCCGGGGACGGGCGGCGCTTCCAGTACTAGGACTGCTAATGTCACCTCGGAATACCTAACCACACATGGGCTCTCCAGCTCCAGTGCACCATTAGGTCCAGAGGTCAACCTGTACAGGGCTATCTCAAGAACACAGAACAGCTATCACCATGCCAGTGATATTCAAACAGTGCTCTCGAGCTCTATCCTGTCGCCCCTTTTCTCATTGTCAACGTGCTTAATGCACTCTGGCGGAGAGGAAGACTACTCGGCAGATCAAAGTTGGCATGATCATCGCCTTGGTGTTGAGTCATTTACGTTCGAGATCCAAGCTAGCGGCAACCTTGATTACCTGTTTTGCCTCTGCAAATTGATGTAGACATGATATACTGTTGCGTCTGAGCTCCCGAAATCGACGCGTGCGGTTTATTGTGGACGCTTTTGGCTTTTTGCGGTGAAATCGCCTGTTTCAATCATCATTACCGTCGAGATGTCATCTACACACTTGAACCGACGAGGGCAGGCCAGGGCAAAAGGGGGTATATGGCTTCCGCCACCAGCCCTAGCTATTCGACTGGCCGGGTTTCGTACAGAATTACTTCAGATCTCTCCCGTAGGCCAGGTATATGCGAGGATTCAGGACCTATTTTCATTACGCAGGCTCCTCCAAGAGGCATTCCGATCCTGCTCCGCTCCTGTCCAGATGGCATGTCCCAACCTTCTCTCTCTCATGCGTAAAGGAGCGTCACTACCCGGTACCGTGGAGACGATGATCTTTGCGCTTTCACGATGCAGAAAAGTCAAAGCGTTGAGCTAATGCCGGCCTTACTTCTACCGAAGTATGGAAAGCAAATGAAGGAAGAGCTAGGGTTGACGGAGCTCTCTTAACAATGCAATGGGCGTGCAGAGGACGACAAGTCGCAAACATGTCGAAGTGGTGAAGGAAGCATCAAATTTGAGAATCCAACAAGTGAGAGAAGTGACACACTGCAACACCTCGTTGAGTACTGGGTAGGGACACTGCTGGGTGCCTGGACTGCCTAGGAATGCTCTAGTGGGCCATTCTACTGGGTAGGCTGCTCAGCATCCAAAAGAGCCTCAGCCAGCTGCGAGGGCGCTAAGGAAACCAACTCACTCGTTGTGCCGCCGCCAAGACAGCCTGCCAGAGTCTCCACATGCGTCCTGGGCATCGTAACGCAGCCGCAGTACCCAGTATTGTACTACCTCCATCGGTGCCTCCCCTCATAGAGTTCAAAAAGTCTCCCGCGACATGAAATAGGCGAAGACTTCATCCTCCCACAACCTTCACAAAGGGTCTCCGCGACGTCTCTATTCCTCAACCCGCGCCCAGAGGTCATCCTGCAGACCATGGTTCTGCATCATGGCGTCGTCGCAAGGTCCGGGTCCAGACCCCAGCGAGCGCATCTTCGTTGATCTACGAAGCAAGAATGACGAGGTCAAGAACAAGGCTGCAGCAGAGCTGCGGGATTTGATCACATTACTCTCAAGAGGTCAGACCTCATCCCATGCATCTTTCTGATGTACTGACTTTATTTCCAAAGAATGGTCCCCCGAACGATTCAGCGCTTTCTACGACAGAGTTACCACCCGCATCAGCAACCTCATCGTCCAGGCCCCCGACCCAAGTGACAAGGTCGGAGGAGTCTTGGCCTTGGATCGACTCATAGACTGCGAGGCAATTGATCCTGCTCAGAAAGCTTCAAAATATTCCAACTACCTGCGGGCAGCTTTGAAGAGCAATGACTACACTGTACTGGATGCGGCCAGCCGAGCGCTGGGCCATCTGGCTCGACCAGGGGGAGCATACACAGCAGAGCTTGTGGAAGCTGAAATGACATCGGCCTTCGAATGGTTGCAACCGGAAAGCAAGCAAGAAAGCCGTAAACTGGCTGCCGTGCTTCTCATCCGCGAACTGGCCAAGAATTCACCTACCCTTGTGTACGGCTTCATTCCCCAGATTTTCGAACTGATCTGGAATGCCCTGCGAGACCCCAAAGACCTCATAAGGCGAATCGCCGCTCAGTCTGTCAGTGCATGTTTTGGTGTGATGGTTGCAAGAGACACTCAGTTCCAGAATCATTGGTTTGCCAAAATATACTCTAAAACCCTCGAGGGTTTCCGACCCAACACGTCGGTTGACGAGACTCTGGGATCTCTTCTGATCCTGAACGAACTGCTACAGCAAGGGAACATGTTCATGCACGACTTTTACAGAAATGCGTGTGAAATTGTGCTGCGGCTTAAGGACCACCGTGACCCAAGGATCCGTACCCAGATTGTACAGATCATTCCGGTCCTGGCGGAATACGCCCCGCTCGAATTCATCAATAACTACCTACACAAATTCATGATCTACCTTCAAGCGCAACTCAAGCGGGAGAAGGAACGCAATCAGGCCTTCATCGCCATTGGCCAGATAGCCGATGCAGTTGGTAGTGCCATTGCACAATATCTTGATGGTATCATTCTCTACATCCGTGAATCACTGAGTGCGAAGACTAAGAATCGAGCGGCGGTCGATGAGGGCCCGATGTTCAAGTGCATCAGCATGCTTGCTGGAGCGGTCGGCCAAACACTTAGCAAGTATATGGAGGCTCTGCTTGATCCCATCTTCGCTTGCGGTCTCACCGAACCCATGGAACAAGCCCTTGAAGACATGGCGCACCACATCCCACCAATCAGAGCGACTATTCAGGACAAATTGTTGGATCTCCTGAGCTTGATACTGGTTCGCACTCCTTACAGGCCGCTGGGATGCCCGCCGAATACTTCCCCCCCGCTTCCGTCATTTGCGAAAGACTATGGTGGCATGCCTGCTGAGCACAAGGACTACGAGATTACCCTGGCTCTCAAGACCTTGGGAAAGTTCGATTTCTCAGGCCATATACTTAACGAGTTTGTTAGAGACGTCACGCTTCGCTACGCCACCAACGACAACCCGGAAATCCGGCGCGCAGCTGCACTCACCTGCTGCCAATTGTTCATGCAAGACCCTATCCTACATCAGACAAGCAACAACGCTATTCAAGTTGTTGGTGAGGTGGTGGACAAACTATTGACAGTCGCAGTTGGTGACCCCGATGCTGACATTCGAGTGACTGTCCTTCGAGCCCTGGATAGGAAATTCGACAAGCATTTGGCCCGGCCAGAGAACATACGCTGTCTTTTTCTGGCTGTCAATGATGAGGTTTTTGCAGTTCGCGAGGCTGCCATCGAAATTATTGGCAGGTTGACGACAGTGAATCCGGCTTATGTATTTCCACCTCTGCGGAAGCTGTTGGTCAACCTACTCACCGGACTTGGCTACTCCAATACAGCAAAGCAAAAGGAAGAGAGCGCCCGCCTCATCAGCTTATTTGTTTCCAACGCCACCTCTCTAGTCAGGACCTACGTGGAAGCTATGGTCTCTGCTCTTCTCCCAAAAGCCACTGACCCAAATCCAGGCGTCGCTTCGACAACCATCAAGGCGCTTGGAGATCTTACTTCTGTTGGCGGAGATGAAATGGCTCACCACATTCCAGAGCTTATGCCAATTATCATCGACGCCCTCCAAGATCTCGGTTCACATGAGAAGCGCGAAGCGGCCATGAAGACCCTGCGTTCCCTTGCCATCAATTCGCAATATGTGATCGATCCATATCTGGACTATCCCGAACTCCTTGGAATCCTGATCAACATAATCAAGACAGAAGCCCATGAGGAGCTAAGGACGGATGCCATCAAGTTAGTTGGTGTCTTGGGAGCTCTGGATCCCTACAAGTACCAACAGCTGAGTGAATCTGTTGCGGAGAAGCAGAGCAAGACGGAGACGCAACCGGTGTCCGATGTCGCGTTGATCATGCAAGGCTTGACGCCGTCAAATGAGGAATTCTATCCGACAGTCGTGATCAACACGCTTATGCAAACCATACTCGCCGACCATACGCTCGTCCAGTATCACAGTGCAGTGATCGACGCGGTTGTTACTATTTTCAAGACTATTGGCATGAAGTGTGTCCCGTTCCTGGGTCAAATAATCCCAGGGTTTCTCGGTGTCATCCGCAGCTCCCCTCCACCTCGTCTGGAGTCATATTTCAATCAACTTGCGGTCCTTGTCAATATCGTGCGTCAACATATCCGTGCTTTCTTGCCCGAAATCATTGAGGTCATTCGAGAATTCTGGAACATATCGAGACAGGTCCAGTCCACGATCTTATCTTTGATCGAGGCGATCTCCAAGTCTTTGGAAGGCGAATTCCGCAGATACCTGGCAGGACTCCTACCGCTCATGCTAGGGGTGATTGAAAACGACACAGATCTCAGGAGGGAGTCCTCCATCCGCATCCTGCACACTTTTCTGGTCTTTGGAGCTAGTGGAGAAGAATACATGCACATGATTGTACCGGCGATTGTTGGCATATTCGAGAATCCGGCTGCACCTCCCAACGCACGTAAGGCAGCGATTGACACCCTGGGGAAATTGTCCCGGACTGTCAACGTCACGGACTTTGCGTCGCTGATGATTCATCCATTGGCAAAGATACTCTCTTCCCCTGAAAAAGTAGTTACAAATTCTTCTGAGCGTTCACTGAAGTCCGCTGCGCTAGATTGCATCTGTGCACTGATCTATCATCTCGGACAGGATTTTGTGCACTATTTGCCTCTTATCGAACGGTCTACAAAGGCGGGCCAGATCAATTCTGAGAGATTCCAAAAATTGATTGAAAATTTCAAGAGCGGCAAGGCTCTGCCTGTTGACTTCTACCCGGAGGAGCAATATGGAGCAACTGCGGAAGACACAACTTACTCCAACATCACCTCGATGAGGCTTCCAGTCAATCAACAACACTTAAAGAGTGCTTGGGATACCTCTCAGAAATCAACGAAGGAGGATTGGCAGGAGTGGATGCGACGCTTTAGTGTCGAGCTATTGAAAGAGTCTCCATCACATGCTCTGCGGGCTTGCGCAAGTCTGGCTGGTGTTTATCAGCCACTGGCCAAATATCTTTTCAATTCCGCTTTTGTCTCGTGCTGGACCGAGTTATATGATCAGTACCAGGAACAGCTTATCCAGTCGTTTGAGAAAGCTCTTATCTCTCCGAATATCCCCCCGGACATTTTGCAGACACTGCTTAATTTGGCCGAGTTCATGGAACACGATGACAAATCTCTTGCAATCGATCTTCGAACACTAGGACGATACGCTGCCAAATGTCATGCATTCGCGAAAGCATTACATTATAAGGAACTTGAGTTTGAGCAGGATCAAAATAGCCAGAGTGTTGAAGCTCTTATCAGCATCAACAACCAACTCCAACAATCCGACGCTGCTATTGGCATTCTCCGGAGAGCGCAGGTCTTCGGCGAAGTCGAATTAAAGGAGGCATGGTTTGAGAAGCTGCAGCGATGGGAGGAAGCTTTGGCTGCATATCAGAAGCGAGAGAAGATTGAACCCGACAATTTTGACGTTATCATGGGGAAGATGAGGTGTCTGCACGCTCTGGGCGAATGGAAAATGCTGTCAGAGATTGCACAAGAGCATTGGAACAGCGCCTCGACGGAGAATCGCAAGAATATGTCTGCCCTAGCTGCAGCGGCGGCTTGGGGCAGAGGCGAGTGGGACTTGATGGATAACTACATCAGCGTCATGAAAGAGAGCTCACCCGACCGAGCATTCTTCGGTGCAATCCTCGCCATTCAACGCAACAACTTCGTGGAGGCTCGCAATTTTATCATCCGGGCTCAAGATGGTGTCAATTCAGAGATTGCTGCAACCATCGGGGAATCTTATAATCGTGCTTACAGCGTGGTGGTTAGAGCACAAATGCTTGCAGAGCTTGAGGAAATCATCCTTTTCAAGCAAAGCGAGGGTAACATTGAGAAGCAGAATGCAATGAAAGTGTTGTGGAATAAGAGGCTCCTCGGATGTCAATCCAATGTTGAGGTCTGGCAACGAATGCTCAAGGTGAGGGCCCTTGTTCTCACCCCTTCAGAGAATCCGGATATCTGGATCAAGTTTGCAAACCTCTGTCGGAAGTCCGAACGTATCGGTTTGGCCGAACGATCACTGGCCTCCTTGGGAGGCAGTGGCAATCTTGCTGCTACAGGTCCTGGCGCGGCACCACCCCCTGTTGCATATGCTCGTCTCAAGTTCACTTGGGCGACGGGAAATCAACAACAAGCATTGACCTACCTGCGTGACTTCACAACCCGGCTCGCCGACGAATACCAACAAGCAAACACTGCTCTGGCAAGTGGTGCACACAACGACAGAATTAACAACATGAATGGTCTTGATATGAATGGACATGAGACGATAGCTCAGAGAAGAAGAAACGAGGACTTGGAGAAATATGCGAAGCTCCTTGCAAAGTGCTACCTTCGTCAAGGAGAATGGCAGTCCTACCTTCTGAGAGGTGATTGGACAAGTCCACGAGCTCAGGAACCTGTGCGAGATATCCTCAACTCCTACCAATTGGCAACAGAATACAATGAGTCGTGGTATAAAGCATGGCATGCTTATGCACTAGCGAACTTCGAAGTCGTCACATCTATGGCATCCCATACGGATCAGGATAAAGTGCGCAACCTTCCCGAGCACGTTATCCAGAACCATGTCGTTCCAGCCATCAGAGGTTTCTTCAGGTCAATTGCTCTGTCAAGAACAAGCTCGCTCCAAGACACACTCCGTTTGTTGACCCTTTGGTTTGCCCATGGCGGCCATAGCGAAGTCAACCAAGTGGTAATCGAGGGTTTTGCCTCTGTCAGCATTGATACCTGGTTAGAAGTTATTCCCCAATTGATCGCTAGAATCAATCAGCCAAACGCGAGGGTGCGAGCTGCCGTGCACAGACTATTGGCGGAAGTTGGTAAAGCACATCCTCAAGCACTCGTTTACCCATTGACGGTGGCAATGAAATCATCGGTAGCGCGGCGAGCTAATTCAGCAACCCAAATCATGGATAGTATGAGAACACACAGCCCTCGACTTGTCGAGCAAGCAGATCTGGTCAGCCATGAACTTATCAGAGTCGCAGTGCTTTGGCATGAACTTTGGCATGAGGGCCTGGAGGAAGCATCTCGCTTGTACTTTGGCGATCATGATGTGGAGGGAATGCTTGCAACCCTAGCTCCACTCCACGAGCTCCTTGATCGAGGCGCCGAAACCCTCAGAGAGGTGTCATTTGCTCAAGCGTTTGGCCACGATCTTGCGGAAGCGAGGGCCTTCTGCAACGCTTTTCGCCGATCAAAAGAAATCGGGGACCTCAATCAAGCTTGGGATTTATACTATGCGGTGTTCAGAAAGATCGCGAGACAGCTCCCACAGCTGATGAGCCTCGACCTCAAATACGTGTCTCCTCGACTAAAGGATGCGCATGATCTTGACCTGGCCGTTCCTGGTACCTACCAGTCCGGCAAGCCCATCATTAGGATTGTGAGCTTTGATCATGTCCTGACTGTGATACCCTCCAAACAAAGACCCAGAAAGATGACACTCAAGGGATCAGACGGCGTGTCTTACGCATTCCTCCTCAAGGGTCACGAAGACATCCGACAAGATGAGCGTGTAATGCAGCTATTTGGCCTCGTCAATACTCTGCTTAACAATGACACCGAATCCTTCAAAAGACATCTGAACATTCAACACTTCCCAGCCATCCCCCTATCTCAGAACTCCGGGCTGCTTGGATGGGTGCCGAATTCTGATACTCTGCACAATTTGGTCAAGGAGTATCGCGAGTCAAGGCGCATCTTACTGAATATCGAGCACAGGATTATGCTGCAAATGGCACCAGACTACGATAACCTCACGCTCATGCAAAAGGTGGAAGTTTTCGGATACGCCATGGACAACACCACTGGCAAAGACCTGTACCGTGTGCTCTGGCTTAAATCAAAGAGTTCTGAGGCTTGGCTTGATCGACGAACGAACTACACCCGCTCACTAGCTGTGATGTCAATGGTTGGCTATATCTTGGGCCTTGGAGACCGTCATCCGTCAAATCTCATGCTTGATCGCATCACTGGCAAGATCATCCATATTGACTTTGGTGACTGTTTCGAAGTAGCCATGCATCGGGAAAAATATCCAGAAAGAGTTCCCTTTCGCCTAACACGAATGCTCACCTTCGCCATGGAAGTCAGCAACATCGAAGGTTCGTTCCGCATCACGTGCGAAAATGTGATGCGCGTGATCCGCGAGAACAAGGAGTCAATTCTCGCAGTGCTTGAAGCATTCATCCACGACCCCTTGCTTAATTGGCGTCTCAACACTCGAGAGTCCCCCCCCCGACCTCACTTCCGTTCCGAACGGAGACAGAGCATAATCGACGCGCCTGGTGCGCAGGGAGGAGACTACGATCGCAGCCCCATGGAGAGTGCGAATAACCCGGCTGCGATGATGAATGCCCAGGGACAGAGTCATGTTGGCGCACCACCAGGCCGTCGACATCGACGCAGCAGTGTTCTTGACCCAGCGATGGTAGGCGGAAGTGTCCTCGACAAGGCCATGGACAACAATGCTGCGGCTCAGGAAGCCAAGGAGGTACAAAATGCTCGAGCATTGCAAGTCCTGGCCCGCGTGAAAGAGAAATTGACTGGACGCGACTTCAAGCCCGCTGCACCTGGGACAGCCTCGTACGCAGTTGCAACGGCTCTTCGCGCGGACGTTAACGGACTTGGTCTCGAGTCGCTCATGAACGTGAATGGTGGGGCGATGAACAATTTAACCAACGGCACAATCGGGGCCATAGACATGCAGGCGCACGGGACACAAGTCTCCATTGCGGGAACGGCGCCGGAGACGACCATGGCGGGGATCGGTGGGTTGGGTGTTGCGGAGCAGGTGGATCGCTTGATTCTGCAGGCGACGAATGTGGAGAATTTGTGTCAGCATTATATTGGGTGGTGCTCGTTTTGGTGATTGAGGAATTATCACATGGGGGCACATTGCTTCTTTCGAACCGACACCCATATCGCTACGAGAGGCTATGGCCACTTCTTGTATGTCTGGGCCTTGTTTACAAGGCGACAAACTATCTAGGGACAGGAAAGCGGGATGGAATGGACAAACGACTCCGTGGTGGCTTGGACAACGGCACGGGAAGAAAATCACTGATCGAACTGCTACATCTACCTTGTCTTACCTTGCCGTGAGATGGCTCAGGGTCTTGCTCAAATGTATGCATCGCATCGCATAGCATAGCGTGACAAAGCACAGCGCGGATGGTCACCACACACAGAGAGAGGAGGGCTTTTGGCACATAATGCATGATGGAAGCTAAACAGACTGTCACTAGATGCCGTCGATAATCCAGCGACCGTGTTTATCTCACATGAGTCAAGCCGAGTAGGATCGTGTAAGATCAAATCGTCGCAATATCATTACTGCATAGAAACATGTATTATAGATAACGTAGAAGACGCCGTGGCTTCGACTGGATTTGACACCGCTCCTGGAACGATGAGATATTCTCACATACATTTCCTTTTCCACTTTGCTTTTGTTGGTTTTTTTGGGGCTTTGTGGTTGTCTGTTGCTTCGTCTTTTTGCCCCCGCCAGCTCGCTCCATGCTTTTCTAGATCGTATGCACATGTTTTTGTTCAACAACGCCGCACATGAAGAGAGGAATGCGTATCTCGAACGCAACAAATCCCGACGCCCACATGTTGAATTCTTCTTAATGCTTTTTGCAGTCGAAAGCATAGACAAAAAGAGTCGGGTGGACAAGCACAACATGAAACACATGGCTCCCTTAGTGGTGCCCATTCGATACGCCGTTCGTCCCGTTCTGGTGGGTCTTCCTGACTTGTCTCCTTGCCCTTACCGCCTCAGCCAACTGCTCCAAGACCTCGACCGTCGTCTCCCAATCGATACAGGCATCCGTAATGCTGACTCCCTTTTGCAGGCTTTCAAGACCCCCTTCAGGGGGGACCTTTTGATTCCCTTCGTTGATGTTCGATTCAATCATGACCGCCACGATCGCGTCTTCTCCCTGCCTCAGCTGTTCGCTTATAGCTTGAGCGACTAAAGGTTGATTCTTATGGTTCTTCTTCGAGTTGCCGTGGGAGCAGTCAATCATCATGACTTCTCTATGGCCCTTGGATTTCAATGCGGTGCGAGCTGCCTTTACGGATTCTGCATCGTAGTTCGTGCCCTTTGAGCCTCCGCGGAGGATCACGAAGCCATCTTCGTTCCCGGATGTTTTTGTTATGGCAGCCAACCCTTGTTTTGTGACGCCCATGAAGTAGTGTTTTGCGGCGGCGGCTCCTACGGCGTCGATAGCCACGGAAAGGGAACCATCTGTGCCGTTCTTGAAACCCATAGGGAAAGAGAGGCCAGAAGCGAGTTCTCTGTGCAGCTGAGACTCGGTTGTTCGGGCCCCGATGGCACCTAGAGAGATTAAGTCGGCAAGAAACTGCGGAGATATAGTGTCGAGCATTTCGCTCGCAATGGGCATGCCCATTGACGTGAGGTCGGCGTAGAGCTGTCTCGAGACACGGAGGCCTTTATTGATTTTGTAGGATTCATCAATGTCAGGGTCGTTGATGAGGCCTTTCCAGCCCACGGTGGTGCGGGGTTTTTCTAGGTATGCACGCATGATGATGCATAGATCCGCGGAGAGCTTTTCGGAGAGCTCTTTCAGACGACCAGCATATTCAAGGGCTGTTGCAGGATCATGGATCGAACAGGGTCCGACCATGACAAGTAGCCTGTCGTCCCGCTGGTGGATGATATCTTTGCATTCTCGACGACCCTTGGCGACGGTCTCGATGGAGGTCTGAGACGCAGGTATCTCGGCTTGCAGGAGGGCGGGAGGGATCAGAGGGTCATAACCAAGGACTCGAACATCCTCGCCGGGCGTTGGAGCAGCAGCGTCGACGGCGGGCATTGTGAGAGAAGAACAAGCGGAAAGGTCAGTGTCGAAAGAGAAGAGAAGACGAGAGATGACAGGGCGAGGAGAGGGAAGGGAAGGGTATGAAAGAACGAGGAAAGACGGAAAAGAAGAAAGGAAGGTGAGGTATAGCTATTTTTTTTTTGGAGCGGGAACCGCAGTCACAGTCACCTCAGTCAATAGCATGATTCACAAGGGCGACGTGCTCGGGAAAATTTTGGGCGGCGGGCGGAGAGCACAGGGAGGGAGGAGGGGCAGCGCAGCCAAAGAGCGCAAAGGAATTGAGAAGGCGGTGTGACTCGCGGTACCGGATAATGATTTCTCCGCGATTCCGCCGGGGGGCGCTAGTGCTACCGTCAAGTCACTAACCTACGACCACTAGAGTTACGTGCACGTGAGCCACTAAGTGCCGAGAGTGCCAAGTGCCACAAAAATGGTGATGGCAATGACGTAGTATCAGGGCGGCTAACCCGTGGCTTGGCTCCCTCTCCAGTCTCGGCACATCTACCCAGTACCTCTCTGCCTCGTACTTGATACCTCGTACTTCCCCCCTTCGTCACCTACAACTTCTCCCTTTTTTTCGCACATCCCTCCACATATGTACCAGTATCTCCCTCTTAGCAGCTCAGCCGCCCCCTTATACAAACATCCCAGAGATGTGACTCGTGCGGAACGCTGACTTGCCGAACACCTCGATCTGAGACCGGCCATTCGCCTTGGTCGCAGGCGCGCGCTCTGGTTGGTCCTCTCTCAAATTGTCCTTGTTTCATCTAGGCAAAGACGTCAAGCACCCCGACACTGCCACGGTTTGATCGACCCTCCTTGCTCACGGGGCCATGACTTGCATTTCGACGCTGGAAACATAAGAACATCCTACTAATCACACCACAATCGCTCCTCATCCCACGTCCGCTCCGTCAAAATCGATGTCGAGTCTTGGTCTGTGTCCCAGGCAGCCGACCAACGCCGATCCTTGTGCCATGGCCGACGTCGACACCTGTGCTTTCCATTTCAACATCTCAACTCCCCCCTTCAAACGGAAACGACCGTCTGACCATCTGGAGGACGACAGTCGCTTCTTTGCCCGCGACTCCAAACGACGATCCACTTCGACACACTGTCTGCCCATCCGCTTATCGCCCTCCTCGCGACCACATGTCTCGGTTCCTCCCGCTTCTTACTCCCTCTTCACTTCGATATACCAGCAACCTCCGACTCCGGTCGACACCTCGGATGACGATGAGAATTCCGGTCAGCCATTCAACGAGACCGGAGATCAGTGGTCGGCCGCGAAGAACGACTCGCAGCTCGGCAACCACAATAGCACGTCGTTAGAAAAGGCCCGATTCGGCGATCCCGTTGATGTCGATATGGATCTAGCCATGGCTCCTCCCATCGCGCAACCGAGGATACGACGCGCTCGGTCCAACGATATTATCCCTCCTGAACGCGACTCCAACTTTCTTTGTGCCATGGACAGCTTTGCTCGGGAAAGAGTCCCAACACCCATCAGCGGCCATTTCGACAACCGCGTCAGTGATCTGCCCAGCGTCCCGCGCCACCAGTTTCCACCACTACGCACGGCTCTCAGTCCGATGATCGAGCAGGAGTCGTGGATCACTCGAGATGGTCTGCCGAGCCCGGTGGAGGCCCAGGACATGGACACCGCAATGATGATGGATCGGGATGAACCAGCCACCCAAGTGCATGTTCCCGCCGGGAAATATGGACTGGATGGAAACACGAGTCCTTCGGGTCGAACAAGGACGGCGAGACTTCATATGGGATATCTCAATGATTGTGAGAAATGCGTCCAGAAAGTGCCGGGCCACTACAGCCATATTATATGGACTTGACGGAGCATGCAGAAGCGTCTCGGCGTTTGGGGCTGCTATGGGCTGCATGATTTTGATGAGCAATGAGAATAAAGATTGAACGAGATGCATGACGATACGGTTTTGGTGGGTTCCTAGATTACAAGGATTCACTCGATGTTGCGGCTGAGTATTTGCGAAGTCAGCGTGAGCTTGCAAGCAACACAGACCAGCGCATTGCCTGTTTTAGACGATGGATTTTTGATTTGAGAGTGTTGTGCGGCTCCCTCTGCACACGGGGGCGCGCGCCGTCTTCCATAACTGTACAAATGACATGTCTGAGACGCCGTGCCATATCAGGCATCAAATCCTTTACAGACCTCCCTCCCATTTCCACGCATCTATGACTTGCTGTTGCCTCCCCTAATCCAACTCAACCAACTTCTTCCTCCTTCCGTTGAAGCTCCGGCAACACTGCCCACCACGTTGCTGGCCATGACATCCAACGGCCCTCCCACAGTTGCCGGTTTCGCGCCAAGGTCCTTTTCGCCTCGTCCAGTCTCGTCTTCCACTTTTCTCGTGATATACTCGACCTTATTCGCGGGCACAGGGCGTCCCTTTGAATCGATGCCTACCCCCTGGACGCCACTCGGTGCCACTCGAACGCCTTCCACCGCGGGAGTCCCTGTTAGAACAGGTCGGACTTCGCCTTCAATCCAGCCTTCCTCGTCTGCCTTGATGCCCCTCTGTTTCCACGCGGCTCTGGCTTCCCTCCGACTCTTCTCCTCGGCCGTCTCCTCCCCCATTGTCCCCTTTGCCACCTGTCCACCCACAACGCCCTTCAGCTTGCTCCAATAGCCTTCCTGCTTCTTCCTCTCTATCTCCCTCATCCTCGCCGCCTCTATCTCCTGGCCTGCACGCTCCTGCTCAAGCAAATGCAACTGCTCCGCGTTCGCTTCGCCCTTTAAGAAAGCCCTCCTGGCTTCGTCCAACCTGTTCAATTCCCTCTCGACCCACGCCCGCTTTTGTCTTCTCGAGTGCGCGATGAGCGAGATTGTGCCGTATGCGGTCACGCAGACCGCTAGGCCGGAGAAGAATATCAGGCCGTACGCGGTAATGCGGTGAGCGCGATCGGCAATGACTCGACCGCTCGAGATCAGGCGGTCAAGAGGGGAAGAAATTGCGGATGTTTTTGCGGCTTCGTGCGCGGCGCGGAGACGGGCGACTCTTTCCATTGGCGTCTCGTTCGAAGAGGGTACTTTGTGGGAAGAAGGAGGTTGTGGAGGCGAAGGGGAGGAGGACGGTGCTGGAGAGGATGTGTTCCTGCCTGCGGGACGCGAGGCAGGTTGATAGGTGAATGTGGTAGCATGGGGTGTTGTAGAGGTGAAGCGAGTAAAGGTGTCGGATGCCGGCCGCCGCGACATTTTGGGGATGAATGTTTTCATTATTTCTTCCACAGGTCCAGGGAGAGAAAAAGGGCGAGGAGGAATCCTCTGATGTTACAAAGTTGGCATGTAAAAGTTTTCGTCCAGAGTGGGTTGGTGTTGTACAAGAAATAGAAGAGAAAACAAAACCCGAGGGCACCGAAGCAGCAAGTGGTGGACAAGCAGTGGTTTTGAAGATGCCTGCTCTGCAGTCACTTTTGATGTCTATGCAATGGAATTATTACAATGGAAAATGAAGCTTCGAAGAGAAGAGCGAAGCATCGCATGACGGCGACACGGAGACACGGGATTGGATTACGGGGGGGTCGCCCAATCATAACTGGTATTCTTTCCGAGGCCCACTTTTCTCCTTTTCCCTTCCAACTGTTAGAAATCCCACGTATTACTTAATACAGAGACAAACACACATACACCGAGAGAGAGAGAGAGAGAGAGAGAGAGAGAGAGCTGCCCAGCACCTTACTTTGGACCATAGCATGGTAGCATGGCTAGCCTTCCCTGTCCGCTTTCAAGGGATGTGGCTGCCTGCGAGGACAACGGCCGCAGCCTATTGGGACCAGCAGTGGTGGCTCGCTGAACCCTAAATACGCTTTACAGGTAACTCATTTCAGACAACAGATCCTGTTTATGAATCAGTATTTGTGAAATGACGTAGGTTTGGGCTTGCTCAAGGAATAATTAATGTGATATAACTTCCCTTTGACACGGACAACATGTAGCCCTGATACAAGGGGCGCAGCCTTGCCAAGACGCGAGGCTGCCGTTTGCCGAGACATCTCGCTTCTTGATTCTGCCCCCTCGACCTTGAACCTTGGATCCTCCACGTATTCCTTCATTGGGACTGCGTCCTCTTCGCTGGTGCGGTAGAAAGCTCTTGCTAACATCCATGGACTTACTTGTTGTCGTGCCTGAGGTCACATTCCTTTTCATCTTATCCTAAGGCCGACATGGACGGTCAGCGGAATCCTGAGCTCCAGCGTGTGCTAGCAGCACTGAATAGCTTTTCACAACACCAGCAACAACACCAACAACAACACCAGCAACAACACCAACAACAACACCAGCAACAACACCAACAACAACACCAGCAACAACACCAAC